CCCCCCCCCCCCCCCCGGAAATGCCCCGTATTATCCCGCGTTAGACGCCTCCCCGGGCCCCCATCCCCAATGTCTCCTTGGGCTCTCCGCCCTTTGCTATCTCCTCCGACCTGAACGGCCCGCCCGTCTATCTGTGTCGAATGCAACGTCTTCCGGACCAAATTTAGGGATAGCCTAGAACGGGCCGGAAAGACCAGGGCCAGTGCCCAGAGTAGCAGGATGGAAATGTCCTACTTCCTTGTCTGTCAACCAAGAGAGTTGATGTTGAAAGCAAGCGGGTTCTCTTGACGTCGCGACATCGATAAGTGAGAAGCCGACTTGTGTTATGTCCGCACTATATCCCCGATAGTAGGTCGTCCTCGCTCAACTGCATGGTCCCGGTCTTGCGCGTACTCACGAAATTGTTCTATTGCCTTAGTGGCTCGCATACCGAGCTTGAGCGCCAACCTAGGCTATCGATCGCGACTGATCACGAACAGAACGAGGAATGCTTCTGCATTCTACTGGTGTTCTCCGTGTATGTGACAGGTGTATTCAAAGAGCGGGCACGCGGGCACGAACCTCGGTTCTTGCTGAGCGCAACATAACACGACTAGATGGTCACTTCCAGCGGATGCGGTCGACGCAGATGTGTAGTGCCTACCCAGTGCTCTGTGTTGGGCCGAGAGGGAAGCACGGGAATTGCTTGCTTCAACCTAGCTGCTTCTCACATTCCCATAATGCGCAAGCTCGGTGAACATCGAGTATGGGTCCCGGGAATCTGGGGTGCGGTCTTCCTTTGGCGTGGCGACCGCAGCGTGCTGAGCTTGGTAAGACCAGCTGGCAAGACAAGGCAGTGATATCTTCTCCTTGTTGTTGGCGAGGCCTGCGTCAGCGTCGACATTTGGGACGGACTAGTACTTGAACTTTGTTCACGGATTGCGACCGTCGCCAGGACATGTGGTTATCTCGTCCAGGCTCCGCATCGCTCCAGCTCGTCTCAACGTTCGCAGGGCTGGAGAATGACTGAAGATGAATCCCTTTAGCTAGGCTACATAACACGCTGCCGTGCAACTCACAAGCGAACACTTCTACTCATGTCGTCGCGTCAGCTAGAAACTGAGACAGCACGATCATCCCACCATCGTCAAATTATTCATTTGGAGCTACTGATGTTACTACTTCCTCCCTGATAACGGCGTGTGGACCGTCTACGTGCTCGCTCGGGGGAAGCGATGCTCCGCTAGCGACTTTTCCCAGGCTATAGTCGCAATATGCAAGGACCGTCAGCCAGGTTCGTCTAGAATCGGTGCAAAGCCAAGTGATGAACTACTCACGCTTGGCGAAGTCGGTGTAGAGCTCCACGGCCGGTGGGAGGTCGTTTCCGAACAGAGAGAGCTTGAGATACGCCCCATCCGGTTCGGAATCGGGAAGCGACAAGATGCTGGAGCCGCAATTTCCGCAGAACTGCCGATACATTGGCTTGCCGGAATCAGTCCCGTGTTGAGCGTAGGTTCGGAGGACGCAGGAGGGGTCGGAGATTGTAAAGTCGGAACGCGAGACAGGGAGCAGGTAAGCAAACACTTCGATCAACATCGAGTCAGATCGTAGGACGGCTTGCAGTGAGAAGGTCAGGACTCACATGAACCGGTGGTCTTTTGACAATTCAAGCAGTGACAGGCTACGCCAGCATGTTTCCCCTCCACAAATCCCTCTTTGAGTGTGACAGTGATGGAACCGCAGTTGCACGATCCTTGGATATCGTCGGTTTTAGTGGACATGATCACGCTCGTCACTTGCCCTGAGGACATGTTTGTTCGATAATTCATTCGGACCTTTATATAATAGTGTCTCTGAGTCAGGAGTTGCAGCTGGCGACGTAGACTCGAATATGCCAAATGGAACAAAGCCTTGCTTTCATCACATGTACAAGACGGGATCAGGCCAGGGCCGGATGGATGACGAAAGGGGATTGTGTGCTGCATCCAGTGATAAGTAGTCAGCATGTGTCCCTGCCACGTAAGAGATCAAGACAAGAGGCCTGTTGCGATCTCCAGATGCCAACAGACACGCGAGCGCCTCAGTAAAGATATTGATGGCGAATTTGTTTCGTCCGATGTAGCTGGAACACGTGTCGCGGGGCAAGCTGAGGGTGTTACTCGGAGTGGAAGTTGCTATAACCAGGTAAGTGCCATGACTTGCAGGTGTAGGTATCCTCTCCGATCTTCCAGCCGTGACGACGAGCGAACAATATAATGACAATATTCCGGTCCAGCTATGAGATGGAAGATGGAAGTGCGTGCAGCGTCGGTGAGCAGCTCGCTGATCATAAACACGTGACGCCTATGGTGCACCGATGGCGACTCAAACTGACTTCCTCCCTCAGAGTCAAGATTTTATATCGTCGCTTTCTTGTGGTGGGTCACGATTGCGCGAGCTCTACTTGATTTCGCATGCATGTAGATAGTGTGGCTGCTCTAGTGTCCTCTGAATGGCGGAAGTCCTGCCAGTTTCATTTGTTTTGCAACATACGCCTGGCCCCATCGGAGACTACATGTACCCGTTTCCGTGCAATTGTGAAAGATCATCCTGATTTGGCTACTGCTGTCCGGGGTATGAGTAATAGCCGTGATATTGGCCAAAGTGTACGTCTCTGTTATCTCGCCTATAAGGACGGGGTCATCGTTCATCATGCACGACGGAACCGCCGGGCGCGAGCTCGAGTTTTCGTACTTCGGACCACAGAACGCCAGGTAGTCGGGATAGCAGAGAGGGCGCTGGTAACAATGCCGTCCGTCCTACTCGCTGTGAGTTCATACATCTGGCTGACTTGTCGCGTGCTACAGGAGACGAGAGCGTGTGCTGTCCGATGTTTGCGAGAAGCCAGACTGAGGGCTCGAGCGTGGTCCTGGCTCCGTCTTATCAGGCACGAACGCAATAAAGCACAGTCAAAATGACAGAATATCCATCGCGTCGAACCGTGGCCAGCTCATCAAGTGCCAAGGGGGTCGAGGTCGGCATTGCGTCATGCGAGCGTTGAGTTCCATCGCATAGGCGAGATATGTCAGGCAACCGCGTGCGCGCCACCACCTGATGATGCCGCCGGCCTGAGAAACGGTCGTTTCAATATGTGCACGAAGCGGGAGACTCTGAGCGGAACTGAATTGAACGAACGGGACGGTCGCCAACACGACGGTCAGAAATCGGGGTTTTGGGTTATTCGCGGGCGTGCGGGCGTTCCTGGCGCCAGGGCTCGAGAGGCCGGGACCGTCTCCATGCGCTTGCGTTGCTGCGTCTTTCTCGTCGCCATTCATGTCGAAGCTCGAGCGCCCGCCGTCGAGTGGGGACCGAGGTGGGTCCTGAAGGATTTCCCCCCCAGTTACGGCAAGGTATGCGTCGCCCTCCACAGCTGTGGGATATGCTCTGTTGGAGACGGACATGAGGCTTGGAGTACAGTTTTCCTTTTCGCAGCGGCGAGATGTATAACTGTAATACCCACCGTGGTTTATGTTAGAGTGCATCCTCGGACCTCCGCATTACGCCAAAGTTGCACAAGATGAAGAAGCAAGGCCGTCAAACAAGTCCAAGTCGGGACGAAAGGCGGACGAGCGCGCGAACGAAGGACGGGAGATTGGCCAGGAAAGGCAAGGAAAGGCAGGCGGCCGGGGCCGGCGATCAGGGGACTGTTTGGTCGGCGATCTCGGCTGGCGGGGATGAACAGAGTGGGCGCCTTCTGGCGGACCCCCCGCGACGTTTAGGGTATGGACGCGCATTTAGCCTTTTTCGCTGGTTTTTGTTGATCTGCAGGGCGGTGGGCGAGTGTGGAGTGGACGAAGAGGTTGTCCGGGGCGAGCCTTGGGTCGTTCGGCAGCGCGTCTACCGAGTCGAAAAACCGGAGGATGGTGTATCGGAAGAGCGAATAACCGGAGGGAGCACAACCGTCGGCTGCGAACGCGCCCCCAAAATCCGGATATACATCAGCAGATCTCCTGCGCGCCATGTCCCTGGGCGCCAGAGCGAGCCGTGGTGTCTCGCACCGCTTGCCAGTGCCCACCTCCAGTCCTTACTCCACCGTCTCATCGCCGCCAGTTCGGTGCAGCCAGCTGGTCCTCTACTGCAAACCCTCGCGCCTGTCCTTTCTCTTTTTCTCGCTGCCTCTCCCGCGCGCGTGCGATGCATCCCGTCAGCTAGAGCCTATACGCCCAGCTTTCGACAAATCCGTGCATGACCCTCTTCTGGTGAGCGCTAGCGCTGTCACCACCGTCCGCACTACTTACACGACGTAAATCAAGTTCCGAGTTATCGGCCTGCTGCGACTCTCTTGATTGACAGCGCCTCGCCCTGTGGAACGCTTTACCCTGCGCACGCGGCCTCTCGTATACGGCCCCGCCTTTGGTGACCTCCCCTCGCTCGCGCACCACCGCCGAGCATACGGACCAAAGATGGCGACGACGACGGCGGCGGACGAATATACCGACCAACTACAAGAACGACAGCAGCAACATACGAAGCTCTCCTCCTCGACGCCAACGGATCTTCCCCCGGACGGGAGCCCACCACCGTCTTTCGACACTCACGGTCCTTCATCGTCAAGCTCTTCCTCATCGGACTCTACCTCTACCTCCACCTCCACACGTACTCCTGCTTCTGCCCCTAACTCCGTATGGGGGGCCGAGAGTCGACCACGACCCCGATGGCCGAGCCTTAACACAGACGTGCAGATTTGGGATATGCAATGCCCCGCCGAAGTCAGCCCGAGACGACGAGCTGGCAAGCGTCTTCCCTCCTCGTGAGTTGCCCCCCCACATTTCTTGCCCTGGTTTCACCGTCACCGTTCGTTCTTGGTTGTTTCTCTTCCTGTTTGTCATTCCGTCTCCGCGCGAGGCCGCCGGCGCTTGCCATGGTCGACGCACCCGCCGCACTATCGCCCTTCATTCTACTGCCGTCGACGGTGACACGATATCCATTCTCGTGTTGCCAACTTGCTTCCATCTCCGTATGGGTGCGAGACTGCCGCACCTAGCGTGATCGGCTGGGCTCGCTTCGGTCCATATCAAACGCCCGGCTTCTTCTGTCTTTCGTGTTTGGACTTCTTGTGGCCTTCTTGTCGTGTCGTCATCCGTGTGTAGCAAGCGACGCCTGCACGCCCATATCAGTGCGTCGCTTGCGGTCGCGCCTCCTTCTGATCGCGCGTCATATCTTTCCGAAGCGCGCCGCTGCCGTTGACGACATAATGAAACGGGAGCAGCGGGAAGGGCGAGATAGCCAACCCCCGATTCGTATTGTTCCCACGTTTGTTACACTTGTCATCCTCGCGATCACCTTTTCCGGTCGTGAGGCTATGGCTGGCTACGGGGATCCATTTGACCGATGCCGACGCCTTTATTCCGTGTCGGCATCGGAGGGCGTTTATTCATGCAAGTCCCACTTGACATCGCGTTGTCTCCTGTTTCGAGCATCCAACAGCGACCTATTCTGCTTTTCCTTTTTCTTCTTCTTCGCCCCTATCATCCTTCGTCTGTCTCTTATACCGCGCCGTTCCCTTGTTTTCGTGTCCTGTACACTGACTCGCCCGTTCTTCTAATGCATGCGCAGGAATCGGCGGCAGTCTCAGCACTCTCACTTGCGAATGGGATCCAGCTTGTTAGGGCAGCATCGCCGGTTGTCGGCCAACCTGGCACAGGCCATGGTCCTCCTTGGCGCGAGCATCGCGTCTCCAGCTGCGAGCGCGTCACCCGTGCACTGGGCACTCGAAAAGCATGGGCGAGACGAAGACGGAGGAGCGGAGCAGTTGATGCGCAGGCAAGGAGACGCCAGAGCGAGCACGGATAGCGGTCCTTTTGCGCCGGCATCGGTAACTGGGTCGGGTTTGGCGTCTTCTACCGAATCTTCGGCACCAGCTTCGTCGTCGGACAATGCAACGACTGCGCCTGCATCCGCGATACCGGCGTCCGCCCCCGCCTCCCGCACCGAAGATCTCTCGCTCACATCGGTACTGTCCTCCACTCCTTCTCCGAGTGCGACATCAAGCTCATCTGTCGCAACGTCATCGTCCTCTCCCCCCGCCTCCTCCGTGCCCACGCTTTCCCTCGCTCCTACCACCTCCGCGGTTCCGACGTTATCGCTACCCACCTCATTCCCGTTCACGTCTGACCCGCTGTCGAAATCTCTCTCGCTTTCGCTATCCATCTCGGTCTCTATCGGACTCCCGGGGCCCTCATCTTCTGCGTCTGCGTCTCGCACCGATACCTCTTCCACGACGACCACAAACACGACTCCGTCATCTTCTCCCTCTTCCGTCTCGCCCCCGCCTACGACCACCACGTCTGCATCTGTATCAACAACATCTTCCTCACCTGGATCCTCCTCGACGCCGACCACATCCGCGTCCTCATCATCTTCGACGTCCCAGAGTACCTCGACCGTCTCCTCAACATCTTCATCCACCGCATCCGACACGACATCATCAACCACTACATTATCTACTACCTCTGGGACATCATCTACTACGCTATCTACTACCTCATCTTCGTCCGTGGGCACGATTTCGTCCACTACAGTCTCTACATCTACAGACACCACATCTTCGACTTCAAATACATCATCTTCTTCCTCTACGAGTGTCACGACTTCTTCCTCTGCTTCTTCATCGCTGTCCTCCACTTCGTCACCGCCTGTATCATCCTCTTCTGTCAGCTTGCCTCCCTCCGCCACCTCAACTTCCACCGCGCCTACGGACATCACTTCCTTGAGCAGTAGCTCGCCCGTCCTCGCCCCAAGCGCCTCTTCTTCCTTGATCACACGGACCACCACTTCGCCAAGCTCCACGATCAAGAACAACCACCCGCCCTCATCGTCCTCGATCGTCACTCGCACGTCGATCAAGTTCTCCACCTCGACGTTTCTCACCACCATCGTCACCACCTCCACCGAGCCTAATGGCAACCCGACGACGGTGACCAGCGTCATGACCTCCGGAACGCTGGTTCCCAACAGCGGCACCGGCAACATCAACCATGAGCACGTCTTTTGCCACTTCCGTTCATGCACCATTTACTCATTTCTTGTTCCCGGTGCAGTTTTGCCCACAATCCGGGTGCCATCGCTGGCGTGGTCGTCGGCGCCGTCGTCGCCCTCGCGGCCGCCGCAATCTGGGTCTTCCTCGCTTGGCGGCGACATAACACTCGCAAGCTCGAGGGTGCCGCCATCGGCCCTCCTTCGCGCTCGCGTATGCGCCCCCCTTTGCAAGACGGGGACGAGGACGACGAGGACGACGGACTGGGCGGCCCCGTCATGGCCGAGCGCATGCGCGGCGGCGCGGGCAGCGGCCCCGTCGCATTGCCTTTCTCGCATGTGGATCCGCGCGCTCCGAGCGGATACGGCGCGCTCATGCTGCCGGCTGCGGCGAAGAGCAGCCCTGGTGAATCCGACTTCCTGATGGTGGACGAGATGGACGCGCACAGCAGCTCGGAGGACGTGTCCGGCAGCCAGTCGCACTCGGCCGGTCATTCGAACGCTAGATACGGCGCGTCCAGCAGCGAGAGTAGCGGTGGCCCATCGGCACCTCGACGGTCGATTCCGACAGGCTCAGCGATCGGGTTTGGACAGGCAGCGGAGGAGATGAATACCGTAGGCGTGGCGATTTCCGAGCCGCCGAGGGCGATTTCGATGTCGGGTTCGTTGCGGGCGCGCGACTCGAGCGGCCTCGATCCTGGCGCGTGGCTAGGCGGACATGTCATCGCGCCCGTGCCTCGGTCACCGACGGCCGTCTCGTCAGGGGACGGGCACGCTCAGTCCTCGCAGGGGCACAGTGGTTCGTCGACCGAGGCGATCGGTTTTCCGTTGCCGCACCCGAGCGACGGTTCGGGCGAGGCGGACGCATCACCGACGTTGTTCCATCATTCGAGCTCGGCTCAGGGGCACTCCTCGTCCTCTGGGCACGGGCATGACAAGCGCTCGTTGGCCTCTGGCGAGGGTCGCGGGTCTTCCGAAGGCCATCGCACCTCAGGCTGGTTCGAGGCGGGCTCTCCTAACCCGCCCAGCAGTTATCCTGCCAAAGCACCCCGAACAAGCACGGGCGGAAGCGAGCTCGGCCGGAGCCCTAGTCAGAAGTCGTTCTTTACCAGATCCCTCCGGTGGAAGAGAGCCTCGCTCTCGCAGCCTGCTTCCGCGATGGACTCTCAGGTGGACATCACCGAGGGGCCGCGTTCGCCGCCCGGCGGGAGCGCTTCGACCCCGAACGTGCCCGCCTTCTTCTCCGCGTTCAATCGGAGGCGATCCGGTAGCAACGCTCCGGCGACGTGGTCTTCGGCGTCGTCTCCGCCGCAGTCGCCACGCCAAACGCTCTTCTCCGGTCCGCCTCCGCCCCCCGCGACGATGCGGCGCCTGAATAACCCCGGCCCGATGCTGCATTTCGCCGGCGCGTCGCACCAGCACGGCCGACCGTCGATTGCGTCGCTGGCGGGCGAGGTCGGCGAGATCGAGGTGGAGCCACATGTGCCGAGGCAATGGCCCGGGCTCTCCCCGGGGCTGACGCTCCCGCCGCTGCCGTCGCCCGCGATCACGGAGGGCTCGGGTGACGTGCGCGAAGGTTTGTTGGATCCGAACATCCGCGGTGGACATTATGGGGGTATGGTCAGCCCATCGGCGGTGAGCTTGGCGGATCATCGGGATTACACCCGGCCTATCGGAGCGGTGAGTGTTTGGATTCTCTCCTTTGCGGTTCCGGCGCTCATTCATATGCGTCGGTTATCGTTAGCTCGTGAACAACCGGATGTATAGCACGACGACCGTGGCGACTCGTCGGACATTTGACACTCAGGACTCTGTGGACACTGCGACCATACAGGACACGGACACATAAACCCTTTTCGACGAGGTTAACTACCGCATCCCTCCCCTAAAATAGCCTTGTTCCGTCGTAGGCGCACGGTACCGTAGTTATGACGGACTTCCCTCTTGGCCTGGCCTGGATGACTCTCGCTCTTTATCTCCAGCTTTCGCAACCGCGATCTCACCAGACACGCACAAATGCTCTTGATATCCCCCACGAACGTAGATTAATACCACTTTTGTAACCCGTAGTCCAAACACGAAGAAATGCGGCTCCCATGTTAATGTACTCTTTGCTTCTCTTCCCATTCAAATTTGGACCGGACGCCTGCCCTCCATCAGAAGAACGCATCCTTGAATCCGGCGGACGTATAAGACGTGTTCGTTGCCAAAACGTCTCTTGCGTGAGTGCTGACTAAACGAGCGCATACTTAGCTGCACCACGACGGTGCTCACAGTCACCGCAAATGGACTAGGCCAGTACTCTTGCTCCGCGACCCCAATACATAGATGTAGCCAATAGCAACCATGATAAAGCGCATTGTACTGTATGTACATCAAATCGTCCTTGCATTCAACCATAAATCGTGGGAATTGCTCGCATGTCGAGACGGACGTCGACGCTGTAGATGGTCTGCTTTGAACCGCATCGCTCGCATTTCATCTTGACCGATTCTCAGTTCACCGACCTTGCCCCCTGTCCGACCGCCCGACATGGTTCACTGGGGAGATCGATGACGTGCCAACTCGCTCAGTGCATTGACAAGGACTAGTAACTACCCGATGTGGACGGCATGTGCAGGTCACACGGCGTACATGTACACGCCGGGCGCGAAATGGCGCTCGATAGCTTTCGAATAGGATAAACGCCTTGGGACCTGCCCTCACGATGGCCGCTCCCGCAGGGCCATCTCGTCAGCCCCAGTCCAGTAGGGCCAGAAACACAGTCTTCGGCCGCGAGGAACAAGACCTCCTCGCACTCATCGAACAACTCAATCTCGAAGACGTTGTCGACGACACCCATCACCCGCAGACCGATACAGACTTGGCGCTGGCGCTCCTCGCTGAAGATGCTCGACAACTCGAGCAGTTCAACGCGGATCGCCAGATGGCCTTGCAACTAGCCGGAGGAAACGGCGGGCTAGCGCTAGACACCGTCGGTACGCCTGAGTCGTTCTCCTCCGTTATCCTCTTTAACAATTCTCAAGTCGTCGATGGCCATCGATCTTTGGAGACGCCTGCAACCCCGAGTTCAAGGTGAAGTTGATTCGCTATCTTTCGCGTCACGTTCCAGTCTGATATCACACTGGTTCGATCAGGGCCCCCACCGGCGCTAGCAACATGAAGCCTCAAGGTAGCTCATGGTTCTCCGCCGTCGGATCGTGGTTCTCGCGGCTGTTGGAGCCATCCGAGGAGGCAGAGGGTGCCGCAAAGGTCCCGGAAAAACAAAAAACCACGAGCAACCGGTATGCTTATCACCTTCCAAGAGGACCGGAGATATCTGACGTCAAGACAGGCTTACGGGACACAACTGTGTCGTATGCCAAGATCCTATCCGTGGGGTGGAAGTCCGTGCGCCGTGCGGTCACTTCTACGACAAGGATTGCGTTCTGGATCTCTTCCAGGCCGCAACCCGCGACGAATCCTTGTTCCCACCTCGCTGCTGCCGACAGCACATATCCTTCGACGCGGTCCGCCCGCATATGGAGAGCGCGCAAGTGAATGCTTTCTTGGAGAAGCGCAAGGAGTTCAGCACCATGAAGAGGGTGTACTGTGCCGCACCCGCTTGCAGCACGTTCCTCGGGGCTCAGAAATCTCAGGGTACCATCTACGAGTGTAACTCCTCGACATGCAAGACCCGCACGTGCTCTTTCTGCAAAGCGAAGGTGGACGAACTTGCCCACATCTGCAAGAAGAACGACAGCGAGGCAGAAGTCCTCAGCGTCGGACAAAGGGAGGGCTGGACTCGCTGCCCTGGCTGCGAACAGATGATCGAACTCATTATCGGATGCTACCACATGACATGCCGATGCAAAACCGAGTTTTGCTACTTGTGCAGGGCAAGGTGGAAGACTTGTTCTTGCCCGCAATGGGATGAACGTCGGCTGGTGGCAGCTGCCGAAGCCCGCGTGGACCGTCAATACGGCTTTGCCCCAGCTCCAGCTCCTCGAGTTCCTGCGCCTGTTATTGACCCCACCCCTGTACGCCCCGCATATGTCCCTCCCGTTCGTCAATATGGCTTCGCTCCTGCTCCCGCTCCTGCTCCCGCTCCAGAGCGAGCAGCTCCTGCTAATCCCATCCCTGCACGCTCAGCGCCCGCCCCTGCGGTTCGCTCCTGGAACCAACCCTCTCGACAGCAGACGCCGGACGAGCCCGCCACTACGATGGCTATGTTACTTGCCCCACGACCCGGGGTGCACTCACATCTGGCGGCAGCGGTGTCCCGAGCTTCTCCAAGCAGTGGACCAACCGCCACAAGATCCACAAGCGCGGCAGCGTTCCGCGAGGGTTTCGAGTCCCATGGGTCCCGCACAGTGCATACCGGAAAGGGAAAGGAGCGCGCCAGGAATGAGCATGAATTCCCTCAGAAGGAATCTCCTTACGACCATCGAGCAAGACTTGTGCGACAGGCTATCGAAGATCTGCGAGTCAACCACGATTGCGAACACCCCAGCTGGAGTCATCGACACGGAGGAGGCAAGTGTCAACACTGCTACCACCATCTTCCCATGTATCTCTTCGTGAGTATAAACTGGTCTTCAAAGGATTACAAGGTATTGACATTCTTTCAGAAATGCCGAGGCTGCGAAATCCTTGTTTGCAACCGCTGTAGGCGTAATCGAATTTAGAATTGCCCGGTCGTACACTTGCAGATAGACTGTGAGGCAGGTATCATGTAGCTCGTCCCCGGCCTAGGCATCATCGCCGACATCGATAGTTACTCGTGTGACTACGCCCGATGTTTCTAGCGCTTTGTAGTACAGCCGTACTTCGTCGATAGCGTCTCGCAGAACTCTGTCGTACATATGAGGTGGCGAGAGCAAAATGAAGGTGAATTGGCGAAGTGAACGAATACCCTTCAGCGTTTCTATTGGGAATGTGTCGCGAATATACCTAAAGAAGCGAGCACTGATCATGGATGAGTTATAAACAGAATCCGGACAGCGATAGGTGATTGTGAGACCCTTGAATCCCGGAGAGGGTATACTAGAAAGAAGCCGAGGGAGCCAGGAGCAGTCGTATCCACTGAGTAATGTTCCGATCGGCGAATTGTAGGAAAGTTGCTTCATATTACTCAGACCTTCGACGAGTCTGCAAAGATGATCTGGCGGAGCATGTCGGTCAACGTATCGATTGTGGCCAAGAGGGCTATACTCCTCACCCGAAGTCGCCAAATGCATTCCCTGGTCAATTTGCAAGTGGTCCAAACCCTCCGCTAATGCAGCGAGGACCTCAGGACCTGAATCGCGGACACCGTCTCCATCGACGGTTAGCATCTTGATATTCCCGAGGGACCGATTATGTAAAAGCCATAGCAGAATTTCAGGCGCTGCACATTTGTGTAGTGCCAAACTTGTCAGCTGCAGGGGAGCCCCGTCATCCCTCGTCGCGTCGTGATAGAAAGCCCAATGGATCGAACGAAGCTCGAGGGTAGAGAGGCAGGGGAATGGCCGGAGCGTGTCTGCGAATCTTTTCAAAGACGAGAAGTAGATAGACTCGTATATAAGCTTAGTGACGGATTTGAATCTGAAAAGGGAAGAAGCGAATGGCCAAGGGCTAGGAGGTAATCCTAGACGATCCCACAGATAAAGGCAGTCGACGGCATGAAGGACCGGTGCCAATTTGGCGATGGCATCTTCCAGCCAGGGTTCCTGAGACGAAAGTCAGTATACGGATGCCTCTCTATATTAATGGAAGTGCTTCTGTTACCACAAGTTCCAGGGAGATATCAATTTCTAGCTTCCGGACAGCGCAAGCGAGGTCTGGGCGAATATGCACCACCTCGTAGAATCGCGCGCATTTGCTTGAGTTGTTCAGATATATTTCGCCAAAGAGATGGCGCTGGCTCGCCTGCCTCCATGAGGATGAGACAAGAGCTATAGAGCGCAAGGACCTTGTGTCGTTCCTGCAGAGACGCGTTGTACACTGTTGTGCATCGAATCATTCAGAAAGTAGTGCATTTCTCACCTCAAGAATTCCACAATGATGTCGGTCAGCTCCTGTGGTAGCCTGATATACGAGCTCATCTAGGGATGTTGATGAAGTTGCTGTCGCGTAAAAGGTTGCACCACTGAACGACGTCACGTCGACGTTACGAACAGGTGTTAAGAACGCAGCCCGCAGCACTGAATGCGGGTTACATACGGGATGTATTAGGCTGCACAACCCGGCAAAGAGGTATCAGTTTCACTCCACGATGCGGCAACTGTTGGAACCAGGGCTTGTCCTGGTTCGGATTCCAGTCTTGAACAACCGGATCACGATAACTCAAATCCTCGCCTGACACTAGCCCGAAGTCGTATCTTCGTAACACGCACTCTGCCACAGCAGCTTTACGCGCGCCTGGTGAAGATCAACGCCGGTGGCTGTTGTACCATAATTCAGCCACCGCACTACCGAGTGTGCTGCGTAGAAGTGCGCAAACTGAGACCGATGGTTATTTGTATGTCGCGTATAGACACGGCGGCAGGGGATCCACGTTACAGTGATGTATCTTCATTATGATGAGTAGTACAGAGGGATGCGGACGATAGCCATTAGTATCAAAACAACAAAAACGTGCTAAAGAGGATGAGAACAGAAACGGAGGATACGATGGAGTTACGCGTGCGGATGGAGGGAACACTGTCGCGGGGAACGAAAGACAGGGAACGTGTCGGGGCGGGACGAAACTCGGGAAAGGAAGAACGCAAACTTGAAAACGGATGCGAAAAACAGATTCGTATGCCTAAACGCTCATAGGCGGGGAAGGCAATCAGTCGCGGATGTTGCTCTCGACGGACTGAACCTTAGAGTTGTCCACGCCGACACCAAGGCCAAGGCCATCGATATGGGTCCCGTCGCTGATGGTAACCGATGCCTTGCCAAAGCCGACACTACCGGGAACGAACATCGGGCTAGCCGGGCTCAGGGTAGATGTGGAAGTGGCGGGCGATGAAGCTGCAAAGGTGAGCGCTGGGCTGACAAGAGGCGAATCCTCGTGCATGACGTGAGTAGGAGCAGAGGGCGCATTGGTGATCTTCTGAGGGTTCGAGGCTGCGTTAGTTGCATTGTCGTGCGAGTCGATGATAGCACCGGGCTTCGTGTCAACGGTCGCGCTCGCTTTACGGTGGTGGGCATTCTTGGAGATAGACGCGCTCCTGTTGCGATGGTGACTAGGCAAAGTGGTCGACCGAGCGTGGACGGCGGACTCGATGGAGGGAAGGCTAGTGCCCGTGGACGCGAGACGGCTATGGTTAGACCGGTTGATGTTTTCGGTGCGAGTAAAGTCCCGAGCAGAGGCATGGAACGCAGCTTCGGTCATAGGCAGCCTGTCAGTGGGCGAGAAGGTCTCCGCGCGGGCGCGAAGTGGTCTACTGGCCGCGAGCTGTTTCTGAAGCCGAGCTTGCTCCAATGCAAGAGCCTGTTGTTTAGCCTGGAGAGCCAAGGCTTCCTGCTGGTCCCTAATAAGCTGTTGCTGCTGCAACTCCAACGCGTCGCGCTGAGCCTGCAGGATAAGCTGCTGCTCAACAGCCGTGTAACCGTTGTATCGAGCCCGGCTGTTTCCGGGATGAGCTGCGTTGATATCACCCAGGGTCGGTCCGTGCAATGTCGACAGTAGGGCTGCCATGTGGTTGTCCACTTCCGGCAGGATCGGAGACGATTGCTGGTACGACGCCACCACAGGGTGGGCAGGGAGAGAGCTAGATGGCGGCAGAACCAGCGCAGGGTCAAGGCCAGGACGCGGAGAAAGCTGCGGCAAAGAAGGGCTACGAATTTGTGCGCCGCCGTGCAGGTTAAGCAATGCTGCCTGTGCCATGGTGAGCTTCGCGGGGGATGGAGCATCTGTTTCGCGCGGCACTCGCTCGTTACGCTGCAAACAGGAATCGTCAGAATGCGCCAAAAGGTAGGAAATCGAGCGTACACGAAGCTCCCGCTGCTCGTTGCTGTCAGCAAACCGGACCGAGATCCGGCTGCCAGTATCATTCCACCCTCTGACCATCCGGCCGTGAAGGCGCTCGATGATCTCCTCACATGCTGCACGGGTCTCCAGACGAACGAACGCGATGACGCGTGGCGGGTTCGACAGCTTGGTCTGGAAGAAGCGGCTGGATTTGATCTTATACGGGGTCACGAGTGCTTCGAGGGTCTTTATACCAATGTTGGTCAGCGGCTACATCCGTAGGACTATCAAACTTACAGATTCGTCGATACTCAGAGGAAGACTGGAGAAGTACATAAGGATTGCAGTCCAACGGCGATGAAGGGACGCTCACCCTTCCATATAGAGATTCGTAGAACTCTCGTCCTTGAGCCGTTCCATCTTCGACTTGAAGGAATGTGGGTCGGTATTTTTGCCTGAGCCAGTGGCAGGAACGTGGGCATAGACGGTACCGGGAATCTTGTGGACAGCCTGAAACCAGCAAGTTAATCGCGGAAGTTCACATTGGAGCATATCGTACCCACCTTGGAGAACGAGGGATGCAGGTTGCGATACTTCCTAAGACTTTCAATGCAGCACTCAGCAGCATCATTGGAATCGAACCTAATGACCGTAAGCTTAACGCGTGTTAAAAAGCAGAGGGCTCCCACAGAACGAAGCCGTAACCACTCGGGCGATCTGAGACGTGACGCGTGAAGGTTCGAACACTGATCACGGTGCCGAATTCCTAGGGACAGACTGAGCGAAGACCGGATGACTAGAGATAAGCCGCACTACCTTGGTCATGGCATACAGTGCCTCCTCGGCGAAGTTAGGCGGCAAGCCGTTGATATAGACGTTCGGCGTGCGGTGATCCTCGAGAGGAGCGGGTTTCTCAGTCGTAGTGGGGGTGGCGGACATGTCCGACTGCGGCGTACGGGCGGGAGGAGACGGGGCGTTGACTTTGACGTTCAAGGCTGCCGATCGATCAGCATCTAGCCAGGAGAGAAAAATACATGCGTACCAGCAAGCTCCGGCGAGCGAGTGTTCTCGAGCGATCCTGTACTCTTCTGGGCCAACGGACTATCGAGAGCCGAGGAAAGCTGGGAAAGGTCGATGGAGGTCGTGAGCTGGTTCGTCTGGCCCGAATTCTGGAAATCAGGCGCCGCCCCTCCCGTGTTGACAAGGGAGTTGCGAGATTTGCTGGAGTCGGGCGGTGTGAGCGGGGTGCTGAACGGCACTCGCGGTGTCGGCGTTTGTGGTGTGGCTGTGACGACTATATCTTGCTTATGATCGACGAGACGGCGAGTCTGATTCGGAGAGGAGGATGCGATGCGCCCCGGTGTCGTGGGCGTTGGTTGAAATTCCTGGGGTGACTGCATCCCTAGAGCTATGCGCTCATCATAAGCGTGAGAGGGACTAATCAACGAACAAACGCACAAAGAGAACGAAAGCGTGAGCGACGAGAAAACTAGGTAGACTGCAACCAGGGTTAGCGTGCAGACTATCCAAAGAGTTGGGCGGGCGAGATTCGGGCTGGAGGTACCCAGGTTAGTCGGCCTCCTGGCAAGATTATATGAGCTTACTTGCCGCGGCCAACAAGAGTCTTGGGTTGCTGGATACTTGTGCGGGACTGTTGATTTGAGGCGATAAGTTAGGTTAGCCGTGTCTTGCCGATGGCGGACGGTGGTCGTGGGTGGAGGAAAACCTGGGGCGCGAGGGTCGACCGACGCCCTGTCTTTATAGTCCCCGTTTGTGGCAGAGGGCTTCGATGGTTGAACCGATCCGTTCGTTTAGATCCTCGCCAAACCGTGAGAACGACGTCGACGACGACGTTGCCGGTCTATTTTCGTAGCGCCTGTGCAGATCATCTGCCGTATGGACTAGGAAGAGATATCGCCGTGTTTGGCCGCTGTCGCACCATATCGGGATGCTGGCGGTGCGCGCGGCCACATCATCTCCACCGGGACAATTCCAGGCCACAACCCCGGGAATCGGTGCATCGTGCGGGGATGACTTTTGGCCTCGCCTTCACATCGCAATGCATCATCAGCGCTGGGCAGAACCGAGGCAGCAACCAAAGAAAAATCGGGAACGGATGAGAACATGATCCTGTGACGAAAAACATGATCAAGTGATGTCTGGTCATTCAATAAGAACGCGCCACACGTACTAAGGTGGAGTGCATGAATAATCGAGCTGTTGCTGCACGCACGCCGCCAGTACTTCCCTGACGAGCAGGCATGCAGCGCAGGGGCAACCATTCGCCGTGGTGCCAAAAGATGCTTTCAGTGTATAACACGTCGCTCCAACAATGGATGCCGTGGCCAACTCTCCGCCGTGTCGGCCATTTGTGTCGATGGACCGCAAGGAAGGATAACACAGAACCACGAACATAACCCGAGGTTCCGTTTCAGCTTGCAAGGTACGCGATGATTTCGCACTCGTCTTCAACCCGTATCGAGGTAAGTATATCTATTGGTCAAGACGTGTAGAGCGCCGGCACAAGAACCCGAGGGATCGTCGTTGGTCAAGGGAGTAAGTGCGAAGTTTGGTAACCACGTGCGCATGACTTTTCGCCAAAAACGGCACTTTCCGCGCCTTACTGGTCAAAGACTCCTCGCAAATGATACGGAGAACACGGCAGAATTCTTTGATTGATTGTAACGTAAGAGCGACATAAAGTAATCCAATAACGATACAGAGTACAGATGGCGGGGAAATCATCGATCAGGCATGGGTGTTATCGCTACAGTCGAGAGTAAGAGTTGCTTGAATGGGGGGCATCGATCCAGTCGTTTGTCGTACCAGAGATGTCGAAGAATGAATGAAGGTATGGCGTAAGCAGACGCTCGAGGGAGAGCCGAGCTCCTCTGGCGTTGCGACGTTGCAGTCGAATGGGTTTGTGTGGGCGTCATTGCGGGCACTAGGGTTGGAGAAAGGGATGTCTTCATGAAGACCACTTGAGGACGGCGAGGGCGATGACCACGGCGACCACCACAAAGAGGGTAAGCGCGACGAGAGCGTACGCGCAGCGCTTGGCCCATCGCCTTTCCACAACGCGAATATCGGTCAAGAGCTGCTGGCGCGCGAGGTCCGTCTTCTCGGGGTGCCAGTCGGCAGGGGCGTTTAGGGAGCAGAAGAGCACGATGGTGCCAATGATCCAGAACGGAGGGAAGAGGAAGCCGTATTTGAAGAGGTGCATGGCGAGCGTGACGGGCTCGTGCTGTTCCTCGGGGGAGTATGCGGGAAGGTCTCCCTGGATGGGGTACGGCGGGGGAAGGTCGCTCGTGCTAGACAGCGGGCGAGGACGTGTCGTGCGGGTGAGGCCAAAGAAGTCATCCACGGCATCTGCGCATGCACGTTAGTGACGCTACGTGGAGTGCAAAAGATGCGTGAGCATACCAGTGCCGTCGAGTTCTTGGTCCTGAGGGTGCGAACGCGCAGATGAGGTTACATGCGCGGGTGCAGGGGCAGCAAGCGTGGCTTCGGGGGCAGATGCCTCCCGTACCGCAGTCACAAGGACATCGTTGTCGCGAATCTGGTCCTGAGTCTCGGATTTCATCCAGTATCCGTAAACGGCATGGGAGGACGAAGAAGTGGAGGCCGACATTGTAATGAGTCTGAGGGAAGTAGCTGAGGCGGATGCTAGTTCGAGGAGTTCTGGATTGCTAGGCTCCGTCTGAGGGGTCGAACTCGATGATAGGGAAGGACGTGAAGAGCGGGGGCCTTTATAGACGGAGACGACTACTGGCGAGCGCGACGAGCTCAGCGTGCGATTGATTCAGGAGGACACGGGGACCTACAATGCCCAGCAGCGCCTACCGCGCCCACTTCCTTAAAGGGAGGGCAGTTGGTGAGGAGGGCGCGGTACAAGACGCACCAAAAGCGGAAGTACAGTCGCACGATTACCGAATCAGGCAATGTTCCGCGGCGTTGCCAGAGCAACGGAGGGAAAGCCAAACATGTGCATGCAAGCGCCCAGGTATGAACGATATGATCCATCCCATGCGGAACACAAAATGGCACCCACAAGCACAAATATGCGCCGGACTCCAGCCGACGAGCGACGTTGATTTCGCGCTCACTCACGACTCAACCCAGCAATCGCCCTCCACCGCAAACTTCCGAAGACCGTACGAAGTGGAGCTTGGAAGGCTCACTGAAGTATGATGAGGTATCACATATCATCCGTGGTCCCGCATGTCGATGAATGAGTACAGTACAAGGAAGAAGCCCATGCATCCGACATCGCTACTAATCAGTCCTTGCCCCAGCCGAATAATTTGGTGAGGATGCTCGTGCTAGGCAACACCGGCTCGTCGATGAACTGGAACTTGATGGATCCGTTCCATGTCTCCGCCACGATCTCGTCGCCAACCCATGTCTCTGGCAATTCCGCCCATCCCGAGGCGGATAAATCGCCGATGAAAGCCTGTCGCCTGTACATACAAAATGACGATCAGAAAGAGGGAAGAGGAATCGCTCGTAGAGATATGCGTACTTGTTGGATTGCTCGGAAAACATAGTAACGTGAGGCTCCAAAGTGTTCGACCATGAAACAGAACCGTTCTTCGTGAACGCGGATACTGGACCACAGAAGGTCCGTGGAACGTGGATCATGACGCCACCATTATGGCCCGTCGCCATCAGAATGAAGGGTGTGCATGCTGATGGTGATGTTCGCTAGATCGGGTCCATGAGCATGCATATGACAAACACATATGAAGGCGAATTGCATACCACTTTGACCAAAATACTTCCGTTGTACGATTCAACGTTCAGCGTTGTCCTAGTTCCTTTGTCTTCACTTCCTTCTCGCGAATTCTTCATCACCCATATCTCTGCATTGATCCCGCCATTCTTGCTGTTGATGCTCAAGTTCTTCCGGACCTCCCCTTCGGGTAGTTCAGGTAGAATAACCGAAGGAACCGACATCAACGGATCCACGACGTATTGTCCGCGTATAGACGAGTTTTGCCGAGACAGATAGAGGTAGTTGCATGGCTTCACAGGTGGGAGGAATGGTCGATTTTCAGGGTCGGCATCTGACGGTCCACGAGGTGGAGACGAGGAACCAGAAGGGATAGGTGATCCTGTGATTTGACTGTAAGGTGGCGGAACTTCTGCAGCGTCGATTTCTGCGCGATTTACAGTAACATCCTGCTTATAAGGAGGTCAGGTCCAGGCTGCGTCATTGTGACGTTGTAAACATACAGCTTGCGCAAATGGCGTTTCAGCATCTTGCGGCTGATTTGCGAGAAGCGCCTGCTTGCTGTCGCCCGCAACTATCATCGTGAAGGATCTGCTGGGTGATGCTGACCCAAACGACACCGGAGGAGAGTACTTAAGCTACGAGCTGTGGCGCAGCAAGTCAGGCGCCGCAGTTACCGCAGCTCGACGCCGGACGGGTCACGAAAGCAATGCGCGAGTTGCATTCTGGTGGTAAGCAAGGGAAAGTAAGCAGCGCAGTACAGTGGAGAGATTTTTTCCAGTTGCTCGAGTTGAGTGCGGGCTGTTGTGTAAGGACGCTCACCACGCAAAGACGAACATGAAGCTGAGAGACTGCTGAGAGACTGCGCTGAGAGACGGTTCTCACGTGCCAAGCGAGCGTGAATTGCCTTTTTCGAACGCCCACCGACACCCGGGACACCTGCACAACCCCCACCAAAACCTCGCCGACACCAAGACTCGGCCAATCCGACATTGTAAGTGTCAATACTGCTCCATACTACGTCCTGGTCATCATGGCTTGCCCGGAAATCGACGGATGGCATGTCCTGGCGATGGATGGCTCGGTCTCATGTTGGATGACGGTAACTAATTCGCACCTCCGTTCTGCAGATGGGACTTCAAGAATACCAGGTTGTGGGTCGCCCTCTCCCCACCGATGCCACCCCGACTCCCCCCATCTACCGCATGCGCATCTTTGCGCCCAACGAGGTTGTCGCGAAGTCTCGTTTCTGGTACTTCCTGCGGTATGTACGGTTGTAAGATCCCACGTTGTTCGCAAGCTTATGCAAGGTATAGTCAAAGCAAGAAGGTCAAGAAGGCCAGCGGTGAAATCATTGGCGTTAACGTCGTACGTATCTTATCTCCCACAAGATCCCTGCAGCCCATGCAAGAGGCAAGCGTTTCGGGAATGCTGACCTCCACATGCTATCACCCTTTTCTATGTGCTTCTGCTGCCTCGCGTACGCATGTCGATGGATCCGACTATACAATTCTCCCGTGCTCTGTCATGTATGCGTCCTACGTGTCGTAACAGATCCACGAGAAGAAGCCCTTGAAGGTCAAAAATTTTGGCATCTGGATCCGCTACGACTCTCGTTCCGGCACCCACAACATGTACAAGGAGTTCCGTGAGCTCTCTCGTGCCGATGCGGTCAAGTCGCTCTACCAAGATATGGCTGCGCGTCACCGCGCCCGCTTCCGGTCTATCCACGTGCGTACCCGGCGTCATCTGGTCGTTCGTGACTCTTTCTAATCCTCTCATAGATCCTCCGCGTTGTGGAGATTGAGAAGTCGGATGACGTCCGCCGCCCTTACATTAAGCAGCTCCTCCAGCCGAAGCTCAAGTTCCCCCTTCCTCACCGTGTCGCGAAGGCGAAGTCGATCTTCGTTGCCAATCGCCCTACAACCTTCTAAACGGGTGTTTAAGTCGTTGTGGGGTCGAGAGGGGTGTGCTTAACTGGTGGATGTTGCCAAAATATGTTTTCCATCTGTTTTGCGTACAACGTCATGGTAGTATGGCTTATGCTATGTGTCGCTCAGGGATGATTCTGTCGTCTGTGCCACCGCTAAACTGCAATGTACGGAGCTCAACGATGCCCAGGGCATTCGCTACTATGCATCGCAGGGTATTGAGGTACCCGTTGAATTTTGACGAGTAATACTCGTAGTCAAATGGGCCGCTAACGGAGGTACTGTTCGGCAGTGCGAGCTTCACTCGTCTAAAGCGGATGACACAGGTTGTGAGATTTCGGAGTTGGCAATGGCATGTCATCCATCGACATTTTGAGTCTGGTGACCCCAAGTACGCGTTCTTGAAAACGCCCACCTTGTTCATCAGACCTTGTTGAAGCTTTCCACCTCCACCATCAACTCAAAATGGCCTCGGCAGACTATACACGCAACGATTTCGGTGGAGTTCGCGTCGGGCGGTGACAGGTCTTTCAGCGCTCACCTCTATACAGATCTCCGTTCTTGCATCCATATTCAAATACGTTCTCTCCGTTGTGAGCGCAGTGCCATTTTTGTTTCCAGGTTTCTGATGCATGCGATCCGTCATGGCAGTTTACATGCATATATTGCGCTATGGGCATGGGGGTTGTGAGCCTTCGGTTCGACCTCAGGAGAGCCGTAGACGGGCGATATACATTTTTTGGCATACATCGGTCGTATAAATATGACAACAGGACATGGTGTTGGGTATGCGGTATGTATCTTGGATGCTGTTCATGGAGGCTTGGCTCACGCTTCTCATTCATAGCTCATCGGCGCGGCAGGCCTCCTGTCAACTCTATGCTCGTTCTCATTGTTCGCGTTCGTAGTGGTGCGTGTCATCCGTTATCATAACCGGGGACACATGACAAATGTACAGTAGACCTGCCTCACGTGTGGTCCCAGACGGCACTCGTTGAACGTCGGAGTTCGTAATTTTGCAAAAAGCGCGATGGGCAAGTACTTGATGTCCCTCATGGCCGTCGACTTTGTCCAAGGGTTGGCATTTACAATCAACTTCCGCTGGGCTCAGCGCGGTGATATACAGCGAAACCATGTATGCATCGCACAAGGTACATGGCCTTGTTTCATGGGGCGGATTATCAAGTCAACATGTTTACGTTTCGGGCAGGGGTACTTTCACAGATTGGTGACCTAGGGATTGCGCTTTGGTGAGTCACTGACAGGTATCCATCTGAGAGACATGGCCGCTCACTCGCCGATCAGGTCTCTTGTCATAGCTGTACACACATTCTCGTACGTCCAAGTAAAGACGTGCATGGCAACGATCCATTAGTGACGAATCCTATAGTGTATTGTTCTTGCATATTACGCCTCCTGGATGGGTCACCCCTGTTCTCCTTGCGAGTATATGGGGATTTCTTGTTATGATGCCCCTGATTGGGACGTTTGGCATTGACCACCACCGGGCCCACTGGACATTCTGGGGTCCGTCAGGTGCGTAGCGCGGCCGAAGGTTCCTTCTAGTCCTTGATTACCTTCTAGGTGCCTGGTGCTGGATATCGGATGATTGGGAAATTCAGCGCATACCCTTTCTCTACGTGCGTAGGGCCACGCCAGCGACTGCGATATCCAAGCTTACTAGTGCTCCTGATCGTAGGCCTGGGTATTCTCAACGCTGTTTGTCTCTGCTGTCATTTATGGTCCGTTGATTTTTTTTTATGCTGCATGTCGCCGACGGATTGAGCAACTATCCAATACAGCCCTGATCTATCTGAAGTTCAGCGGGTTCATCATGCCTGATTCGAGCGGTCGACCTCGAAGATCGTTCTGCAGAAGCATCAGTGCTGTTCACAGTCGTAGATTGTCTGCTTGGCCCTCGGTAAACGATGATCACCCCGCAATCGCGAACCAGGCAGTTGGTGTCGCAAAACGTTTGATGTGGTACCCCATCAGTGCGTTTCTCACCCCAAGTGATCTTTTCCCCGCATTCATGGGTCCATACTTCACAGTATACATGGTCGTCGTAATCCCGGTTGCGATTTGTCGCATAGGAAGTCTTGCGGGGTGGGAACCTCCCTTTTGGTTCTTCGTGTTCGCTGGCGTTTGCTTCGCAAGCTCCGGTGAGTCCTCCCAGTGCTGCCATCGTCCCCATGATTGCTATCCGTCTTTTCCGCCGAGCTGATCTAATACACTCTCGTTAAAAGGTACCACAGATTCAGTCCTGTTCTTGTTCACGAGACATGCTCTCATTCAAAATGCGCTTCGCCAGCCAAGAGCCACAGCCATCCACATCGTCAGACAACAAATCACGGTTTGCGACGACGAGGGAGATGATCGCACCCCACATAAATTGGAGCTCACTATCAAGCCAGATGGCAGCAAAGATGCCGTCGAACGACCCTGGACGCCTTCGCATGACGAGCGCCCTCCAGAGGCACGGATCGAAAAAGGGACTCGTCCTTACGCAGCTCAGTGGTGACTACCGGCGTGAGGCAGCTGGGTGGTGACAACCTGCTATTTGGTCGCATGGTATCACCGTGTCTTCGACATACGCTCATTGTGCCCTATACTTATGTTTGGTGGATGCACTGAACGGAATTCATTCAACTTGAAAAGCGCAGGGTGCCCCGGCCGCTCACCTTCGCTTGAGCTGTGTGGCGTGGAAAATAGGTCGCATGGCTGTTTAAAGCTGTGAGAATGACCCCTCAGCGAATGGGATTCATTTCCGGTTGGACATCGCTTATATAATATCCACTTCTCAGATACCAGAGCAAGCTTAGGTCATGATAGTGGCTGTGTCCCGACGCGTTTATTTGCCCGAACAAATAAAGGCGCGGTAAGGGCGGGAACAGGGTTGGTTCAGTTGGAAAGCCGTGGCAGTCTTCTCTGGTCTTTCTTTATCGTGGGCGCTCGCAACTCGCCTTCTTTGTAACGGGTACATCATTCCATCAGTCTTCTGGATGGCCATATGACCGTGCTCGTGATGGTCCTCAGTTTACAGAATGGACCGCGCCTACGGTCCTCCGTATCTGGCGGCCCTTCCTCTCTACGACAAAATCGAAGAGTTGGTCCGCTTCTAGCCCAAGGCTGAGGTCAAGATGGTATGGCTTGCGCGAGCTACCGAGTTCGTCACATCCAGAGCTGATGATAGGCATGAATCGGCCAAGGTGGTAGTGAGTATCGTTTTTCGTCTTGGCTTCTCCCGCTTACGCAGGACCTCGGAAGGTAGATCAGAGGGAACGAACGGAATTTCGACTTCCAGACGTGCTTGTTTTCTGTACGACCATGGCGTTGCAAAGAAACAAACCTTGTGTCATCCCGCTTGCATATCCCGCCCCGGTTTTCACCATGTTTGGCCCGTTCATCGGGTCCCGTGAGCGGCATTGGCTTTCATATCCTTCACGGGACTCCGCCTCGAGGCGATTACATGCGGTTTTGCATCCGGTTCCTGCCCCCCAGCATCGACGTCCATTTACGTGCCCATTCCCGGTATATAATCCTTGATGGCATATATTGTGAAGGCTGGATCTCCACCTTCCCGGGATTATCGTCTGCCCTAACATGAAGGTCGCCACGGGCTTCCTAGCGCTTTCCCTCCTCCGATATGTGGTTGGTGACCTCACGACTGGTGTACCAGACTCCTCCCCACCAGGCTTCGAGGAATGGATAAGCCCGATCGTGCGTGTTTCTTCTTTTTCTTTCTTTATAGATCGCATGAAGTCAAGCGAAATTTAATCAATGTCTCTATAACAGGTTCAACCTGCGAAAAATGTCACGGGCGACGGAGATTGGGCCACTGCTGTTGCTAAAGGTGCGCGTACTTTCCTAGTTCGAGCTGTAATAGTGGTCGTTTACTCCAATACAGCCAAGGCTTTCGTCAGCAAACTGACACTCGATGAAAAGATCAATGTAACTACAGGGGCCGACATCAAGGAACGATGCGTCGGCAACACGGGTGTGAGCCGAATGCCATCGCCACGCCTTTCCAGGAATATTGAACCCGTACGCCGGGACAGACAATCGCTCGTTTTGGATGGAACGGGCTTTGCCTTGAGGATTCGCCTTTGGGAGTTCGCTTCACGGATTTTGTCAGCGCATTGTTAGTGGATTCCGTAACTGTGGTCGCATCCTTCCTGACCTGTCTACAGTCCTGCGGCCATCAACGTCGCGAGTACATGGGACAAGGGTCTCATATATGCGCGTGGAAAGGCGATGGGACAAGAGCATAGGGTTTGTTCATTTCCTACGTCGTATATCATCGAACTAATGATCAGTCGTAGGGAAAAGGTGTCAACGTCGCGCTTGGTCCCATGACTAATCTCGGTCGTGATGCAGCTGCGGGACGTAACTGGGAAGGTCAGTTCATGGCAGCTGCATATGAAGACGATACACTCAATGATGATACATCTAGGTTTTGGCGCTGATCCTTATCTTGCCGGCGTTGGTACTGCTTTGACAACACAAGGATACCAAGATATCGGTGTGATTGCATGCGTCAAACATTTGTACTTGCTTTCGCGTCCTCGAGCTGAAGTCGCATGTAACATTGGGCCCTAGTATCGCAAACGAGCAAGAACATTATCGAGGGCAGAACGAAGCTCCGCAGATATACTCGTCGAATGTGGACGACAGGACTCTGCACGAGCTCTACGTTTGGCCTTTCGCGGAGGCGGTTAACGCAGGTGTTGGCGCAGTCATGTATGTAGACCTTTGTTGGGATGCGCATACATGCCCACATCTCACATGCGATTCCTTCCACAGGTGTTCATACAACAAGATCAATCAGACGCAAGCTTGCCAAAACAGCAAAATCATCACGGGTGTATTGAAGGAGGAACTCGATTTCCAAGGGTTCGTTACTAGTGATTGGGCGGCTTTGCTCAACGGAGTGCAACCCGTACGCGTTCTTGCAATTCTCACGTGCTCACGTTGCGATATGAAATATACAAGGCGCTCGCGGGCCTTGACATGAACATGCCTGGTTTCATCGCGTACGGCCAAGGACCCCAAGACGAGTCGAACCCGGACAATACCACAAACTCCTGGTGGGGCTCGCAGCTAATCGAGGCCGTGAACAACGGGAGCGTACCCGAGTGGCGAGTTGACGACATGGTGACGAGGTGAGTTAGCTTTGCAAATGAGAGGGACACAATATGTAAACCTCCTGCAGGACACTGGCTGCTTGGTACAAGATGGGACAAGATAACAACTACCCCCCGCCTAACTTCGATCAACTGACAGAGGCTACCTATCTGAACGGTACTCTGGTAAACGAGCATGTCAAGTAAGCCACGAACCCCCCAGATGGCAACGCGTTCTCACACTCGTCACAGCGTCCAAGGTGACCACTATAAGCTCATCAGGCAAATCGATGGAGCGAGCACCGTCCTCCTCAAGAACAACGGTGTGCTTCCTCTGGACCTGACCAGGATCAAACGTGAGCATATCTGTTCTTCACATATGACGTTCCTCGTTACAGTGTCCTCGTCAGGTATCGGTATCTTCGGATCGGATGCTGGACCCAACCCTGATGGCCCGAACGGATGCTCCGAGTCTGTCGCTCTTGTCATCATGTCGATGCCGTATTGATTGCTCTTCTAGTCGTGGCTGCGATCAAGGCACTCTTGCAATGGGATGGGGTAGGCAGACATTAATCCTTCATTTTGCTCATACTGATGTGGTGTCTGGTGACAGGTAGTGGTACAGCCAACTTCCCATATTTGATTGACCCATCGGCGGCCATTAACTCGTTCATAAATGCCAATAAGCCTACTATACCTGTCGAGGCTATCTTCAACGACTATAATTATGCTCAAGTGGCTAGTGTCGCTAGTGTCGCTGACACCTGTCTCGTATTCGTCAATTCTGATTCGGGAGAAGGTGTGAACATAGGGACCCATTCGAAGATTCAGGGATACTGACGGTGTTCTCGAGATTACATCACGGTGGACGGCAACGAGGGCGATCGCAATAATTTAACTCTCTGGCACAGCGGCGACGACCTAATCAACGTTACTGCTTCGGAGTGCGACAATACAATCGTTATCATGCATGCTGTAGGCCCAGTTTTGTTGGAGAACTGGATTGACCATCCCAACGTCACTGCGGTACTTTCTGCGGGCATTCCCGGGCAAGAAACTGGAAATGCCATCGTCGACGTCCTGTTTGGCGCTGTGAACCCCAGCGGGCGCCTGCCTTACACCATCGCCAAAGCCAGATCTGATTACCCTGCAGACGTCCTCTACTCGAGCACCGAACAGACGCCGCAGATCACCTATAGTGAAGGTCTGAATATTGATTATCGGTACGTTCACCGCAATTTTGTCTTTGACGGGAATTGCGCACTGAAGATACCATCCAGACATTTCGACTCTGCTGGCATCGTACCGCGCTTCGAGTTTGGCTTTGGGCTAAGCTATACAACTTTTGCGTACAGTGGACTGCGTATCTCAGGGTCCGTGCATCACAGACGAGAGCATCCCTCAAGCACTCTCGCCTCCGAGTCCGGGTTTTCATTACTTCCCACTGCCGTGTCAACCTCAAGCGCTCCGCCCTCGAATGTTCCTTCCTCTATCGCTCCCTCGATCATCACCGCGAGCTCGAGCGCCTCTGGGAGCTCAAGCACCATCTCTGGGAGCCTGAGCACTATTTCCGGGAGTTTGAGTACTTTCTCGGGGAGCTTTAGCACCATCTCCGGAACTTCGAGTGCTTCGGCAATAACTTCGTCGTTAGCATCTTCCGTCTCCATAAATGCTACATCATCTGCCCTCACAGGGACTCCAACACTAAACGCAACCTCGAGTGTCTCTGGAAACGCTACGGCCACGGGGTCTGCGCCTCCAGCGATTTCGTCTCCGGCCCAGACCCACCCCGGCGGGCCTGCTAACCTTTTCGACGACCTCCTGACCGTCTCCTACACCATCACGAACACGGGCGGCTTCGACGGCAACGAGGTCTCGCAATTGTACCTCGGCTTCCCGAAAAGCGCGAATGAACCTCCACGCGTGCTGCGAGGGTTCGATCGAAGTTTCATTCGTCGGGGCGGGTCGGCTCACGTCTCGTTGACCCTCCGTCGGAAAGACGTGAGCATCTGGGACGTCATCAAGCAGCAGTGGGTCATCCCTCCGGGAACATTCACAGTGTTCGTGGGCAGCTCTTCGAGGAAACTACACCTTACGGGCACCTTCAATACCTGAAGTCTGTCAAGAGATGCAGGTGCGCTGTGTGATGGACGTTACCTTCCTGGAGCGCAGTCGTTTGTTTTAGGAATCAAATAAAAGCATGTGGTAGTAGCTGGCGTGCGTAGCTACTAGTATGGAGACTACGAAATCCAAAGCTGAGCATATCTGCTAAGAACAGTCCTTGCATGACAAGTACTTAGGACTGCAGTTGAGGGAGCCGGGCGGGGGCCGGGGGCGGACCGCCGGTACATGCCGACGATCTCTTGCTGCGTTCGACGCTGTGCAAGACCGCAGCCGTCCGTGTTGGCGCCCGTGCTGCCGTGCAAGTGTACCTGACCGACCTCACGTTTGTTCCGCGACCTCTCGTTGATATCCGCTCCCGGTACTCCCATCTTTGACATCAAGCAGGGATGGCGACCGGCTTATCGCGGCGGCGCGTGGCCGCTACGTCCGAAGACGACTCCGGAACGAGCACGAACGTATCTGGGACGAGCACGCCGACAACGGCGTACACCAGCCACGGCAATGGCAGCATAGGCGGCTTCGTGGGCGGCGGGGGCGGCACGGCGCTCGCGGGCGGTAGCAAGATTGCGTATGATCCCCGGGACTTGGAGGAGCGCCAGGAAGAAGGGGGTAAAATGCCCAAGTTGACCATCATGGAGGAGGTGTTGTTGCTCGGCCTTAAGGACAAGCAGGTGTGTTCGTGTATATTGGATTGAATGACAGCGAGACACCGTCCCGTATCATCCTGAACTTGGGAACGGGTCGACTTGGCGTTTCCACCCCTGCCTATTTTGATTCCGAAACCAGACTTAGTTCTCGCGGCGCGGAAATGCTACTCGTTCTGTCTTTCCTCTCTGCCCAATAAAGGCGGAGTGATGTTGTTGTCCACTTGGAATTGCTAGCTGTTGGTGTTACCGAACTGACATCTATTCGGTGACATCAGGGTTACCTCTCGTTCTGGAACGACAACATATCATACGCTCTTAGGGGGTGTATTCTCATCGAGCTAGCACTACGAAGGAGAATAGCAGTTGTAAAAGATCCCAATCGCCGTCGATTGAGCGTGAATGAGCGGTGAGTACGGAATGGCGCTGCTGAGCGTCCTCGTCCTCACGAATAACCCCGGTCAGTATAATCGAAGTCATCGACGAGCGGCCGACAGGAGAAACGCTGCTTGACGAAGCTCTCCGGATGATGAGCGCCCAGCAAGCAGTGGAAAAGATGAGCATTAACTCATGGATTGATCTGTTGAGCGGTGAGCGTCTTGTTCTGTTTTGAGTTGTCACGTCGTTGGAGGCATCTACACGCCAGCGTCGTCAGACATCCTTCGACCAAATCCCTCCAGATGGTGTTCTGATCTGACGCCAGCGTGCTACAGGTGAAACGTGGAACGTAATGAAGATTGGCTTCCAACTAAAGCAAGTGCGAGAACGCCTGGCCAAAGGTCAGGGTCGATGTTCGGACTTCGGCTCTGCCGGCGTTCCTGACCCGTGTTATGCCACAGGTCTAGTGGATAAGGGGGTTCTTCGGACAGAGAAGCGGAATTTCCTCCTCTTTGACATGGCAACCCATCCGGTCACGGACGTGCGGACAAAAGTAGGTTTGTCGGGTGTTCAACAAGCTTTTAATCTAACAGCGGCCATAGGAAGCGATCGTATCACGATGTGTCGCACTGCTTACCACTACCACGACGGCGGTGCCACCGTCCGCGTTGGATAAGGAAGGGATACAGAACCGGGTTCTGCGCGCAGTGTGCCTCGTTTGCGCTGCGTACGCCGCGTCCGTCCTGGATAACGCATTCGCCCGGCTACCATACGAGGACCGTGAGGCGGCCTTCCAGCGCTGCGACGAGATATTGGCGGAGTTTGCCACTTGGCCATTCGGGAGCAGCTCCGGCTCAACGAAGAGGAAGGAGCGGGTGGTCAATGGCGGCGGTGGAGGTGTGAGCGGGAGGGAGGTGGTGTTGGGATTAGTGAGTGAGGTGAAGAAGGAGATGAAAGGGGAAGAAGGGGAAGACCTGTCATTCGAGCTCGTGGCCGGAGTCCTGGAAGTTCTCAGCAAACTGGACTCGTTGTTATGAGCGAGTGGACGATCGTGGTCTGTCTAATATTTCCAGACTGCCCACATACTCGGTTGCGTTTATAGTCCTTGTGTTTTCTGTTTCGCTTGTAATCATTACTGGAGTAGTGCTGGTCCGACCGTTTCTGACTCGTCAACGTTTCACCCTGCACTTGCGAGAGCCCTTCACAAGGCCTGTCCTGATGGCAGGATCAAATCAGTTGGAAGGCGCCGAAGAAGTCGGTAATCTCCGCCGGGTCCCAGCGTCGGACAATTATACATGATGCGTCCGTATATGTTGCTATTTTGTCTGGACCGCTAGGAGGTATTGAGCCTGTACGTCAAAGAACTCAGAGAAACCCTCGAGCGGGATGGCGAAGGGCTGCGATGACTGGTCGTGGAGGCGATCTCAAGGGCAAGGTTTGATGGCCGGCGGAGGCCCGGCGAATTCAGATCAATTAAATCAGCCTGCCGAGCGACCGGGTTTAACTCCGATCGCCTCTCTGCTATAGTTATCGTCTCTCGCAGGCGCAACCAATGCGGACATACTTAGCCAGCTGCCTTCTCGCTCGTCCGCCGTCTGCGACTTTCTCTCCGACATTCACCAGCTCGTGTCCGTCGTGAGCAACGACCAGCTGGGCCAGGCGGGACTGCCTCCAGCGTGCTTGGAACGACGCCATGATACGACGGACGTCCTTGGCAGGCTCCCCACCCGATATCGACCCATTGGCGCTGGCTTGGGGACCACCTCCGGACGAGGATGCCCCCGCCAAGGCAGCTAGGCTTTCCGAAGAGGCGGAGGCGAAGAAGGTCAGCGACGAGATCGACGCTCGCCTGAAGGAAGAGAGGAATGCACTCAAGAAAAGGCGAAAGGGCCTCGTCAAGGTTCTGCTACTCGGGCAGGCAGAGAGTGGTGAGTTTGCTCGCTCCATTCACCCCGGCCTTCCGTTCATGCTTGCTAATGATGATTTACCTTTGCGTTCACAGGCAAGTCCACCACACTCAAAAGTACGTTCTCACTCCACGCCGGAACCGAACGAGGCACCATTCTCATGACCATCCAGACTTCCAGATGATATATGCTCCTGCTGCTTGGCGTGCACAACGAAGAAACTGGCGGGCGGTCGTACAGCTGAACCTCATCCGGTCCATTAATGCCATCCTGGACGTTCTCGCGGAGGAAGCCGATCTTGCCGAGGCGCCATCTCCAGTCTCTCCTTCGGGTCGTGCGCCGTACGGCGGAGGCATCGGACGTACAACCTCCCTGAGTGGATCGCAATTGGTCAAGCCCGTGCTGGATACGAGTCGCTCGGCGGCGTCGATGCGGTCCATGTCCTCAACGTCGTCGCACGGCCATTCGCCGACGCTGTCGCAAAAGCACCAGCTGCTTCGCATCCGGCTGGCGCCGCTTCGTCGTGTCGAGTCCGATCTGAAGCAGGTGCTGTCGATCGGCGATGACTCCGGTGGACAATCGCCCTTGTTCCCGACGCCGTTCGATGCGGATGCTGCGTCGGCCAGGAGAAGACCCCAGGAGGTGATGGTTCGCTCCTGGCAATATGCTCTCGGCGCAACTCGCGGAACAGCGCAGACGCACGGTTCTGGATCTCGGCGGAGGTCTTTGACAGTCAGCAGCTGGCCCGCGGACGGGACCGACGGGGGCACAGAGCTGCGTAGGCAGAAGACTGGAGATAGCGCTCGCATGGGACAGCCTAACCGAGGCAAGCACGAAGGCAAGGGTCGGGGCAAGGACGCGCGGAACGATGAAGACGATGCGACTGAAGTCCTTGCTGTTTTGAGGGACGACATGAAGGCGCTGTGGGAGGACGAGATCGTGCAGGCGGTTTTGAGGCAACGACGGGTGCGACCTCAAGAACGCGCTGGATTGTAAGCACGCTCTCTCCCCAAGCTTGCTGCTTGGACCTCATGATCCTGACAGTTTCCTGGATGATCTGGACCGGATTGCGCAACGAGACTACGAGCCCTCAGACGATGATGTCCTTCGTGCTCGATTGAGGACTACAGGCGTCCAAGAGCATCGTTTAGCGTTTGAGGAAGGTCAGCAATCCTTCTATCATACTGTCATCTCGTGTGATGCTCACGCTATCCTCACCAAGGCGGCTTCTTAGCGTCCAGCATCGCCCCCGAGTGGGTAATTTATGATGTTGGCGGCTGCCGCACGTCGGTAAGGTTGATCCTTCTGGACCTTTACAGAGGCTGACCGGATGTATCAGCGTCAAACTTGGCTGCCGTATTTCGAGGATTTGAATGCCATCATCTTCCTCGCACCGATCTCGTGTTTTGACGAGGTTTGACCTTGGCTCATGATGATGTGTTAATTGCTAACATGCAATGCTTAGTGGCTCGCAGAAGATCCTCGCGTAAACCGTCTGGAAGACTCGTTCGTCCTTTGGAAGAGCATCTGTTCGACCAAGTTGTTGCAAAATGTGCAATTGATCCTGTTTATGAACAAGGCATGTCCGATGTTCTGGCTGTGCGCGAATTGATAACTGATGTCGTGGACTAGGTTGACCTGCTGACCAAGAAACTGCAAGCAGGGGTGGAGGTGAACAAGTACCTCCCAAGCTTCGCGGATCGACCGTTGCAGACGACCGCCGTTGTGAAGTGTAAATATCCGGATCTTTTTTACAAGCGAGAAGGGCTCGCTGATCAGTATATCTTCACTTCACTGCAGATCTTCGCAACAAATTCCGGGACATCTTGCATCAGCGTTCGCCGTCGGCCAGAGAGTTCTACGGATACCCCACCAGTGTGATTGTAAGTACCGTTCATAACCGTATGTAATGATGTACTGATGTTTGCGCGTAGGATACCAAAGCTACCAAAGACACCATAAAATCTAGTGAGTTCATGCACGCTTGCGCGGGTCCGCCCCATTTACTGATCCGTGTTTGCTTCAGTTCGAGATGGTATTCTGCTCAAACAACTGCGATCAACATCCCTGCTAGATTAGACCGGACAGCGTGCCGATCACCTAAGATTAATTTATTCCCGCTCGAGTTCCTGCCATCGCTGCTTTTAATGATTTGACCTGGTGTAAGTGCTGTTGTGAAACGCTGGTTACTGTATCAGTAGGATGTCGATGTAGTGTATGCATGTCCTAGTTACCATTTGATGGCAAGCTCAGTGCGACCGACTCGGGGTTCCCACGAAACTGCAGTAATAGAGCGATGTCCTTTGCTATTCTTGTCTCAGATATCTCGTCTCCGTTTCCGACGATAAGGCACGGCCCTATCGTGCCCGGTTTGACCGTTGGACGACGCTGCGGTGTACAGAGTGCCTCTGCTGAGTGCTGAAAGCCGAACCTCAATATCTGTTCGCATTGCTAGGATCGCATCCGACGACGTCGACGATCAAGCTGAGAGAACGGCTACATCGAGGTCAACCGTACCATCGATGGACATCCATCCCACATTCGGGACGTCTCCATCTGTTGTCGAGGTCGTGCAAATGCAACGGCCGTTCTTGAGCGTTTTTTCCATTCACCCTGTCTACGACGCTATATTCTCGCAAGCCGACGAATTAGCCATCGTCCGGTTTCGACGCACGTGCCATCCAGCTCGTTTCGCAGTGGACGACTACTTGGTTCGAGCCTGCAACATCGACAAGCATTTATCACGGTTCTTCACCGACACCAAGGCGTTTCGTAACTTGCAAGCCCAGACTGCGACCGTGATCTCCGGGTCCACCGCGTTGCAGCTGTTCCTTCGCACGACGTATCCCGGATCTGACCTCGATCTTTATGTATAGTTTCTTCCAAATCCTGCGTCGTTACGCCGTCTTACTGTAGTTCGATGGCAGGTATACCCATCAAAGGCACGGGAGATCGGGAACTGGTTGCTCGCTGCTGAAGGATACGAATACGTACCCCCATCTGAGGCCGACCACTGGGCAGCTTCATTCCAAAAGGCGACCGACGAACATGGGGAACTCTATGCCACTCTAATGTTACTAGATGATGATGAAATTGTTGCCGATGGGGAGGCGGGCGACGACTACTCATCCTCCGCCGCTGAAATCAAAATTGTCTTCAAATTTCAGAAGGTTATTCATGGCACGCTGGATACGCTTCGTGTCCAGATGATCGTATGCAAGTTTTCTCCGTTCGAAACCATCTTAGGCAAGTTATCATCATCGTTGGTCATGGAATGTAGCTCATTGTACTCGGCGTGATAACCCGTAGCGTTTCACTCCAGTATGCTTCACTACTGCTAATGCCTATCATCATGCTCTGACAGATGGTTATAGCCTGTGTCCTTAATATCGTTACGTATAACGCAGCATATAGCTTATATCCTCGGGCAACGTTCGGGGAAAAAATCTCTTTAGCTCTCAAGTCAGATGGACACCAGGATGCTCTGGCGAAGTATACAAGGCGAGGTTTCAACATACAACATTTGCCTCACGTTCATCATGCTCTGCGTCGATCGGATTCCATCTTCCACTATGATAAGTGTCGTTGGGTGGATGATTCATACAGTTGGATCGTTCGTCTCGATGTTCAAGGTGTTGCATCTTCTCCGGATTTGACCTCAACGTCCACCCCTTTGGAGGTCGACCCCAGTGCTCACAATGGCTGGATCCTCCACGCTCCTCATCAAGGTTCTGCCAGTATACGTTGCTATCGACTCTACTCCCCCCTCTTCCACTTTGCCTATGTAATGAGCGACGACATCTCGTTCGAAGGTGCATTGAAGGAGTTCTTTTCGGACGGAAGACAAACGGAATATGTCAACATCCTCGACAGCTTATCCGAATCTGCCAACATATGTCCGATGAAAGATGGAGCAGAGGAGCTCAGCTATGTGAGAAGGGAGGAGGATGCCTGGAGGAAATGGTCAGTATTTCACCAACAGAACCGCTCGCGATATTTCCTCACCCGCTATCTCAGGTGGGATGGGGAAATGCCCCTGATTCGCAAGCGCATGCGAGAGTGAACGACAATGCTTGGCCAGCCTTCCTCGCCGGATAGGTCGACACCCGTGCATGCCACCTTGTACTACATAGTCTCGCATCCATGCACCACTTTGTATATCGATTATCACATGGAGTGACGTAGAATTAAAAACGGTCTGTCCGCATCTATGACGGTATATTACGTTTTTGAGTGCATTGATATGGCGTCGTGCATACCATGTCCTCGTATTTATTCAATGCTAACATAGTCCAGTTCGCGCAGCAAGGTCGGCTCTAGACCTCCTTCCCGGGCTTCTGCCCGGTCAGTGAACCTTGCAAGCGCGAGTTAGGCCGAATATGCCTTTTTAGGATGGCCGCGTTCTCGCTCAAGCTCCTTCGCTCACACGGTGATGTCGAATCATGGCTCGCAGCTGTGGCTAGTCGCATCCAGTGGCCGACTGAGGGCCTGAGACTGCATGGCTTGCACTGCCCAGGCGGGAAATGTAGGACATGAGATCTGTCCTGTCGTCTCTGCTGCTGCTAGTTCTTGCCGCCGACTGTACGCGAAATAGCCACTACGGACAGCGATCGCCGCCTGTACTCGGATCTAAACACGATGCGCGAGGTTCACTCCCGCTGCCTCAGCAGGTATAAAACGCGTTGGGCATCTACAGAACCGAGGAAGTCCCATTCGCCCAGTTTCAACAGCCCAACCTCACCTCTAATAACTGCGATGCAGTTCAAGACCTTGTTCGCTACGGCGCTCGTCGCCATCACACCCCTCATGGCCTCCGCACAGGCAGGTTTCTGTCCCGAAGCATCACGCTTCGGTATCGCAATCGCTACACCTAACACTGCGGTACCCGGTGACGTGAGTTTCCCCAATTTTAGCCACCCAAGGCATCGATCTGAAAAGTTGATTGTCGTAGGTTGTGTCGAACTTCACCTGCCCTTTCAGCCGAGGCATCATCCCAGAGTGGGTTGACTATTGGCTGCAGGTGCCGGCGGATGTCAACAACGGGTTTGAGGCACCCGTTTTGCTTGCGCGGCACGCATTCACGGGAACTGCTACTTCGCCATATGACGTGGTCAACGTTACTGTACGTCCTGGCTTGCGGTGCTGCTGAAGATCATGGCGAGCTGACCGGTCTTCCGATACAGATCCCTCACGCCTTTTTCTTCGAGGGCGAGCAATTCAGTCCGATAATGAACATCATCTACCCTGTGGAGGGCACCGACGGCAGCCCGGTGTACGAACAGGGTGGAATATATTTTGACCTCCTGATCACGCCATCGTAAGAAGGATCCGGGTCATGGACCCTTTCAACCAGTTGAACTATTTAGCCACATGTAATGACTGTATGATACGTAGTGTATACGGCACCTATAATGAATGGATGGACCTATTCAGTCCGAGGGTTGGATAGGAGGTCAGAGTTGCTCGAGCTCCGCCGCAGCGATGGAAGAATGCTTCAGGAAATTTCAGTGGATTGCATGCAAGTCTGCAATGGTGAGCTGGTGGTGGTCGTGCGCGATTGGCTTTTTCGGGAAGATCCCGCCGGGACCGTCCGCTGACGTTGTCGGTGCCACGTGATAAGCGCCCGTGCATTGCCTTCGGGGCGCGTTATTACTCCGGATGCATCCCTCCGAAGTGCTCGGCGCTGCTGTTCTCTGCGACTCGATGTCGTCCCGGCCGCTGCTGCTGCACACGTCTGCCCTGAATGACGCTGAATATGATCTGTACACCGCCTGTTTCCGCGACCTCGTCGATGCCGACGACGACGAACACCGCACTCAGTGCGATGATGACCAACACCTCGACCGAACGACTGTCGGCGTACGCGAAGTGCGCGCCTGGCTAAGGGGCAGATACCCTGATGTCGCTACTCAGGATGTCGACTCGGTGAGACAGCGTGTTTATCCTAGGATCGCTCGTTTATATACTCACAATGCCTTTCAGATACTGAGACTATTTTGCCCCAACCTCGGGCCGACCGATATCCTCAACGGCGGACAGTTCTTCGCGGTGCTCAGGCTGCTTACTCACGTACGCCATGGCGAAGCTCTGGACAGGTCACTTGTTTTCCGCCAAGGTAAGTTTCAACGCGTTCTGTTTCACTCTATGGCATATTCATGTATACCGCGGGCGCTCACTTCGATCTCACAGCTCATCCAGAACCGTCCTCGCGAGTCTCGTCACCCTTCAAGCCACCCCCGCCTCGACGATCAACCACGCTGCCTCCCTCACGTCCGTCACGACTGATACCCACGAACGATCTGCCTACGCCGGACACCTCACCATCTACAACACACACGACACACAATCCGTTTGAACGACCTACTCCTGATCTCCCCCCGCGACCGAAGCCGGCCGTCCACCAAAGGACGGACTCGACTCATCGAAGAGCTGTATCTGCGTCTATTCCTTCCGTCCCTGCAACCATCGGACTCGCGGGTAGTTCAAGCATGCACTCTAACAATCCGTTCCGTAATAAGCCTCCGAAACCACCGGCACCAAGCGCTTCGACGAAACCCACCTTGCTTCCCGCCGGGCATGCCGCCAATGGCATTTCCCCGCCGCTGCCGCCCCGTAAGCCACCGCCGCCACCAGTGCCTATACAGCCTCCACCCCGTCACCAGTCCATGTTGACACCGATACCGTCATCCCCTGCCACACCACTAGCTTCTGCTGGTGCCGGGGCGTCGATGCTCGTGGAGCATACTAAGCCTATCCTGAGCGCGCATTCGCCACGCGATATATCGCCGGCTACCACCGGATACCGCTCAACGCCGAGCCCATTGATAAAAAACTCGCTACATGCCTCAAAGGTCGCGCAGAGCATCCGAAAGGCGGAAGAACAGCTCGAGAACCAGCGCGTGCTCCACGTATTGAAGCGCAGCACTTCCGCGTCTGGGAGTACCTCGCAACTGGACAGACAGCTCACGGGCTCCTCCGCCACGTCTTCATCTGGCGTAGGCGCAACCAGCTCCATCGTCCGCAACCGCAGTGCCAGCCCCACAAAAGGACCCGTTCTGCCTACCGTGCTAGAAGGCAGAGCGCAGCGGCAGAGCCTCCCTCCCTTGCCAAAGCGGAAGTACTCTAGTCCTCCGCCTGCCTCCGCTGCCTCCGCCCGCTCGATGGAAAGCCTCGCCAACGCGCACTTCGACAGTTCTCCCTTCTTGGATGGCGGCGCCGGCCGTGACGAAGGCAATCGCTCGTCACCATCTCCTACCCGCTCCCCTTCGCGGCCTCCTCAGCACCCGGGCCGCAAGAGCTCCATGGCGTCCAGTGACGTTAGCGGTGGCGGAACCACAACCCCTCCGCGCGTTGGGCGCAGCAAGTCCCTGCACCACCCGTCAGGCCCGCCACCTGTCCCGCCTCCCCGCCGCAAGCGCCCGGAGTCCGTGCAGGTCACCGCGTCGTCATCGTCATCCGGTGGCGATCCGCTAGGTTCTCCTTTCAGGACCGCGCCCGCGTACCCGAGTACGGCAACCTTCGGGTCGCTCTCGCGACACCTCTCACTCACATCAAGGCCCCGCCGGTCGCTCTCCGGCGAGCGCCTCTCGGAGGACTCACCCGTGTCGAGTATCCAACGCGCGTTCGTCAACCTCGGCGCGAAAGCGCAGCCCAAGTTCGAGGCGGCGATGTACAAGGCCGAGGCTGGGCTGAGCAGGCGTGGGTACGTACCGCATCACCACAGGCGAGATGACTTTAGTATGGCGAGGGGTGATCGCGGCGAGGAGCGGCTGTTCGAGGGAAATGGTGAGGGCGAGGAGGTGGCGGTGGATGAGGACGATTCCTCGGACGAGGAAGAGACTCGGCGGCGGCTGCACCTGGATAGTGGCAAGGGCTTGGGCATTCAGGGCGACGATGACAGAGGAAGACGGTGGAACGAGGGGTACAAGCCGCTGTGAACGGGGTTCTAACTGCTATACTCCCTGGGAGAACGAGTAGAGTATACGATAGGATACGTCTTGCATTGTATAGTAACATCTACACGGCCACGATTCTGACGACTGCTTTGCTCCATTGACGTGCGCGAAACGTGATCAAATCGGCCACACACGAGTAATACAGGCACCGCCAATAACGTTATCAGGATGCTACGAGTCAACGTCCATCACCATGCTGCTCTCCTGCGACCCGTCATTCTTCGACACCGCCAGCTTGGCAGTTGTCGGCGCATTGATGGGCGGCGCGAAATGGGTTTCGTGCTCCGAGGACGACGGCAACGCGGTATTTGGGGGCGCATTCGGGCGTGATGGAGAGAGAGCTGAGTCGGGAGGTATGGAGGAAGGCAAAGAGAGTGCTGGTGCCCGAGGCGGTGTGATAGCATTGCCAGCCTTGAGGGAGCGCTGGGAAGGGTTGAAGTGACCGCACTTGGGGCACACGTATTCTGTCGCGCAACGCGTTTAGTCCTGGCGAGCGCTAAGGATAAGAAATATCAAAACTTACGCGTATCTTCCCATACGCTCTCTTTCACCAGGCCATTGTGCGCAAAGCATTTCTGGCAGATCAACGCATACCTTTTTATGGCAGTTCATGATCAGATTATACGCTTAAGGCAATACCGGGCAGCAAGACAGGACAGACCTTGAGGCTGCGGTACCTGACGTTGATTCGTCTTCTCCAAGCAGAGCATCTGCGAGTTTGTCATACCATTGCCTCTTCGGCGGCGCTAAAGGACGGGCAGGTGTAGCTGCAGTATAACGTCAACCTTACTGCTTTCCACGACGTGTCAAACCTTGCATCGCACGCACCAGCAAGCATGGAGTTCATCAACTGAGCGGATCCCGGCTTTCCCGGTGTTTGTAAGGGAGGCAGTGCCGGACCACGGTGTGGTGTCATCGGAACTCGTGGTGGAGTGCCGTTGGTGGACGCGGGAGGCCGGACGGGAGAGGCTTGGGCGGAGGAGGGCTCGTCGAAGCGGGAGATGAGGTCCCGGGTCTTGTAGTAGTTGGTCTTTTTCTTGAACTCCTCGATCTTTTCGCGTTGTTGTTTGTGTAGCGTTTGGAGTTGCTTCTCTAGTAGAAAAGTTCGTAAGGACGGGGCGAGGTACTATGGTGGTCGAATGGACCTTCAGCGCTGCCAATACGTTGGTAGAACAGCTGGACGATGCGTCGCAAGAACAGGACACTGCAATACATGGTCAGTCTTTACGCTAGTATGAAGCTTGTGCATACGCACACTATGGGCCCTATCACCACAGGAGCTCCTTTGACAGCTCGATCTATTCCCGTCCCAACCCGCGTATGGAAGGACGGCAAGACATTCGGACTGCCGTACCATACGGCAACATATGCCACCCAGAACCCAAATAGCCAGAGAGTGAGGAGGAAGGTCGAGTTCCGTTCGCGCCTTCGTATATCTGCAAGCTTCGTTTGACGAGCCTGGATGTCGGTTGCAAGAGCGGAGAGGACTTGTTCGAAGTCCTCCGGTTCGCGCTAAACATGAACATAGCACTGCGAGTTGAATACGTGTTTGGATCCGACTTTGGCATCCATACCTTCCGGAACCAATTTGTAAGAAACGACATGGCTTGCGCCAGCCGAGGTAACAGATAATTAGTACAAGGAAGGGAGTGCGATGTGATGGGCGTTGCAGAGAGTCTGGTGGTCAGGCGCATCACTGGCCATGACGCGGTTCGGCACACTCCGTAAAAGTCGGACTGAGCATGCATACTAATAAGAGGGGCGGAAGCTAGGGTTTGCACCTCGCGTGGGCATCCAAAATATACAAGCATATTTATGCATCCTGGCAGACGGTATGGCAGTACATATGAGTGAAACAAACCGATGACTATGACATAGGTGCCAGCATAGCATTATTATGGGGTCAATGGAGATGTTATCCGGAACAGTTAACCAACACGTTCCGTTCGGAGCGACATTGGAGAATACGCCATCGAAATTTGCAGCGAATGCATGGCGATCACTGTGGCTTACAGACGCAAATACGAGCTTGAAGGAAACGGAGACATTGTCATACATGGCCCTATCAGATCGTGCGGCGACTTGATGGTCGTGCGCGGACCCTTGTTTCGAGCCACATGTTCTTTGCCAGTTGAAACAGGATAACGGTGCACCTGCTGTGATGTTCGAATCACGAACGCCGATACCGCGCCAAAGTAGTGCTCAATGAACCCCTCTGGGTTGAGAGGGCGGATGAGAAGCGGCTGTGAGGCATAGACTCACAAATAGCGTATGATCCGGGTGCGCGCACAAGGCAAAGGTGAGCTGCCATCGTGGCGTCGGGTTCACAGCAGTCTGACAACAGATGCAGCATTGCGGTGCGCAGAAGCCCGACCTAGCGGTTAAGATTGGCTCCTCAACCTGGAGACAATATAAAACATGAGACAAGAGTGCAGAACGTCGGTGGATCACAATGATGAATTGCGAAGTCTGAAGCAGAAAACGAGGGCGGCGCTGGAGAACGGCGCGAGAGACGTAGCATACCAGGCGGTACCGAAGGAGACTGCCTTTTACCTACGAATGCATACATGGAGCCACATGCATATCAGAAAAGCATACTGGGTCGGGGCAGTTCTATGCACATGCTATGAAGAGCGCAGGACAGCGAATTTCAATCCTTTGTGTGTAGCAACTGGAGGAATATTAATCTGGCATTGCCACCTCCAAAGATCATGCGAAAGGCAATGTGGATTCCTCGGGCACAGACACTTTCCAGGATTCATTGGTACTCGTTCACATGGAGCATCGGGCCCTTGTGTGGGCCATTGCGAACAGAAGAGTTACAGGGGAAAGCTCGTTGAGAAACGGAGGCTATGGGCAGTTTCACTGCAGAATCTGAACGGTTCAGTTCTAACCGTGGGAGGTTCTCACGTGACCACGTTGTTCTCGGCTTGCCAGTGCCGCTCTCTCGGCCCCAAGTGTAACGTAGTGGTCCTGTAGCTGTCGATTCCCAACGCCGCTGCTTCGTCCACTGTCGGAGCCAACACCTAATATGCAAGAATTCCTACGTCCTTGCGTTTCCATCCATTCATCGTGAACTGCTTTCGCAGTGCGCTACCCTGCAGCATCCTCGCGATGGGATCGACAGTATGATACGCGTCCAGCCGATCATACGGCTCTTTCTTTGACCGGCTTGAGATGATGCAGTCCGACAATTGCCGGAGCATCCTTACAGGTCTAGTCCTTGTCTCAGTTGACCGGATCTGTCGTACCTGCAGATATATGATCTTTCACCTTGTGCGTATGCATCGTTTCGCTGGACCGAAGCAGGGTGTTATACCCGCGTATGCTGATTTGCAGGCGTTTATTGGTAGCAGAACCGATCCGTGCGGTGGATACCACTGGACGGTGAGAGCTTCGCGCTAGACCAGCTTCTCGCATCAAAGATGGACAGGCTCCGAAGAGCTCCGAAGGCGCGCTGATACGCTCCCCAGGCACCTTCGTTCCCAGTTGCACTCGCGTTACATATGCCGCTGGCAACCGATCGGGCTATAACACACCCACAGGCCCACTGGTCCTGCGCCGTGGCAGAGATCCTTCCTCTCCGGAGCCGGGTTCATCGACATCAGCGCACACGTCCAGGCGCGCCAGATCACTGCCATCTCCTTCCGTTTCGTTTGTTCCCTTGCCCGCTTTTGGATCGGGCTATCGGTTATTAGGTGCATCGAGTGTGCCGCGCCTCTTCACGTCTCTCTTCCGTTTTCTGCCTTCTTCTTGTGGGCTTGAACCGCCGTGCGGAAGGGATAACTGGGATGTCGGCCCCTGCAGGCGTGGTAGTGGCTATTCCGCTACCACCTGGCATGACGCTGTCGCAGCTTGAGGAGCTACACAGGCAGCTTTGTAAGCGTTGATGCTATGTGCAATGCGATATGTACCCCTGAAGGCGAGCGTAGATTCCATTGCGATCACCGCTCTCGTCGCCTTCGCTCTTATATGTTGGGACTAGTGAGTTGCCGCATCGTCATGCCGTATTACATTTTGTTGACAAACATGATACAGTCTGCTTCTCGTGCGTCAAGAATGGCGGTTATACCGGACGGGTGGTAGGAAGTTGTGGACTGCGCCTGTAACATACGCGTAAGCGAATACAAGCATATCGTTTGGTAACACCCGCTCACGTCCGATCCCTCTGGCAGGTTCATCGTGCTCCGGTACTCGCCCTTCGTCGCGACCGTCCCCTCCTTGTTCTACACACTCCTACAAACGAAACACTGCCAGACCGCGGTGACGGTCTCAGAGGCGGGCGTAGTGGCTGTCTCGCTGTCTTCCGGATTCATCTTCGCCTACCGGGTCATCGCGATCTGGGCAGGGAACAAGATCGTGACGGGCATCGTGAGCGTGTTGTACCTCATGATGGCGACCTGTTGGGTCGGTGCCTCCCTTTCTCCGCCTATATACCGTCGTCTTACCGAACCGCACCACCTAGATCGCCGTCGCCGCCCAGTATCGCGTTTCCACCGGCCCGCCGACGTCGCTGTTCTCGAACTGCCAGTTTGAGGACCTCGTCTCCTGGGCGCCGATCAGTTTCTTCTCCTCCGTCGTGTTCGACCTCGTCGTCTTCCTCCTTACTCTCGCCAAGCTCAAGAACCAGGACCTGAAGGATTCACCCTACGGGCGCCGGGTGTACCTCGACAGCTTGCTGTACGTCGCCGCCACGGTTGGTGTGAACTTGATGGTGGCAATAGTGGAGGCGCTCCCGGCGCGGTATAACCCCCTCAAGTCAAACGTCGTGCCGTTCTCCACCGTCATCACTGTGAGATTATCCTTCTCCTCCCGGAGATCCGTGGCCGGCGCTGATGCGTGCGTTTGTGGATCACAGGTGGCGATGTCGCAGCGGGTGTACTTGCATCTGAAGTTGTTCCACGCACGTCAACCGCGGGTGTTGGATAAGCTCCGGGGCGCGTCGCAGTTCACGGGGAGCACGGGCATGACGGGCTCGAGCTTTGCCGAGTTTAGCACGTACCTGCCGCCGTATACGAACCCGTCGTGGGTGGCCCAGAACGACGACTGGGACGACCACGTCTTCATCATCGGAAAGCCGGGATCATGACACCGTTTCGAGTTTGGAAAATTCACGACCTTGTTTTCCTATTTCGCCTGGGGCACCCGTGTATTACTACGGCACTTGTAGCTTTAGGTCGCATGTTTGTTTGCTTTGGAATGCTTTGCATGCTCGCTCAACTGATCCGATTGCTGACGCACGTAACGACATCGACATATTCTTACGAGAACTGATGGGATGGAGAGGTTATACGTCCAGGTCGAGGATACACGTTCCACGCGGAGCACGAAGCCGCCGGTAAAGCCGGCTCAGGTCCATCTGCATCCGCATCCGCGGACGGGGACGACCACCACAAACTGCGGAGGTGTCAGATTGGGGGCTCGGCCTGGGCCGATTTGGTGTATTGTTGCGTAGGCGTTGTAGGGTAACCTCATTGCCCCGAGGGAAGAAGCCGGACGCTATGAATAGGCCCATCGAGCACGAGTTGTGGGCACCAATGGTGAACGGCGTGAACGTCCTCGTCGCTTGGGCTATGCACGGGCTAGTGAACGTAGAACATTGCACCCGTGCACTGCGGCCTTGGGCAGGTGTTGCGCAGGGCTGGCTGCATCGATCCATAGTCTGGCGCGGATTCGAATCCCCGGGTTGCAGAGGAAAGAGAGGTCGTCAACCCCCGCATCGATGTCCTAGCTGGTCGCGATTACACTCAAAGTGTGACACAGGACGTGAATAGGACTCGCCGGGGCACCATGAGAAGAGGATCGCCACGGCTGTACATAAGGCGGAACAGTCGGGCATGTTGATCCCATGCCATGGCCAAACTTGTACTATGGCAATAAACGTAGCCGCTAGCGGAGGGCTCTGCGACCGACTTCAGGATGATGAGCTGCGATCATATCAGCGGTGGAGTTCGAAGGGGGTCGCATGCTGGGTGTATGGGCGTTTTGAGGCAGGCTGGCCGCATATTGATCAGAGGCCAGCGGGGCTGCGATTTGAAGTTGCCAGGTACCGGTCCAGCGAGTGTCGGACGGCTTGTTGGCGGACGGGACTTTGGGAGATCGTATTTGGCACAAGAGGCAGAGAAGGGCATGAATGATAGGTTGAATGCGGTTGGGATGGGTAGAGTACAATGCGCTGAGAAGGACTGAATCGGACACCGCCGTAGAGAGAAGCGCCGATGTTGCCGTCCGGAGATCATTGTCGCCCAACGTCACTGGCAACCACCTCGTTCTCCCCTTTCCTCGCCTACCTTCGACCTCGTCTTGCTCGATAGAGTACCGTACTGACTACTTATCCTCGCGGTGCTGTTGACAAGTGATCTCCTCGGAGCCGGACTCCCATACACAGCCACATTCTGCCATTCTGCGTGTCGTGCTCGGCGTCTCTGATTGGCTACGGGCGTTGGCGCGCGCACGCCTCGAGGCGAGGCCAGGGTTCGTATATCGTCGCCGGCGTCGTGGGCACGCTCCTCCTCGTCTGGCCATTGTACCACCACATCCGCGTCCTCCTCGTCAAGTCACGCTCAGTTACGCCCGTTACCGTCTACGTTACGCCGTGAAACATCTGAGACCAAGAAGCGCGGTCGCACGCCCGTCGGCCAGCCGGTGATCTCCCTCGCGATCACGCCCCCACCGAACGACCAGAAAAGCCCCGGGCCTCGTCCGCCACGACGGATCTGAACCCGGTGACAGCCCTTGCTTGTTCCGTCGCCTGTCGCCCACTTCCCTCGCGAGGTCCGTCGGTTCGCGTTCTTCTCCCTCTCTCTCCTTCCTCCCCCCTGCCCCACGCTCTTTTGTTCCATAGACCTTCGCACTCTCGTCGGTCGCTCTCACTGAGCCTCCGTCTATACCCACTCCGGCTCCCGCATACCAGCATATACCCCCAAACATCAGAGGCTGATCACGAAAAAAAAAACAGGCTGTTTGTCGCCATGACCCGCTTTGGCGACTTTGCCCCGCTGTGCCACCAGCTACCGTCTTATCCGTGGTGTAATCTGTTCTATCGACAGTTGGAACACAAGAACTCTACTGCACTCGTTGGTGAGTGCTTTTGAATCGATGGTCTGGCGATTCGGGAGTGGCGGTTGGAATTTGGTGGAGGATCGGGCGAGCGACGTTCACCACTCTATCTCCGGGGCGGCACCCGGTCATGGGTGGACGCATGGCGGATGAAACCTCGATGGGGTTGCGGTGAACGTGAACGCGCTCTGGACGAACATGGCCAACCCCAGACCACCCGATTTCTCCACATCGAAATCTACCATGAAACAACACGCTGACGCCCCTCGCCCTTCCCGCAGGCGACTCCACCTTGTCCAACCGCCCCGCCGCACCCGTCGGCATCAACCCCGAATGTGGCATACCCCGCCTCGGTACGCATACGTCTACATCCACCCTTTTTTCCGTCGAAAAAAAACCTCATATCGCATCGTTCCCCTTCGCGCAGGACATGACAGCAGCATAGGCAACGTGGCGAATATAGTCGCGTGCGCCGTGAGCATCGTCTTCGTGCTCGCGCTGATATTGGGCGCGCATAGGCGAAGAGCCGCCGTCGGTGAGTCCCGCTCCCCATCTTCTTCGCCTCGTGAATCGACCTGACGAAATCATCCTAATCCCAGGCCGCGTCGAGATCCGATATTTCTTCGTGCTCTACCTCCTCACCCTCCCCTTCCAGCTCATCAGCACCGGCTCCCTCCTCGAACAGGCGAGTCCTTGCCTCCAATGTCCCGATATCGATCATGTTGCTCACCGGCTGGGAACCAGGGCACGACCAGTTTAACGGTCATCACCGCCATCCACGCCGGCCTCGTCGCGGCCACGTTTTGGGCGTTGCTGGCCAACGGCATCGTCGCGACGCAGGTGGTCGAGGACGGGACGATCAGCTCGATGATCGTGAGTCGTCTCTACTCGTCATGCTTTTCTTCGCTCGTCCCTTTTTGTCGGCGGTGGAGATGCGAAGAAGGAGGGGGCAGTGGGGCGGGTTGGAAGGCGGGCTGGGGGGCTACTGTTCGGTGTACGATGGAGGCCTAAGTGGTTCTTGGAGGGTGATGAACGACGGAACTCCGTGGAGCTCCTGGGGTCCGGGACCGCGGGACTCGTGGAGTGGGGCACGAACCAGCATGGCTTTTCTCGTTTCATCCGTTCGTGCCGGCTTCCCGTTCGTTCCCAGGTTAGGATCCTTCCGAGAGCGTCGCCGGCGGAGGAGTGAATGCTCAGACTCCGAATTCCCCGCCGAGAATCTTGAATACTTTAGACTCGTGCTGCGTACGCTGCATGACGGTCCGTTGGCTTCCTTGCGTCTCCGCACCGAACATCTTTTGCTCGTTTGATCTGCCCGCCGTCCCGCCCACATCCGACACGCTGCGACTTCCTTACTGATCTCTCTCACCGTCTAGCCGTTCCACTTCTTCGTTTTGGCGTTCTTCGTCGCAACAACCTATATCTCGCTGGACACCGCATTCAACTGGACATCAGCCTTCGGTAAGTCAAATTCTTAGTTTCGTTTGCGCTGCGCGTACTTGTCATCGCGAACTCTACGTCTAACACTTTATTCGCCGGTAGCGCCGTCCAGGCAGGATCCGGCTTCCTTACACAACATCGCGCTCTTCGTCCTTACCAATATATGGCCCGCCGTGTGAGTGGCAAACCTCTTTTTCTCGCTTCTTCGATACTCGCGCCTTTGCCGTCCATCTCGGCGCTCTTTTTTTTCCGGTGTTGGAGCTTTCGCTGGCGTGGCGATTTGTTCCTTTGTTTTGCCTTCGCGAAGCACGCCGAATGGACCAAAGGCGACCCTGGGCGCCTATCGCCTCCCTCGCGCTAGTCGTGATACGGTCCTCCGGCAATGCCATCACCGAACGCGCCGCTCGTCTCGTTCATCGCGTTTCAGATACGAAGAGGCGGCGGGGGGGCTGGGGCTCCGCTTCGCCGTCGATGACGATGGGCGTTCTATCGGAAAAGCGGCCGTGTGTAACAGGCGCCCACCCGTACCGACAATCGGCGCTTCGCTCTCTTATGTTGGAAAGGTTCTAAAGATGGCGCGGGCACTGCCAACGGACCGAGACTAGCCATTCTCGACCGTGTTTTCGATGCGAGGGCAACGGGGACGCAACGCAACTCGTCCAAGGCGACGCCCAGAGTGTCCACCCTCCCCTGGGATGCCGACGGCGACTATGTTGGGAGCGATGAGTGTTATTCATCGCATCGGTCCCGCCAACGCTCGGTTTCACCGGCAATATCCATTCCGGATCCAAGGGACGGTCTTTGTTTCGGCTCGTTTTGTTTTCAGTGGCGGGCGTTCGGTGCCATCGTCGTGCATATGTACCTGATGCGGCGACCGCATGGTTGGAGCTGCGGTTCGGACGCACTTTGTTTCTGGTTTGGGCGAGGTTATCCGTTTTTTTTTATCAGCGTTTGGCTTCTCGTCGGTGGAGCTCGCGACTTCTCGTCGCGTCCGCCTTCGATCCGGCGCAGCGCGCTTTCGATTCGACGTGCCTCGCACCCGCATCTTCTTCGATGGTCTATATTCACCACGTCCCGGGAAAGGCGTGGGATGTGACGTCCCTCGGTCTGCCCCTCCATCCATGTGTGGACTATTATGGGCCCGTTTTCTCTTCGACTTTCGCCGACCTTCATTCATCTCGGAGTCTGTGCTACTCGCCCTGTTCGCCAGGCTATGCCGCGGCACACGGGCTGTGCTTTTGACTCGAGGGCCGACCAGCCTTACGCGGGTTCTCAAGACAGCCATTGTTTATGCGTCCTGCTGTTGGCTGATAGCCTGACTCTGATGAAGATGGCCCACGTCCATTTCGGGTTTCGCACTTCGCCTTTGGCCGGGACTTGCAGGCCTTCGATGGGGTGATGGTCCGCACGCCATTGCCATCCTGTTAGACGGGCTCGATTCGGGCTTCCAACTTTCCCGAGAGATTGTGCGCTGCTCTAGATCTGGTCCATTGATGGGCGTCTGCCTGTCTTTCGTTACCAACATCGGGCCCCATGCAGCTTTGGCAGCTCACTCTGCCTGCGGAGGGCGACCCCATAAAGCGGATGCGCCCCGCGAATGGCATTGCAATACGTTTTGTACATGCCGGGCCGTCCTTTACGCGTCATATTCCACGCCCGTTACCGTTTCCTCTGGGGTTATGCCACCTGCGCCTTCATGCCCTACCTGCTTGACTTCCACTGTTCGTGCATCGCTGACCTCGGCGTCACTCACAGTGCGGCCATCGTCTACTTCGCGCTGATGCTGTACATCGTGCTCGGGGTCCTCAACGAAGTCCGCCCGATGTGGTTCTTCTCCCTAGCCTTCATCCTCTTCGTGCTCAGCCAACTGGACTACTACCTGTTGAACAAGGTCATCTGTAAAGTGCGTGCCCGACGCCTCTGGGGTCGATCGATGCTGAACTTTAGGCTTCTTCTGTAGGGCGCAAACCATAAGGTTGACGGTTCGTTCGTCGCGACGCTTCTCGAGACCGCCGCCGTCGGTGTGATATACCTCGCTTGGAGAAGTATCACAGAGGGTACGTCCTTGTTCCTCCTACACGTCAACAGCTTTCTGACATGTGGTTGCCTGCTGTAGAATCGTGGGATGACGATTACTACGGACGGTAGTCGGATTCCTCCCGCCGAAAACGACAATCTAGACTTTGATGTTCCGTCTCCCGTTTTGGTGTCCACTTTACGCAAGCTCCCGTTCACGTCTCCCTATTATCCTCCACGTCTCTCCGATTCCCCTGCAGCAATCTGGGATGGTTGCATGCTTACGTTCATTTGGATTTTCTTTCGTACACATTCCGTCCCCATGTACCACCAGTTCACTGTTCACTATTGCTATAGCTCTATTGACACGAGTAGCGCGTCCTCTGTTTTGCCGTTATCCCGTTGACCTTTGATATAATACCCCGTAAGGCTGTATGCAGTCTATGATGAAATCGAACGCGTGCAAAAGATGTCCAGAGCTGATGACGTGTTCTATATGATGTACCTCGACCACTCTGACCAAGCCAGCATCCATTCAATTCACGGCGTTCCCATTTCAATTTGCAACTTCAATCCGGACTTTGCATTCACTGCATCCTCGCGGTCAACGTGGCCAATCATGCTCCCCGCTGAACTCTGGGACGGAGTACTGGACCACCTCCACGATGACACCAAAACGCTACGCGCATGTTCCCTGGTTTGTCGTTCATGGTGTCCGTCGAGCCAGATGCACCTCTTCCACACTGTTCAAATCGACTCGTCCAAGACGTGGAATAGATTTCGACGCTCTGTACAGCTATCGCCCAAGCTAGCCCACAATTTGGTGAAGAAAGTCGTCATCTACGCGTTCATTGAAGAAAACCCGTGCTATGACGCTCTTGATGCGCCGCTGGCGTCCCTCGAAGCGTTGCACATACAGCGGTGCTGGCCGCCGCACCTGCGGCCCAACCCTTTCCTGAAAAGCTTCAGAAACGCGAACGACATCACGTTTCGGGATTGCGCATTCGACGACTTCCAGACGTTCTGCGCCATTCTCAGCTTGTTCCCCATCCGAAGACTGGGAATATACAATGTCGGTTGGTGGGTGCGTCCCACCGCGGCCGAGACGGACGGAGCGGACACCATGGATCTTTCCCCGCGAAGCTTATCCGGGGATCTAACTTCAATCGGCCTGCGAGGCGTCCTCGGCTGGATTCTGCGATGTACCCCGCCTGACAGCGTGAACCATATACGGCACGAGGCACACCATCTCCACAACTTAGTCCCGCGCCAGTTGTTGCTTGACATTGGTCAGTCTGTACAGTCTTTAGAATGCGTGGTGCAGGACATACGGACAGCGGGCTCTGTACAAAGTGCGCAGTGTATCGGATGTTGTGTTGAATTGAGCACTCATGTGCCCGAATCGACTCACAGTACCACCGTCATTCGACGCCCATCTGAGGTCTCAAACCAATTTACAGTCGATCCGGTTTAGCTGGCCGGCAGCGCTCACGCCATTGTTGATTTGGCCTACTATCGCCTTGCTCTCGACGGTGGGATCGACGTCCGTCAGATATCTGTCCATAACGGCACTTCCTTCTATCCGAGCGTTCGACGGATACGTTTTACATGGTTTATGGCCTTTGATAGTCGGCCTCATTCGGTTGCCGCAATACCGCAGCCTCATCGGTCTGCGACTGGTTCTTCGAGACGACGACATGTCCTCCGAGGGAGAACCACGCGTGTTGGAAGCTCTGCGACATCGGATATACGCCTTAAGGCACGACCTTCCACGGACTGCAATCATCCTCTCCTGGAGTCGGAACAGTGGTGGTCATGAACACGAGTTTCTGAAGCTGCGGCCTCTCAAAAGTTGATGATTCTTAAGCGAGTAACGTGCGCGAATACCGAAGACCTATTCTGACGTGGACTTGCTCTTAACAGACACGTTGAGGGCAGCTCACTGTTCGGGGCAAGTAGAAGTTGAATTGGCGTGGTCCTATCAAGAACAACTGCTGCGCATCAGTATGCCTTGGTTCACCCAATATCGGAGTCATCGTATATAAGGCGTTCAGCTTGTGCGCTCCGGAGCTCTATGGTACATCGGAAGGGCTGGGGGTGACTGTTTTGGTTGGTTATCATCAGAGGGAGAGTCCAAAAAGGTGATGAGACGACGGACATCATGAAACCATCCGTGAACCTCTCATGAACAGGGATTTCCTGCCCCTTCTCGTCGACGGCTCGCTTGATGTTGTAGGTGGCAAGGATAGACGAGGTGGCGATGAAGAGGGAGTTATCGGCCATATACCTCCCGGGACACACCCTACATGACCCGACTCGGATGATCAGAAAATCAAGGAACGCGGACGACGGCTGCTTCACCTCCGACCATATCCAAAGGTACCGCTCGGGAACCCACGAGGGGCATTCTCAAGACCTGGACGGAGCCAACGTTCCGGGTTGAATGTGCCGACGTCGGAGCCGTATACGCGTTCGTCCCGCAGGACGCTCCTAATGGGATGGTTTCAGCTCAAGTACAACGCCGAAGCGAACGTGCCCCTTACCAAACGTTGGGTGTTATGGTCGCTCCTTTCGGGATGATGTAGCCACGGTATGGGATGTCTTCGGAGGCGCGGTGTTGTTGGGCCAACGGCTGGACAGTGTACCACCGATGGATCTCGGTGATGATACAGTCCAAGTAAGGAAGATGTGGGCGATCGTTGAAGTCGGGCAATCGATGCGGGCCGACGACAGCGTCAATTTCCTCCTGTGCTTTGCGCTGTACGTCTGGATATAGGACCATCGCGAGCGTGAACGTATGCATAGCTTCTGCAGTCTACGATCCAGGGTCAGAACCATGCTGCTTCTGGAGATCAAACATGAACCTACAGTACCGGAGCCAGCCTCGTACGCCGCGGCGCCCGCGTCCCTTATCAGTTCCTCTTCGCGAAGGACACGAGGGTCATCATGGCTACATGTAGACCACAGGGCTTCGAGGTTCTCGGAAGTGAAGGACGGTTGGGCAGTTCCCTCCACCTGCAACAAACGAGCATCTCGTTAGCGCTCGGCTTCTCTTGGAAATCAGACGTTTGTTATGCACCGTTTCCCTCTTGGCCCTTTCGAACGGTTTGGTGATCATCATGAGGCCGTACTGACGCCATTCATTCGCCTTCGCCTTGAAGCGAGCCCCGGGAAACCAGGCCGGGATATATTTCACTGGAGAGGAGTTCGTCCACGACTATCACGGGTTGCGAGCATCAGAGCTCACTGATGGGGAAACTGTCGACGAGATTCAGGGTGGTGGTGCCGGCCTCGGTCACGGCTTCCGCCACAACGTTCGCTGTCTCAATGTATGGATCGCCTTCGGCAGCAACCTTGATACCGTACACGGCCTGAAGAGGTAACGTGACGCGGCATACTACATACATACTAGCTCCCCAGGCAGGAGACCTCTCACCTCCATTATCGTAGCACCAACGTAGTGCTGAAAGTGCTCAACAAAACGATGAGGCGAGCGGTGGAGTCGGCGAAGGAGATCGATCCTTTGTCTTCGCTGGATCGGGAAGAACGATGTGACTGCTGTCGGGTTAAAGTTCTCGTGGAATATGCGGCGGAGTTGCCGCCATCTCTCGCTGGACAGAAAGGGCGTTATTAGCAGACAACTCAAAAGTGATAAGGGACGATGTACCCATATGGCATGAAGGCGAAATGCCACGAGAATCCTATCCTTCGCGATCCTGTGAGGACAGGAAGGCAGAGACGGCGATGGCTCTCACAAATCGTTCAGGAGAGTCATTTTCGGTCGATCAGAGGATGCAGCAGAGCTCTTTTCCAAAATATGATGCATGGCTTCCGCCGAGTTCAGGATGACCTAAACCGAGTTATTAAGGGCGAACATTGTCGGTTGCTCGAAGCTACATTAGCCTGTCCGAGGACCTTGACGTAGACGATGTCTCCTGTTCATGGGCGACTGGAGTTAGTGCACCTGTTTCGAGATTATGTGCCGGACTGCTACCATGCTCCTCTCCCCACTTGCTGTAAGTCTCCCATTCATGGTGATCGGGCACGTCGAATAGGTTGCCGATGAGGGGATAGCCTTTCGGCCCCGGTGGCAGGAAACGCTGGCGTTGCTCGCTCCACCTTCTCAACCATATTGCCGGTAGCCCGACACATAGCAACGCTGCTAGTAAAGACAGAGTTTTGTCCGTCATGGTGCACGGCTACACCCTCGCAGCGAGCAGATAAGAGCAGGCGATCGTGAGAGTGAGAATGCCATTCATTCATCGAGTCCACCGAGTACAGGCTTGTGACCCGCGAACTCCGGGCGTGAGTTGTGATAGCTGAGAAGGCGATGGACGTCATCGAGCCCCAGAATGCGAGCCAAGCGCGGCTTGCTGAGGATGCACCGACAAAAAGTTGGACCGGAAGTGAACGTACGGACACAGCTTTGACACAGCATGCAAGAGCGTGTACGAAGGCCGGCGCAGCACGCAGCAGAAGATTTCCTCCAGCGTCCGAGAAAGAACGTAACTCCAGCAGGCGTCGGGCGCCTCGCGGGTGCCAACGGCGCCCTGTTCGACTTGCTGCGACTCCGAGGATGGCACGCCCCCGTCGATATTCTCGGCTGACAATAAACGTCACAGATCCAAGCTCCGCCTGCTTTCACCTCCTCTTCGATGGTCTCGATTGGCTGTCGCGGAGCCCGTGGCCCATTAAATGATCTCCGCCTGAGCATAATTCGAATTGCCAAGATGCCAAGGTGGATAACCAGCGTCGGTCTCGAACCAATCTGAGCGACTGAGTGCCTGATTGAGTAGGTCCGCCTCGGCCCATATATAGCGGGACACCAGGTCCGATGGAGAGGCCAAGTCCCCTCCAAACACAAGTCTATTCTTCTTCATCGCACCGGCCTCGTTTGAATGCGTTCGTTGGTTACGCTCAGTGCCCTTGCCGGCTTCACCTCTCTGGCTGCGGCGTCGTCATTGAAGCTCGCGAGCAGCTATTCGGGTGACACCTTTTTCAACGGTACGTCTCGCGTTTTCGTGCTGGGCCATCCTCGGCCGGTGGGATGGTGGCGGAAGGGAGATCAGAACGCGAGCTGACGCGTCTTGATCGCAGGATTCTACGTGAACGGGTCTGAAACCGACCCGACGAACTATGGAAATATCCAGTGCGCCTCCCCGCCCCTACCCCTCTTTTGCTGTCTAATTGCGTCCATTCAGTTATGTGAACTCGTCCGTCGCGACATCGGACCAGCTCGCCTACGTGAACTCGGCGGGCAATGTCATCCTTAAGGTGGATAATTCGTCCTCCGACCCGAACCCGGGAGAATACTCCACGTTCGGCCGCAACACCGTCATGGTGATCAGCAACGATACCATCGTCATCGGCACGCTTGTGGCGATAGACGCGACACACATACCGTACGGGGTGAGTCCACGTCACGCCCCGGTTCTCGCGCGTTTTCTGACTCTATATTCTCCTTGCCTCAGTGCTCTGTCTGGCCTTCCTTCTGGACGCTCGATACGGAGACGGGTACTGATGAGAACGGCGAGATTGACATCGTGAGTACGCTGAGTGCGCACCCTAGTTGACTTCGTTGAGCTAACCATCCATAGATCGAGACGGTGAACCTCAAGTCGGCGAACCAATACTCATTACACGCCAAGTCGGGCTGCACGCTCGTAAACGATACCTCGTTCCCTCACACGGGCACCGACCTATACACGAACTGCGACTACAACTACACTGTATGTCCTCTGGTCGCGTGTCCCCCTCCTGACGTTCGCTCACCATTGTCATAGTTAACTGGCAACGAAGGCTGCGGCATCAGCGAAACTGCGTCCTCGAGCTCCGTCGGCTCTGCCTTTGCGAGCAATGGAGGTGGTGTTTACGCCATGTACTGGTCCACTGACGGTATCCAGATCTGGTTCTTCGAGGTTCGTCTCGATACCGCGGAACCACATGCGAACCCGATGTCTTACCTTGGCGTTGTAGCGCTCCAACATACCGTCGGACCTGACCTCCGAGTCGCCCGACCCATCTTCATGGGACGAACCCTCCGCATCCTACCCCACATCGGGCTGTGACCCCAGCACGTACTTCAAGTCGCAGAGCCTCATCATCAACACCGACATCTGCGGCGCGTGGGCGGGCAGCGACAGCGTCTTCACCTCGACGGGCTGCTCTGGATCATGCGCTGACCTCGTCGGCACCGCGAGCAACTACGACACCGCGTACTGGGAGATCCAATACGTGAAAACCTTCACCTCGAGCGGTCAGTGCTTTCCGCCCGCGTTTTCGCCATCTCCGTCAACTGACGGGTGTACGTACTTCTTACCAGGTTCGTCGAGCGCGTCCGCGACTGGTACTTCCACCAAGACTAGCACCAGCTCGAGTTCCAGTTCGACGTCTTCGAGCGGGACCGCGCAAGTGACCGCCAGCGTCCTCGGCTTGCTGGCCGCCATGATCGTCTGTGCCGTGATGGCTTGAGACGCCTTGACTATATCTGAGCACATAGGAGGACTCATAACTGGATCATGGGTTGTACAACATGTAACGGCTCTCACTGAGGATGAGCTGCCCTGTCTCTACGTTGAATCTACGTGTCATATAATAATTCCGAGTACTTGACCCAATGTAATGAAGGTCCTCGCACCACATCTCGACAGAAGACGTCCAGCAATCCACCCGGAAAGATACGCTCCACTTTCGTAGGTGCAACGTCCTATATGATCGATGCCGCACACCCGCACACCTTGAAGCTATACAAATACTGCAAAGGCTTGCGGTTACGCGGACTGCTCCCATGGCCACGCATCAGGCGGGCTAAGACTGTTACGCAAGCCTAGCTGACCTAGGCTCCATTCCATATCTCGACCGACTTGCGCCGCTGTGTAACGATAGCCCCGGGCGAACTGCACGCTCATTCGATGCATGCGCCATCGGTTCCTCACATGTCGTTCTTCCTTGCGGAGGAACGTGAGCAGGTATGATCGCCAGTCGTACGGCTGCTCGAGGCGCAGGTCGAGGGTATCGCAGCGGCCTTTCCAGGCCTGCCATTCGACCGGGGAACACGGCAGCATCCATCCGTATTGCCATGCGAGTCGAAGGAATAATCCTTGACGGTAACGATTGATTCCTTCCCAGAAAAAACGGTTGACCTGGCAGAGTGCAAGGATCGTCTTCGTAGCGGATACGAGAGAGGGGGGATCGAAGATGGTATGCGTGACGTCCGTGGAGAGCTCTGCAGCTGCAACGGAGACGGGCAGGTCGACGACTGCGAAGAGGATGGCGTCCAACAGTTCTGGGATGCCGAAGACCTTCATGCACGCAGCAGCGTGCTCGCTGGACTGAGCCCGCGATGCTTCTGACCAATGCGTATCGAGACATTCGGGGAGAGGGAGCATGGTTGGCGGGCTGAGAAGCCAGACGGTGTCTTCCATTGTGTCCGGATCGTCCCACCGGGCACATAACTCCGGTTCATCCCCACGGGTGGTGACCCTCAAGACGGCGTAGCCGAACACTTGGTTGTCTCGTCCACACATATCGTAATAAACAACGTCGTAAAGAGGGCCGTTGAATTTCAAACCGCCTGAGCGTGGATGACCGTCAGATGCTGGCTCGTATAGCGATTTCCAGAGTTGGATAGGCGTCACATTGCCGCGACGACATAGGAAGGAGAGGCACCCCCTGTGGATGGGAATGCATAGATGGGGCTCTTGTGGGTCTAGACGATTCCACTCGTCGTCGTCGTCTTCAATGTATATGCTCCCGTAGTCACTCCACGAGCTAATATTCGTCAGGACGAGCGTAACAGCACGAGCCTACACACGCAATCACACACCTCGGAGGCGAAACCCAGTCTTCTGGCCATTCAGGACCGACACTCACCACATCTTCCCAGTACTTTCCTTCCTTGGGGGAGATGCGAACTATGTCGTCTACGGGCGCCTTTGGAACGGGAAAACCGGGAGGATTGTTCCGCCATCCACCATCTGCCGGGGGCCAATCCAAAGTGTCGGAGGATCCGAAAAGATACCGGCGCCACTCATCGTATGCATCGCAGAGAGGGCCGGCGCTGTAGTGTTTCCCGAAACAAACTCTTATATCGCCGACACGGCTGAACGGGATGGATGACACGCACCAGAACGAGCAGTAATTTTCGGAGAAGCCCATGGTAATGGAAAAGCAAGTGCTGTGGTTTCAGTTCTGCGAGACCAATCCCATGTATCTTTTGTAATCAAGCCAGGTGGTCGTCAAGAGTTTCAGAGACAGCGTTCTGAGTAATAATCTGGTCATCATGCAAATCATAAACACCCTTTCCTGCTATGTGCTGTCCATTCGACAGCCATCAAACGACTGAGAATGTCCTCAAATGGACACAACAACAAAAGGCCGAAGATCGCAGCAACGGAGAAAATCCGAAGGGCCCGGGGAACGTGAAGAGGTGAATACTTACAAGGTATATGAGGCACTGCCACAGACTTCGGATTGTCCATCACGGTCATCGCATTGCTGCCCAAATCATTTGTACTGCATCTCTTTATAACTTCAATGACCTTAATGGCCTTTCAATCTCTCTCGCAACTCCTGCGCTTCCTCATGCTTAGGGCTCTATCAATATGGAACTTCTGCATCCTGACAAAATGCAGTCAGGACGGACAGCGGTCGGCTTTGAACTACCCCTCGGGAGAATCTGCGAGGATCACGAGGATAGCAGTAGCCCGACAGGTTCTCGCACCACATCTGGACAGAAGACGTCCAGCAATCCACCCGGAAAGATACGCTCCACTCTCGTAGGCGCAACGTCCTATATGATCCGAGTCGATGCCGCACACCCGCACACCATGAAGCTATACAAACACTGCAAAGGCTTGCGTCTACGCGGACTGCTCCCATGGCCACGCATCCGGCGGGCTAAGACTGCTACGCAAGCCTAGCTGACCTAGGCTCCATTCCATATCCCGACCGACTTGCGCCGCTGTGTAACGATAGCCCCGGGCGAACTGCACGCTCATTCGATGCATGCGCCATCGGTTCCTCACATGTCGTTCTTCCTTGCGGAGGAACGTGAGCAGGTATGATCGCCAGTCGTACGGCTGCTCGAGGCGCAGGTCGAGGGTATCGCAGCGGCCTTTCCAGGCCTGCCATTCGACTGGGGAACACGGCAGCATCCATCCGTATTGCCATGCGAGTCGCAGGAATAATCCTTGACGGTAACGATTGATCCCTTCCCAGAAAAAACGGTTGACCTGGCAAAGTGCAAGGATCGTCTTCGTAGCGGATACGAGAGAGGGGGGATCGAAGATGGTATGCGTGACGTCCGTGGAGAGCTCTGCAGCTGCAACGGAGACGGGCAGGTCGACGACTGCGAAGAGGATGGCGTCCAACAGTTCTGGGATGCCGAAGACCTTCATGCACGCAGCGTGCTCGCTTGACTGAGCCCGCGATGCTTCTGACCAATGCGTATCGAGACATTCGGGGAGAGGGAGCATGGTTGGCGGGCTGAGAAGCCAGACGGTGTCTTCCATTGTGTCCGGGTCGTCCCATCGGGCCTCCGTGATTCTCAAGACGGCATAGCCAAACGCTTGGTTATTCCGTCCATCCATGTCGTAATACCCAACGGCGAAAATAGGACCATTGAAATTCAGACCGCCGGAGCGTGGACGTCCCGCTGCTGGCTTGTAGAGAGACTTCCAGAATTGAGAAGGCGTAACGTTGCCGCGACGACATAAGAAAGAGAGGCACCCGCGGTGGAGGGGAATACAAATGTGTGGCGATTGTGGGTCCAGTAGAACCCATTCGTCGTCGTCGTCTTTGACGTAGATGTTACCCCAGTCACTGTAATCGCTGTGATTTGTGAGGACGAGCGTAATATCGAATAGCGCAGGACTTCTAGCGCAACCACACACCTCGGAGGCGAGACCCAGTCTTCTGGCCACTCAGGTCCGACGCTCACAACATCCTTCCAGTACTTGCCTTCTTCAGGAGAGATCCGGACAATGTCGTCTACGGGCGCCTCTGGAACCGGATAACCTGGAGGATTGTATCCCCATTCACCGTCTCCTGGGGGCCATTTAGAAGTAGGGGGATAACCAACGAGATACCGGCGCCACTCGACGTAGGCATCGGAGAGAGGACCTGCACTGTAGTTGTCCTCAAAACCAGCTCTATTTGCACGGGATGACACGTACCAGAATGAGCAGTAAGTTTCAGAGAACCCCATGGGATAGGCAGAAGCAAGTTCTACCTGTCGCGTATAGGTTTTGTGTCCAGGCAAAGCGGTCCCCGGGAGTTTCAGCAACAGCGTTGTGAGTGATCATCACAAACTGGGAAGATGTTTTCCAGCCTTCTGCTGTACATTGGCGTCCTCAATCAAGCGAGCATCACTGCGCCGGTGTGTGTGGGTGTGGGTGTGTCCGCGTTGATAGTCGGACGCGGAGGGTAGACTATGGTACATCGTTCTATTCTACCTTTTCGTCACTGTCCTCTTTGCGATTCAATAGTAGGCAAATTTCCCTGCGTGTAGCAAGCGGAGCCAAGATAGACTATGTTGTTTGCAGAAACGAGTATGTAGTTACTAGTGAGTGAGTACCAGCCACAACATTATTGTGGGGGCACTGCCACAGACCCTTCAAATCGGCTCTTGTTCAAGCAGTCCGTCTTCACTGCAGCGCCACGAATGCAGGATGGGGTTTACCTTGGATAGTCATAAGAAAGTGACGCGGCGCAATGGAGAAGGAATCTCATCAAGATCTACTTATATGTGTCAACGCCTTCGAAGCCATGCTGGAAAACGTGCAGTACAAACTCAGTCGTGTGGATTTTGACACACTGAACAGTACGGCAATTTAAAAAAAAACTCGATAAATGCGATGAAACGCCGCATTTCTGTTTATGACTGCTGGATTCATCGCTTACTTCAACTCCATACGCTGGTCGCGATACCAGCCTTCCACTCATGATGCATTGGATGCTGTTCTCCACACCCGAGTACCCCTTGCCAGCACAATATCAAATCACAACCGACATACACTATAAAAATCGCAGGTAAGCCATGCTGATAGCCTTGCCCGGCGCCATCTTGACTCGCTCAGTCTTCGTTCTGTCCTTTCTCCTGTATCATTCACGTATCGTGTTTGTTCATTATGCCAACCTCTTTCATCTCCCCTATCGTCATATTTCTCCTGCTTCTTGCGAATGCCACCGCCGCCCCTTTCAATCGCCGGCAATCAACAACATGCTCGGACGGCGGAGCGGGTCCCTGCATCTGCGGCAATGCTTTGAGTATTCGAAAGTCGAAACTGTCGTGCCCTAACGAGTCCTTCCAATTCACCGATCACACAAGCGACACAGATCGGGATCTGAAGTTTTTACCTGTAAGATAATCCGTTTAAGGTTTCAACGATTAGGTTCTGATGTCACCCATGTATTCGACTTTATAAGGGAGCTCAGATCGGTAGTCTTCAATGCGGTAAGTTCATTTCCCCATGTGGAGAACACACACTACACCGCTTTTGGGCATAACTCATGTACTCTAAAGATCAGTATGTGTATATTCTCTCATTATTCAACGATGACCTGAGTTGTGCCCTCAGTATTGTCGAGCTGCAATTCATAGCAAACGAACTGAATACTATACCTAATATTTGCTCAAAGTTTCAGACCACAACAGGCGGAGCTACCCCAGCCTTCACTGCCTTCAAGAACGCTATCAATGATATCCCGAATATCGTCTTTGTGGAAAGCATCGTCAACAACGCAAAAGGAATAGTAATAGCTGGAAAGCAATTTCGTGAAACTACGAGGATAGCAGCGGTAAGCTAGCACACATCCTGCAAGAAGGAACTGAGATTACTTAAATACATATACAGGCTGGTGTTGTCAGTTTCCTGACCACTTTGCAGACGAATGGTCAACGCAACGTATATCCGGGAACACACGCGGCAACCAACGTCGATCAAGCATTGACGAATGCCGTTGGAGCGGGCAATGGCTTCCGACCCGGTTTCCAAAGTCGCTTCGATGCCACAATTACGAGTGCCATTGACAGGTAGGTATATGTAGCTTATGGTGGACTGCCTCGCTGAGCCGTGAGGCAAGGACAAAGGTGGCCTTGCCAGCGTTGGACACTATGTCCATCAAACCACCTCCTACACCCGGATCTATTTTCATTCACGAGAACGGCAAATTTTGCAAGCGCGACAATATGCTGGACAAACTACGCAACACATTCGTCCGTGCCGGAGTAATCAAGCGTACTACCGCAACCGCCACTGGACCTTGTGCGACGGTAAGTGATAGAAAATTTGTTTCGCCTCCAAAATTATAGAGATTGTATCTTATGTCTTCTATCTCAGCCTGCCACCACTGTGGCGACGAAGGGTACTGGCTTGGCGCCGACGATCCCTGTTGTGAAGGTTGTTACTCCGGTTCGAGTTACCCCGACGAAGGCGACAATCCCGACGTCATCTAGCACGAACAATGGGAGGGCTCCAGTGTAGGTAGAGCAATGTAGATGAAGCATATGATTTCCAGGTCGCAATGCGGGGTACCGGTGTGCTGTCCATTAATCATGCATATCATCCACTGTGCTGTGGCAGGAATTTGGAAGGAGGAAAGAGGAAAGCCGAACACCCACATCATTGCTGCTATGAGAATAACAGCTCGAGGCACAGAGTGAATAAGCTAGAAGACCGGGTTGAGATGGATCCGTTTGTCTGCGCACCGAGAATTCCGCCAGCATACACTGGGCATGAGTCCGGATCCTGATTGTGAGTTGATTACATAAGGACGTGCATGAGGCACGAGATGCCCTCCGTTTTAGCTGGGACTTACGATACACACAACGGGACCTATGCTCAGCGCTCAGCACCCGAATCCAAAACGATGTCTCGAGTCTCTCGCGCGTCATGGCTACAGCCCACAGCACGCGAACAGCGCAGTGGATGAGTTATGATATGAAAATCCGAATGCAATGGCCTGGACCGCAGTACCCCATTGGTCGACAACTCGTCAGACGCGTTCTCATAACCCTTTGGTCATGGCAAACGAAGTCGTTACGTGGAACCATATCGAACGGACACTCATCCTTATCATGTCACTTCTGTTCTGCACGTTTCTCGAATGCTTCAATCGGCACTCGGAAGCTTGTTTGCAACCGGAAGTTGTGGCTTCTGCCTTCTGCCTTCGATGTGCCAAATTTCGCGCTGGATACTCTCACAGATTGAATGAGTAACAGAATGTTTATACATATACCTCTTGAAGTCGAGAATTCTTATCTACCCAGCCCCCAGACTTGCACACCCCGCACACTCAAATGGAGCAAACATGAGCGCACTACTCACCCTTCTCTCCGCGCTTGCAGTCACTCTGGCGGCATACAAGCTGCTTATGTACTTGACTACACGACTAACAAACCACATGTTACCTCCAGGACCCAGTAAAACGCCCTTCCTCGGCCATCCTACTCGTTCTTTCCCGCAACACGAGTGGGAGGTTTACAAGCTATGGACGGACAGATATGGTAGATCATATTGGCGCCATGGTTGTTCGTACCGAACCGCGGCGTGCTCATGCTCTTGCTGCAGGAGACATAATCCATTTTAGAGTATTTGGGCAATCCAAGGTGAGCAATGCGACATCGAATGTGTCTCATGAATCAGACCCTCATGAAGTAGATCATCCTTGGTTCTGCGGCAGCCGCCGATTTTGTGCTCGAAAAACATTCGGCGACGTCATCGGGCCGCCCGGAGTTGCCGCTTCTAACGCAGACGTACGCCAGAACAATCTCCCTGCCGAGATTCATTCTCTGACATGTTGCAGGGCCGGTTTCGAATGGCACTTTGCCTTCATGCCTTACGGGTACGAGAAACTTGTTTGCCCCGAGGAATCAATGCTCATTATGATGCTTGCGTTAGGGAGGATTGGCGTCGGCATCGCCGGATCTTCCATGAAAAGTTCAACCAGAACTCGGTGGCTGCTTTCCGTCCGATGCATAAGCGGCACATCAAGCGTCTCCTCCGGCTGCTTTACAAGTCCCCTCAATCCATGTACGAGAACTTTCTCTACGTCACTGGGGCAACCATCCTGGACGTACGTTGCGTCTCATCGTCGCTCGGAAGGGGTTTCCTTATCACGTTTTGATACAGGCGCTGTATGGGATAGAGGTTAGCGGTACGGATGATCCGTATCTGAAGACGGCCGACGTCGTGCTCCAGGCAATCACCGAGGCAACCACCACAACTTCCGCTTCTCTGAACAGCCTTCCCCCGTGGCTAGGTATGTGAACGGGTCGCTCAGTGACACGCGCTGGCTTCGGCTCAGAGTTGCGACAGTTCGCCTTATTCCGGCTTGGACTCCAGGGGCCGATCTCAAGCGCAGCGCTCTCGAGTGGCGGTTCCATGCCCAGCGCATGGTCTCTCTGCCGTTCTCCGTAGCCAAGGAATCGGTAGTAAGTCGAATACAAATACGTGTTTCTAAATATTTAGCTTGGTCCCTATGATAGTTGAGGGGCAACGTCTCGTTCAACTTCGTAGCAAGCCTTTTGGAAGGTGTCCTTCAGAAGTACCACGGCGCTGACGCTGGCCTCGAAGAAGAAGAGTTGATCAAGAACGTGGCGGCAGCTGCATACGAAGCTGGATCCGGCACCGTAACGACTTCCCGTTCTTCTCCCGAACCGTCGCGGTGCTGATAATCCAAGTTTGCAGGCTGCCAACATTCTTCATACCTTTACGCTCGCCATGCTACTGTACCCTGACGTGCAGCGTCGAGCGCAAGCTGAGATTGACGCGATTGTCGGTCCGGAGCGGTTACCAGAGTTTGAGGACAGGCAACACTTGCCGTACATGAATCGACTCATTAGTGAAGTGCATCGCTGGGCGCCGGTGAAGCCTCTAGGGCTGGAGCATACTGCGACGGAGGACATAATCTATCGGGGCTATACCATCCCGAAAGGCGCAACGCTGATCCCCAACGTCTGGTGAGCCACGATTCATGTTCATAACGGGGCTTTCACATTGAAGGTTACCCTGATGTCAGGGCCATGTTTCACGACAAGGACACGTACGGACAGGATGTGGACGCGTTCAATCCCGACCGGTTCCTCAGACCAAATCTCCAGGACGTTCCTCCCGGTTTCCCATACGGGGCCTTTGGCCATGGCAGGAGGTACAATCGTGTTGACGAATCACACCGCTAGCGCTGAGCATTCTATTAGGATCTGTCCCGGGCGATACATGGCAAACGACGCGCTGTTTATCACCATTGCATCAACCCTGGCGTGCTTCGCCATCTCCCCGGTTCTCGATGAGGCAGGTAAACCGATTTCGGTCTCGGGGAAATTCACGGATGGGTTCATGACGTGGGTTCACGTTTCGTATGTTCATTCTTTCTCGACTGAAGAAAATACTTGTCAACAGCCATCCAGAAACATTTAACTGTAGATTCGTGCCAAGAGGGCCGCGAGCATTGCAGCTCATTCTAGCGGAACCAGAGTGAAATCATTATCGTCGTGAGGACTATCCGGGATTGTCAAACCTGACACTGGCCCCCACAGATCTTGTTTATGATCCATCTCATTACTTCTCGGCGTTGACGGGTCGTTGATGCTTATGCATTTCCCATTGGTCACAATCGCCGATCATGGTCTCCTCGAGCCATAGTCAGTACACCAGCGAGCCAGCTCACATAACGGCGTGGTAAAGTTCGGCGCGGTGTCCCAGTAAGTTACTACTTACCGTGACCAGCGTCCAGAAATCAAGGTCGACATGGTTTCCTTGCATCCTATTAATGACTTATGATACGCGAATGGCGTGGTGACTGAGTCAGCGTAACTCAACTAGAATTCGCTTCGGACAGTTCTCATGGACGAGTGTGCATACCCGTTCGCGGCTAGTATCAGTTGCGCCGGGCGCTCGCCAATCCGACCTAGGAGCTTCGCCTCATAAGACCCTGGTCACCTGTCAGAAGAAGTTCTTTGCTGGAGCCTTATCGAACCGACGCCCATCCTTATCATGCCTTTTCCGTTATGCGCGGTGCACCAATACCTCACTCCAAGTTGTTTATAACCGGAAGCCACTGATTCTGCCTTCTATGTGCGGGTATTCGTGTCGATTCTCTCACCGATCGCATAACAGGGCCGCCATACATATGCGTAGTGACTACAAGAGAGGGACCCGTATCAACCCAGCACCCAAAGACTTACGCAACTCGCGCATGGGTATCGAGACATGAGCATCTCTCTTATCATTCTCTCAGCGCTGTCAGTCGCACTGGCGGCGTATAAGCTGCTCGCGTGGTTCAGCACACGGTCGGCAACGCACGCTTTACCTCCAGGACCCAGTCGCACGCCCTTCCTCGGTCATCCTACCCGATCCTTTCCGCAACACGAGTGGGAGGTTTACAAGCAATGGACCGACAGATACGGTACATAATCTCTCCGACCCGAAGCTGTACGTAACGAACCACAAAGGTGCTCATTCCCCCCGTGCAGGAGACATAATCCATTTCAGAGTATTTGGGCAATCCAAGGTGCGTGCTACGACGCCGGCAACATGGCTCGTAACTTAGCTAAAGTATCGTACGTGCAGATCATCCTAGGCTCCGCCGCAGCTGTCGATTTCGTGCTCGAAAAATCCTCGGCAACGACATCCGGTCGCCCAGAGTTGCCGCTTTTGACGCAGACGTGCGTTGAAACGCCCAATTTGCGAACCACTCGGTCTTGACGCGGTTCATTGGCAGTGCCGGATTCGAATGGCACTTCGCGTTTATGCCCTATGGGTACACGAATTCCATCTTTACGCCCACGATGACGCTCACGTATGCGTCAGAGAGGATTGGCGCCGACACCGCCGTGTCTTCCATGAAAAGTTCAACCAGAACGCCGTAGCAGCATTTCTTCCGGTGCAGCGGCGCCAAGTCAAGCGTCTACTCCGTCTGCTGTACGAATCACCTCAAGCCATGTACGAGCACTTCCTGTACGTGACAGGGGCTACGATCATGGACGTAAGTTGTATCTGCCTTCTGTGACCAGCGAAAACCCCTTGATGCCCGCGTATGACGATGCAGGTGCTGTACGGGATAGAAGTGGGCCCGAAGGACGACCCGTATCTGAAGACCGCGGACGTCGTGCTAGAGGCTATCACCGAGGGGACTACTACGACCGCAGCCCCTCTGAACAGCCTTCCCCCGTGGCTAGGTACGTGAACGAGGGCAGTATATGACCTATGCTATCCTCAGCGTCGAAATGCGACAGTACGCCTGATTCCGGCGTGGTTTCCTGGAGCCGATCTCAAGCGCAGCGCGCTCCAGTGGCGGGTGCACGCGCAGCGCATGATCTCACTACCATTCGCAGTGACGAAGCAATCGATGGTATGCATCGCGAACGGAAGTCAGTTGCAGGGTGCTCAACGGTTGTGATCGCAGTCGAACGGAAGCGTCTCGTTCAACTTCGTATCGAGCCTTATGGAAAGCCTCTTGGCAAAGTGCGATAGCATCGATGCTCAGCTCGAACAAGAAGAGCTGATCAAGAACGCTGCGGCAGCCGCGTACGAGGCTGGTTCCGGTACTGTGATTGATCCAGTTACCTCCCTGGCACGCCGCGCCGCTGACGCCCCAGAATATCTTCTTCATAGACCGCCAACGTGCTCCACACATTTGTACTTGCGATGCTGCTGTACCCTGACACACAACGCCGCGCGCAGGCGGAAATCGACGAGATCGTCGGCTCGGAGCGACTACCGCAGTTCGAGGACCGACACAACTTGCCCTACACAAATCGGCTTATCAATGAGGTGCATCGTTGGGCGCCTGTGGGACCGCTTGGGCAGGAGCATACCGCATCGGAGGACATCATCTATCGGGGGTACACTATCCCCAAAGGCGCGACACTGATCCCTAATGTATGGTGAGTAGTGCATTGGAATCTTGGGTGTCGGTGTCCCGTCAAGGTCGCTTGAACATCAGGGCTATATTCCGAGACAAGGACACGTACGGACAAGATGTGGACGCGTTCAACCCCGATCGATTCCTGCGACCAAATCTTCAGGACGTTCCTCCCGGCTTCCCGCGTGGAGCATTTGGCTACGGTAGGAGGTAAGATCATATTCACGAATCACGCTGCTATCACTGGATATCATGGTTATAGGATCTGTCCCGGACGATACATGGCCAACAACACATTGTTTGTCACTATCGCCTCGATCTTGGCGTGCTTCGATATATCCCCTGCTTTGGATGAAGCGGGAAAGCCGATTCCGGTGCAGGAGCGGTTCACGGATGGTTTCATGACGTGGGTTCATCCGTGACATTGTTCCCTTCGCGCGATTGAGTGCAAATGCCGCCAACAGCCATCCAGAATCGTTCAACTGTAGATTCGTGCCTAGGGGCGCGAGGGGGTTGCAGCTCATCCTCGGGGAGACGGACTGAAATAGTCCGCAAGGGTGTTGCAGCTCGTTCTGGAGAAACGGACTTCGCTAAAATAAAAAAAAAGCCTCGATCGCTTCCTATGCCGTCGTCTGCCTCCCTCGTGAATTTTCAACAGACAAAAACCAATGTACCATACATGGCGACCGACTTCCATGGAATGTATACGACTCGATCTACCAGATAAGCCAGAAGCAGAGGGAGGGCCCGGATATGCCGCTATAGATTGTGAAATCTATTCGAGACCCCTCTTGCGCCGCTCGAGCCTGCCTTCAGCGTCGGCCTCGCGTTTGACGGCGTCCGCCCAGGCTGATAAGCCACCGCGCTGGAAGGCCTCTGTGAGCCGCGCCTCGGCAGCTGCCCACGTCCAAGGCTCCTGTGGTGGGTTTCGTCTGTCGACGACCTCCTCTGTTGAATTGGGCGAGACAACTGACGCCGAGCTTGACGAGCGATCGGTCGTCTTCCACGGCCGCCAGGACATCCACGACGAGACCTTCAGGGAGGTAACGTCGTCCTCCGAGGTGGCAGAGTATACGATAGGTTGACTGGCAGATACAACAGCGGGTAGATCACTCGAAGACGGCGTAGGGCCACCTTCGCGTCGGCCTTCGGTCATGGTTGGGGACCGGAAGAGAGGCTTGAGAGGCTTGTCGTCCGTCTCCGGATCCGGTAAGCGATGCAAGCGTTCGGCTAGGGCGGGCATGGCCTTCAGCAGCCTGGATCGCATCTCTTCCGCAAACTCTTCCGTCTATCGAATTCCGAGATGCCGGTCAGCTTTCTGGCGACGTGATCGCGAGCATCATTATTTTTCACGCACGTCGTGCACGCCGAGCGCGTTCATCACGCCCACGACGCCGATCGCGGCCGTCAGCGACACGGCGGCGGTCGCGATCCCAAAGGCCTTGAAGGCGCCAAAGTAGTTGTTGAGCGTCGGGTCGACGTGCGCCGGTCCGGGCTGGTCGTCCGCGTGGTACAGCAGCGATTTCCACGTCGAGTTCAGTCCCTGCCAGCTCAAGCGAGAGCCGGTCGCGAGGGGGGCGGGTGCAGGTATCGGTGGTGGAGGCGCGGAGGCAGGTGAAGCCTTGGGTGCCGCACGTGGACGGACAGAGGTTGTCCTGCGCGGTGGAGGGGCGCTGCCGCCGATACTCCGTCGCGTCTGCTGCTGCATGGCGGGCCGCTTTCCTAGGTGTTTGAGCGACGGGGCAGAGCCCGGAGTCCGCAACGAGGAGCCAGACGCATCCCCCGGGCCTGGCTTGAGCGAGCGTGACCGGCCGGGTTTATGTCGTCGAAAGTGGAAGACGTCCAAGGCGATGGAGGCGACCGTCACCGCGGCCTTCGCAGCCCGGTAAGAGAAGAGCGTCCACATCGTCAATGTGTTACATACTCACCAGGGAAACGGGTACCCATGATATCCGAGTGAATGCGCTGCGGGTGCCGTCGTCGCTGTTCACGACATTCGAGTCGGGCTGCATCGAGGGACTCTGCCAGGACGAGGATGTGGCTGTGCCCGCTCTGCCGGACGCGTGTATGACTACAGCAAGTGCATATCGATAGAGCGCTCGAAAAATCCTGTCCCTCACGAAGCTCTGCAACCGACGTGCTTCGGTAATGCAGATGCCTCATGGGCACTGATTTTCTGCTGTATTTCAGCTGTATTTCAGCGCAGTTCAGTGTTTCCATTGCCTGATGCTCCACCGGCGAGCTTGACCGACCCTTCTTGAGCTGATCCATGGCGACCACAGACTTTATTGAACGCTCTATCGATATGCAATCTGCTGTAATACGGACCCTGTCTTCGTTCCCTGCGAACAGCTGCGAACGAACATGCACGGCAGACGTGAACTCGCGAGGCTGCCGGACTCGATACGTGTGCACGGCCAGAGTCCATTTGGGTGGGTCAAAAGTCTCACTACCCACTATCATGACTAAATGTCACCGTTGCAATGACGCCAGCCCTTTTTCGAACATGATAAAAGGGCATCGTACCGATCGTCGTCTCTACCGCTCGCTCGAGGCGGATCCCACTTAGCACTACATACCAGCACCAACACCAACGTCAACACCCGCCATGTCTCTCTTCAAGCCCGCCCCTGCGCCCCCCACCAACCTCGGCCGCTACCGCCGCCTGTCCCCGATCGCGGGCGTCCACGTCTCGCCGTTCCAGCTCGGCGCGATGAACATCGGCGACAAGTGGCACGACGTCGGAATGGGAGCCATGGACGAGAAGTCGTCGATCGCGCTCTTGGACGCGTTCTTTGACGCGGGCGGAAACTTCATCGACACGGCGAACAACTAGTCGGTGTTCATTCGTGCGCGACGCTTGGCGATCATCGGTGCTGACTCGTTATATTCCAGCCAGGACGAGCGATCCGAAGAGATTATCGGAGCGTGGGCGGAGAAGAGGGGCATCCGCGACCAGCTCGTCATTGCCACCAAGGTACCAACTCCTAGCCTACTCGCAATCGGATGGAATACTGATTTTACTTGCCGCACTAGTACACGTCGCCGTTCAAGCTCCGCAGCGACACGATCCAGCAGAAGGTCAACTACATTGGCAACAACGTCAAGTCGATGCACATCTCGGTCGAGGCCTCGCTCAAGAAGCTCCGCACGTCGTACATCGACATCCTCTACGTGCACTGGTGGGACTGGGACACCAGCGTGGAGGAGGTCATGAACGGCCTCCACGCCCTCGTCCTCGCCGGCAAGGTCCTCTACCTGGTACGTGTTCCCGACTCCTCCGCGTCGGAGGTTGGAAAAAAAGATGAGAGTCGAACGCTGACGTGCGTCGGGACGATGCAGGGTGTTTCCGACACGCCGGCGTGGGTGGTGTCCAAGGCGAACCAGTACGCGCGTGATCACGGCAAGACGCCGTTCGTGATCTACCAGGGCGCGTGGAACGTGATGGAGCGCTCGTTCGAGCGCGATATCATCCCCATGGCACGCTCCGAGGGCCTCGCGCTCGCGCCGTGGAACGTGGTCGCCGGCGGTAAGATCCGCACGGACGAGGAGGAGGAGCGGCGGAGGCAGACGGGCGAGAAGGGCCGGACGACGTTCAACCCCAACTGGGAGCGGACCGAGGACGAGAAGAAGGTGTGCAAGGCGCTCGAGAAGGTCGCGGCCGAAGTCGGCGCGAAACACATCACCGCAGGTCAGTCGGACCCTCGCCCGTCTCGCGCTCGCGCGTGTGCTGATGATATCCGCTCGTCTTCGATCGCGGTGCAGTGGCGATCGCGTACCTGATGCAGAAGACGCCGCACGTGTTTCCCATCGTCGGCGGACGGAAGATCGAGCACCTGCACCAGAACATCGAGGCGCTCAGCATCACGCTCAAGCCCGAGCACCTGCAGTACCTCGAGAGCATCGTGCCGTTGGACCCTGGGTTCCCGAACACCATGATCGTGAGCACATCTTTCCCCCTCGTCGCCTTCCTTCCGACGCGATCTCACGCCGTCATTCTATAGGGCGACGGCACCAGCTACGCGCCGTTCATATACGCCAACGCGCACTTGGACAAGGACCCGCAGGTTCAGGCTATCCGTCCGTCGCAGTAGACGGTTGCCCCTATAGCTCTCTATCGAAAGCCCAAGGAGCTCGTCGGGGGCTGTGTCGCCTGGTTCGCTGCGCTTTACTGAGGCGCCATCGACGGGCTGGTTGTAATGATAGTTGTATGACTGCACTGCAGATGTTTTTTTTGGCACGAAATGGGCATGTGATGACTGACCTTACGGTAACCTCCGGGCATTGCCGAGCACCTTCTCAGCTTTACTTTGTTGCGACAGCGGACGCGAAATATTACTATCCGCCATGGCGTACACAGATTGTGCAGTACCACTCACTGAACTTGGGATCTATCCACACACATCCCCGTTTAATGGAGCTTTGCTCTGCAGGTATCCGACTTGAGTGTCATCATGGTCGCCAATTCGCAAGGCGCGCTTCTCGTGAGCTCGTTCACCAATCCGAAGCACTCGCCGTCTCTGCATTTATAACATACACGTAGCACAAGCCGAGGAGATACGGGAAATTCAAGGTAGTCACGATGAAGGGCTCAGGAGCACGGGCGAGGCGTCCACGGTCAAGAATACAATCGCGATGCCTGTCCTGCATATACGAGTACATCCAGCATGATGTCACTGAGACTATCATAAGGATCTGATGTCGAGCCTACTATCTCGTCTTCCGCCCCGTCCATCGGTATCGCCGGGATATTACCCCCCGTGTCATGTCTCGTCTGTGGAAAGAACTACCACCCCCTCCGACCAAGCTCGCGCGGTATCGCCGCCTAAGCCCTCTTGCTGGCGTACATGTCTCACCGATCCAGCTCGGGGCGATGAGCATTGGCGACAAGTGGGCGGAGCTCGGCATGGGATCGATGGACAAGCAATCGTCCTTTGAGCTGCTCGATGCGTATTTCAATGCCGGCGGAAACTTCATCGACACCGCGAACAACTAGTGAGTGAAATTCATGGATCTCTTGCTTCATGTGCGATGAATCTCGATTTACACGTAGCCAAGACGAGTCTTCGGAGGAGATCATCGGAGAGTGGATGGAGCAAAGGAGTATCCGCGACCAGATCGTCGTTGCCACCAAGGTGCTCCTGGCCCTTGAGTATACTCCGCTCGCGATAACAGACTAATGTGTTCCCCATAGTACTCCTCATCGTTCAAGTATCGCGACCCTTCGATCGCGCAGAAAATAAACTATACCGGTAACAACGTGAAGTCGATGCATGTCTCCGTGGAGGCTTCTCTCCGGAAACTCAGGACCTCGTACATCGACATCCTTTACGTGCATTGGTGGGATTGGGACACAAGCGTTGAGGAGGTCATGGACGGCCTCCATGCCCTTGTGTTGGCCCGAAAAGTCCTTTATCTAGCGAGTGCTCATTCGCGACGATCTTGCCATGATGATCTTGACGAGAGATGCGATAGGGTATCTCTGACACGCCCGCCTGGGTCGTTGTCAAGGCAAACCAATACGCCAGATACAACGGAAAGACGCCCTTCGTGATATACCAGGGTGCATGGAACGTCATGCAACGGTCGTTCGAACGGGAGATCATTCCGATGTGCCGTTCCGAAGGTCAGATCGTCGTCCAGTTGAAAGCTCGAAGACATGAATTGACGACGTCTCAGGGTTGGCCCTCGCGCCGTGGAACGTTTTGGCGGCGGGTAAACTCCGCACGGACGCGGAAGAGCAGCGTCGCAGAGAGACAGGGGAGAAGGGCAGGACGATCTCCAACCCGAATTGGGAACGATCGGAAGACGAGCGGAAGATGTCCCAGGCGCTCGAGAAGGTCGCCGCCGAAGTGGGTGCCCAGCACATCACAGCGGGTGCGTGCCGAACGCGTCGTCGATGGGATATCTCGTTGATGTGTGCGAGGATGCAGTCGCGATCGCGTACCTGATGCAGAAAACCCCTCACGTCTTCCCCATCGTCGGCGGTCGCAAGGTCGAACATTTGCATCAGAACATTGAGGCGCTCGACATCGCTTTGAAGCCGGAACACGTTGAGTATCTAGAGAGCATTGTTCCATTTGATCCCGGGTTCCCAACCACTATGATCGTGAGTTTATATTTTTGTGCCATTTCGTGTCTTGGTTTACCTGCTCGACAGGGCGACGGTACCAATTACCCTCGATTCGTGGCTGCCATAGCACACCTGGATCGCGACCCACGGCCTGAGCCTATCCGTCCGTAGGCAGTAAAATAGCAAGGATGCAGTCGAAAGTATCAAGGTGTGAGGATATTATGTGTAACGATTAGGGCGGGCCATTCGAGCAGGGCCTCATTGGGTGCCATGTTCATTCACTCCGGTATTGGATGGTGCTGGCAAGGTGCTGGCGACCGTGGTACAGCCGTTTTCAAAAATCATGAGCGCGGCACCAGAAACGAGACGCGCGTCGTGAACGACCCTAAAGTGGGGTCACCGCCAGATCAGCGATGCCGGCGAGCTCAGGAGGTCAGCCAGCTCAGGCATCTCGACGGGATCGTATTGCTGTTGTTGTCTGAGGAGTGCCCGAGCATAAGGGAGCCAAAGGTTAGCCTGATTTTGAGCTCGAGATACGATGTGCAATGTTTCTGGGGGTTTCTGATTCCCTCAACTTGATGCTCCCGGCGGATTGTCTTTCACCCGTTCTGTCAACTTCCACTCGCCTATGGGATCTTCTTGATAGCGGGCTACACCTTGATTTGGAGCAGTACACTTGTACAATGGTTGCCCTCAGTGAACCATGCTGCTGCTGGCAGTAACCCTAGTATAAGGGTCTTACACAATGCTCCCCAATGACGAGTCGACGATGAGTTCCCAAACATCTCGTTGTCGAAAACATCGGTAGACTCCTGGGACACATATTTGATCATACAGAGGCTGGACTGCGTCCAGATTTGCTGGATGTAGCGTCCATAATCATGGTTTACATTCGCTGACGCTATCCTTGCCTGCTACTGGGAAATTGCTCGTTAATTCCTTTGAATATCATGTTTACCACTCCTCAGAATCATCCTCTGAGCTCCTCACGCGTATTTTGATCATTTCCATGCTATCCTAGGGCGCATCATCGTAGAGTTCGTCGTCGAACTGGCGGCAAACCCAGCTTTGGGGTCATTCACGACGCGCATCTCGTTCCGATGCCGCGCTCATGATTTTTGAAAACGGCTGTAAGGGAAATGCTACGGCCGACACATGCCGTGACTTCAACAAACCTGACGTCCGCCTCGATCATGGACAAGTTGCCTACTGAGATCATCTCTTTCATTGTCGAGTTTGCATGCAGCGACAGCTATTCTGCTGCTTATTCGCTCTCGCTTGTGTCTAAATTCTTCCACGAGCTATCGCGTCCCTTCCACGGCCAGTTCGGCCAGTCGTTGGCCGTGTCCGGCTCGGCGGATATCATCCACTACGCTACCTATTTCAGGACGAAGTATGCCAAGGTACAGACCAGGAACGGCCACCCTCATCCTAGGGCGCCTCACATCGGTGCTCTGTTCCTCTCAGTGGCGGAAGTGCGGGGCACCACCAGAGAGCAAAGACGGAGCAGCCCGTCGATGATCCGGATGTACACGGCTTTGACCAAGAGCCGGAAACAGAGTCAAAGTAGCGGGGACAGCGGGAACGAGGTAACCGCGCTCAAGTCCGCCATCATGACGATCCTTACCGCCGTCGCTCCGACCGTTCGCCTCCTCGTCATCCGCATAGGTCCATTCCAGTTCAACGACGCCGTTGCGATGCCATTCCCTCTACTGAACGATCTCGTCATTTGGGGCGAGAGCTGCTTCGCGCCTGGATCCCTGCCGGCCCTGCGACGTCTCCACATTATCGCGCACAGGGTGCACGCCGGAGACCTCTGGGACTGGATGGCAAGTCGTACATGCAACCACGAATCCTTGTTGGAACACCTCCGCCTCACGCATATATCGTCTGCGCGACAGCTGAGCGAAATGCTCTACGCACAGCTGCGCATCCCAAACAAGGTCTTACAGCAACCGGATGTCCAATACCTCGCCCGTAAAGCCGAGCTCCTCCCCCGCTTGCGGCGGATCTATGTCCAACCATGGATCCCTTCGCGCGGTAATCCGTCAGCGTTGCAAGCGGGGCGCATGGCTAACGAGCTTTCTCGAGTGGCGAGTGCCGATCGCACCGGCGCGCGTTTCGTCCTCATGGAGCAGAGCATGTACGATGGCGAAGCGACCTTTGAGGATTGGAAGAATTGCATTGAAGGAGGACGCGGCCCTTGGCGAGAAGTTGGCGAAATCCGAGATCAGGCTAGTAAGCCGCAGTTCGCGTCATCAGCATGGTCTGAAGGAATTGTTCCTAGCAGTGTGCGACGTACCCCATGGCGCTCTAGCCTTCCCAGGAATCCGTCTTACGCCACCTTAAAGGTCATCCGGACACGGCAAGTGGAGAGCCCGGTTCAATCATTGAGGATCGCGGGAAGGTAGAAGGTCAGCACGCCACCGGCGTCGGTGACGTCGCCTATGTAAACATACAGGATCATGCAATGTCGGGCACAGAGACCTGTGACGATGGATGATCAAGTCCTGAAACAACCCAGAGCTGAAGGAGATGCCCACATGCGATCGTGGTACTCGACACAACATGGCTGTTCAAGAACTTCTGGAAACTTCGGACGGAGACGTTTACGCTGTGCATCTTCTTTGGATCCCGATTACGAGCTGCGAGCACGGCTGGGTCTTGGGAGGATTGATGGTCTGGTTGCGGCTCATCATTCATGTTCCGTAGTATAGTGCTGCAGCATGCTTACCCATGTCAGGTATGACGAGCTTTGACCATGCCGTCTTGATATTCACGGTATCAGTCTCAACTCCCAGCTGGCGCCGCTAGTCATGATCAACATCGACGGAGATGGCAGGAAGCCTACCTGCAAGTCCCCAGAGCGATTTGCACTGACAGTGAGAATCTCTGCCATCGGACGTAGTCGTTCGATAACCGTACGAAGCTTCGTCAGGGACGGTAGTATGAGGTGAATCTTATCCGAAGAAGTTAACGACAACAACCCTCATAAACGTCGCATCACTTACATCCGGTTCGGGGCACGTCGGCTCCTTAAGCTTGGCCACGTCACTAGGTTTCATGACTTCGATGGGAACATGGTGGGCAAGCGTTATTGACTTTGCCGAGCGCGAAAAACCAGCTATCTATATTCTTGCTCGTCCATAAGCTAGCGGTCGCGTGCAGCGGGGCGATGAGATTGAAGGACCTCGAATTGCAACACTGCCCTATCGTCCTTCTTCGCCAGTTTCATCACTATGTCATTGTGATCCATAGATGCGATAGAGGAGGAGACGCCTCGTAAGACAGCCAGGAGCGGTTCGGTCGCGATTGACATGGTAATTTCATTGTTGGAATTAGACTGGATTCGATAGTCGGTGAAGATAGACGAGACTCGTATCTGCCTGTGCACAGCGATAGCTTGTGAGTCGCAATGTAGGAACACGGCGCGAGGGAAGACGTACGACCAAACTTGGACTCCACCCTCATTCACGTCATTGTTGCAGATGATGTAGATGTCAGGCTCCGTAAACTTGATAATGCACTTCTTCTGTAGCTTCTCTATGGATTGTATAATGCCTGAGGGAATATGGGCGCGTGAGACGGGGATTGTGATGGTCGAGGCGCGCATACATACGTGAAAAGGTGGGCAAGCTATCGACAGTCGCGCGAAAACGCATAGTTCTGTCCTAGTGGTCTTTTTGCATCAAGGTATAGATTTCCAGGTGGATTCTCCGCCCAGTTTCGCGAACCGGTCACCCCCAGCTCAACACGAGACGGAAAACGCGGAAAGACGCAGACGCGTCAAGGACACAGTTGTAGTCACGCCCGGTCACGCGGTCCGGCGATTCACCGCAAAGAACGCCCATGACTTGACGGGGCGCTACATGTACCTTACTGCCTCAAGCGCATACATCAATATGGAATACGGATAACATGGACGACGAGACAGGGTCAATGCATGGGGAGATGGACTCGGATATATTGATTGCAAGATTTTGTGCCCATGGACGAACAGGACGCAGAAACTGACGAATGCATGATACTTATACGAAGTTGCAAATGCGAAAACCTCAGTATCCAGGCTTCGAGACACCAATCATGTCCTGCACACCCACCGGCGAGCGCGAGAGTTCGCCGTGATCAGATTCGTAGGACTGTCCTGCATTTGTTACATCCGGAATACACCGAATCCTCCGCCCTGTCCGTCCCAGGTTGTGCTAATGCTATTGGTCCCCGCTCGCTTCTCATTGTTCCTCTTCGCTTTCGACAACGCGAGGCCTAATCCGAGGACGTCGCGGGTGTCCGTCGGCTTGATGATCCCGTCATCCCACAGTCTCGCAGATGCGTAGTACGCCGTCGACTGGGCCTCGATCTCGGATTTGAGCGAGGCATGCTGTGCGGGATCCCTGGGCACGAGTCACATACGCAATATATCCTCTTATAGTATGTAAGAACGGCTTACTTGGAGACGGAGGTCATCACTTGGGACAGCTGCCCGGATCCCATGACCGATACCTTCGCATTCTACCCGGCAAAGTCCTCGGTCAGTCCGAGGACGTCGCTATCAAACCTACCCGATATGTAACGTACCGGCCACATCCACAGGAATCTTGGAGAATACTGCCAAGTTCATATCGGGGTCAGTAACGCGCCACACGGTCAGGATGAATGTGCGACTCACGGCTCTCCCACACATGCCGTAGTTACCCGCGCCAAAGCTCCCGCCGACGATGACGGTGAGCTTGGGGACGTCAGCGCACGCGACCGCCCGAACCATCTTCGCACCGTCCTTTGCGATCCCACCTTTCTCTGCTTTGGAACCGACCATATAGCCTGTTATTGTGCATATCATTCATCAGCATGGGCGTGTACGAAAACGAGACTATCGCGTGCGTTCCGCGACGCAACGATGAAAGGAAGACGGATGATGGAAGCCAGGTCAATAAGCAGAGCGGATCTCACCGGTCACGTTGACCAAAAACACGAGAGGGACTCCACGTTGTGAGCACATCTGAATGAAATGCGCCGCCTTGAGTGCACTCGGAGAGAACAGGATGCCGTTGTTGGCGATGATTCCGCATTGATACCCGTGTATGTGAGCGAAACCCTGTATTGAGCGGTGAATGCGTGTACCGGCGGGGATATCTTAGTTGAACTGACAGTGACGATGGTAGATCCGTACTCTTTCTTAAATTCTCGGAAGCGACTTCCGTCTACAATGCGGGCGATGACATCTCGCATGTCGAATGGCTGCGAGATCATGTGTTCGTTGCTGGGTGCGGCCGGAGCATGTAAGAGACACTCACGTGTCTGACATCCGTACCCACAATGCCATGCAGTTCGTCAGGCGAGTACAAGGGTGGCTCCGGAGGCGCATCCGGCTATCAATGAGAGATGATGAGCCTTCAGACGAATGATCTGTACGTCGCAGCATACCGTTGCTTCAGGGGGCGCAGGCCCTAGATCGCCCACGATTCCCCTGGCAATAGCTATTGCATGTTCGTCATCCCTCGCAAGGTGATCGACGACGCCAGACTCAGAAGCATGCATGAGGCCACCTCCAAGAGTCTCTTCGTCCACCTGCAATATCGTGAGCTTAAATATTAAGATATGCACGCGCAAAGGTGCTCACTACTTCGCCAGTGGCAGCTTTGACCAATGGCGGGCCTGCAAGAAAGATATGTCCTTGGTTCTGCACAATAATTGTCTCATCCGCCATGGCGGGGACATATGCTCCACCTAAGTGCGCATCAAGACTGAGAAGGGTAGGACAGTGAAGGGAAGGTAGTACCAGCAACGCTGATTCCATGTACGATCGCTATCTGAGGTATTCCCAGCGCAGACATCTGTGCCTGATAGCAGCGGATCAGCAATGAAAAGGAATCCTCCACATTCAAGATATAATACCATATTATAGAATATTCGACCGAAGTGTTCCTTGTCCGGAAAGACGTTTGCCTGGTGAGGCAGGGCGGCGCCTCCAGATTCGACTGTTCCAAACACGCATTGAAGAATGAATGGTAGCTTGGTTATGCGTCAAGCCTTACCTACGTATACACATGGCAATCCATGTTCTCGTGCAATCTCCTGAGCACGTAAATGCTTTCTAACCTGTCCCAGAAGATCGTCTTTGAGCCAAAGCAGTGAACTGGACGGTTCCATTGAGATGGCGTGTACCCACTGTCAATGGATAATAGCTGCCTCCCTTCACACTAGCATCGTTGACCACAATCATGCATTCCCGACCAGCAATACGGCCTGATGATCATCGGATTCATCCCAGTAGAGGAAGAGCGTATCAGAAGCGCCAGAGGGACATAAAGGAATGCTTCTGACCTATCCCCGTTATGATACCTGCCCCTGGTATGTTGTCCCAGGTTCCGTTGCCCTTCGTATAAACTTCGTGTGCAGCAAGGGGCGACAGCTCAAGGAACGGTGAAGATGGGTCGAGAAGTGCTGCCAGCCTTGATGATTGAATAGGTTCAGTATCTCAGAAGGAGCAAACGCGTCAATTATAGACAATGACAAACCTTTCGCGGGGTATGAGCTTGCCCTTCGCTCGCATCCGATCAAGCGCTTTCTGTCCGCCGCCACCGTGTACTTCCTGGAACTTTACTTCTAAATCTCTCACAAGGCTATATCTTTGGGATGAGTCGCGGAAGAAGGTAGCTGAACGCCAACGTACGTGTCCATGCTCTCCTTCTTCCGCGTGAATTCCGGCGATGCTGGCGATATCAATGAGGGAAGTACAGATGCATAATAGCTGCGCCTTGATATATGTTGCATTCCATTGAGCAGTGCGCCATGCAGGGCATGTCCCTTGCCTCCGCAAGCTGCAAATGGATCTAGCGTTCGTATTGCACTGCCGCGTCCGGTGCGCGTTGCGCGAACAGGATAAGTCAGATATGTTTGCAGCCGCTTCATAGGCAAAGTTGAGTTGGACACAGTCGTATTAGCACGCGCTCCTGATGCCAGCCTGAGGGGAGCAGAGATCGTAGACAAGACTCGATAGAACGGGGTGACGCGGGGGTGGCTGTATTCTCCGGCCGGAGCTTCGGGAACAAGCCCATGTGACTAAGCCGACTGCCGGTGATTGCCGGGAAGCATCCGTCATCGCACCTCCGACGTAAATTCACGCTCAACTTGCTACTTGGCCAGCCATAACAGATGGCATCCAGTCTCTCGCCCGAGTGCACACCACTCAAACAATCGTATGATGCTTGCTTCAATGCCTGGTTCGAGGGCTACCTCGAGCCTGCCGTCGCAGCCTCAGCAACCTCAAACGCCTCGGGCAAGAACGACGCGTATTCGGATTGGACGAAGAAGAAGACAGCCGAGTACGAGGAGAAGTGCGGAAAGGTCTGGCAGTCCTACCGAGAATGTATTTCTGTAAGTCTCTCGGAGGACGTGTTACGGTCTCTATTGATGCGTTGTTCCTAGAAAGCAGTTTCTGACCGCGGCCTGGACGAAATGCTCGCTCAGGCTAGGAAGGAGAACCCTCTAATCCAGTCATCTTCATCCTCCCAAACACGGAGTTGAGAATTTCCAGCTATCATATATCAGGTACATCGCCGCTCACTATGTACAATCAATGCACTGGCAACTCGCCCTCCGGTTTGCTTCACACCGCCCTGTTGTGAGGCCTACATCACTCGCTTGTTATAGTGTGCATATCGTGGGGTCATACGAATGGTGAGTACATGCAGATTTTTCTTTTCAAAGACAAGCGACGATCTCTCCCCACGATGTTGGCTGCGCACAGACGAGTTAGCTCTTTGTCGAAATTGCTCCAGCTTGTAAAGTACGCAATGATCCGCGAAACTCATGCATAATGTTTCTTGGCGTTGCGTCCTTCGCAATAAACCAGGATTAGCATGACCTACACCGATTCATGCACACTCCGGAAGTCATTCATGAGGTTCAGGCTTCATCGCTGCTTCAGGGGCTCATCATTCGGCTAAGTGGTGACAATCACGCCCCGCGTCCGGATAGTTGTCATTACTACTCGCAGCCGGCAAAATAAGACTAAAAGGTGAACCGCACCGTCCTCCAGAACCACTAGTGTGCGACGACGCCCGTTCTCAATCCTGATCACGGTTAGGATCGTGTCAGGCGAGTCGCCCCATGTTGCAGATGCGCTGACACCCGCCAAAGAGGTAAAGCGTACGAGAGATCAGCCGAACGAAACAATCTGACATCCGCTCTCTTCAGACCTCGTTGTCACTCGCGTGTCAACCCTATGAGCGGATCTACGGACCACGTAAGAAACTAGTAACAAATGCAGGAACGAACGGCTAAGATGGTCCACCCGGCGCACCTTCATCCGGACTTCGGTAGACTCGTCTGATACGCATTCCCTGAGAGCGCGAGGTGGCGTAGGAGATCCGAAATTCTCATATGGAGCTCGAGAAGCGAGATGAGTGGTGCGTCGCAAGCGATGTAGCTAGATAGCCGTCTCCGCGGTAGCGAAGAGCAGTGGGGTGGAAAGTCCGTACGCTGAACAGCATGACCCATCTGCATCTTCGCACTGCGACAGAAAATCCCAGTGCACCCTATGAGACAAGTAAGGGCGCGGAACACACTCTCACGAACCTCGAAGTCATGACATCCACACACCCTGCGTACCACTGATCCAAACGCTCAAGACCAAAGGAGGGAAAGGCGGCAGTCGGGGAGAACGGAAAATCGCATCTCAGGCTCGCCGCGGAGCCCCGGTCTTCACGGAGATATCTCGAATGATAGATGCCCATATTTCGAAATTAGAAACATGAACGAGCGGTGCGAGCCAAGAAGAAGGCCAGATGGATCGAATGACCGTCGACTTCAGAGTACCTGGTCGGCGAAGTGCGAGATAACTCATACCATAACGTGTATGCGAGTCAGGGTTCATCCTGAATGAGCAGCGGAGAGCATCACGGTGAAGTGCGACGCCTTCCTGAGCGTGACAGTAAGGATACTTCGTACGAGCACTCGGTACCGGCCTTCCTAAACGAGTGTCTTGGGCCGGGTTAAACGCCTTACTGCGGCGCCACCAGTGAGTACTTTGCACGCGGTCCGTAAACGATTCGATTCTTTCTTAATAGCAGGTGCATCAGATCTGAGTTTTGCTGCCGCCTGACAAGATTTAGCGTCATTATGGCTGGAGAAGTATCGGGATTGGGGGCGTGCCGTGTCGTCTTTCGAGCCAGAAGTCGTAATTGTAGCATGAGCCGCCACCGCGATGGCCGCCTCGCATAATCCCTGATGCGACGATTGAGTCCCAGTAACGCAGCAATTAACCGCGCTACGACACAATTTCGGGCTGTTTCCGTTCTGACCTGTGCTAAGGCCGAAGTTTGCCATGTTCCAGAAAGGTATCATTACAATGCGTATATGTGTGCATGTGGACACCACGAGCTACCTGCTTCAGCATTACCATCCACTAGCAGCAGCTGCGGGGCTCTGGGGAATGTTCTGCGGCATTGACGGGGGATTCCGAGGCAGCTCCTTGTGTGCATCGTTGTCCTTCCTGTTGCATTGGAAGTCATTACGATAACAAGAAAATATCATCAAACGGACTAACCGAAATTCGACCTTCTCGACGCGTACTTCATTCTCGATAAGTTGATACACATACGTCGTGATGACGGGGCCCTGAATGTCCATCAAAGCAAAGGAAGGGGTTGGTCTGTATAGGTTACGATATGACATAAGGATTATCCGAAAGGAAACCCGGTGAACGTAACGCACGCGTCTTGATTTCCATTCCAAGCACCAGTGGCTGACCCAGGATTCACAAAGAATCGGTTGTCATACTCGACTGCCTGGAAGCTTTATATGACGGTCTTTTAATAGTCCGACTACGAGGTGAACTGGAAAGATTCACGTGTGAGTGTGACCGCTAACGAGGACGTCGACGTCCATTTGGCGAGCTATGGCATTCAGAGAGTCAAGATCACCTGCGGGAATACACCTGAGGGAATGTATGTAGCATCTAATGTGGGTCAATGTATCAAAGTTACGCACTGGTGGCCGTGAATAACCCCAATCCGTATGGGCGAGCCCTGATGCACGACGGTATGCGAAAGGGGAAAGGCGGGCGACTGTAGTAAGTGTGCCAGGAGGAACACAGCGGTCAGCCGCGTTGCCATGTGGGATAGAAGTGAATGAAGAACTAGGATACAGGTACAAGGAATCGGGATGAGATACGGGTACCAGGTGGTATGCGCAGAGAGAGCGGAGTGCATTGCGCTCACCTCATCATAGTCCCCTCGTACTACAGCAACGTCGCCACCTACAGCAACCGTCCGCAGCCATTCATATGTTTCCCGGTCACAAACGTTTCCCGTGCACAGAATCTGTTGTATCTTCCCTGTGCAGAATGCCGACTCAGGGTCAAGTAAGAGGGAGGGCCACAGTGACGAAACCTGGAACAAGTAGCTTCTTAAACTTGGCAGGAAGATCATGCGTGCGGTGAGGAATGTGTAAGTCGCCGATAATCAGGACGAGGACCATGATGAGTCCGTCGTCGACGAGTCTGCCAGCCGGGGCGCATAGCAGTGTATCCGTATGCCCATGGTCACGTGACTGAATTAGGTGCACTGTGACTTAGACATTGTCCAGTTACTTATCATTCCAATTGGCAATCAGCCTTCCGTCGAAGGGTTCCACTCAAGGAGCCCACTGCGACAGCGTTGAGCCGTTCCTAGATGTCGCTTGTTCCGACAGAATGCCTGGATATCGAGCCTGACTTCGCCTGGTCTCCCCGTGAATGTCTCGTGCGCTCTAGACACTCGGCTTGGAAGCCTATACCTCTCAATGTCCGCGATCATAATTGTGACGAATTCTATAACTGTGCGTGAGCCAGATGGCTCCGAAGCAGCCACGAAGAGTCATTTCACGCCGCGAGGATTTCTCGAAGGATGCTGTAATACGACGATCCCTCGGCGCGTGTCGTGGTCTCGTACTCAGGTTCCTCGCTGTTCTCTGCGTCACGGCTGCTCCGGCGCTTGAGAAAATCGCACTGGATGATCCAGCCGGCAACTAGAATGTCCGCAGCTTCAGCATGGTCGAAGCTGCCCTCGCACCACGATGGCAATGAAAAACGTTCCGGTGGTACTTCATTCAAGCGCTTCCTTCGATTGTACCCTGATGTGGTACGCCGCTACGGGTTTGGGTGGATCGCGTTCATATTTGGGGACAAAATTCATATAGACCGGCGACGTCGATTGCGCGAAAAGCCGAAGATAAGCTTACTCTCACCGGGCGCGATCTCGTGCTATTGTTGGTTCCAACACCCAGGCGTTGTCATGCAATACTCGTGAAAGCAGGTATTGCGTATACATGCTGTCTCACGTCAGATATTCTCTGGGCATACTCATTGTTCCGACCGGAGACAAAGAGATCGCTCTCGATGATCTCGACTTCTCACGCTGTTCCCGACACCAAGCAACCTTGGCTTGGGTGACAGCTTGTAATCTTGTGCCTGATGTAATGACATGAGCAAATGACGTTTTGACATAAGCCTTTACAGTATTCGGAGACGTGCATGGCTACCAGTCCCCAATGCAATAGTATTGTAACGTGTCCCAAACGGCCAGAAATGCTATCACGATCCTACGGCTATATATACACACTTGAGGCAATCATATGAAACCTGTCGTCCGAAACAATCGCAGGATAAACGCACAAATGAGGGCATAATACAGAAACCGTTTCAGAATGGCCCAAACTGGAGCGTAACGCAGCGACCTAAACGCTGCTCGAAGTGGTCTGGAATCTCGTATTACGCAGGCCGAGTTGGGTCATGGGAGTAGTACCCGTAGTAAGCTGTCGCAGTCGGTGCCCGAGTTGACGATGATCGCGCCTCGGGGACATTCACTGGTACGGTATCGGATGGCATATGCAGCATTGGAGTTGGCTGGTCGCTGGCGGTGAAAGGATTGAATAAGCGAGCGCGCTCGTATAATGCAAACATACGTACCTTGGGCTTTCTACTATCCCACCCGGCAACGGAGATGATACGAATTGCTGGTGTGTAGGAGGAACAGATGTGGTATTGAACACCGCTGAGTACTGTTGAGTAGTGTGAGGGTCGTAATATTCATTGTTCGATGAGCGCTGCATGAATGACCGCCTTGATGCATCCCGCCGCGGCTGTGGTGCATGGATGGAAGGATAGCTGTAAGAACCTACTGTCCCTGCATAGTTCAAACCAGGTATGTTGGCCGAGGATAAAGGAGGGGAGGTTGAGTAAGACGGCATCTGCGCCCCGCGGACAGGCGACTGAACGCCTACAGGGTACTGAGGACCTCCGGCCCCGCGAGTGTGATCCCTCATGGCATAACCAGAAGGTTGCATGCTCGAATATTGCCCCGCAGAGGAGTGACCAAACTCCGTGTACGAATTATCAGACTGTTCCGCAGATGCATACATGGCCGTTTCGGGAGATCCGTAGCGTCCTATGCTGATGTCTGGTTGGGCGGTCGCCTCCGAAGACGTCGCTCTGTGAGGGCTCTCCCGTCCGCGAGTTCGAGCAAGGGCCACGCCCTTGCGTTTAGGCTCTGAGGGAGAATAAGTACAGAGTAAACCCCTGGACTCGCAACGGCCGCAGGTTGGTTGAAAGCCCGTGCACTAGTAAGCGTAAGCCTAGTGAGAAATTGTGCACGAGCTAGGCTGACCTTAGCCTTGCGCTCGCGGCACTGATCGCAAGCCTGAATGGCTCTCTGATACTTGAGCGGGGTGGGCGAGCGGAGAAACAACCCTCCAGACGGACTCGTGCTGGCTGAGGTGCCACCAGCGACGTTCGGAACGTAAGGGATCAGGTTCCAAGAGTCCTCCTCCACTTCAGTGACGGCGTCAGGGGTTTGTCGTCTAGAAGATGGACGTATGGACCGAGGTGGGTCATGGGCGATGAACGTGCCAGTGGCACTGCCCTGAGGCGAGCGGCTAGCACGAGACGTCTGCCAGCTCTCGGTATTCCGTGAGGGATATGCCATCGCCAACCGCAGTTGTGGGTTTGGGCGGTGATGCGAAGTCGCGAGTGAGGGGGTGAGGTTGATCTGAGATGCAGATTAGGGCGCTGTAGGATCTCCAAGGAATTATATGGGCTAGGGCGCTTCGATGAGGGATCAAACGCCACACAGCGAGGCAGCAAGAGGACGCATCTGGACAGGATAGAAGAGGGCATATATAACATACTCGGAAGGTGGGCATGTCGTGAGCGGCTGGCAACTCGAGGCAGGTCAAAATTGTCTTGTCACAGGTCACCACGCATTCCGAAAAAGCGAGCTTCTTTTCTTGTGATACTGTATACACCCCATATTGTCATGCGGCCATCAATCAGACACGGGCCCTTGTTTACGCTGACGGCATGAGTCGACTGTCGATCTCTCGTATGTCGATCGGTGCTAGCAGGATTTTTGAGGAGTTCCCGAAACCAGGTAAGCCATACGCAATGGTACCTCGGCAACCTTGCGCTCGACAGCATGCCTCGCCGGACGGGGTTTCCCGTCGAACATTGTACGGGGAAGTGCAATATTATACACCGGAGTCCAGGTCCATGAGCGCCTTTGCTGGTAACTGGACTGTGCGGGGTCCATACCTGAGAAACGGTTTTACTTCATTATTGTCTTCTTTTCCCTTATTGGACGGGGTTTATCTGCATCTGTGAGGACAGATGCGTTAGGCCTCTCTGTCGCCGAGAACACAGCATACAACAACGATATATGTCATGACGGGACCCGAATATTGCTGCAGAGGCTCGCAAAAGTTTTTGGCAATGAGAAGCAGTGCGAGCTCCCGCGTTTCTGCCTTAATCTTCAGAGAATGAACTAACCAGAATAGCGATATTGCATACGCGTGGCAAGACATCAACGGTCCACAGCATTGCGGAAGGCGTGTAGACTGTATTTTCGCAGGAACACGTGTCGGTCGCACCGTCCAACAACCGTGACGTCGCCTGGCGAGCCGCGAATTAACAGCTCGCAGAGAGAGATTGCCAGTTGGCCGGAGAGAAGCCGCGCTACGGCGTCTTCACCGTCAAAGACTTCGAGAAGCACGGATGCTCCGACAGTTCGCGATCTGATGCTATATACGTGTTGGCCGCGTTGGCCGCCGATGAAGCAGACTTTCGAGCTTGCCTATACAAGGTGCGATGGGTCCGTTCCTCAGGCACTGTCAAACATATCCACCCTCGAAGCCAGCGCGCAGGTAACGTAAACGGTACTCAGTACGCGATCTCCATGGTTGTCAACGTTTTGTGCTCCCGCCTGCACTCCAGCGTGGGCGGCGCAGGAACGGCGCTACGAGAACCCCACATGGTAAGAGCGTGCCAGTGCTATCAGGCGCGGAACATAGCTTGCGTCACCGTTCTCGACGAGCAACCGTCAAGAGCCCTCCGTTGGAGCGATAGCCGGTATAATTCTTCCTTCGCGGGTATGAATCCAAACCCACATAGGCACGACGGCAGTGGGCAGACGTGGGGGAGGGCTCGAGACCGAGCGGCTTATCAAGTTCGCCGCTCGAGAACATCGTGTGTACCCTCTCTAAACTTGCAAATGAGTGCCATTGGCCCGAGGAGATCGCATGACTTGTCTTACAGATGAATGAGACAGTCATCAAGCAATAGATTCTCAAATTGGCAAAACTGGAACGGGGAGCGGTTTAGCGTTGGCGACAGCCTTGAAGACGGAGACTTTTTCCCCGAGGACTTGCTCAAAGATACCTTTAATGGCGCAAACCTGCCACCAGTCAAGTCAGGGCACGCTGAAACACGACGCAAGCCATGCGAACGTTCACAAGTCGTCAGCTATGCATTCCCAAATCATAAAATGCAGGGTTCACGTTTCAGCCCAAAAGGAATCCCAAAAGATCGCCCATGTGAGGATTATTGCAACTTGGCAAGTGTCAGTCGCCGTTGGTGTGTATACATGTTCAAGCGCCAAAACCTATGGGGTATCTGCCACGAACGATTGCCATCACGCCGTTATCAAGTGGTGGGATCGTGTAGTACGGCTAACAGGTAACGCTCGTCTTCCCCAGTGTTATGACATCGAAGGCGGAGACGTTGACATGTCCACAGGGCGCCGCGATGAAGTCGACCCAATTAAGAACGAGATGCCAGGTTAGTCATATGCATCGCGCTCCGGTCGACGGACTCACCAGGAGAAATCATGATCTCGTGTCGCTTTGTCCGTATCCTCATGAACCGGATCTCATCCTGATAGATGCGGTAAAGTGAGCAGAGCGCGCACCGTCCTACCTTCGAATGGGAGCGAGCAGACACATACCTCGCCACCAACATCGTCCAAACCTTCCCTAACGCTTTCTACGATTCGGGCGATAGCCTTCGCATACTTTCGACCCTGTTCGCCTTCGAATATAACGCCAGAATGTCGGATGATCGCAGCCCCTTCCTCTACACGCGCGTTGCTACTAGCCGCAATCGTCGTTGTCCGATGTTCATTGTGCGGCCTTGATAAAAGAATGTACCCAAGAACAGATCGATGTGCTGAAAGCATGCTCAGGGTCGCCTCCAACTCGGGTGGTGTTGGTAAATGAGAGGCGGGTACAGAGGACACCGCGGACGTGGGTTGGGTGGCCTGCAAGAAGTCAATTTAGGTAGAGCCTGCCAGTATAACATAACCAACGCACTACAGATGCCATAGTCGGGCTGGAAGATACATGTCGCGTTGCAGCAACACAAGTTCGACCGCGTCACAGGGATCAGAAGACCGTGTGAACCAAGCGTGGTGGTCAGACTGCGATTGGTTGCCTCTGGCAACACACGGAATCATCACGTGTAACTAATCAGATCGACCCCCTCTCGAAGAGTTAAGATTTTCAGCAGAATTCCACAAGCGAGGCAAAGCGAGGTGTACATGGCAGGTGAAGCTTGAAGCTTTAGGACAACCGCACTTTCCGTCTTCTCTCAAAATTACACAATCAAATAGGCTACTTGGCCCAGAGGGCAAGTAGCAGAAAGCGAACCGTTAATCAAATCGATGTTACAGCGCGCGACCAATCATATTTGAAAAATAAGTTACAGCACTTTTTCGCATTCATGTGCTCGGGGTGGCGACGATAGCCCTTCTCGGCTCCAAGTGGAACTTTTGCTTTGCTTTGGTCTGACGCTTCTTCAGCCGCGCCTTGCACTTGTTACAGAGCGTACCGACGGCGTTCGCTGGCAAAGGTCGACTGCATAATTTGTTGCCACAAGTATGCTGCGGGAATAGTATGAGACACGCCCGGGTAATATATATAGCAGAGCACATACCGTCTCCTCTTTCGTGGCCGAGGGGTCCTCAAAAGGCGCATCGAACGTCGTGGACGCCGCAGCATCTTCAGGGGGCATCTCTCCGTGCACGTCTTCAGTAGCAGTTGTCTCGTCTTGTGCTTTTGGCGCTGCTTGCGCACTGGCGGCCATGATCCTGGCCTGCTCGATGACCGCCTCTTCGTCGGTTAGCAGCACTTTACGTCTTTTCGCCCTTTCACGGGACCCAGCTTTGTTCTTGTCTTTGTCCTCGGGCTGATTCTCCTGAGTCCGCACCTATCGTCTGAGTGAGCAACCGCGGGGAAATACGAAGGCGATACACACACCTCCGCCCAGATCAGGCCTCGGCCGACGGTACCATGCGTCGTACCGGCGGACGCGCCTGTAGGTATAGGCGTGGTCATGGGCAAGGCCGACACCGGTTGCGGAGCGAATGGGCTCCATTGCACCTCTGCCGCGTTCGTCGACGCCTTGGTTTTCGCGCTCTCGTCGGAACTTGCCGTAGGAAGCGACAAGGGGATCGCCGTGTAGCCCCTGGTCGACGCGCCGGGCTGAGGAGGTGGGTATTGGTAAAACGGATACGGATATGGTGGGTACACCATCGGCGGTGAAGTTGAAGGCGAGCCGTCCTTGCCAGTAGGGGCGGTCCCCGCCGGCGCGCTCGGAGGTGACCCGGGGGGCCCGAACGCGTGCGGAGGCATCGGAAATCCATATGGATACGCGTGCGGCGGTGGGTAGGTCTCTCCGTTGGGTCCTTGCACGGCATACGGCGGCATCATACCGTACGGATGTGGCGCGTAGAACGTGACCGGATATGGAGGTGCGGTCGGTTGGGAGACAGGTGGTGCGGATGCCGCAGGAGGCGGTGGTGCTGGCGGTAAAGGCGGTAAAGGCGGCGGAGAGTTCTGCAACGAGGTACCGTACGCGAAGGTGCCGCTCGGAGGCGGCGGTTTCACGACGCGAGGGATGCATACGATCGGCGTGGCAGACGCAGCACCTTCGTCGGAGGCCTGAGAGGCCTCTTCGCTGCTCGAGGCCGCAGCTGCTCCTGTATCCGCTGGGGACGATACTCCCGAGTCCGACTTGGCAACTTCCGCTTTCCTTTTCAGTGCCGCTCTGGCCTTTTGCGACGGCTTCTTCGGCAGAGCGGACGCGTCCGTTTCTGGTGCGGGATCTGTTCCCTGAAGCGCACCGGTATCGTCGTTCATCGATGCCTCGCTAGCGCTTCCTCCTGGCTCCTCAGCGCATTGCGAGGTCCTACTCTGGACCCTTGAACGTTCGATTGCTTCACGCTCGATCGTCTCCCTCATCACCCTTTCCCGTACCCTCTCCTCCCGATCCTTCTCTTTCTCCTCCTTCATCCGATCCCTTTCTTCCCTTCTTTCCTTCGCCTTCTGTTCCCTTTCCTCTCGGGCCCGAGCCTTCTCCTCCTTCTCCTTCTCCGTCTCCTCGCGTGCCTTCAGACACTGCTCGCAGAACCTGTGACGAGAATTTGATTAACATGATGATCAGTTGAACAAAACACGACCCGACTTTACCTCAACTTATCGATCCCGCCCTTGATCTCCTTCAGTCTAAGCAACTCCTTGCACCCCCGCGTGGCGCACACTTCCACGCCCTCCTTCCTCAGCTTCTCCAGCCTGCCCCGCACCTCGCGATCGCGCTCCCGACAACCGTCGCACATCTTCCACGGGCTGCGCGGACTAAGCAGGTTGAAGCACTTGGCGACGGAGCACACAAAGTTCGTCCGCCGCGCACCACGTATCGCAGGCGGGATCGGCACACCGCGATCGTCGTACTCCTGCGGAAGTTGGTGCTCTTGCGGATCCGCCATCGGGATCACGGCCGAAGAACCAGCGCCATCGCCATCCTCACCGGCGGTCGACGATCCACGCCCGACGATGTACCGGTTCCCCATCCCGCTGTTCCCGCCCGTCTCGAGCGCCCACTCGCCCACTCCGACTCCGATCCCGATACCCGGATCGACCCCACCCCCATCAGACCCGTCTCCTCCACCACCACCACCCATACCCGGCATCCCGCCGAGCGTCTCCATCAGCTCCCTGTTCCCCTTCGTCTTCCTCTCGATCTCCCGGTCGCGCTTCAGCCGACTGTGCATCCGGTTCTGCACCCGGTGCGCCTCGCACCGCCTGTACTTGTGGGTGGCCGGGAGGAGCGCCTTGCAGTGGCTCACGCTGCACATCCGGATGATGGGCGAGATCCCCATCGCCGTCGGCGCGGAGGAGGGTCCAGCCTGAGCATACGAATCGTGATCCGCGGTCGACGACCCGGGCATGCTCTGGTCTGCGGTCGCATTCTGACCGTCGAGGGAATCGGACGCGTGGGGCGGGGGAGGAGGAGGGTCGGGAGATACGAAAGCGTCTGGCGGAAGCTGCATCTTGAGCTCCCGGAGCACGCGTTCTTCCCAGGCGCGCTGCTCCTCGAGGCCTAGTGTGCCCAGACTCTATCATGCGAATGAAACAAGGGTCAGCGCTGGTCCATTGAGGGAGCAGTACCAACTACCTCAAGCCCGTTTTCAGCCCGTCGTTTCTCTTCCTCCTCGCGCACCTTGTCGAGGAGGGCAAGGTGGGTTCTGGCGGCGGTGCTTTGCGCTTTCCATTTGGCTCGCTTCGTATTCCCATAGTTGCGATACCGATCGCGACAAGCCTATTCATGGTGTTTTGCTCAGCGTCGTACGATCAGAGTGACCAGACAAAGGGCCAGAACCATACCTCGCACATCTTGTACAGGTAGTCGCCCGGTACGAGCACCTTGCAGCCTTTCACGGAGCAGTACCGTGGGGGCAGATGACTCGACCCGTTGTTGGCGCTCCCCGCGGCCGAAGTAGACGTCGACGACCCCGCGAGCGCGTTCGGGTTCCCGGCGGCATTGGCAGCGACCGCGGCGAAAGTGGCGGCGACGGCCGTGGCTATCTGTTCCGGGGTGTGATCCGCGAAGGGCGACGGCGAATGGTCGTTGTAAGCGTGAGCGTGCCCTCCTGCTGCGAAAGCCGGGTTATGGCCGTGATGAGCCGGGGAGTGGGACGGTCGGGAGTGAAGGGTAGGCAGCGTCAACGCGCCCGCAAGCTCCGAGGAAGACGAATGGGCATGTCCGGGGGATGCGTAGAGCGCAGGATCGAGCCAAGGCGTCTGGTCTTGCTCCTGATCGCGATCCTGCTGCCGTTCGTGCTCGTGCGCACGCTCCTGGCTGCCGCTGTGCTGGTGTACGCGAGCATGGTACCGGTAGCTGTCCCCGCCGCCGTCACCGTGGTTGACCGTTCGCGGACCGATGCCCGCGAGCTGGCTGACGACGGCCTTGACCGCCTCACTCGTCGGATGACCGGGCTCGATCGCTTGCGGCTCCCACACGGGCTCCATGTCCATCGCCTCCACTTGACCGCCTGCGCTGCCAGACGCGGCGGCGGCGGCGGCGGCGGCGGCCAACACCGCGGCCTTCTCCGCCTTCCTCTTGCGCCTTTTGGTGAGGGCGTATTCGCGATGGCGCTCGCGGCAGCCGTCGCACATCTTGGTGAGGGCATTCGCGCTGAGGAGCACGCTGCATCCGCGGACGCTGCAGTGCTTGGTCGGGCCGAGGTCGGGGTTGTGGGGGTCGAGGAGGGCGTTGGCGGACGGGGCGATGCCATGGCTGCCCGGAGGGTTGCCGGCGGTGGAGGACTGGAAGGCGGCGCTGATGCCCTGGGCGTGGCTGGAGACGACGGCGGCGACGGCCTCGGCGGGGTTGGCGAACGCGTTGAAGGCGACCGGGACCGGGAAGTCGGGATAGTATGAGCCTGGTGGGCCGCTCATGCTGCTCATCTCTGGCCAGTTCCTCCGGCGGCGAAGGGACTGGGAGGCGAGGTCGGAGTGTGAATCTCGGGCGCAGGCCGGTGCCCTTGTCCAGGCCGCGAATACGCTCGGATCGAGCTGGAAATATCCTGGCGATCCACTGTAACAGCGATTCAGATTTTCGGATGGACAGCACCAACAGACACGGCAGAAACGACACACCTTCAGGACCCTACCCGCGACACTATCGTCCAGGACGGCGACGAGCCGAGTCTAAAGCGCAGCTAGCATCACGTGCTGGGAGTCAACAGGATTATTCTCACGCATGCTTGCTTTGTGCAGCTTTGCTTCTTCAATCCACCATCCTTCTCCTGGCGAATCGTCGATGCACCCACTGAACCCTGTCCTGCAATGATGTGCGATGCCTGAGACACAGCTCAGATGACCAGCACATCCATCCTGGGATGTGCGGTCCTCATCGCCTCGATAATGCAGTAATTTCGTCGTGATGTGGCAATCATGCGGCAATCTTGCTTACTCTTCGGCCTTACACTTGTGCCATACCTGCTCTAGACGCCGCGGTCCTTGATATCCCGCCTCAAATGATGCACAGCGACGCGCAAGCGCTCGATATGTCTAATCGGTACCGCCTCGTCGATACCGCCTCGCTCAGAGAAACTTGTAAATTATCTATATAAGCCATCTCCGAGCGTCCGCATCCCTTCGTGGCTAGTCCCATCCTCGATTCCCTCTGACGTTCTTCTTGGCCTGGTGCCTGTCCTCGTTTCATTTGCTAACATGCTTCGGTCCATCCATGTTATCGTTGCTTTTATGGCCCTTATCCTGTGTTCGCACGCCGCTCCTGTGAACAAAGCGAAGCACACCGGCCAAGGTATGTGCATGATTCTTTCACCAACTCGCGTTCTGATCGCCGCTCCAACAGCGACGTTTTTCACCCCGGGTCTCGGCGCATGCGGGAAGAACAGCAAATCCTCGGACCACATGGTAGCCGTGTCAAGCCAATTCTTCAAGTACGTCTTCCTCTACAGATCTGGACGGAGTCTCGTGCTGCCGATACATGCGAATTCTCACCTCGAATGACAGAACGTTCCCCGGCGCGGGGGCGAACCCGAACACGAACCCGATCTGTGGTAAGAAGCTCACTGCCAGCTGTGCGTCTTCTTTCCTCGCGATTTCCGCTATGTATATGATTCTTGAACACATCTCGACGCACAGTCAAAGGGAAATCCACAACGGTCACCATCCTGGATGAATGCCCTAGCTGTGCCGAGTTTGACCTTGATCTCTCGCCTGCTGCATTCAAGGACCTGGCGGACGAGTCGGTCGGCCGGCTTCACGGCATGACCTGGCACCTCGATTAAGTACACCTCCCTGTGCTCTGACTAAAAGTACGGGCGGATGTCGAGTGATAAGTGGAAGGGATCATATTCCGGGAGATCGTTTGGGAAAGGGAATGTCATGATCCTGCAAGTCCGCGGTATGTATAAATATATGAAAACAGGTCATGAGCGCGAATGCTATATCAAACAATGCATTCAGAGCAGCCGTTACGTAGAGCAGTGCGCCTCTCCCAAGAGCATGGCCGTCATCCCTGTTGCGTTTTGACTCCGCAGCATGCCTGTACTCCGTTGGCCGAAAATATCTTGAACTGCTAGGTTGCGATTGCAGCGGATGGAGGCACAACCCGGTACCGTCATCCCGACTCGGACAATACGGCAGTATCGTGTCTCGATTCTCGATGGTTGGCGCGTTGGCGTCCGAGTCCATAGACATTCTCGGTCACTCCCTGGCGAGGATTTCGCCCTGAATATGCAGGTTGAGGTCTTAACCCTATTTGGTACCACCTTGTCAAGATTGCAGTACTACGGCAACCTACTGAGGTCTTGCAACTTCGTATTCCGAGACGGGATATTGCTGCATTGTCGATCTCCGGGGCACAGAACCTGTCGCATACCGGACGCAGATTAATACGGACTAACCACCATTTAAGCTTGCGTCGACCGACGACAGACACTGTGGCGAGCTCCATCCTCATATTCCATCGACTTCGTTTCATCTCTGGCCTGGCGCCCAGCACTTGCAATATGTTCTGCTCTATACTCTCTTTACGTCTTATCGTCGCCCTCATGACTTTAATTATATGCTCTTACGCCGCCCCCGTGGACAAATATGTACCCTTGGACAATCCCCCGCACAAGGGCCAAGGTCAGCTCGTGAAGGCCCGGATATCTTATACAGCACCCCTAACGTATCCGTGGTTCAACAACGCACCTCTTTACCCCCGGTCATGGCGCATGCGGGAAGAGCCAGCCCTCGAACGCTCAAGGAAGCGTCGTCGCCTTACCAGAGCGATCCTTTGGGTAAATATTGCCTTGAGATCTGGAGATTATCGAGCTCCATTCATCGGACCCGCTCACATCGAATGCACGCGCAGGCCCGCCAGCTCCAGCAAAACCTCGCCGTTCTGTGGCAAGACAGTCGTCGTCACTAACTGTATGTTCCCTTTCCTGTACCCGCTCTCCGCGCACCTGATGCCTTGTTGCCTCAACAGCAAAAGGCAAGGCTGTGACGGCGACCGTGGCGGACAGGTGCCGTAGCTGCAAAGGGTCCGACATTGACCTCTCCGATGCCGCGTCCAAGTTACTGGGGCCTGGGTCTGAAGAGAGTACCGTAGTTTGGCACTTTGCGTCAGCGCATTCGCGGGAATTCTCCTCACGATATATAGGTTGGGAAGGGCTGCCGTGTGCTGACACTGAGTCATCCAGCGCATAGTGGATATTGGACCGTGATCTTGAACCACGAGTATTGCATTGCGTACGAGTGCGTGAACAGACCCGTTGGTGAGAACTGCGACGAATGGACAAGATGTCTTGCGTCATCTGGGTAAATACTCGGCTGGGATATACCCGAGGGGTACATCGGATGATGACTAGCCGTTGCTCAGGACCCGTTGGGTAGCGTAACAACCACCACACCCCGCTCTCTGAGACGGCCCAGGTGCTCCTCGATCAGACCATCCACGTCGCAGAGAGTTGATGGACGCCACGGCCCAGGAAAACTGACGCGTAGCTCTGTGAGCCGCCAGAAAGGAGTACCGGATAATATGATTCCGAGAGAAGCCAGACTGGCTCTTGTGTTACCACAATGCGCAGTTGGAGCTCGATAGAGCCGAGAGCGCGTGATCTGACCGTCTCGATCGAAGTCGCGAAATGCTGAAGACATTTGAGTGGTAAAGCTGTCCGAAGCATCGTTTCTACGGCAATCTTGCGCAAGGAACTCGAATTTGAGAAGTCCAGGGCATCTTCATCGTTCGTGAGCATGACGACAGCATGAAATTGGATATGAAACTCGCCATCCTCTTCCGAGAAGTACTGTAGTTTTTCGACCGTAAGTTCGGCCAGACCCCCTGGGGACAGGGGACACCCTCCGTTCAGACCCGTGGGAAGTTCGCCAAGTGATCCACGGTCAGTTTAAATACACGGTCAGACCACGAGTCCCCCACGGTCAGTAATTGGGCAAAAAACCGGAAGGGGACAGGGGACAAACGGGTGAATAGGTTTGGTTCGCAGGTAGGTGGGGACAGGGGACAAACTTACGGTCGAAAAACTACAGTAGTCATAGTATCCAGCGACTCTGAATGAATGCAATTTGCCGCTGTTTCGGAGCAGAGTGTTGGCCGTGTTCATCCATTCAGAGTTGGTATCGAATTCGCCAACTCTTAATGATAATTCTTCGAGAGTGAAAACGACATCTCCGCTGTCAGCGATGCAGATCACCCGCTGCACGGTCCGAATGTTTGGCAGTCGATGGTTATATCGAAGGTGCGAAGAACGGTGATATAAGGGCGGAGATGTGGGGATTCGCGCAGGATGCTGCAGATGCGGTCGATGCCGGAATGTGTCATGGTGTCGACGTCCATGATGGGATCGGTGAAGAGCCGAGACTGGCTGACATGAATCTATTCCCGACATGCTAGAGAACAGGCTCGGAGGGTGTCCGCGTCGTCGATAAGTGCGATGATGAAGTTCCAGATTTCTGGCGGGATTCGCTTGAGATAATCCACGGTGATGTGTGAGTGTGCAAAAGCGGTCGAGAGCGCAGCAGTGGATTCGTATGTCGGAACGATGATGGGAATATATTGGGACGCCACAGCGAGCAGAGATAGCAAATTTGAAGAAAATAACTGCAGAGATATTGCAGTCGGACAAGTCTGAATGGGAAACGCATCGGACACGTGTCTTCTTGATTATGGTGAGCGCCACATGAGTACTTACCCTATAGCTAAGCAAGTCAATACAACGATGCTCTCCGTGTTGGCAAGAGATTGTCATGATTATTGAAGCATGCCAAGCAAGCGTGCAATCAGTAGGGTATCTAAGCTACTTGGTCCATAACAGTATCAAGACCCAGAAGTCCGTGCGAGTCGAGTAAGCCCCCCGGCAAACACAGTGAACGACCACGATCACGCTCGAGCGAAAACCACACTCGCGACCAGCGCAGCACCAGCGACAGCGAGCGCGCTGAGGCTCCAACTCCTGTCGCCAGCGCTCGTTCCACTGGTCCCGGTGGCCGATCCGTTCGCACCAGTTGCCGTGCTCGTGCCTGAGGCAGAGGCTGACGTGCTGCCCTGAGTATTGAAGGTCTTGATGTACTGTATCTCCCAGTAGGCATCGTCGTAATTACTGGCCGTGCTGATCACGGTCTGGCACTGGCCCGTGCACCCCGAAGACGTGAACACATCGGCGTTGCCTGCGAATGCGCCGCAAAGGTCTGGCAACGACGGGGAAACGATGAGTAGAGCATACCATGAGAGAACAGAATCATTCTCACCGGTGTCGATGATTAGGTTTTGACGGTTGTTGAAGAAGGTGGAGGGGTCGCAGCTCTGTGCGGGGTACGCTGCAGAGGGTGTCCCCCACGACGAAGGGTCGGGCGAGTTCTTCGTGAGATCCGACGGGATGTTGGAGCGCTGTTGGGGATTGGTTACGTGTAAGATTCGACGACATCGAAGAATAGACGTGCCTCGAAGAACCAGAGCTGAATGCCGTCCGTGGTCCAGTACATGGCGTAGACACCTCCACCATTAGCCGCGAACGCCTTCCCTACGGAGTTGGTAGATGCCTTCTCTTCGATGACACAACCTTGGTTGCCTGTGACCTATTTGGTCCATCAGTCATCTGAAAGGCGGAAGTAACAAAAAGGACGTGCATTGAAGTCGACGGCGTCACAATTCGTAGATACTACGCTGCCCGAGCTCGGGAAGGACGATGAGTTGGTCAATGTGCATCTAGTCAACAAAGCAACGATGTCAGGCGGTGCATTAGGACCCGATACGTATTGCCATTGCGTACCCGGCCCGCGTGTGCAAGCTGTATTGGTTGGTTGTTTGTTGGTTTACATATTCGATCTGGAACGAACCTCCGATGTCAGTCGTACATCCGCGTGAGGGCTGCGGACCGCGCTTACGATGTCGATTTCGCCGCCTTCGTCGGTCCCATTGGTAGCGTCCAGTGTCCAGAATGAGGGCCAGACACTGCACTATATATAGATTCAACTAAATTACACGAGGCGCTGCGGATGGACACTCACCCCAAACGGAATATGAGTCGCGTCCATCGCCACGAGGGTCCCAATGGTGATGGGCTCATTCGAGATCATCATGACGGTGTTGCGCCCGAACGTCGAGAACGGCCCTGGGGCGGGGTCCGAGGTCGTGTTGTCCACTTGAAGGATGACGTTCCCGGCAGGGTTGACGAACGCCAACTTGCTGGCGGTTGCCACGGATTGATTGGCATAGCTAATAGGGAGCAAGGCGACTCAGTACGCGTCTTGGTATAAAGCGGAGCACGCACTGAATGTTTCCAAAGTTCGTTGGGTCGGTCAGAGACTGGTTGAATCGGAAGCCTGTCGCACATTGACCAAACCATCCTGATGACAAGTGTTTGAACCACATACCGCTGAAGAAGTCGTTGCCGGAGTAGTTGTTGGCCAGCTTGAGCGACGCGCCGGAGGCGAGAGAGGTCAGTCCGGCGACCACGAAAGAAAACTTGAAGAGGGCGGTCATGGTGGTAGAGAATGAAGATGAGATGGTAGGTGCACCCCCCGCAGTTGCCGCATGTGTATCCAAAAATGCGTCGGCATGCAGTCATGAGAAGACACGGCCATGATCCTGTGCGCTGATCAAGTCCCCAGAATTGAATCTCGCTGGTGCCCGTTACAATGTCTTTCCCGCCGTGTTATGTATCTATGCCGAGTACATTCTGAGAAACTGAAGTGGACATGGACGGCAGCATATGAGCATGAGCATGAACCCTGCTGAGGACAGTACTTTTGGATTACGCCGAGGAAATACGGGTCTCATCCTCCACGTGGGACACACGTGGCTGACTGGAAGATTCCGTCGCCCTTGTTGTCGAGGAACCATGGAGTCCAACGTCATCGATTCCTGCAGACCTCATAGGTAACATACATACTTACGAGAACCGGTACGGCACTGATGATCGAGTTAAGGGCCGGTACGCAACGATCCCGCCATCATCAGGTACTTACCTATACACTGATATCGATGCTGCGATGGCGACATTCAAGCGTATGGGATCCCGAGGCCAAGTTGTGGTGGATCAAGAATAAAATAACGTTCCTTGTCCGACAACATGCCTGCTTTCAGCTCCACTCGAGCACCGTTCGATCTCCGCAGACGCTCCTCGTGCTTGCTACTACATACTCGTGGCTTCTGAAAGGATGCGAGCTGCTCGATCCGGGCCAAAGCACGCCATTTCTTGCGTAGATGAACGCCTGCAACGCACCAGATTTAGTTTGAACTCATCTGCATTCGCACTGGCGGTGCAGCGTGTTCTTTACGAGCGAGCCAGAATATTCACGCTGGCGTTGGCTCCTCGGAACATTGTCTTTCTTCCTGACTTAGGAAAGTTCTGGCTGTCTTCCGCACCTCGCCGCCTCTCTCTCGATTCAGAAATCCAAGAGATGCTGTCGTTCAGTTATAACGCATTGCCTCCACGACGGCAGGGCAGACATGCACTCTTCTCTCGTACTCGAATATGATTCTGCCACCCCAACTCTCACTTCGTTGGATACCAATGGCATGTTCGAACGTGCACAACTCGAACGATTTGTCCTAACAGGCTTTTCTAGCTTCTAATGCATCTTATCTGATCCTCTGGATCACATCCACTTCAAAGCCCATATGCACGTCCCGAAACTCGTCGGTTTTGGTCTCTATCGCCACGGAAACCCGCGACGGAACATCCACATTGAATACGCTCGGAACGTCCACAGTGAATACGCTCGGAACGTCCACTCCAATAATCGCGACAACTGCACCTAGCAGTGAGACTGCGAGTAGCTCTTCATATACCACCAGCACTTCAACCGTTCCGGGAGCCGTGAAGCATCATCATCACGCTACAACTGGAACTATCGTAGGAGCCACTATTGGCGGCGTTCTCGGACTTGTGCTAGCACTTCTCGGTGTGTAGTCCCACCTTCACTTCCTAGAGGAAGCACCCTCGTCTGATGTCCCGACGTCCGTCTGTGATACCACATCTTACAGCCCTCGTCTGTCTCATACGCTGTTGCCGCCGCAGGCGCCGCAATAACGTCGAAGATCGTAATCTCGACATATCTGGAATGCCTCATGACGGCGTCGTCGGCTTCGAGCACGTCAAATCGCGTCTACAAAACCAATCGATGGACGCAAGTACGAGGAAGTACGCAAGCCCGATTTCTGCTGAAACGAAGCGTCAAGGCGATCCGAATAACCTTTTCGCTCCTGTGCTCGCCGGTCATGCTCTGCACGATATCGGTATGTATAACGCATCCTCCTAGTATCGTACTAATGTTTAACCTACAGACGATCGGATGACGGGTTTCGCCTTGATACCGTCGAACAACGATGACATTGAAGTGCCGCAGGGTGCAACCCTATCGTCCGATTGCGCACCTTCCCGCGTCGCCTTCCCGCAAATAGCGACTGAATCTCCTGTATCTCTCCAGAAGACGCCAGCATGGGAGAAAGCTGCGGATCCGGATGAAGTGGTGGAACAAGAGTGGCAGCTCATCAGCTTTCCCAGCTCCCGCACAGGACGCCCACCGGTGCAGGTCCCCGAAACCTCCCAGGATCCAAGTTTTCGCGACGTTTTGTCGGCGAACGCGCGCAAAGCGCGCGCCGATCCGAAGACCGACCTCGGTTCTGAGAACAACCTACGGCGGCTCATTCGACTCGCGCTCTATCAACCTGTCATCTATTGTGACGATAGCTCTTCCATGACTCGTCGCGATCATCTGTCTTCGACACGCTTCGATCAGCTTCGGGAGATCGTCAAGCGCATCACGAGAGTGGCGAACATACTGGTTCCCGATGACATGGGGGTCCACTTACGGTTCATCAACCACCCCAGGGTTTACGACCACCTGAATACCGCACAGACCGAGAACGCTATGCGTCTTGTTTATCCCACCAGCGGAACGCCTTCAGGAACTGTTCTCGAAACCAGAATCCTGCGACCGCTGGTGTACAATCTCCTCGACAACCCGAGAGGCCCTCAACTCAGGCGTCCGCTCCTCATATGTACCATCACGGATGGTGCCCCCACGGACGGCGACGCCTTCAAGAAGGCCATTCTGAAATGCAGACGCCGTATCGTCGCGGCGGGATATGCACCGAAAACCGTCATGTTCTCAATCAGTCATATTGGACAGGATCGCCACGCTGCGCAATTCATCCAGTCCCTGAGGAGCGACGGGGAAATCAAAGACGTTATATACTGCACAAGCGACAGTATCGACGGGAAATTCTACGAGTTGAGGGATAACGAGCGAGGCTTGGAGGTTTGGCTCCTCGAGCTACTGACGAATGGTCTCAATTAACGACTGAAATACTCGTGAATTGATCAACTGTAGGCTCGTGTAGAGTACAACAAGCCGTAATTTCATTGCTCTGAGCGGAGGCTGATCCCACGTGGCTACAATTGATCGGCTCAGAGTCAGTACTGTAAGCGGTTCTGAGGTGCCGTGATTGGTTTTCTTCCCTTTGTTACTCTTGCTCTGTGTCCTCGTCCTCGTCCTCGTCTATGTCCTACAGCTAGAACGCTTGCAAACCGTGTGGATGGATTGCAAGAATTGCGAGTTGAAGCAGCGACAGTTCTACTGCGTCACTTGCCTAAAGACACAGTATGATCTTTACCCCTGTCTGTCATTGTACTACGATGGATTGAACGTGGTGCATGTAGCCTACGCGATTATAGGTCGAAGATTAATCATGCATCCAAGGAACGAGACGATCAGGTAGCCCGCACGGAGCAGCTGCTCGGGTATGTGGAGGAAAGGCGGTACTGGAAGGCGGGCGTGTCAGCCGCGCAAGACAGGGTGAAGGAAGTTCAAGACGGACTGGCACAACTCCGGAGGCAGAATGAACGTAGTGCGTATCCATAAACTCGTCTCGCCTTATAAGACGTCGTGCTGACGCGTCGTCCGCATTCACAACAGCCAGGGATCGCATACGCACGCTCCGCGACAACCTGCATATGCGCCGTCGCGTTCTCGGCCAGGCGCAGATCGTCCCGCTCTCCAGGGACGAGGACCTCGGCCGTTCGATCGCACAGACGAACCGTGATTTGCTCAGCCTCTCAGATACACTTGCTCGGGCGCGCTCCGGGCTCGTGCAGGAACTAGTCGAGGTCTTTCATGTCGTCGAAGTCGGGGGGCGCCCGCCCATCGCCGGCAAGGCCGGCACCAAGGGCGAATGGACCATCGGCGACCTCATACTGCCCGTGCCCGGGGACATCAGACGTACGTACCCGTGTTCACGGGTCATTTGAGTGCTCGGATTGAATTTCTCTGGACAGGGTACCCCCCGCAGCACATAAACGCTGTGATCACGCATACGGTCCATTTTCTAAGCCTGCTCACTTTCTACCTGGGCGTGAAACTACCTTTCGAGATCACCTGGAGCGGGAAGAAACTGGGCGTTGGTCAACCTTGGATTGGCGCCATAAAAGGGACAGAAACCGGAAGCTGGGCAAAGTAAGCATGCAGCGTGCCGAATGAATACTAGCATTGATCGCTGTCGTCTAAAGGTGGTTCACCAAGCACTCCTTGCATCTTTCCTCCTCTCCTTCTCCCGCGCCAGGGACTCCAGGCGCACTGGACTCCACGTCTCAACGACCACCCATCACCCAGACTCTATCGGAATCATACGTAGAACAGGACCCGGACGCCGCTCCGACCTCTCCTTCGTTCTCCACCGCGTTTGCGATGCTCCTCTACAACGTATGCTATCTGGCGCATACACAATCTGTTGATGTGCCCCTCGCGCAAGCAGGTGACGTTCTCAGCAACCTGTGGGCTGTGTGCTGCAGCCCCGATCTCGGCCGGTTTGTTCTTCTCCTTTCTTGCCCACCGTCAGCCGCTGACGTTCATCATCACAGGCGCTCACACGAGACACGACCGCTTTTGCCGGCGCCGACGCCGCCTTCCTTCCCTCTAGATTTTTCTCAACTCTTGCAAGCGATGACAGCGAATCCTCGAGCGAAACAGAGGAGGCGCCCGGTTGCGACGAGAAAACCCAGCCGAAAGCACGAGAAAATCCCGGAAGTCGACGAAGATGGCTGGGATCTGGTAGAAGATATCGGTGATGTGCCTTAGTTTCGATGATGGACAAGGTCGTACACGAACTATCGCGCTTTCTGTGCACCACTTCTAGACGATTTGGCTGATGTATCATTAGTCCGGGGCGCTGTATCTATAGGATTAATATGTATAGCTAGTGAAGATTATGTAGTGTACAGAATGAACATCATCCATAGCGAACCTGTTATGGCCGAGGAACGACGTCTACCCCGTATCTTCGCATCCCTTCAGAAATGTCTACCCATCCCAGCTTGAACCAGTACCCGTCCAGATGATTCTCTGGCCACCGCCGCCGGATCGTGCTCCGTTCGTCCTGCGGGCTGTACGCTACGACGCTCGTTACGCCGTCGTCCACCAACCTGTTGCCTTCGAGCAGGCTCATCTGCGCTGCGATGGAGTACGGCGCCTTGAGAAGCACCGACCCCGCGCCCCTGGCCATCACTGCGCTCACGATCAAGCAGACCAGGAGCGCACCCAGGAAGGCTTGCACGATGTGCGTTGTCGGGCGGTCTTGGACGACGCGTGGACGGGAAAAGCTGAGGTTCGCGGTGAGCGCGTCGGTCCCGGATGTGGTAGGCGTGCGCGCCGTCGCGGACCCCCAGTACGCCCAATAGGCGGACCAGAGGTTCTGCATACCTTCGATGAGTTGTTGCGGGTTCGTGTAATCATCGATGGGGACATTCTGCTGCGAGAGCGTCATCGTCTGCATGAAGCCATCGAAGGAGTGACTGGTATTCGTGTCCATGTAAGTCGGGAACGCAGGCCAAAAGTTCGTATCGTTGAGAACTGAAGGGTAATCATGGATGTCGACGGCGGAAGATGCATCGACATGCTCGATGGTGAAGTTTGCTCCCGGTCCAAGCGCTAGAGTCACCTGCATGGATGCCCTGAACGATACGAAAGTGCGCTTAGCAACTATTGCCAACGTCAATGCAAGTGCACACACCTCCTCATTCCGCTATTGCATTTCACCATCGTCGTGTTCTGAAGGGACCCGTCGCCGCCGACCCGGCCGATCATTCCGATCACGCCGCCAACGCAGTCGGCGCGGACTGCAGCGCCGAACCAGCCACGAAAACCAGGTTGAAATAGGGTGGCGTTGCCTATGTCGCACCCCGGACGAGACGGCACGGCGAAGACGCCATCGCGCGACATGGAGAAATCCGCTGGGTTCACGGAGACGCAGTCCGACAACTCCGCCTCAAGGACAGGTAAGGGTGCCACCAACGTCGTTGTGGGGTGCGCATGGCTCGCAGCGGAGCTCAGGTTCACTTGGCCAATAGCCTGATATCGTGTCGTCCATGGTGGAAGTTGTACAGCCGTGCCGGGGAGCTCCGAAAGCACAAATTGCTCGGCCACATTCCTTTGCTGGTCTGCAGAGAACTCGGGAACATCCACGAACGTGTTGATCAGCGCGAGGTCCACTTGCTGCGCGATCTGCGGGTGCTTCTCGACGAACAACAGCGCAGTCAGTACCCCAGACGCTAGAAGCCAGAGCAGCCCAAGGCCACCAACAGCGACCGCAAATTGTCTCCTGTAAACGCCAGTCCAAAGTCCGAACAGTGGCGTGGTGGTGAAACCGAAGGGACCCAGAGCACGCTTGGCTGGAAGTGGGTCCCTGGTGAGAGCTTGGAATGGCTCGACAGTGGACAAGGCAAAGACGATGCGCAGCACGACGATGCCGAGGAGAAGCAGAATGACGGGAACCGCATACGTCCAAAGGTTATGAGAGAGGGTCCCGCGAAATCCGCCGCGTCGGTCGCTCACGAGGGAGGTCACTTCGAGTGCGGCAATGATCCCACCTATCGCAGACAAGAGTAAAATGGTCGCTACGGGGTGCAGCATGAGCGGACGCCAGAACGTCGGCGCCGCCTCACGATGCTGTGAAACCACGTGCTGAAGGGACCGGGATCAGCCAGAGCTGTAGGACAGATGAGGGAAGACGAGCACTCACGTATGTCTCCGACGGGTCCCATTCGGCCTTCATCGCGACGTTGCCGGATGATGTCCCGCGGACGGCAAACCGCCAGCCCGTCATGCAGTCGCGCAGCATCGCGCTCGAGAACGTGCTCGTGTAGCGCATCGCCTCCCGTGCGTCCTCGCCGGTCTGCATCAGCCCGAGCAAGAAGGCGAGGGAGGCTGGGTCGCGTGGGAGCCTGGGGGCTGGCCGGAGCGGGTATAGCGCCGCCGAGAGGATCAAGAGCGCGGCGAGGCAGGCTTCGATGGCGCGGAGGGGCCCAGTTCGTGCGAAGAGCCTGTTCTGCGTGAGCTGTACGGAACCGGATTGGAGCGGCGTGCCGGACGCGGGCGTAGAGAAGAGCTCAGTGCGCGCGAAGGAGGGCCAGAGCATCGCGAAGAGCGTCTTGGACTGGAGGGTAAGATCGTTGTCGTCGGTAAGGTCGGACGTTGTCAACCCGAGCGCGTGCCCAAGGAGGTGAAACCAAGGCGTAAAGTCGCCCGGGTAGGTCAGGTTGGCCGAGAAGGGCGGTGTCACGTTCCAGTTCGTGAATGGATCGCGGCGACGGAGGAAGTGCGAGTCATCGACGGGGGTGGTGCCGTTCGTGTGGGTCCAGTATGTGGCAGTCGTGGAGGCGAGGGCGGAATCCATGGAGACGAGTAGAGACGACCCCTGGGGGAAAGAAAGTGGAGAGGAGGTGAGATGAGTAGGGGAGGTGAGCAGGGTTTGGGTGGTGGAATCGACGAGGACGCGTAGAATGGTGGTATTGTAAGTTGGTGCGCACGACACCGCGAACAGGCTCGAGAGGGAGCCGTCGGCCAGGGCTCCGTGGACAAGGATCGTGCTGATGCTCGAGCTGCTACATGATTGGGTGAGAACATATCCGAAGGGAACAGGTGCTGCGGATCTGCATTAGTGTATACGCTATCTGGAAGGGGCCCATCACGCTCACCAGAGGCCACTTGACCAGACGTTATCGTGAAATTATGGGTCTGAGTGCACCCCGCAGCTGTCACGATCAGTTGTTGTTGTCTAACATCCTTCTTCCCTGAATCCAGCGGATCCGCAATAGACACATTCCCAGCGTAACTCGCTGACGCTGCCTGGCACACGAGGTCGGCGCGGCTTCCGTTAGTTAGACCTTGTATTGGAGTGTGCGGCGGGACACGCGTAACCGGAGCGAACGAGTCAATTGCGTGGACAGCGTCCGTCCATGGTATCTCGGAACCGGACGAGCGGGAGCTAAGGAAGAGGTGGAGGTAGGTCTGATCGGTCGAAGTCGGGTCGAACCTGGACGTATTCAGGGTAGATGTAATCGCAAGATGCTCCGGGGCAAAACGCGTGGTAGAGTGGGTGGTCCAGATGGAGGTGGAGATAACGATCGTAGCGGCGACGAGGGGAAGGCCGAGGGAGGTTAGCACGACGGACCAATGCCGATGGCGAACCGCTTGCGCGAGCCGCAGGGGGAGAACAGGGCTGAAATAGTCCAGCAGGACGCTTGCAAAAGCCGGTTGCGGTTCGCGACGCATCGGTGCCCACGGAGAGAGCTTGCGCGATTCAAGATCGAGCATGTGCCATATCATCCCCAGAACAAGAGCCACGATGACTGGGATGCATGCGAGTGCACGGGGGAGTACGGGAAAGCCATCGTGGACATGTATCGAGAAGTGGATGAAGATTTCAGAGAGCGTGATGAGCGTGGCGAACGTGATGAGGAGGGTAGCGAAGACGGTCCAGTGAAAGACCCGCGGCTGCCAGGGTTGGAGGTCGCGGTCACCTACGTAATAGACTTGTTTCTCTGGGTACTTTGTGAGGAATGACAGGGTACGAGGACATGTTACGCCACGCACCAACATATCGTTGGCTCCCCACACTCAGTAGATTGGAGGTAGACTCCGATCGGGCGTCTTCGGCGATGGCGCGGGGCCTCTCTACGATAACATCTTCCGCCGGCCCATCAGAGCGCCAGGAAATTCTGAAGGCTTTGACCAGCATCAGTTGTCGTGATGACTGGTAGCGTGCACCGGAGGAGATACTCACTCGATTGCTTGCCGACCGATGGCAGAAGAGGAGTGTCAATATAAGAAATGGAAGAGTCAGAATCCGAGTTAGAGTCTTGTCGTTCGTGTCTGAGTCCGAGCTGGCTGGGCTCCTCCATATAGCGCAAACGGAAAAAAAAGCGAGTATAATAAAAGCAGACGAAGAATGTAAGGCGGCCAGCCGCTGGACCGCAGAGTCCGAAGAATGCAAAAGAGCAGGTAACGCCTTCCAACAGTCGTTCCAATGCAGTACCGACGGAAGGGGAATAGCATCGCAGCGCAGTCGTGCATTCCAGTAAAGAATAGCCCGGGCCCGAATCACAGCCCTCTCCGATTTCACAGGACTAGTGATGGTCGCCGGTCGTCGTGAAGCAGCTTAACTCGGCGGAAGCAAAGGATATGGGAATAGGTGGTATGCGTTCAGCTCTGCAAGGTTTACATCATGATTGGGTCGTTGGAATATCCACCGAGTGCGGCTTCTGAGGTTGATGATGAATATACCCGCTCCAGAGTCGGTCTGCGTTCGCCGCAAAGTAGTCAACGATGTCGCCACTTTCCCATATGCAAGTCTCAGTGGGTTTCGCCTGTTGTTGACGGGAAATGTTGCTGCAGATATTTGGGTATAGCATAGATTTGTAGCGTCCGGAGAGTGGTGGGTCACCGTGGTTGGACGCAAAGCCCTTCACCGGTCCTCAAATCGGATACTGAAGATACAGACTCCGTCGGATGATTCGACTTCCGGTGCCGCCACGCTGCATACGCGACTCAGTGATCATGTCTTCATCTACGACAAACCACAAAAACATACACAACCCCCTCGCTCGCCTCAGCTCGAGAGCACGACTATCACCATAACAGTCCGTACTACAAGCTTACTGGGCTTGCGCCCGCTCTTACGACCCACCGTGACTAGCCTGCCACGACGACTAGTGACGACCATGGCTGCCTCCCACATCTCGGAAGAGGACTCGCAGCTCGTCTTGGATCTGTACGCGCTCTCGAATAAGAACAGAAAGCTCGTGCGCGCGTCCGAACACCCGGCCCCCGCAGACCCGACGATCAAAATCAGCAGCTGGAAGATGAACGAGTTCAAATACTACGACATTCCCAGCCCGTTCCCGACACTTGCCCGCGGGTTGTTTACGCGTCAAATCGGGGACAAGTACAAGATCGTCGCCAGAGGATACGACAAGTTCTTCAACATCGGCGAGGTCCCGTGGAACACGGTGTGTAGCTGTGCACGCGACCTTCTACTCGGATCAACTGACTCGACTGACAGTGGACTGCGCTCGAGAGGCATACAGGTTCGCCTTACACGCTCACCCTCAAGTCCAATGGATGCATCATCTTCATTGCCGCCCTCACCGCAGACAAGCTGCTCGTCACGTCCAAGCACTCGGTTGATTCGCCACACGCAAAAGTCGGCGAACAGTGGCTACATAAGCACCTTGCGTCGAAGGGCAAAGCGCCCGAGGAACTCGCGCGAACTCTCTGGGAGAAGAACTGGACTGCGGTAGCAGAGGTGCGCCTGTTTATCGGGTTTCGCGTGCACCCACACTGACACCGCCCCTCAGCTCTGCGACGACTCCTTCGAAGAGCACGTCCTCCCCTACGGTCCAGAAGTCACCGGATTACACCTTCACGGCCTCAACGCCAACTCGCGGCACTTTAAGACCGAGCAGCCCGAGACCGTCGAAAAGTTCGCGCACGAATGGGGGTTCATCCCGACGAAGTCCACCGTGCTGCGCTCCATCCCGGACGTGAAAGCGTTCACGGACGAGATCGGCAAGACCGGGTCTTGGAACGGCGAGCCGCTCGAGGGCTTCGTCGTCCGGACGCACGTCACCGAGCCACCCACTGACGGGCGCACGACGCGCGACCGGTCGCCGTACGAGCCCGGCTCGTCCTTCTTCTTCAAGGTCAAATTCGACGAGCCGTACATGATGTACCGTGACTGGCGCGAGGTGACGAGAGCGATCCTCGCCGGGAAGGAGCCACCCAAGTCGAAGATGAAGCGCGCGGAGACGAAGGCTTACGTGCGCTGGGTGCGGGAGGAGATCAAGAGGGACCCGGCGGCGTTCAAGGAATACCAGAACAACAAGGGTATCGTTGCCACCCGTCAGCGGTTCTTGCGCTACTTGAAAAGCGAGAAGGGCGAGGCGGCGGTGGAGGAGGTTACGCGGATGGTCGCGGATGCCGGGCTGAATGACAGGGAGGAGAAGAAGGAGTTCGGGAAGACGATCATTGTGCCGGTTGCAATACCTGGATGCGGGAAAACATGCATCGCCGTCGCGCTTTCGCACCTGTTTGGCTTCGGGCACACGCAGAGCGACGACGTGCAGGGCAAAAAGGCGGGCCAGACGTTCGTCAAGAACGTGGTTAATCTGCTGCGCACCCACGACGTCGTCATCGCGGACAAGTGAGCCTCCTCCCGTCCACATGTTGACGACGCATTTTTTTCATGATCAAACAGAAACAACCACCTGCGCATGCACCGCACTGCGCTCCGGGACGCGACAAAGCACATGCAGCCGCCCGTGCGGCTCATGGCGCTCAACTGGGCGCTGGACCAGCCGCCGTCGACGATCCACCGCATCTGCGGCGACCGCGTCCTGGCGCGGGGAGACAACCACCAGAGCCTGCGCGGAGACCCGCTCGCGCGCGCGCACGAAGACGTGCTCTGGCAGTTCCTCGAGCGCTCCGAGGAGCTCGGGGATGACGAGGTCGACGTGTCGATCGAGATGAGCCTGGAAGATACCCCGGAGCAGGCGCTCCGCCGCGCTGTCGACGGCTGCGTGCGCGTGCTCGGCGTACCGCCTCCTAGCGACGACAGAATTGCGGAGGCCCTCACAGTCGCGCGTGGGTACGCGCCGACGGTGAAGCACCCCGACAAGAACAAGGGGAAGAAGGACGCCTCGACGCCGCGATACTTTGGGCTGTTGCCGGAGATGGACGTGGAAAAGGTCGTGGATGACGCGATCGTGCGCGCGGAGGTGTCGGCGGAAGGCAGGGCGTTCTGGGACAAGCTCGTCGAGCAGAAGCGCGTCGCCAAGCGGCCGCATGTCACGATCGTGCACTCCAAATCTCTCCCGCACGAGAAGGACCTATGGGGTCGGTGTACGACACTACACGCGTCGACAAAGCCGCCGCTGTTCTCGTTCCGGCTCGGCCACCTTGTTTGGGACGACCGCGTAATGGCGCTCACAGTGGAAGACCTCGCGGTGTCCAAGGACGTGCCGGATCCGTACGAGGAGGGCGTGGCGTTCTTGGTCAAGCTACCGAAGGAGGTCGCGGGCCGGCTGCATATCACCGTCGGCACACGCGATAAGGACGTCAATCCGGTGGAGGCGAAGGATCTAGTACAACGGTGGCGGAACGGCGACTCCGATGTCAATGCCGTTCCGTTGGATAAGGTGTTTGTCAAAGGGAGACTCAAGGGTCTCTTCTAATGGTCCTAGGTGCACAATTCAAATGTATCATAACGTCACCCCATTATGTACCATACCAAACGTTGCAGTGATAGAATCCACAACTCTGACTCGATTGAAGGCGCTACCCTGGAAGTCAACTGGCTGTATATTGAATTGACGGTGTTACGACGGACATCGCCCGTCTCGATTAACACTGAGATGGAACACGACTACGTATACAACGGCATCGTTTCGTTATGTATACATTCAGGCAAACCGTCGGAATCGGCAATGAATCGTATTACGGTGAAACCGAACTGCGTCATCGTTCGTTCTATAATGCATTCGGAGTTCATTGATGAATCACGTAACCCAATTGATTTCAGTAGCAAGATCCGTTATACAGCGTATATGTACAAGCACTCTAATAGGATACAGCAATTTCCGAGCATACAAGACAACATGGTAGATTTGGAATAGATACAACGCCACCGTGGACGTTTAAGGATGGGCGGGACGTCTAGACGATGCCGAGCTGGTGGGCCTCCTCAAACTCCTTGGGGTAGAGGCGCGAAGCGGCGGCGGGCATGAGGCTGAGGCGGGCGTAGCCGCTGCGGAGGAGCGGGTCCTTGATGCCCTGGAGCGCGATGATCTTCTGGTTGGTGACGATGTGGGCCTTGGCCGCCTCCGGGTTGGCGAACTGGGGGAGGGGCACGATCTCCTTCTCGAGCTTGGTGGAGAGCACGTAGGGGATCGTGAACCGGTCCTCGTCGATCTTGAGCGTGTTGACGCGGTGGGTGGTGGCGACGAGCTTGCCGCCGGTGAGCTTCATGAGCTGCATGCCGATGTTGCAGACGACGCCGCCCTTGACCATGGGGACGTCGATCCAGGCGCCCTGGTGGTTCTGGACCTGGAGGCCGGGGCGGGACTGGATGAGGCAAGTGACGAACGTCGAGGGGTCACGGTGCTCGTGCATGCCCTGGACGAAGCCGTCCTTGGCCTTGGCGTCGGCGAGGATCTCGGGGGTGCAGGCAAAGTAGTGCCAGATGGCGGAGTTGAACTCGGGCGTCGGCGCGGGGAAGAACTCGTCGAGGCCGGTCTCGTGCAGGCCGAGGAGGTTGCAGATGTGCCGGTTGAGGTCCATGTTGAGCTTGTGGTAGCGGTCGAAGAGGGCGTTCATCCGCTCGCGGAAGTGGGGCACGTCTTCCTCCTTGGGCCACTGGTTCGGGCCTGGATCCGGCCATCAGTGGTTTGCGGATGGTGAGCTGCGCATGAGTGGGACCCATACCTTCGTGGAGCTTGAGCCAGAACGGGGCTTCCTCGCCAGGAGCGGGCAAGTCGGCACCGAATCGGTATGCCTCCGCGTACGCCTGCAAATGTCCATATTAGGATGCCGATTCGAAAGACCGAGATAGGAAATCAGATCGCCCGAACCTTGTGGACGCCGGGGAGCGAGTCGGCGCGGAAGTAGCCGCGCAGCGAGTACGAGTTGGCCGTGCTGAGCGAGTCCTTCCATTCCTGGGGCTTGCTCATCACCTTGCGGGCGACGTCGAACACCTCGGTCTGGAACTCGTGCTCGAAGCCGGGGATGTTTGAGAACACCTGCGCGGTTCATCGTCAGCGTTCCCGTGACTGCAATTACGCAGAGCAGCGACGGGCGCGTACCAGAAAGCCAACGTCCTCGAGCGCGAAGCGGAGCTGCTCGTAGTACTTGGCGGGATCGCTCTCGGCGAGCGAAAAGTCGATCACGGGCACCTCGTCAAAGTTTTTCTTCTCGGCGATGACGGGAGCAGCAGCAGGCTTGCTCGCGACGTCCTCGGCGCGGTGCATCGCGTCGCGCATCTTGTCGGCAAAGCTGGCAGAGTTCTCCTTGGAAAGCATGGTGTAGTGTTCGCCGTCGACGTCGATGAGCTCAAAGTGGGGGCCGGTGAAGTCGACCCACTGCGATAGCCTGTCGTTCTTATACTCCTCGCGGGTGCCCATGCTCTCGAGCGGGACCGCGCAGAACACGGTCGTCAGGGCCCCCGCGACCTTGCCTGATGGCAGGAACTCGCGTCCCGTCCGGTTGATTTCGTAAGCGACCTTGATCCACCGCGTGAACGCCCCTAATTGCAGATCGAGCTCCGCCAGCCGGGCCTGGTCCGCGCGCGACAGCAGCCACGTGATCGGAGACAGCGGGTCCGACGGCTCGGCGTCTCCCCCGGCGATCCCCGGGAACGCCGTCCGGAACTCGGCCTTCGTCGCCGGGATGGCCTGCGGCGGGAAGAGGGAGAGGAACATCGCGACGTTGAACAGCACCTCCGTCCACGACAGCTCGTGCATCCGGAACTGGATGTGCGGCGGCAGATTGAGGATACCGAGCCATTCCACCTTCTTGCCCTTCGCCTCGAGCCGCTGCGCGATCCGGAACGCGATCGCGCCGCCGTAGCTGTAGCCCGCGACGTAGTAAGGGCCCGCCGGGTACGCCTTCTCGATCGCGTCCGCGTACACGGCGACGGTCTCGTCCAGCGTCTTGAACGGCTGGTCGTCGTAGTCGAAGCCCTTGGCGCGGATCGCGTACACCGGGCGGTCGTCCTGAAGCCGGTGCGCCATGTTGAGGAACACGAGGATCTCGCCCACGCCGGGGTGGATCAGGAACACCGGCGGCTTCGAGCCCTGTGCCTCGAGGCAGACGAGCGGCTGGTAGACGTGCGCCTCGCGCGGGTGGGCCGCGCGCTCGTCGCGGAGCGAGGCGAGGAAGGCGCAGAGCGCGCCGACGCGCGGCCGGCGGAGGAGCTCGATCGTCGGGATCTCGTGCATCTCCATCCGCTCTTCGACGACCTTCTTGAGCCGCATGAGGTGCATCGAGCTCGCGCCGGTGTCGAACAGGTTCGTCGCGTGCGTGATCTCGCCGGGGGAGAGCTCGAGCACGTCCACGACCGCGTCGCGCACGAGCACCTGGATCGGGTCCGTCAGGTCGAGCGCCTCGCCGGCCTCGGCCGCCGCCTTGAACTTATCCTCGATCGCGGCGTAGTCACCGCGGAGGTAGGCGTTGGCGAGCTGCGCGCGGGAGACCTTGCCGAGCGCGGTGGCGACGAAGCTCGAGGACGGGAGCGGGAGCACCGCGTGCGGCGCGGCGGAGATGAGCACCGTGCACGCGTCGCGGATCGCGTCGTTCAGAGCGCGTATCGGGGACAGGTCCTCGTCCGCGGCCAGGTCGCGCTTGTAGAAGATGAGGTAGGTCTCGGTGTCCGCGCCGGGGATGCGCACGGGCGCGGCGGTCAGGTTGTCGGGCGCGCCGCCGGGCAGGTTCGCGTCATCGAGGTAAGTCTCGACGTCTTTGGAAGACACCTTGGCGCCGTTGATGTTGACGAGTTCCTTGTCGCGGCCGAGCATGTGCAGGTGGCCCGAGACGTCGAGGTAGCCAAGGTCGCCAGTGACGAACCAGCCGTCCGGAGTGAACGCCTCGGAAGTCGCGGAGGGGTTGCGAACGTAGTGCGTGAAGACGTTGGCGCCGGATACGTGCAGCTGGCCGGGTTCGCCAGGAGCGCAAAGCCCGCCGGTGGCGGAGACGACGCGCATCGACATGCCCGGGACGCAGGTGCCAAGGTTGAGGTAGGCGGGGCCTGCAGGGTCGACCGTGCGCGGGATATCCGTCGTGTCGTAGATAGAGCCGGCCTGTGATTGCCAATAGATCAATAAACCTCCTGGGGACGTTTGCTGCTCGCCGGGTACTTACGCAGGTCTCGCTCATGCCAAAGCCGGCGCGGAGGACGTTCCGCTTGGCTCCAAAGCGCTCGAGCAAATCCGCGAACGCGACGCCAACAGGCATCGGGACGGACTCGCCACCGGAGATAAACGCCGACAGACGCGACAGGTCGAGCGACGGCGGTAGGGGCGCGATCGCGTCGTCCTTGAGGATGCGGGCCATGAGGAAGTTGGGCGCGAAGGAGTAGGTGATCTCGAGCTTGGAGCAGAGGTCGAGGAGCGACTTGGGGTCGACGATGATGGCCGTCGGCGAGATGTGATACTGCACGGCGTCGACGAGGAGGGCATGCACGTGGATCTCGGTGATGGACGCGACGTGGTCGAACGCGATCCAGTTGAGGAACCGCGAGGAGGCGGAGGTGCCGTGGTGCGCGCTCTTGCCGGCGCAGGCGGCGAGGATCTGCGAGTGCCTGAGGGAGACGGCCTTGGGCTTGCCCGTCGAGCCTGCGGGGGATGTTCCGTGAGCGAACGGTTCGGACCTCGGGAACGAAAGGCGCGTTTACCTGACGTCAGGACGTAGCAGACGGGCTCCTCGGCCGAAGGCGAGCTCGCGGGGAGCGGTGCGGCGTCCTCGCTCGCGTCGAGCTGGGCGAGGGTGCTGATTTTAAGCGTCGGTGCGAGCGCGTTCACCGTCTCCGCGAGGGCGGGCGAGGTGACGAGCAGCGGGCCGTCAAAGAGCGACTGGAGATGCGCGAAAAGGTCCGCCTGGCGCTTGGGATCCGGGTGCAGCGCAGCGAGCGGGCAGAATGGGATGCCAGCTGAGAAGCAGCGGCGTCAGCAGACGGGCGAGTTGAACGAGAGCAGCAAAGTTTGCACTGACCGAGACAGCAGCCCCAGAAGAGGAGGACGTAGCTCTCGTGGTCCTCGAAGACACCGAGCACGACGTCGGAGGCATGCGGCTGGAGGCCGGAGGCGAGCAGGCCACGAGCATAGCGCTCGGCACGCGCGAAGAGGTCGGCGTAGGAGAGGGTGGTCGAGGGCGCGTCGCCGGGTGCGAGGAAGCCGATGTAGTTGGTGGACGCGCGGGCGCGGGTGCGGAGGAGGTCGGGGAGGGTGGCAGCGTGGGCCATGTCTGGTTGATAGGAGGACGGAAAGATTGGGCTGCAGTTGAGGCAGTCGGCGTGCTGGGCAGACGGAGGAGGAGGGCCCTCATATGTACCATGGCCGGCTGGTTATTGGACTCGCCGGTGGGCGAAGTGGTGTGTGCCTTGGATGGTGGTGGTTCTCGGGGCCGGGTCCACGTGGGTCCGCTATTTGCCATGGAGATCGCACTGCTCGATAGCGCCTCTCGCCCGACCCCCGCCTCTGGCGCACATCCCGGACGGACGATAGCGCAAGCTGCGGCCCTACCGGGCCTTGGCTGATCCCAACAGAGCAGCCGCGCGCCCCGGGACCCCGGACAGCTCCATCGCCCACCGAACCCGTCACCGCCACGTTGATAACGTCTGCCTTCGCGGGCGAATCGCACGGTCCCAATTACCGCATCGCCCCATCGAACTTCCTGAGTCCGTCGAGCCGTGTGCAACCCAAGATCATCAAACAACGTCTGTGATAGTCGGCGTGGCCCCAGAGATCCCCCAACCGCTCAGCCCCGTACCATTACTGCTTCCTCGCGGGACCTGTTACGGAAGTCGCGTATGCGTATGTTCTCTGATGCGTTTCCGCGAAAGCACCCGATGGGAGTCATACGTACCCGCGCGCTACGCTCAACACGGACCTCGGCGGTAAGTCTGCCTAACCGAGTTTGTTCTTCGACGGCTGCGTCCGACCCCGTCATGAGAACGACGGCATGATAGCTGTCCGAAATACAAATCGCGTTACGTATTCGCGCCCCAGATCACGAGCACCAAAGCTACGTATTCACTCGCGCAATATCGACCCGCCCCCACGCTCTGGCCGACGAGATTGCACGCAGTAGATCTTGTGGTACACGAAGGCAAAACCCAAACCGTATCCAGCGTGCTGCTCCTTGTCGACCCTGCGTATCCCGATCGGCACCTCGGTGAACGCGACGAGAAGAGAGAAAGAGACCCCGCAACTGTCTTTCCTCGCCTTGCGCCCCTCACGGCGCGGAAACCAGATCGACCGGCGGTCGATCCGCGCGCGCACCCTGTTTAGAGAGCCGCAATATGCGTGGGTTACAACAAGACGCCACCAGATAGGGCATTATGCCCCCGTTCACCATCTTTCTTACTGCAAACGCACGCCGCGAAGTGCCCAAAGCGTCATGATTGAATCATCGACATACGAGCCTTCTTCGACTCCGGAAGTCGCGCTGCCACTTCAGGCTCCAGAGACTCTCAGGGTCGACGTGCTTTTCCCTGCGTTGAATCGCGACGGCACGTTATACGCAGGCAACGGATAGGCCGTCTTTGACGAGTACGACATGATACCACCACGCTCGATCGCGCCCGCGTCGGCGTACCATCTAAGCCGCCCCCACCCACCGACGCACAAAATCCCGTTTTCCATTCGTGCGCGAACGGCCGTAAAAGGTACGCCGGCGAAGGAAGGGCAAGGCGCTCGAGGCTTCTGGGCTTCTCGTCATGGCCAATTCATACTGCGATCTGAATTGCGGTAAGAGGAACCCACCTTGCCCCTTACGCTTCCTCTGCTATATCTTCTGACTCCCATGACCGCACCGAATAAGGAGCGACGAAGCCCGCCGAGTTCTAGCCCCGCGAGCTGAAATTACCCAACTCGCGCGGCGCGATAGGACGGTATACTGATAATTACGACTTCTGCACCCGCGAAGCCCGGGCCGGGATTCCGTTGCGTTCAAGCAGAGATCCCGCGATGCTACGATATGCTGTCGTGGGTCGCCTTGCTGCGTGCGTATGTTCGTATTTCACGTCCGTTTCCTTGGCAAATATATTGGACCAGCGCTCTAAAGCAGAGTCGGAGTGACAACACCACCGCACGCTCTACGGTGACTCTATACAATCCGGATGCCCGACGGTGAACAAATGCCGATGCGATCCCTAGCCAATTCGTAGGTTGCCTATCTCTCTGCATCTGCGCCTCGTCATAGCTCCGGTTCCGGGGTATTATCACGAATGTCCCTCGTTCAACACAGATCACCGGCATGTATCGAGTCTGGTGCTATGGGGTCCCAGCAGAGCCGCCATCCGTTTGGATCCCAGAGCTCTCGATCGTCTCCCCTCGTCTTTTTCTGAAGGATAATCCACCACCACCGCCCTGGGCAGCGATTCGCCCACCGTGATCTCAGAGCTCAAATGCTCAGGGCTTCGGACTTCGTTCCAATAATGCGCGAACGAAGTCTCCTTATTTAGGGCGTTGGGGGTTCTCGGACCACGCGCGCGAAGCCAGATCCCTGCGGCATCCGGAAGTAAGCCTTCCTTCCCTATCTATACTCACCTTCCGCCGCGCGCACTTATGCCCATTTGTCATGTGTCTCCGCCAAGCCTATCCCTTTCGTACATCTCGAACGAAGCTCCCTCTCTGCCGATGCCCATGAGCCCGCATCGTCATAGGAGCCTGTCCAGACGGCCGTCGCGCCGCCGCACCGCCGGCTTCGCGCTCGCCTCACCCGACCTTGGGCTGAGCGCTCTCTTCTGTCTGACTCAAGTCGCCGTACGTATATCCTCGCTCGGTGCTGCGATCCCACCCTGGATCCGACGCAACAGCGACGGGGTACATCGGCAGAAAAAGCTTGCGTTTCCTCCGCATAATCTGAGAAGAGATCCTGGTCGCGATCTCTGTTACCCGGCGGCGAGGGTTTTTCGAATTGCGACCGCTGCGGACGTTCAGTCACGGAGCGTATCGGTCCTCCGGCGGTTCCATTGCAGTCAGCTAATAGCGCCGTTGCGTTATGTACGTCGTCGCGCAAGCGGTGCGTGGCGTCTTGGGGCGTATCGCGCGCGGTAGGGGCGACGTAAGTATGCATCCTTGCTGCCTGCGCGCTGACGTGCTGTCGACTGTGGTGACGAATCTGCGATGGAGAGTCTCTTGGCGCTACGAGAGAGGCCAAGGCAGGGTCGTTCATGCTCTACGGGGTCCTCGTTCTGCTCGCGAGCAGGAACGTAAGTCGGCAGACCGCCAAAGTCGGCCAGCGTCGGTCGCATGGATTACCTTATCGCGACGCGGTGAGTATTCATAACGAAAATCGCACAGCTCCACTCATTCCCGCCTTGGATCCTCGTCAAGCTTAACCTGACGCAACGTCGACTGGCCGGACGATGGTTATACCCCGCCCACCGCTGCGCTGGTCGATCGCTACCACTGAAGCCATCGGCGCGATGGAGGCGTAGAATCTCATAATACAACAATCTTTCTGGGACTTGCTGTCCCATTCTGTTGGACGTTCTAGCCGGTTCTGCCTCCATCCCGATCTTCAGCGCTCAGCGCTCATCCTCCACCACCGACGGACGATCTAGCCCGCCGTGTTGTTTTTGCCTCATGGGATCTCCCTCGATCGTCTGACTCATCGCGACGAGAGCTGGCGCTGTCGTGGCACTCCGTTGTCGGCGTATCTTACTCCTGTGGCCGTCACCGTAGTTCTTCCAAACACTCATACGTCCTTTCTGTCTCCGCCGTTGGCAGCGAACCGGCGACGAGCTGCACACCCGGGCGGTCATCGATATGGGGTTGCCTGCGCCCTGCCGCCTGCGCGCGCAGCGGATGCTTCCGCACGAGGAAGATACATTACTGCCATGGGCGGTCTGCTCCCGCGAGAGGGGTCCCAAACCACTCAATCTCCCCCGCGTGCGAGGATCTGCCTCGCTTTTAGCCTGAAAAGCCTATACTATCAGTTAACCGTGGCGCCGATACTTACCGACCTGTATCTATTGCCATGGGCGCTGCGCTGACTGCTGCTCGACTCTCATGCCTCAGGACATTTGTCGAGGATACGTTATGAATTGCCACGGCTGTTCCGCTCTCGGCGGACATGGCAGCGCCGACATTGCCTTGCGAAGTCCATTCCACGTCTCCATTGCGTGTATAAAACAAAAAAAGAAGTATCGCGTGTTCAGCATATCATTACATGCCTTCTTCGTCTTCCAAGAGTCAACTACTGTAATACACTGCGGGGGATTAGGCCTGCCACCGATGATAAAAAACATAAATAAAGCTATAAATATATAATGCTGGCGCGAGTGATTCATCCTTCGAGGGTTTCACGCTGGACAAAGATGGCAGGCGTCATGGGGTAACCCTTCTTGATCGAGTCCGCACTCTGCACGCGAGCATGGTAGGGCACGCCGGGGCGACCGTTCTCCGCCATGTGGGAGACGACGAAGGGACCGTGCGGCGGGCGGGGCGGGTATCCGACGGCGCTGCCGGTCGACGCCGTCTGGGAGTGAGAGGGCAACGAGGGCGGGAGGCCGGCCTCGACGCGCTGGGCGCGGGTGTGGTAGAGCTTGAGGTTGAGGTACACGCGCTGGGCCATGGTGACGGTGATGACGGTCGAGAACGGGACGGCGGTCGGCTTGATGAGCGCGTACGAGTCGTCGAGGGCTTGGATGGAGAGCACGGTGATGTTCGTCGCGGTGGTGGCGAGGAAGTAGAAGAGGTTGTCGCGGTAGATCTGCCGGCTGATGGCGGATTGCTTGTGGGCCCCGAAGCCGCCGCCAGCGTTGGTGGTGAGCTTGGCGACGGTGAGGACGAGGATGATGACGTCGAACGCGACGTGGGACGCGTACGAGATCGGCGCCCAGGAGACGATGTCGGCCATCTGGCAGTTGGAGCCGAAGGGCGTCGCGGGCCCGGTGACTGCGCTGTACTGGGACGCGACGGCGACCCAGCAGGCGACCATGCAGCCCCAGAGGAAGACGAGGAGGGCGATGATCGGCTTGGAGTTGGCGTAGATCGCGGCGACGCGACTGCAGAAGATGATACCGGCCGAGGCGACGACGAGGACGACGCCGGTTTGGGAGGCGATCACCGCGGTCTGGCAGTGATCCGACTGGATCGACGTGAAGAACAGCGCGGAAAGGGTAGACACGAAGGCCGAGTATCGTAGAACGATGAAACTGAGAAGGGAGACGGCGTCGATCAGTAACGGCACGGGCGTGGGGAAGTGATAGACTACTCACGCCCATGTGGCGGGCTGCTTCCACAGGTGCTTGCTGCTGGTCTGGTAAAGTTTGAGTTCGTCACGGAGGAGGACGACGCTGGCCAAGATCGGCGGGTTAGGGCGCGCGTCCCCGGATCAATCAAAGCAACGGCACTCACTAGTCCCATCCGACGAGCGCAAACGCGCAGGCGACGCAGATCGCGATCGCGACGGCGTAGTACTGCATGTTTTCGTACTGGGCGAGAGTAAGCCCTGGCGGCAGGATGATCTGGGCGACATTCGGGGCGGATGCGTTAGGCGCCTGGGCGGCGGCTGCGGCAGCGTCGCGAACAAAGTTGGAGAGGGCGGGCATCGTAAGAAAAAGAAGACAAGTCGGAACGAAGGAAGAGTATGTATAGACAAGGAAGAGAAGGGCCTGGACTGGACGCTGAGAGCGCTGCGGGATCTCAGGTCGGGGAAGCCGAACGAATGGCCCTGGATAGGGAGTGGAAGGATCTGCACCAGGCAGAGAGTCTATTAATGAGGAGGTGTTCGCGCCATGGACGACTTATCAGGCCTGATTCTGGGGGCGATACGACGCATGGACGACCGAGTTCGTGCAGCAGCTGCATCACGACCAGGGCGTGCGTCGGTGATGCCAACAGGCGGAGGCGGAGCGCCACAGCCACAATCATCGGGGCACCACCCGTCACCGCCGTCACCTCCGGTCACCCGCCGGTCACGCGAGCGCACGCGAACGCTCCTCCGTGACGCGCGGACATTCGCCCGATTAGGCGCATCAGACCGCTCGTCGGCGTGGGCCGTGATGCAAACGGCGCGGCCGCGATTGGCCCCGGGCTCGCTAACGCGCGGGCGCGGGCTCGTCTGGAACACCTTCTCTTGGGAATTTCGCGCGGGCGGACGCGCTTATTACTGCTTACTGCAACGTGTTCTCTCCTCTTTAACAACCACACGCATCCGCGCCTTCGCCTTCACCTCCTCCACCACCGTCTTACCCGCCATGGCGTCCAAGCAACCCGTCGAGGAGATGCTCCAGTACAACATGATCCACGCCCACAACACGTTCAAGTTTGGGTACGACATCATCGTCTCCCACCTCGACAACCCGCCGCTCGACGACCTCAAGAACTTTATCGGCTACTGCCAGGCCTGGGTCGACTCTATCGAGGGCCACCACGATGCGGAGGGTCAGTACCGCCCTGGTTCCTGCGATCGGATTGATGATCCTGAGGCGCCCGATATGCTGACGAGGAGCTCTCCAGAGGAGGTTGTGTTCCCGTTCCTGAACCGCAAACTCGACTTTTCGCAAGAGCAGGAGCAGCACAAGCTTATCCACTCCTCGCTCCAGACCCTGACCGAGAAGCTGACCGCGGCCAAAGCGGACCCGTCCAAGTTTGACGCCGCGGAGCTGAAGGCGATCGTCACCGGCTTCAAGGATCCGCTCGTAGGTCGCTCCAACGTTATCGCGAGATAAGGCGCTGACATCCCCTGTCTCAGTACCAGCACCTGGACGAGGAGGTGGCGCATCTCGCTCCCGAGAACATGAAGGACTTTGACCAGAAGGAGCTTCTCGACCTGAACCTCGCGCTCGATAAGCACGCCAAATCGCACGGCGACCCCTTCCTGCTCGTGCCTTTCATGCGCAGGTACGTTGCAGCGCCATGTCGAGGAAGACCCCCTGTCTCCGGGCTGACTCACGACCGTTTCAGCCACACTCCTCCGGAATTGAAGGACTCCTGGCCGCCCATGCCCTGGATGCTCCGCAAGGTGGTCATCCCCTACATGCTCGCCAAGCGCTACTCCGGCTACTGGAAGTACGCGCCATACGCCATGTCCTAAAATGCCTCATAGACACGCACACATCGTTACTCCTCGCATCGCTCTGTCTTCCCTAGGTTTATTAATAGCTGTACATACCCCGCAATCTTGACCTCTGTTATTGCTGCCGCGCCGTTGTTCCGCCGGCCCCCGTGTGCCGTGGCGTGTCACCCTGTCCGACGTTTGTCACGCTCCTCTTGCTGCACTCCGGCCGATGATCATCTCACGTGGCAAATTCGATCTCCGATCCCGGTGACGAGCGCGACGGACGCTCAGTTGGACGACGTCTGACAGCGTCCGAAGGCGCGACCGGTACTTGTGATATCGGTCGCGTCATCGTCGTCGCCCTACGGTGCTGATGAGGCATCTATACATCAAGGACCGGGCGGGTACCACACCATCGGCCTGCTCTATACACCTTCCGATCTGCAACAGAGGAAGACACGGAGCCGCAGAAGTGCACTGTGATCTGCAACCAGGAGTTGATCCCGGTATCAGTCACTTCGCGTATCTTTTCGCGCAGGGGGAGGGGGGATTGGCATCAAGCGTTCGTCCGTCTAACGGCACATGTGGTCGACGACGAACGTGCGGGAGGGTATGCACGGTAGCCTGCGGTAACAGCTCAATTACTAGATAGACCCGACACCTGCGATCCATGATAAACAGTAGAGTTCACACATCGTTCGACCTGCGAGCATGATCACCAGATCGACTGTCTTCACGCTCTAGAGTCTGCCTGGGGAGACAAAGATAGCACCGACTTCGCAAGCGCACCACTGAGAGTATCGCCCCACAAACAGACACAGTAACCATCATCATGATCGCACACCCACTCTGACTATCATTCCATACTGATACAGAACCCAAGAAGCCCGTTCTTTTCTATTACATTTCCATTCCGAAACGACCTCGAGCACACCATCTAGACCGGAACCACGGCCTCGATGATCGAGTCCACCGCGCGCATGCTGTGGACCTTCCGGACGACAAAGCCCGCCTGCTCGATCAAGCCGCGCATGGCATCGAGCGTGCGCGTGATGCCGTTGTTGAGCGCGAGGAGCTGCATGCTCGTCGTCCTTACGAAGCGGCTCGAGTCGGGCCGGAGCAGCATCTCGCACACCACGAGCGTGCGCTCGCCGACCGGCACGCCTTCGGAGGGCGAGGACGCGAGCGCGGCGCGGACGTTGCGGAGGATGGCGAGCACCTCGGCGTCGGTCCAGTCGTGGAGGACGTGGCGGATGAGGTACGTCGGCCGGCCGAGCGGGATGCCGGTGTCGGGGAGGCTGGAGGCGAGGAAATTGCCCGGGGCGAAGGAGACGCGGGAGGCGGAGCGTTCGGGGAGCGCGCTCCACGCCTGCATGGCAAAACAAATCAATATCAGCGAAACGAGAGAGCGATAACGGCCAGGAACGCGCATCGTACCCTTTTCGCGTTCTCGACGGTCTGCGGGATGTCGAAGATGGTGAACTCGAGATTAAGGTTCTTCTCGTCCTTGAGAATCGCCATCTCGAGCGCGCCGATGCCGCCACCGCAGTCGACGATCGGGGACTTGAGCGCGTTCCACGCGTAGTCTGCGCGTCCCCATCATCAGTTCCTTGTTCCTTGGCTCCTACAATACCTGAACGAGAACGCACCCTTTGGCACGTTCTGGTTCGCCATGCCGTGGAGCTGCTTCATCGCGCGCCCGAGGCGCTCGCCGCGCCAGGCCTGCTCGGGCTTGGCCATCCAGTCGAAGACGGAGCAGTCGAAGCCGAAGGCGAGGTTCGTGCCGGTAACGCGCGCCTTGCCTGCGTCGGCGGAAACGTCGGCGGAGCCGGACGGTCCGCGGAGCTTGGCGACGTCGATGAGGCGGGAGGCCGCCTTGTAGCCCTCGTCGGCCCTGGATGAGGAGGAAAGGGCGTGAGATCGGCGAATCGGCGGACAGACCCAGACAAACGGATATCGCGAGACAGAAGGTAGGGGGGGGGGGGCAAGAAGCCCAGATCGGGAAGTAAGATGGCTACAGTGCCCGGAAAGGAAGTAGAAGGTACCCCCTCTCCCGATTCTCTCAATTGAAAGGGACCGCGGGAAGAGCGCGAAAGGAGGAAGAAGCGCGGTCGAATGCGGAAGGATATACGCACACGAAGCCGATGGCGCTCTTCATGCAGTCGGGGTGGTCGTCGCGCAGCACGGCGGATAGTTCGTTGTTGCGGTACACGTTCGTCTCCACTTCCTCAAAGTAGCCACGGCCGAGCATGCAGCTCATCACCACGCCTGTCGCAATCCGACGTTTCAGCACACGAGCATGCGTGAAACGAGCTTCATACCGAGGAACTGCGTGTCCACGCCTGTCTTTTCGCTGATCTCTGCGATGCCGAGCGCACCGTCGCCGATGATGTCCGCGATCCCGAACGAGGTCACAAAGTACAGGGCCTGGCTCTCCTGGCACGACTCTGTCCCCATACATCTATCATTAGACTTTCTCTGCTTCCGGGCCATCAGGCAGATGGGAGGACGGCACCTCCAAGGAGCGCAGTGTACTCGAGGGGTCCCATGACGGTGCGCAACAATCTGTCAGGACCATCGCGTCAGTGAGAGAGTACGGGGCCGGAGAAGGCAAGGGTGGCGTCGTACTTGTCCGCGGTGGCCTGGATGGCGAGGCCCTCATCGTAGAACTCGGTGCTGTCGGGCGGGGAGGTGGTGCGCTTCTTGACGAGCTCGAGCAGCTGCTCGGCCACGGCGACCGCGTCGACGGGTGAGGGGGACATCGTTGCAGTGGGGATGAAGGAGGGCTAGAGGAGGAGGAGGAGGCGGGTTTTCGAATGCAGAGTCCGTACTACGCACGGTACCTTTTCAGCGATGGGCGTAACTCGCGCTGGATCAATCCGCGGGCTGGAAGGTCAGGGCGCGGTCGGAAGCTGGAGCTCCTCTCAGGGCTTGGTTACGATACGGCCGTGCAGTACGGGAGAAGTAGCATCCGCCACAAGCAGTGCGCCTATGCGCCGATATCGTGAAGACATATTGGTGCCGTATACGATACGTATGCGTACGTAGCAGGCAGCCTGTGCAAGAACACCGGCGAGAGGGCGGTCGCCACTGATGCTCACTGATGCGTGCCGTAAGGATCAAATCCAGATCACGCAGAAACAGGCTTTCCGTGCGCAGATCAGATTCTGCGCCCACGATCGATCTCTCGATTTCACCGTCAGCCCCTTCCTGTTCCGGCAGGTGTGTCACCACCGTTGATAACGGGCAACTGCAGATCGTTCTCGCCCCGGATCCGTAAACGGAAAATCAGAATTGATATGCGCACGGAGACCCCGGACACCGCTAACCGCGCATTCCCCCCAGTTGCGGGGCACGAACGCAAAATCGTCGACAAGACATTTGACTGTGCGTCTCGTGCGTCGTCGGTACCGCAACGCACGCAACGCGGAGCCGTTCTAGAGCGAGCACGAACATTATAATTCCTCCGGGTCGTCGAACGAGCCTGACAACGGCCGCTAACAGTCGGGTTGGTATGGGGGAGAGCCGTGCGTGGGCGTTGCGCGGGGTGCGGGGGCGCGACGCTCATCCCCGCCCAGTGACCTTCCTGTCCCCCGGCATCCTGAACTGCGCGTCGAAGCCCTTCAGCTGTAACGGCCCAAACGCCGGGAAACGCGTAGCGGCCGTTGGCGCTAGGCTGCCGCCCTGGTGGTCCGAGGTGATGTTGTTGTTCACCGCGCTCACCTCCCGGTCGTACGTATTCCCCGCAGTATCCACGTACGAGAACGTGTTGGTGCTCGTCCCGTTCCCCGTGTTGCCTGACGGCGTCTCGTTGAAAAAGCCGCCCGCGAGCTGTCGTTCCTGGATAGTGGAGCCCAATATGAATGGGGCGGGTAGGATTTGGCGGTTGTAGCTGTGATCAAAATCCGCGGTAACTGCACGACGCGAATGAATAAGAGAGCAGAGGAGATAACAGAGATAACGTACAGGCTGTACCCGCAGCGTTGGCAGAGGTGATGTTGACGTTGAATGGGAACGAGTAGTCATCGATAACGACCGGGATGCCATTGTGGGTCGAAAGAACCTTGCCCGTCGCCGTCTGGAACACGTTCTATACGGTGGACTGAGGTCAGTCGTTGACCATCAACAAGGAAGGGACGCAAGCAGACCTGGATGTTCAAGTTGTCAAGGTACTGCTGCAGGTTGGTATACTCCAGGTTCTGCGTGAACACCACCTTGGTCTTGACCCCGCTTCCGCTGATGATTTCCGACTCGATATGTACATTCCGGCTCGCCGTCACCGTCACGTTCAAATCCCCGTTGGCGCCCAAACTACCCGTCGAGTTGCCCACCGCGAACGGCTGCGCGTCGTACAGCGTGATATTCCCCGTCGTCGGCTTCCCGGACGGATCCTCAACGACTTGCAGCAACCCGGATACGAACCAGTTCTGGTTGATGGCGCGATCGTCCTCAACGCTCGCCACGTCCAGCGAGATCGTGTGCGACTGGCCGTCGGTAAGTACCGGCACGAAGGGGGTCAGGTCGAGAAAGTACGAGGGCAGGTCGAGCGCGCCGTAGGACGTGATCGGCCGCCAGGCCGTGGGCAGGATTCCGCCCGTGAAAACGACCGGGTACGGGAACGCGGCACCCGCGAGCACGCCGTCGACGAGCAGCCGCACTTCGCGGAAGGGCCCGTCCGGGAAGGTGAACCCCGGGGGCAGGTCGTTCACGAAGGCGTCGGCGGTGTTGAAGTACCAGAATTCCTCGTTGCCGTTGCCGGAGGCGATGAGCTCCGCGTAGATCGCGGTCGCGTTGCGTGGTACGGTCACGTTCAGCTGTGTGGAGAAATATGAGAGAGACGGCCGTGCTACGAGGGACTTGGTACGCACGGAAAACGTGGGAGGCACTGACGCATCGTTACCGGTGTTGTTGGCCAAGGTGGATATGGGGATAATGGTGTTGGCCCTAGGCGCCGGTGGATGAATGGCAGAAGACGCGAAGAAGGTAGCATGCAGGGTTGCTGAGTGGGGTGTGAGCGCTCATGCCCAGATACATTCGAAACGACGTCCACGTACTGGCATACTGGCCGTCCAGACCCGTCTCCAACAGATTATCCAGCTGCAATATGAATGTTCCCGGTTTGGAGAACAGCGGGAGGAAGCGGGTCACATCTTTGAGGTAGGTCCAGATAATGCCGTCGCCGCGAGTTGGCTCTGGTGTGGACGTCCTCCAGACTGGAAAAGAGGCCGTTAACGAACGGAACGAAGTCGGTCATATATACTCGTACTCTCGACGTTTTGGAAGGTGAAGATGCCGAGGCGGTCGAACTGGGTCCCGTTGGACGTGACGGTAAAGTTGAGCTCGATTCCAGCCCATGAGCCCACCGGACCGCAATCGGTAGGGGGTCTGTGCGTGGAAGGTGAGCGAGCATATCGAGCAGAGGGTGGAGTCGATGCCCACGCACGTAAACTGAACTATTTCCGGACTGGGGGATGGCGGAGATCAGTCGAGGAAGTTAGATCGCAACAGTAACGCCGACGCACTCTCCAAACGAGAACCCGAACGTACGGCTGATGGACAGATCGTCGTGCAGAGAGTTAGTGTTCGCGCCCCGCACGAGATAATGAACGACCCACGCACGTCAGGATCTCCACGGTACATTGTTTGGCATTCCTGGGGAGCGGAGGCGGCTGCGCAACCTGGAAATCGACCAGCACGGCGGCACGGGCGGCCAACGCGGTGACCGACAGCGCACAGGCGGCAAACCAAGCTCGCATGGTCCTCTTCGACGCTGGGCAACTAGTCCTCGAGGGCGTCGTTCCCTCATCTCGCCGTCGGGTGGGCCCTATATACGCCTTCGATGTTCCCTTCCGCGCGCGAAAGAATCTCGTGGTGGGAATGCCGGACGGTTGATGCACGCGTTCGTCGCCGCGAATGGAGAGCGCATCTCATGGCGATGGACAAAAGCTGATGCGAGGGTGCCAGGACTGAATATGAGCACAGCGAGGCGAGGCGGGCGATTCTGAATTATCTGCGACGAAAGTAGCGTGGAGGATAATGTAGTGATTCGTGAAGGCAAAGGGCACCAGCGACATTGACAACGAAAGCGGGATCACGCGAGTTGCTCTGCCTCTGAGCTGTCGTCACCCCACCTGAAGATCTGAAGTTTCAAAGACCAGTATACCTCGGCACTTATGATGGACCGTCCTCGAATCCTCAACAGAAATACAAAGATAATAGGATATAGATGACGACAGATCGAAACTGAAATTCCGCTTGCCCATCTGTAGCTTGAACGACAGCGATCCGTCGACGAAGGCCTACGATATAGTATAAACATGTGCCGGCCCTACATGACGCTCGAGCCACTTTCTCTTTGTCTGGATATGAATAGCCAGCAAAATCAATCAGAAACCAGGACCTTCCTATCCCAAGCTGCCTGTACATCAGAATCCGCAGGCGTCTAAATATCGATTCCGGGTACCGCCATCGTCATCGAGCTATCACGACCCAGAGCGACGACCAGTTCTGATTGGTAAAGGGGACAGACGTTGTGCACTACCATGACGAACGTTACCGAGGTATGGTCAGATTATAGTTGATGGTCAGCAGTAAAATGACCGTTTCTGCAGCTGCAGTCGTTACCAGGGCTCGGACTGGTATGTTCAGCTGCAACGCCTCGACGGAAATCAAACTATAGCTTACGCTGTACATGGACTATCTACACAGGGACTATCTGATCTGACACCGAGACTTGGCGTTCATTCCAGCCACGGCGACCGAGACCGCCCGCACCGGAACATTTCAGTGTCTCCAGGTCCTATATTTCAACATTTAGTACATTTCTGCATCTAAAATCTTCGGAATATCTCACTGATGGTCACGGTAGCCGGATTCCAGCGGCAGCTCAGCGTCCCAGATCAAGAACGACAGCGAATGGGCAGCTGTGTATGAGCGGTTGAAGAAGCACGACGAGGCTATGATCACTGGTCACTCAGGAGACATAGACAGCCTGTTGATACTGGTGCGATGCACCTTCGCTATATCCGTATGCGACATCACGCTTCATGTTCCTTCATCTGCAGGCTGGCCTGTTCTCTGCGGTCCTCACCTCCTTTCTGGTTCAGGTTTATACGCAACTTCAGCCTGCCAATACACCTATGTCAACGGCGATAGCCCTCGATCTCTCCAGGAGTATAGTTGAACGACTGTCACTCCCGTCGACATCTGAAATTTTTGCTGCGACCAGCATTCCTGCGGTGTCACCCTCCATGGTAGCCATAAACGCGCTCTGGTTCATGAGCCTCGTCCTTTCCCTTGGATCAGCATTATTGGGCATTTCCGCGAAACAATGGCTGCGGCAATACATCCTGTGGACTAATGTAACGCCTCCGTCACACGCTGTTCCACTTCGACAATATCGATACACCCAATTCGAGCGATGGAAAGTACAGACGATCGTCTCTTCTCTACCCGGAATCCTCCAGCTCTCTGTATTTTTCTTCTTCATAGGGTTGGTTATCCTTCTATGGCCGCTGAATACAACTGTCGCTGTTGTAGTAACGGCGGCTGTAGCCCTGACCTTCGCCTGCGCTATAGTTGCTATCGCGCTACCAGTGGTCATCGATACGTGCCCGTATAAAACTCCAACCGGATGGCTGTTGATCGACGTCAAAGATTTCATACAAAAAAGATTCATCCATCCCGTCCTGGGTCTGGCAGCTCGCACTTCGATACAAGTGATTTTCTGGTCACTTACTGCCGTCTCGCGCATCCCATCTTATAGGGAGCACCGACGAAGAATATGGAACGACTGGATTAACAAGTTGCTTGACGCACCCTCGCACCCTACACGCGAATATCACGGGAGCTGGGCTCATAGAGATTTAGCGATTCACGTTGCAGGGAGAACACAACTGAGGAGCACATTCTGGAAATCTTGGGCCTTGCTTTGGGTCTCCGCCCAGGACGAACTAGATACGGAACAAATCAAAGGATGTGCAAAAAGTTTGCCCGACACCCTCATCTCGCTTTGGTCGCCTCGCATGCTCACAGAAGACGATTTGACCCTTTCAAAAACCGATGATCCTTATGAACGCCTTTGCGGGTGTTGGCTCGCTATTTGCACCATCTTATACATCCCGCGGTCGCGATCCATTCCCTTCTGCGACCAGCTTCAAGACATATACACACAACGTAAAAATACTCTCCAAATTCTAGAAGCGTTGAAGGTCATTGTTCCGCACAAGCTACGGACGCTTCGGCCTGCTCAGCGGCGCGGAATGTACCACTTACTCTCCTCCTTCCTCCATGGAAAGCGTGTCTCTCCTCCCCAGAGATATCCAGAACCATTTACGGAGGACAACGTCAACTACCTTTATCTTAGCTCCTTTTACGTGATGCTCATCCTTTGTACGCTCCAAATCGACCTCCGGCCCCTCTTCCTGAACACTTTACTGCGTCTTCTTTGCCAGCCTGGTATATTACACTCTCCTAATGGCAATCCCACCAGAACTTTGATCGACCTTGTGTTCTATATCTTCCACGAAGTGGCAGCGTCCACCGTAGGTCGATTTCGGCTTGGGGGTGGAGGCCAATCATGGAGAGAAACACTCGAAACATGCCCGGAGGATGAGATTTGCGAGATCATCTCATCCGTCATCGAACTAGGCGATCAAGCGGCAACCGGTACAGCAACCTCCACCGAGTTGCTTCCCGTGTACTGGAGTGCAGTGAAGTTTATTTGCTCACTCGATGCCACCTCCAGCCTCGCCACCCATCTTCGGACCCCGTCTCAACCTCGTAGAAAAGCCCTGACGCATGCTTTCCTAGAGAACATTTATGATGTCCTTGCTTCAGATCTCCATCGCTTTGGCAGCGGCCCGTCTCCGGCATGCATGGATGTCTCTAACTTATGGATCACTTTACTTTCTTTCCTCGGACGCCACAGCGATACGAACGTCGCTGCTGCCAAGCTCGTCAGGTGTCTTTTGGCATGTCAAGAACGAGGTCTAGCTCAATTTGACGTCGTTGGGGATTTTCGCTACTATTACAATGGATCAGGCCCTGCAGCATGGACACTGGAGGAGTTGTATGCACATTTTGGCTATACTCCCGGATCATACCAGGCACCACAAGAGCCCATCTTACCGTTGTAACTACCGCGGTACATTCCATAAAGGTATTTCTTATCTATGTAACGGAGTGTTCATCGCGATTGATGTCAAACATTAGCCTTTACAACTGACCACACCGTTCCGGTGTTTTCGCCTGCAGTTGAAACTTTCATGAGCTTGCAGTTTTTGATATATAGAAGATCGATCACCGCGAGGAACTCACCTTAGAGGTCAAGATTGAAATGTCCATCAACATCAGCGACATGTACATGAATTCCCTTGTCCACGAGTGGCCGAAAAATCTGTGCAAACTCAGGGACACGATCGGTGGAGATCGTAATATCCAAGTCTTTCAAGCGCTTGAACTCTGGTCTTTGCAATTCTGTACCCAAGTTCTTGAATTCGTCCATTGAGGAGTTCACGACGATGCACATGCGCAGCGACAGATGATCGAAGTCCGGCGAGGCTACGGTCTGGCACGATGCAGATATGAATGACACATCGTGTGCGGTCCTTGATCCAGCACCGTATAGTTCGACGGAGAAGGCAAGCGACTGGAGGACGTTATTATGGGATAAGTCGAGCGCTCCTACCAGTCGGAAGTTAGTACGGCCAACCTTATCCGTCAGTATGTGCCACCGCTCACCCTCACGAGGCGGACTGTAGAGCACAATTATTCTCAAATCCTGCAAGGCTTCCATGGAACTAAGCGCATAGTTGGCTTCAAAGACCGTGCTCGCAGTTATTTCGATGTCGAGTCGGCGTAGCGATAGGGCGCGCGTCGAAGACAGTTGGCCGATGAAGTGGGTCCATAGATATGATAACGTCAGATCGTCGGCGCCGACGATTTTCAGATGATTCAAGTTCATCGGACGCGCCACGAGTGAGCGTTCAATGGGGTCACCGAGTGCGGCGACAGTGTCCAAAGCCAGGCTTGTTATGCTCGTTCGGGTATGGAGTAATTGTACTAGCGTGTCCAATTCGTCCAAATGGCCGTAGGAGATTCTGACGTCCACCAATGCGGGGGTGCTCACACGGATCTTGTTGAAGAGCGAGGCAGGGACCTGCAGCAGGCCGTACTGAGGTTTTCCATGCATGTGAACGACGCGGAGATTGGGCAGGATGGGAAACGCGTCGAGGGTTATGAAGATGTCAACGTATAGGATGGTGATGAGTTTGGCCAGATGGGGGGCGTCGCAAGTGAGATCGGCAAGACGCTTCTCGTCGCGGAAGGTTGCATGGTTGAATCGTCTAAAAAGATAGAATTGACACCTCGCGGTCAGCGCGCGAGAAGCCAATGCGCATTGTCGTAGTGCATCCTGGTCCTCGCATAAAAAGTCTATAACTCTTTCCGCAATTTCTGTGGGAAGGCAGGGAGACATGGGGATTCTTGGAAATGATCATGAGCTTATCTGAGCTAAGAACATGTTATCGCGGACAGCAGGCGCTCACCGGTAAATATCAGTGCACAAGGACGGACGTCCTAAGCGCAAGTAGGAGTATATCCAGGAGGAAATTACAAGGTCAGTTCGAGCTTTATACCTGTTCGTGATTGCAGAAGTGTTAAGTTTCATTGACGAATGCAAAGGTGCATCGTCAGGCCTTACGGATCAATGTCGCAGATATTGACGAGCTGGTGGTGTTTATGGTAGTTCCTTCCCTATAGCTGATTTACAGCCACGAGGCTCTGGTTCGAGGTTAGCAGGAAGAGTCGATGAGGCTGGCTCTTGGATGATCGGGACCGTGACGACGAAGGCTGCTCCCGGTCGGGACTCGAAGCCACGTGGTACGACTGGCGTTTCTGTCATGGATTTTCGAAGGGGTTGCAACAATCGTAACGGTAAAGTACATTCGCTGCGGTCTCTTCTTGCTAAATTACAACAGCAGCATTGTCCTTGTGGTATCACATTAGTTCGTCCTCGGCAAGATCTAGATCACTACGGCGTTCGTCTCAAACAAGGCTCTTGACCTTGTTGACCAGTCCGCTCGCGATACCGCCGACTCCCGATCCTGATCCTTGACTCTGGCCTTCGGTCTCGACCGGCACCGCGTCACCTGTCGCCAACGACGCTGCATACGAGCAAATCGGTCAGAACAGACCATGCTCGCTAGGTCGGAAATACTCACAGTTACCGGGCATGAACCCAATCGAATAGCCGACTTTGAGCAGCGTCTCAATGGTGTTCTTCGAGTTCTTGACCAGATCGTCATCGAATCTGCAGAAAACCGTCAGGCGGGTCGCTCGAAAGGTATATTACTGCGCAGGGACTTACTCGATAAGGCCCGGAGGGAAAACAGCAACGACAGTGCTACCTCCGTACGCGAAATAGCCAAGTTCCTCGCCACGCTGGACCTCGGTTCCTTTCTCTTTACCCTATTGGCAAGGCGTCAAACATGTTCCACATTTGGTCGTAGGAGGTCTGCCCACCTTCGTCCAGGCGATGCTGCCGACAAGCATAGCGCCGATCGCGACGAAGGCGATCTGCTTGCCCGTGAGCTTATGCGTCATGTACAGAACGGAGCGTTTATTTTCCGTGAACACGTCGAAGCCGGGTTCGTTGACAGCCTGGGGGTTGACCGTATAGTATTGTCCCGGTATGTCGACGACATCCCCGACCGTTCCGTCAATCGGACTGTGAAAACGATGATAATCCGCGGGCGCGAGGCGGAATCTGCGTCACATCGTCAACGGGCCGACACGTCGTCGGGAGCATGCTAAGGGTCCTACATGGCAAGACCTCCGTTGTCAAAATGACGCGCCTGCTCCGAGTCGGGAGAGACGCCCAGCAGGTTCGGGATGGAGAAGTTCTTGCCCTTGATCCTGCAATGTCGGTATGTGAGCCAACTTCGAGGGTCATACGACAGCTCTTATACGAACCAGAATTGCTTCGCCAGATCGACGGTGTTGTACACAGTCAGCCGACAATCTGCAGCAGAGCAGAAAGCCGTCGGATCGTCCGCATGCTGGACAGGACGTGCACCATCCTTGAGTCGTCTGGTCGGTCGCAAGTCAGGAAGAGCCTGTATTTTATTATACTTGAGGAACGCACCTGTAAAAGAATTCGTTGAAGTTGCCATACTTGGTGATGTCTGGCTCGAGAAGCTCATCCGTCTGGATCGAGTACGTCTCGATGAAAGAGGGGATGGACTTGACAGACTCCGGCTCGTCGTAAATCTTCCCTTGCTGGAGGAAGCGGAGGGTACATCATCGCCTGCTCCATGCAGTGTTGCGCCATGGTACTAACCTTGATGGACAAATCCTTCAATACCTCCTCAACGTGCTGGTTGTGGAGCACCTTGACTTGGGCCGATCCGTAGTAAAGCAAATGCATTCCCAAACTGCGTATCGCGTTAGATGTCATGTGCTACGCACTGAGACCGAAACGAGTACTCACCGCGGGTACAGAGGCATGCTCTCGAAAAACTTCTCGCCCGTCCCGCGCATGACCACGAAGTTTCCTACGTGGAACTCGGTCGCGACCTTCTCCAGGCCGGGGACGAGGTTCCGGACGAGGGGGATCTCGGTCAATTTGTGCATGGGCGCGTGGATGCCCTTCTGCACGGATCCATGCTCCGCCGACTGGTCAACGACAGCGGTCAGAGCAGACGCGACGACGTCCGGTGTTGCGCCGGGGGTGTTATCGGGGTGGATGACCTCGACGGGCTTGTCAATGTTGCTTGCGTGAAGTGAGGACATGGTGGGTGAGGGGGGTGGTGGTGGATGATGGTGAAGATGTGGATATCCATCCTGGCCCGTTCACTCGTTGATGGAGATATGACGACGGAGGCGAGAGAAATGTCAGTGGCTAAGCTGCATATGTTCCAAAAAAAGAGACATATACCATGACGTAAACGTGCCTAATTCCAAGTTAGTGTCACAGCGCACCGGCAACCGGCAAGCGTATCCGGTTCACTCTCGGTTCCGTCCAACACGTATCCTTGCGAACCTCAAGCTACCTCAAGCGCCCCGCAGAGGACGGCGCTGAATCACATTTCACTCTGGACTTGCGTAGGGTTGGGGAAGATATGACTCCCTACCCCGCAGTATGACCCGATTTCACCTCCATAAGTATCTGGCGTGGCGTTGTGCTAATCTATCTTGATCACACCGCTAGCATGCCTAACCAATCGACATCATCCCCTCCCGATCCTCCTTATCTTATCCGTACCGGAGAATTGCAACCAGATGCGCTCCATCTCCGCCCCCATGTCCTGAATCCTGCCGTCCAGCGTCTCCAGCTCTCGCTGGGCGACAGCGTCGGTCTCACCAAGACGGGCATCCACCTTATCCGCTTGGTGGGAAATGGTATGGAAAGCACGACGCTGCATTACCATACCCACGACGACGAGTGGTTCTACATCCTGGACGCGCCGGAGGGCGCCACGATCTGCGTTAAGGAAGGGTCCGCCGAAGCGAAGGAGCAGCAGGTCCGCCGGGGCGACTTCTTCGCGTTCCCCGCCGGGCACGAGCTCGCGCATCGGTTCAAGAACGAAAGCGAACGTGACCTGGTCTACCTCTGCGGCGGCAGCAGGGAGGCAATCGACATCTGCATCTATCCTGAGATGGGACAGAGGCTCGTTAGCAATCGCGTCGAAGACACGCGGTGGACCGTGGCCGACGCGGACACCATCAGCGCGCGACGATCCGCCCCGACTCCTGCCTCCCCACTATCCACGCCGTACTTCATGACAACGTCGGGGCCAGAATTCGATAGACACACCGGTTTCCACAAGCACCGTCTCGACCCCGCGAATGCGGAAGTGGGCAAGAATCGCATGGGCGAAAGAGCCGGGCTCACTCGGACGAGCATCCACTTCCAGCGCGTGCGCCCGCAGCAGACGAGCACGGTGCTTCATTGGCACGGCGTGGACGACGAGTGGTTCTACGTGCTGGAGGCCGGAGACGACGCAGTGGTCTGCGTTCAAGAGGGGGCCGGTCACGAAGTCAAGGAGCACAAAGTTCGACCCGGCGACTTCGCCGGGTTCCCCGCGGGCAAGCCGTGGGGGCACGCTTTCAAGAGCGGGAATGCCGAGCTGGTGTACCTGTGCGGCGGCACCAGCACATCAGTGGACGAGTGCCATTATCCTTTGCTAGGGAAGAGGGTCCTGATAGATAGAGGCGTAGGAAAGGCCTCATGGGTAGTATCGGAAGACAAGGTACATGGACAGAAAGTGCAAAAGTATGCAACTCGAGAATAATAATAAGTGCATGAAACGAGTGATATCTGAAGGCGAGCGTAGTAACGATGGGGATTAAGTTGCAATAGGCGTCGCGGCGTCGTAGCGGGATTTCAACGTTGTCTTGGGCGTCGTGGAGCTCTCTCTCTTACTATGGATCCCCCTGAATGACTCGAACGTGTCAATCGGATAGTTTCCTATGCCATTCCCCTACGTGTCTGCAAGCAGTCCTCTGACCCTTGCAACGACTGCTAAGCGCCTGATAAGCAGTAATGTTGGTTGGTCTTACTCTTGTCCGTGGCGCTAGTCACATCCCATAAACGAAGTGGAATACTATAAAAAGGCGTGTACTGTAGTTTTACGACCTTAGGTTCGGTCCGCCTCCCGGGGGACAGGGGACAGCTGCAAGTTCGGGGCCGTGGGAAATTCGCAAACTGACCAGAGTCAGTTAAAATTATTCACACAGTAAGAAATTATATTCTCACGATCAGTTCAGGCCCTGGATTTTGGCGGGGGACAGGGGACAACACAGGAAATTAGGTTCAGTTCGGGCTGCCAGGGGACAGGGGACGAACCTAAGGTCGTAAAACTACAGTAAGCCCCTAGTCGCCCATGCTTGATGACTCTTCACCGGAATCGAGAAGACTACAATAGCAATCAGGACTGCAGGAACTGGACGCAATACGGTGAACGACGAGAGCGCACCTGTACTGTTTCATCAACGAACATTCTCCGCCATTCTCCAAGTCGATGCTGTACGAGTAGAAGTAGCCTTCCGAAGATATGACCATTACCTGCGGCATCGTCCTGTCAGATTCGTCAGAAGAATCCTAGCGCATGTGTGGTGACTGCGTACCCGCTAAGGGCGACAATACACCGCGCACCACTGGTGGGTAGCCGAAGGGACGCAAAGTCTCGCGATGGCTCCCAAACCTCCGTGATGGCACTCGGCAAATAGCCACCAACGGCCCCTGTAACGCCTTTCGCAAGTCCAAGTGAGCGCCTTCTCAGGCTCGATCTGATGAGGTAGCAATCAGGGAACGGACATATGTCGAGAATAATTCATACGCACGACACACTGTTGCCCTTCTTCTTCCCGTCGATGAATGCCTCATATCCGCCCTCCAATCCGCCAGCGTCCCGACTGTCCACAGATCCTTCAGGGCTACTCGGGCTCGTCCCGCCTTTCGCAGCTTCCTTCGAGCTCTTCTGAGGCCCACCAAGTTTGAAGATGTGCACGGTGTCGTGCGCCGAGCTCACAGCGAGCAAGGTGCCGACCACGTTGAAGTTCATGCTGTAGATCTTCGCTTCCCGCGTCCCCCGCCTGAACTGGTACAACTTCTCGGCGCCGGGGACGGACCATACGCGAATGACGGTACCTTTGTCGGACGCGGTCGCGAGAAGAGTGCCAGAGGAGTTTAGGGCGAGGAAAGAGATCGGCGCCTTATGCGCTTGGATCACGTTAGCCACCGTGAGGGATCGGGTGGAGAACAGAAGGACATCCCCAGATTGCTGGGTATTGGGCGCGGGGGAGGGCCCTGACGTGGTAAGAGGGGTAGTGGGAGAGGGAACGGGAGAGGGATAGGCGAGATAGGAGTTTTCTGCGGAGGGTGATAGAGCGACGATTGCTGCGGTTTTGGCAGTTAGATGGAATCAGAGTGTTGAACAGCGTGCCGACTAACCTTCTGGATTGGGTGTCGTCTCAATAACGTGTAGCAGGCGCATGTTCGAAATGTCGTAGATGTATATCTCCGACTCGAGAACTATCACAAGCGTTTTTCGGTTCAGTTTGACGGCCAGTATAGACGATGGGAAAAGGAGTTCGCAGATCATGGATTGTCGCTATGAGAGGATCAACCCTGAGCACATAGAGCGGTAGCAGGCGGACATACCTTCGTATTAACGATCTGAAGTTTCCGCGGACTTGACTGAGGCTGGTCCGCCGCGCCGACAAGAGCAATCAACGATGTACAGAAGAGCATCTCCACGATACCCCGCGCGCCATCGTCTGTCCTATCCTTAGTCTTCGCATATCGACCACCACCCCAGCGGCTGAGACATACTCATCGTGTACACGCGACCGAACGGGTCGCAGTTCGTGATGCTATAGCCTTTCTTGGTCCCCACTGAAATGCATCTGCGCGTTCGGGCAACATGAATACGGAGGTTGGTGGCGGTCCGGCACCAGGATGGGTCTTACGTGAAGTCCTGGTTAAAGTTGGCGAACAGCATGTTGGGATTGGAACGCTCAGTCATGTCGAAGAGCCGTCGAGTGTCGTTCCAGGTATTCAAGTAACGAATGAGTACAGTACAGGAATGAACGGGACGGAGACCAAGACGGCGTCGCGTTGTCTGTGTCGTCACGGTGCCAAACGCGGCCGCTTCAAGAATCCTACCAAGCGCGCGCTCATCGACTGTGGCTGACTTGCTTGACTTACCATTACGTCCTGTTGTCTTGCAAACAAGCGGGATATACGCCTCGGCCTATGTATCGCACAAGAAAGGCGGCGTGCACGGTCTACGCACATTCAGTATGGACACAAACCCGAATGCAGCGACTTCGAGCTGGGGGTGGGTTCAATGAGGCGTTACATTGCTATGAACATGATGCCATCACAACTTCGGATTTTATGGAGCTTGCCCTGGATGAGTCCAACTGTAGTTTCATGCAAGGTACGACCGGGGCGAAGCACCATTCCAGGGCCCGAGGGATCAGGAAGACGGCCAGTAATAGCCACAAGGTGCACCTCTAACGACCTGCGCACGGTATAGCCCTGAACTCGGCACGGCTAAGATCAGTTTCAAGGGGCGGTGAGTGATGTACAGCGTCCTCGTCGGAGCGAGGGCGTACTGACTATTTGCTATCGAATAGAATGCTGCGTCCGGGTTGAATGAGGCTCTCTTGCCTGCTCGGCATGTACCTGCTGACTGGACGAGCTCTTGCCGCAGCTCAATGACATATCTGCATCGGTGGACAGTCCCGGAGGACCATGCAAAGCACCCCAATGATCTCGTTCGATGACAGGCCAGCGAGATGCATGTGGACACGAATTCATGTCTGACGTTTTCTTCGGATGCTGCCAGCTGAAGTGGAGAGTGTAAGGCGTTACATGCTGACCCTATAGATAGCCTCAAGAATCAATCAAGGGTCGGTAGGCAGACTGATACATGTGAGAGACCATGGGAATTCCACCTGTAGAGAACTCAATGATGATATTCCTTTTTAGGAGATGTTCCAACTTTCCCCTCCTTCGACTCCCGCGGGTAGCTGGATGGGTGCGGATCCTGAAGACTACCTTTTGATCATCTGTTGCGCTGTCCTCATGCGTACTCGCCTTCTATGTCATATTCTCTGCGACCGTCAAGAATCATGGTCCAGCTCGGTAATGATCTTAGCTGAAGCTTTACATATCCGGGATTTCGTCCCGACGTTCTGCCATTGCGATGCCGTGCTTGCACAGGTTGTTCTGACACGGAGATCATGTCCCTGTGGTTCTGCGCATTGTGCGTCGACAGGGGTGGGACTTATCCTGAAGATCTCTGCCTGCATACTCTTCGACATTGGTATATATTTGCCTACGCAACGGAACGGATGGGTCTTGGATTCCTTGTGAGCCCTGCCGTCGCCTGATTTGCGCGGTTCGCTGCATCTTCCTTCGTCGTATATACTTCTGCTACCCCTTCGTATCAGCTTGAGGAAGAATCCCCCCTTTCTTCTCTTCGTTCAACTTCTCTTCAAGCTTTACGATCCTCTGCTATGTCTTCGCCGAGCTCTACGGATGCTCCTCTGGCTCCCGCTCCCAGTACTGCGGAGATCCCTCTGCCTCCTGGGATGACGCTCGGTCAATACGAGACCCTTCAGGGTCAGCTGGGTGAGACACTCGCCATGTCTGTACCTTCGCAAGATCACTGACATCTCATCAGTAACGGTCGCGATCACCGTTGCTGTCGCGTTCGCGCTCATCGGTTGGGACTAGTAAGTTGCTCCTGCGGTTTGCTCCAATGGGTAGAAGGCTCACATAATTCTGCTTAGCGTTGTCCTGATCCGGGACGAACTAGCCCTGTACAGGTCTCACAGCAGACAAGTCTGGCTCACGCCGGCAACTTGGGCGTAGGTCTCTCGCCTTCTTAAATGGCTACAGGAGGTTGATGATCCGCTCAGATTTATTATCCTGCGATACTCCGCCTTTGTTGCCACATTTTCTGCGCTCTGGTTTACTTCGCTGCAAACGCAATTCTGCGAAGTAGCGGTAATCGCGAGTCAGGTGGGGGTGGTGCTCGTCGTAGCATCGTCGGGAATCATTTTCTGCAACCGGGTGGTCGCCATCTGGGGGAATTCAAAGATTATCATAGCACTGGTAACAGTCATCTACCTCGGAATGCTGGCTTGCTGGGTGAGTGAATCGTACACTGCCAAGACCGGTTGGTATTGACATGAATACGGATAGATTCTGGTAGCGGCGCACTACAGCGCGATCACCGGTCCACCGACGCCGTTCGGTTCCAACTGCCAGATGCAGCCTATTGTCTCGTGGGCTCCCATCAGCTACGCCTCCTCGGTGGCGTTCGACGTTATCGTCCTCATTCTTACGATGATGAAGTTGAAGACCGGAAGCTTGGCAAACTCAGCGATCAGCAAGCAAATCTACGCCGATAACCTGCTGTACTTCATTGCGACGGCGGTGACCAACATTACCGTGTTCACGATCCAGGCCTTGCCCTCACGGTTCGACATGATCAAACCCACTGCCGTTCCTTTCTCGACTGTCGTTACTGTGAGTATGAGCTCACCGACCCTCGACTTTCGTTTTACTCATGTTGCGTCAGGTCACGATGGCTCAGCGCGTGTACCTCAACCTCAAGTTGTTCCATCACAGGCAACAACGTGTCCAGGCCGGCTTACCATCTAACTCTTCCGTCCTCCCCGGTGATAGCTTCAACCCGAAGCCACAAACTGCGTGGATCGGCGCACCCATCGCGGAGCGCGGCCGTCCTGACCCCTGGAACGACGAGACTGTCAAGCCCCGATGGGAAAACGCGGGAGGCAGCCCCAGGTACATTCCACGCTAAACGATATGGCATATTTATTCGCCTTGCTCTGGACAATCCGTCCAAGACCAACGAGAGCGACAGACGTCGCACGCACTTTCATCCCATCTACATCATTGCAGCGGGATCCTTCAACATTTATATTGTTATTTTCACCTCGATTCTTCAGGACAAGACAGACATGATTCGAATTCTATATGGCATGCCACTCGATTGGGCATAGTCCTTGATGTTGTATTACTATATCTTACGAATAATGAGCGCAGAGGCCGCGCCTCCCTGGACGACACTCAGCCCGAATGATACGCTGTATATGTGGCGAGCATGCTTACCCCATTGCAGACCGATGCAGCACCATATTCGCCCGCTTTGAGCGCATGAGTCAAGGTCACGATGATCCTCGAACCAGAATTGCCGATGGCATGCCCTAGAGCCACTGCGCCGCTGAACACCAAGACGATAGCGGTCTTCAGAAAAGCGACTCCTGTGGTTCGTCATTTGTACTCACCCGTTCACATTGATCTTCGCTGGGTCCAAGCCCAGGACCTTCTCAATGGCTCTGATGACGACGGAGTAGGCCTCGTTCACCTCCCAAAGGGCGATGTCTTCCTTGGACAACCCGGCCTTTTGTAGAGCACGAGGCAAGGCAAGCGTCGGGGCGATGGGGAAATCTATGGGATCGACACCAGCATCGGCGTGCGCTTCGAGAAGCAACAGGATTAGAAGGCAAATGTGGTCTCGTTAAGCTGGATAAACACTTACAGATGACACGCGCAAGTGGCTTGACACCTAATTCCCTGGCTTTATCCGCGGACATGAGTACCACCGCGGACGCACCATCGTTGATGTTCGACGAGTTGGCCGCGGTGATGATACCTCCGTCTTTCTTGAAGCTGGGACTCAGCGTCGGGATCTTGTCATATACGACTCGCTTGTACTCTTCGTCTTCGCGTACTATGACATCGCCCTTCTTACCCAGGATAGTCACTGGCGCAATCTCGGCGTCGAACGCCCCGCTGGACCATGCGCGTTCCGCCCGCCGGTAGGATTCTATGGCATGAGTGTCCGCCTGTTCCCTGGTGATTCCATACTTCGAGGCCGTAGCCTCGCCACAATGGCCCATGGCGAAGTTGTTGTATACATCCCAAAGACCGTCGTGTTCCAACGCATCTTTCGTCGTGAACTTGCCGAAAGTAGGATTCTGGCGCGGAATTAGGAACCTGGAAAGGTTTGCAGAGGTCAATACAAATAAGGATATGCAACAGAATTGGAGCGATACTTACGGGGCATTGCTCATACTTTCCATACCGCCGGCAACAACGACATCTTTGTCGCCTGTTGCAATGGTCTGCACCGCAAAGATGATAGCCTTCATTCCGCTCGCGCAGACTTTGTTGATGGTGGTCGCATCAGAGGCAGTGGATAGTCCTGCCCCTAGCGCCACCTGCCGCGCAGGCGACTGTCCCACCCCGGCCTGAACGACATTGCCAAAGTACACCTCTTCGACCAGGGACGGATTGATGGACGTCGAAGCAAGTGCATGCTTTACAGCAATAGATCCCAGTTGAGGGGCTGTTAGACTCTTCAGAGTGCCGTTGATCGAGCCCACTGGCGTCCGAGATGCGGCCACGATGACGACCTCGCGGAGTGGAGTACCAGCTGCCTACAGCCGGAGGGCGTTGAGTGGGAGTCGGCTGTTCATATCGCAAAGCTAGTGATAGCTCACCATGATTCTGAGATGATTAAAGCCGAACGTGGTTTGTGATTCCTTCTTGTACCCTCGCGTTGTCGCCAGATGGAGCAATGCCCAAGCTTAATCATAGCTTACTATCACACCATGTCCCAGTCCGAGTCGGACGCAGGCTTGATTGGTAAGTACGCTCACGCCATGAAGAGGACGGCCGCAGGTGAAGACCTGTATACTAATCGGTCGTAGCGCTTGGGACCAGACATACGTCTTTCTGAGTGTGGTGACAAGCCGACAGGGTCTTTGACTTGTCAAGTCGGGATACCGTTGAGGGCGGATCCGGATTGAAAGCGAACATTGTCGGAGCGAGTTACAGTCGCCAGAACAAGTATACAGACATTAAACCATTCGTCGTTGCTTGGACATCGAACTTTGGCACGCGTGCGCCGGTGTGCGCATGAGCCAAACCTGAGGCAGTGGTCGTGCAATTGGCGGAGACGCAGCAAGTGTGAGCGAGCGGCAAGTTCCGAGACGGGAGCCGCTGACCTAAAAATAGAACCCACTTGCCTTGCTTCACATCACGTCCACGCAACGTCCACGGTCCAGGCGGTCCAGCACTGAGCGCTCACCTATCGGCTATGTCTGGCGCTATGCTGACTCGGAGATCAAAATCATCACAAAGCACGCTCTGTGCTCCCACTAGTGTCTGTAGCTATGAGCTATGCGGCGGTACTGCGGCATTCACACCATCAGTGGGGGAAGCATCAGTTGATGTTACGACGCAGTGCTTCAGTGCAGCATGAAGTATTATTACGAGCTCTTTATCCTTCATCAATCGACATCTATCAACTGAGGCCGCAGTGCAACACCGCCAGAGAAATGTTTTCACTTCCTTGGGCCCGCAACGCAGCGATGTGCTGGCCCACTTGCGACGGTTTCACTGGCGCGATAGACGTCGTTTTGTGCTTCATGCGAATGCATAGTTACTTCGAAGAATCCTGGCCCAGTCGCTTCCTAGCTCTGCTCAGGCTGACTCTCTATCATATTTTCCTTGATCCGGGATCCTCGTTATCATCGTGCTGGCAGATGCATTGCTGCAGATCACTTCGGCTATCTAGCACCTGCGACCTCGGATTGGCTACATAATATCCGCACCGGCATGTCCCGGTCATTTCGAAGGTTCTTATGCGCTTAATGGAGGGTTGAACGACTTCCGCAGTTGTGGATGCTCCCTAGCGATCCTCCATAACTACCGGAGCTGTGTATGCATGCCCCCGATCCACTCTTTGACCGTCAGGGCTGGCATTCGTACTCGACGTCGAGGCTGGATCCTCCTTTCTCCTTCTTTCTATCTCCTTTGGCCTAATTTCATTCGACTGGGTCGAGCACTTTATTCTCTCGGTGTTTTGCTTGACATAGATCTATCCCAATAATGCCGTCGCTTCCTACTTCCTCATTGAACACCAGCTCTCTGCTTGAACCTTCCTCAGGCCCACCCCCGGCCTCCTTGCAAAAGCAGCTCTGTAAGTCGCGCCGCAGTCCGCCTCATCCTAGGCCTGTTGTTTGATTCAAACATCTCTTTCAGTCGCGATTTCGATCACCACGATTGCAACAGCTGCTATCGTCTGCTGGGACTAGTGAGTACTCCCCATCAAAATTCAATGATTGAGCCCTCACAGCGCAATTTCAGCCTTGCTTTGTTACGGGCCGAGTTGCGTCTGTATCGTAATGGAGGAAAGGCTCTATGGATGACACCGGTCACCTATGCGTGAGTCTCAACGTCGGGACTCCGGCTCACTACAGCCTACTTACCGTTTCGCATCAGATTTGTTGTTCTACGGTACTCTGTGTTCGTTGCGATGGTACCTTCTGTCTTCTTCACGTCTCTGCAAACTCGATTCTGCCAGCTCACTGTGACCCTGTCGGAACTTGGTCTGGTCCTGGTCGTAGCTTCCTCCGGCGTTATCTTCGCTAACCGCGTTGTCGCCATCTGGGGTGGTTCCAGAGGGGTCACTCTACTTGTTGGGTGTCTCTATGTCGCAATGGTAGTCTGTTGGGTAGGGATAACCACGATCTATTACATCTACTCAGGCTAATTTACTACTCAGGTTGTCGTAGGTCTGCAGTACCACGCAGTTCCGGGCCCGCCAACGCCTCTGTTCTCGAATTGCATCTTGGTCGACCTCGTGCCATGGGCACCGATCAGTTACGCGTCATCTGTCGTCTACGATGTGGTCATCTTCATCATGACCCTCGCGAAGTTAAAGAGCCCGACCCTCAAGGACTCCGCAATCAGCAGGCAGATCTATCGAGATAGCCTGCTTTACATGGCTACTACCGCTGCCATGAACATCACGGTTGTCTCTATTCAAGCATTGCCTGATAGCTTTGAACTCCTCAAGCCTACGGTTGTACCTTTCTCCACTGTGATAACCGTGAGTGCTCATCGCAATTTCAATAATATGATGTCGTGCTCAACGAGTTCTGTAGGCGACTATGTCACAGCGGGTATACCTGAACCTGAAGCAAGCGAGGAAGGATCAAACCGTATTTGACGATGAAAAAGGCTGCTATGTCGGCTCGACCATGACTCGCAGTCGTCCATCGACCCGGCCACCTTCGTCCTGGACCACGTTAGGGGACGCTCAACGGATTACGACTGCATCATATCGCGATGCGCCGCCTTTGCCACGATGATCAAGATGACTAAACTGCGGATGATCCCTACTCGCAACAAGTGCTGCACCATTTTACGACGATCTGCCACGATGTAACGAATTACAACACTGTTTCGATAAAGGAGTGCGTCTTGAAGGCGAAACGTTACGTTCAGGTTGCTATATTGTATATTTGATTGGAAGGAACATCTACGGTTTGGTCGATCTCTAACCAAAACGTACATGGGTGTAGATTCGGAAACTATTGTTTCATGTCCAGCGTCCCCCATGCCTTCAACATCATGATCTATCTGTAGAGTACATTTCATATGAATTCACGAGAGCCTGGTGGCTTCCTATCTTCAGTGTCGATGCTGCAGCCCTAGAGGGAGGTCTAGCCGGAAGGCTGGTCGGCAACGGAGGCTGCGAGTGTGCGCTGTACAACTTCAGGTTGAGATACACGCGCTGCGACATCGTCGCCTAAAGACGAGGTCAGAAGGAATATGCTGTCGACGGCAATCAACGAGACGCTCACCGTCACCACCGCCGAGAATGGCACAACGGTAGGCTTGATGAGGTTGAAGCTCTCGGGAAGGGCTTCAATAACCAGCACGGTGATGTTCATCGCCGCTGCCGCCGCAACGTACACAAGGCTGTCTTTGTAAACCTTCTGGCTCACGGCAGACTCGCGCAACCCGCGGCTCTTCAGCTTGACGAGCGACAAGATAAAGACGGCGAGATCGTACACGACCGAGGCGCCGTAGCAGATCGACGCCCACGAGGGGAGCGGCTTAAACATGCAGTTGGTGAATAGGGGGGTCGGAGGTCCGGCGACGCTATGGTTCTGTAGAGCGGACACGATCTGGGCAAGAGCATGTCAGCAAACATCCCACGATAAATCCCCATAAACGAGACTAACCCAACACGCTGTCATCCCAACGTACAGAACCCCGACGGATATAGCAATCCACTTGTTTCCGCCCCATATAGCGATAGCGCGGCTGGCGAAGATGATCCCCGAGGAGGCGGCTATGAGGATGAGGCCGCCTTCGGATATGTTGACGCTCAGCTGGCAGAACTGCGTTTGCAAGGTGGTGAACCATAAGGAGGGAAGGAATGCCACAAAGACGGAGTATCGCAAGACGATGAACCTGAACGAGAACACGTTCATGAACATTTACGCGGGTCGTGAATGTGTACGATGACCTACGCATAGGTGATCGGAGTTACCCACAGCTCTTCGCCGCCTTTCCTGTAAAGGCGGATCTCATCCGGCAGGAGCATGAGGCTTGAATGTTGGTTTAGGCGGTTTCGGAGCAAGTATCGCCATACTACACGTACTAGTCCCAGCATATGATCGAGAACGCTACCACTGTGGTTGCCGATATTGCGACTGTGATGTGGAGTTCAGCACGATACGTGAGGCAATCTTGACAAGTGCTCACATAGATTCCTCTGAAGCGCCTCGAACTCCGGGACGGTCATGCCCGGCGGGATCGGTATATCGGGCAGTCCCGTTGGCATAGGTGAGGGTGCTGGAGCAGCCATGGAGTCCTACTAGCGGTTGAAAGTGCCGGAACCAGCGACACACTACTCTCGACGCAGTCGGCGAGTTTCAGAAACTAGGCTTGTGGTCAAGGTGGGGGAATGTAACACGAAGGCGAGTATGCCAGTGGATCGTCCTCTTCTTCATTATAGCGTCTTGTACATTGCCCACGGTGCATGAATAGCTCGCTTTGATGAGAAAGGAGTATGGTCACCAGCAAGAACCAGCTATAGATGCAGCAGAAGCCGATAGCATGAGAATCAGGAATATCAAACGTAGATATCGGCGGTTCAACACAGCGCTCTGAAGTTGGTGTCCTGAGCGGAACATATACAGAACATTGAATGATTACCTGTGCCGCGGTGGAGCCAAGCAACGACCAGCGCTAAGTGTGCTTCGTTGCGTTAAACAGAATCAGACAAGCGCAATGGAACGGGAGGAAATAGATACCGATACGGCGGACGAGAACTTGCTGCGTGCATAGCAAGCGAGGACACGAAGCGGAGCACCTTTGGGAAAGCGAGGATACTAGTCGCCTTGCCGACCCGTTTTCTGCAAGATGGGTGGGTTTTCGAACGAACCAGCGTCCTATGGTCATAACGTGGACTGGTGTAACCCCGCCGAGAGCATCGCACCGAATGATAACATAGATGCCCCTCTGTCACGACAACTCGAGGTACACCTCGAGCGAGACTGGATCACAGTCTTTGGGCATGCTAATACGCATTTGTCACTCGCATCGAAGGCGCGGGTGCAGGCGGGTGCCCAACGAAGAGGAGGCGGTAGTGACCCACCGTCCAACCCGAAGCTGCGGAGTGGCGAGAGGAGACCATCATGTTCTACAAGACAGACACAGGGATCCACATTCAATCCCGCAAAGTGAAGGCGGTTCACTTCATAGCTACAACAGCCATTGTTGTATCCATATGCAAGACCGACGCTTTCACGGCCCATCGTTCCGCGTTCCTGTTGTTTACACGCTGACACACGCAGATTAACTCCTCCGGGACTCCAACAACGCCCACACAGGGGTAGGGGTAGGGGCAACGACTCCGGGCCCGAGAGCTGGCCCAGCCTACGGTCCGCGCTCCAGACGAAAAATCCCCTGTTTCCGCATAAATCATCGAGACGATTGAAACGCCGAGATAGGGGAACATGTGGCCTTCGGACGCAGATGAAGCCCTGCGCAAACTGCCACCGGCGGAGAAGACGAGTTTGCGAGATGGCGTCAATTGGCGTCGCGCAAGTGGTCGCCCGACGGAGTCATCAACGGAGATGGAGGGGAACGGAACGTGGAGGACGTTGGCGGGAAGCAGTGTGCACACGCTGTTCGGAAGGGGCCGAAATAGGGGTGAAATAGGCGCGCAAACAGGAGGGCGCGTTGAGGGGTATTTGTATTTCCCTCTCTACAAATTGGATTCCAAATAAAGCAGGTGCAGGAGGGGTGCCGAGAAATGCCGCACTTACTCCGACGGGCCGACACTCTGGCCGCTGTATTGCCGAGCCCGGGCCAGAGTTCGGCGGCTGGGCATCGGCTTTCCGCTCATCCTTGTCCCGCCCTGGTCGTCGATTGGCTTGTCTCGCTGTCCGGTGCCGTCCTAGCTGGCAGGACTATCCTTGCACGCCCGCCGCCGATCGTTTGTCCGCCCTGGTCCAGAGCGACGACCCTACCGTGCCAGCGAGTTATAAACCCCCGGGCGAGATGGCCATCACCAACCACCTCCCCGACGCTCGCTCTCGCCGTCGAACACCACCATAGCCCTCCTCGTCTTCCCTGAACCTACTCTCGCGATGCTTGCCGCGATTAAGCCCACCGATCACACCCTCCCGCCCTCGGGTCCGATCGCGTCTTCGAGCGCGTTCACCTTCGACGGGACACCGCCACCGTCGTACGCCGAGGACCTGCTCCACACGCCTGAAGAGCACCTCCTGCCCGCGTACGCGAGCCACGCGTCGTTCGAGCCCTGGCTCTCGCTCCTCCGCCAACCCAACTGGGAGAGCAACTCCGATCTCGCGCTCTTCCTCCCTCCGTCGCCCCCCAAAGGTGCCCCGACCGCGACGGCCGGCTGGAAAGCCGAGTACGCCGAGCACGTCCGCCAATGCCTCGAAACCGGGCTCCATCTCGACCCGTGCGACGACGTGCAGTACGATTTCATGTTCGACGCCATCGTCGACGATGTCCGGCACCACGTCCGCACGCAGATACCCCCTGAGCTACGATGTAAGCTTCTTCTGCTCCTCATCCACGCCATGCGCACCGATCTGATCATCTATCCCCGCACAGGCGCCGCTCTGAGCTTCGCATGCTGCTCGCGCACGCCCGAGCCCTTAGCTCTCAACCCGCTGTTCCTCGACGCCCTCCACGCCGAGTCCTCCCAAACCCCCAGCCCGTCCGCACGCCCGACGCGTCCCTCGCCGCACGTGCAGTGGATGCTCGCCGACCTGCCCACGCACAACTACGCGCTCCACCTCCTCGCGCATACCTACCTTCCCCAGGCCGACCTCGACGCCCTCATCAAGGCGCTCTTCGTCCTCTGCTGCCGCGAACGCTTCCGCCGCGCGGCCAAGCGACGCCTCATGGCGCGCGAGAACAGCCTATTCAGGCGTTTGTTCGGCTCTGGTGGCAGCAAGTGGAAAAAGGGATCTCCCAAGCCCAAGGCGACGCAGTGATATGCACTATATTGAACCCAACGATACCCTCCCCTTATACTTAACCGGTAGAGTATACCTAATCAATAATAATAGTTGTAGCCTTAGATTTGTAGCGATGTATGCCTCGTCGGGTACGACCTAGAAACAAACAACCTGTATTCTCACAAACATCCGTGTGATTGTCGCGATCTATCGGTAATACATGCGCGCATCGGCGCTCTCAGCCTCTGAACACCGTCGTCCACCGCTCGCTCGTCCCGTTCAACGCCTTGGCGATCTCTCTCGCCACGATCCGATCCGCCTGCTCGCTCGGATGCAGCTCGTCGAACCACAAGAAGCTGTCTTTATCAGACCCCGTCGCGACCGTGCACACGCCCGGGTCGGACGTGCTCTCGTTCAGCGCGTACACGCACGCGGAGGCGGCGCCGGTCACGTTCAGCAGCGCGGTGCCGTTCAGGTAGAGCGCCGGGTGGTCGACCATGTCGGTGAAGAGCGCGTGCGAGTCAAAATAGCCGATCGTGGCGCCCTTCAGTTTCGGGATCGTGAGTTCGATGTAGAGCTTGGAGAGCTCGTTCCCGGCCGCGACGAGCTCTTTCATGAACTGTGCACCGAGGGGTCAGTTCGAGAAACGAGCCGAAGCGACGGGCAAGAAAGACGTACCACGTTCCATTCCGTCGTGTTCCTCTGCGCGGTCCAGTACTTGTCCTGTTCGCAGGTGAGCTCTTGTTTTTTTTCTCTCTACGCAGATCGTTATCAGACGCACCGGGTACGCATCGGCTGAGTACATCGGCAGTTTGTCGAGGGGTACCATCTGGTCCGTCATGTAGGGTTAACCATGTGTCCATTGAAACGCCTTCGAGTCGACTCACGTTCTGGAAGAGGAAGTTGCGTGCTCCAGAGTTGTACAAGGTCTCGATGACCTGGAGGCCGCATTGCGAGACGTTCACGATGCTCACGCCGGGAGTCGACTGTCCTGTGATCAGCTCTCCCGCACCGACATCGTTCGTGCCTGCGGGCGTCCACCCTTGCGTCAGCGTTCTGATCCCTCATGGGACGGAAGGCTGGGGCTGACCGATCCAGACAGTGTACAGCGTCTCGTCGGGCTTGAGCGATACGGTGTGGTTATTCGTGAGGTTGAAGTACGCGCCGAGCTCGTCGTGTAGCACGTCTGGGAACAGCAAGCGAGGGGTCGAGAGGTTGTTGCACGTCGCGCCGGAGATGGCGAACGGGAAGAGGTTCAGGTGGGCGTAATCCGCGAGGTACTCGGGCCAGGTCGTTCCTCCTGTCACGATGAACTCGGTGCTGTCTGAAATGCGCGAGTCGAGAGGTTAGCCGATCGGATGAAGACCGCGGATAACATTGGAACACCGACCTGTGTACGAGTCGCCGAAGGTGACGACGTTTTTTATGTGCTTGCCAAAGGGAGGAGAGGCGGCAGAGGTGCTTGCGATGGCCAAGCTCGCGGCGAGGAGCGTAGAGAGTAACATCCCAATCCTTCCAACTCTGGGGGCAGGCGAACGGGGACCCGTCTCGCAGGGCCTACGCGGGATTTATCTTGCGGATTGATTGCCGCCGCGGGTGCTGAGATGGTACGTATTGCATGGATAGATGATGTTACATGGCGGGAAGGGGGTGAGAGAAGGCGCTCAGGCAAGCGAGGTCAACCACGGGACCAGCACCAGCGAGCAGGTGAACGCGGGCGGTGAAACTTCGGTGAGGGCAAAAGGCGTTCGCAGTGTTGTTCCGGAAGAGCAAACGTCGAGGCGAGTCCATCTGAGGATGGTTCGTCCAGTAGATGTGTCTATTCGGCCAGGCTTGTAGACTCCTATAGGAAACGACCGTCCGCGTGTTCAGTTGCAATACCTGGCGGATCGTATCATCGTCGGCCAGCTCGACACTCGGATATAAAGTGTGAGGCATGCACGATGAAACCGGGCAACCGCGGCCCGCCACCCTATAGGTCGTAGGGACTGATGCATGAGCGCGACCAGCCTGGGTCCTTACATTCTATTACAAGACGAACAGGCGGGAACTATACGCCATACTGTTACAGGCAATCATACAAGTTTTTGAGTCGTTCCTCAACTACAAGCAATGATCTTCATAGGAACATACATATGATCAGCGTCAAGATATAGGCAACAATGATAAAAACAGCGCTCGGGTGCAGCAGAAGAGTTTAGCAATGTGGTGCCAGGTTAAGGATATGTTCTTCTCCGAAAGGATTGCCAGGATTGCCGCCAAAGCTGGCCTCGTACATCTTGTAATTGTTTTCGGTGTTGAAGGAATTCATGGTGATGTCCTGGGGATCTGTTCCTGCTTTGCTGCATTCCTTTGGTCTACGGGATGATGGGTTGGTGGAGCCTGATTCGAGTTGGAGGGCCGAGGTGCCAGCCGCGGTGCGGCTGGAGATCTCGTTCGTCAGAGCGACGCGCACAACGATGAGGCATTGTGATATTCCCTGGAGTTGCGTATATCAGCCGAGGGGGACGTGTAATTCTGACAGCTCGAACTCACGAAGAAGACAGGTATAATGCAAGCCATCACATAGCCGACGTCGTAGTTGGTCTGGCCATACATATGTCAGCTCGGCTGGGAACAAGTAACCTCGGAGGAGTATACGTACCACAACGTGGCCGTTCGGCGCCAATGAGCAAATCTCATACAGCAGCAGGCCGACCCAAGTCACCATCGCCGACTCGATACATGCGCGCACCACTGTCTCATATTTCTTTGACTTGGTGGAAACCGCTGCACTGCGTTTCGTTGTATAACTTGACGGTAATAATCAGAACAGCGCCCATCAGAGCTGGCCGTTGTCTCACATGATTTTGCCCAAAATTGCGCCTGTCAGTAAGGTGTTTATGGCAAACATGAGCCATCCCCACGCCACGGTGATTTGTAGGGTGACCTCGAGGAGAGTGTTTTCGTACTCGTTGTAGTGGTGATACGCAGCCAAGTGCTGTGCGTCCGCAGACCAACACAGGACTACAAAGCTTCCCGTCAGCCTCCCCAGGTATATTAGCTATGCGATCAAGAGGGAAAAACTCACATGCGTTGATGACCACGAAGGTGCCCGGAATATAGAGGGCCCATTTTTTACGGTCGTAAAGAACGTAGAAACGCCAAGCCAAGAGGCCGTCCGAGCACAATCCCTGGTGTGCCATCAGTTAGCATCATCCACAATGTAGAATTCACGGAACATACAGCGAAGGTGGTGGTCACGCTGTGGAAGACGTCAGTGCTACGATTTGCACAGAGAGGACAAACAACGAACTTCCCGATAACAATGAGCGGAATGCTCCACTTGAAGAACTCTCTATTGGATGGCTGGAGGATCCGAGAGCGATCGAACTGGAGCGAGCGCGCGATAAAGTGCGCGCAAAGGTCGACAAACCTGAGTGCTCGGAATTAACAAATTCGTCCCGGCTTCTGATACAGGATGCTCACAGGACTATGGTAACAAGCCTCAAGCGCCTCGTAGGGATGTCATACCGCCCATGGGTGGCCCAAAGTGCGAGAACAAAGAGCGAAAAGTAAACACCTGTTAGAGAAGATCTCAATTCAAGCATGAATATTGGAGTGAGAATCGAAACCTACCGAAGAGACCGCAGAGAGCGGATTGGACGATACCAGAAATCTCCAGCAGATGCGTTGCCGCGGCGAAAGCTGCCGAGTCCGACATATGTGCAGATGCACGGATGGCCCTGCGGTGAGTCAACGCCCAAGGCGGAGCAATCCCGGCACCGGCTTCTTATACATGTTCGAGGCATCGGGCAATATTCCGTTTTGGTCCCACCCGGTGGTCCAATCTTCGCAGTGATGCATCCCTGCGAGCGCGGAGGAGCGCGGGCGTACGTTTCCGCTCGCAAACCGGGAGAGCCAACATGATCATGATCGCGATCACGCTCGCTTGATGCGCCACCGCGAACGGTAGAACGTAGGATGCGCAAGACCTTGCAATCCCAGTGGAGCTCACAGATAAGGGCACTACCGAAGGCTCACCGATGACGGCACATATCAGATCGTTCGGTTGGACATGTTTATTGCCTGAGAACGCGGAGGCGCACCGGCAACTCCCAAGGATAGGTGATAGATGCTTTGGAGGTAGATGCAGAGCGTGTTATGGATGATGATACATTCACCGATGCTATTCGCGGCTGAGTGAGAAGATGCGAAGGAGCATAAGGTTGGTGACGGGGCCTGAGGAACCTGTTGGTTTGATTGAAGGGGCTATGCAACTGCACGATAAGCATGGGTATAAAATCAACGGTGGTACCCAGAAGAAGAGCCGGAGAAGAAGAGAGGGAGAAAGGAAGATTGTTGCAGGCGCCCATAGGCTGTGCTTGGCAGGCAGAACCCATGAGTAGCGTCGGGGTTATCATGCATGCTGCGTCCGTGACGGGTAAGCTATACCTTGCATATAGGGTGTACCATGGGTTATAACTGAATCCAGTCGCCCGAGGCCTTTGGGTCACCACGGAGTGAGTCATGATGGCTTCGCGTTTGCATACGCCCTGAAGCTATCCACTGGCGGATGTCTCTGAGCGCGACTTACACGCTGTCAATCCAGCATACACAACGTGCTGGGCGTACTTACCATGAGAAACTCACATCCACGATCATTCCCGGTTTGCAAATAGAGAATTCTTGTTCTGGAATGAAGACCGGTTATTCTTATGCTTGTCGCACAAGGATCCCATGTGGACCATAGGCAAGTCCGGCGCTGGAAGCGCATAGGCTGTGGATATACTAGGCACATAGCAGCTCGAGTGCCTTGATATGTCATAGGTCATAGATGCATTCGTACTGTAGCATGGACGAAAGTGAACGAGCTTGAGGGAACTCGGACTCGGCCGCCGCATAGCTTCGGTGGCGTGCGAAATCTGCAACGCAACCCCGAACTCAAGCCCGCCGCCGGCGTTGACGACGAAACAGCAAGATCAGCAATGCCTGTGAGCTCAGTTTCACTGTTGGAGGGCCATCCGTACGCTGGGCGAGTGATGAGGAACAATGGGAGGCCCAAGGAATGGAAGGACGCGATGGATGGGCTGCAGGATGGTCGGATGACGCTCTGGGACAGTTCTGCTGGGACGGATTCGCACTCTGGGATGCGGTCGACGTTGGGCTCCGGAGGATGGCCTTTCCTTATTATGGCGTCCTCGAAGGCTGAATGGCGCTGATATCGTTGTTCTGCCAGGAGCAATCCACATTCAAGCGCTTCGTCGAGGTCGGCCGTGGTGCGTCCTGATATGCTTCAGAGTCCGAGCTGGTTGGTGCTGACTAGCATACTCATTTAGTCGTCCTCGTCAACTCCGGCCCGAGCGCTGGAAACGTTGCGGTCATCGCTGAGATTATCGACCACAACCGGGTGCGTCTAAAGTCTGCTAGGCCATCGTTTTCACTGAATTGCGGTACCTAGGCGATCATCGATGGCCCTACAACTGGCGTTCCTCGGCAGTCCTTCCGCTACAAGCATCTGACCCTCACGCCTCTTGTTGTTCCTGGACTCCCTCGTGCCGCAGGCTCTGGCGTCGTGAAGGCCAAGCTTGAGAAGGCGGGCACCCTTGAGAAGGTTCGTATGCGAGTTAACCTCCCCTCCGCCCCTCCGATTCCCCATTCTTCGCTGAATCTGCGGTACTTACTCGCCGCGCAGTGGGAGAAGTCCGCATGGGCACAAAAGCGCGCTGCGATCGCCGCGAGGAGAAAGCTCGGCGACTTCGAGCGCTTCAACGTCATGCTCCTCAAAAAGCAACGCCGGGACACCGTCCGCAAGTCCGTCAAGAAGTCCAAGGCATAAACTGGGCGTTCCTTGGGCGCTTCTATTCTCGCACTCATATCATCTCGCTTTCTCATTGCTGTATGCTATATCATGAATATGATACGGAGTCATGCATCTCCTTCGGTGGCATTTCACGAGCTCGGACCTATCGCGGGTTCACGTTGGTATAACAGTGTGTCGTGATGTACGAGGATAATCTTAGCGGCAATATGGTTTTCTCCCATTTGCATGGGAAGATGAGCATTGACGCGGATCCAAGACGATCGTCGATAGTGAACCCCAAGACGATCTCGTATTGACCAAGAGACAATATGCGCGCACCATCACCATCTATAGGGTATAGTACAAGAATATATATCAGCCCGAGTTGCAAGTGCGCGTCAAGCGTACGCTCAGTCAACGGAGAAGATTAGAAACCATGCGGCATTCCTTGAGTCTCGTCACTGATGCTCTATGTCCATCAGGGCATTCGTTAGAAGTTCCAACAGCCAAACCTCCATCCCCCTTTCATTACCCTGCAGTTCGTCGAACCTTCCGTCGAGACTGTCGCTCGTGCAGTAAATCACGTCCTTGATCTCTTTATCGCGCCTGAGCGATCCCACGAACCGCACGGCTTCGGGGTCCTGCCCAATGTGGCTGATGGAGAATATGACCGTCTTGGAGTCGTATCCGGCCTGGACAATCCGACGTTTGCAGCGCAGGATAGCGTCTTTGAAAGCATCTCTGTTTCTGTCGGTAGGTGCACCGTCTGTGATGGTGCACACGAGGAGTGGACGTTTCAGACGAGCGCCTCTAGGGTCATCGAGAACGTCGTATACCAGTGGTTGCAGGATCCGAGACTCAAGTTCGGTGCCTAGTGCCGTCCCACCTGTAGGGTGCACAGCGTTCACGATGGTTCGAGCCCTCGTCGCGCTGAGGTCGTCGTGGTCGCTCGAGGAGGGATGGTTGATAAATCGCAAGTGGACGCCCATGTCTTCTGGAATTAGCCTATTCGCAACGCGCGCTATGTGCCAGACCACCTGCCGAAGACGTTCGAAGCGCGTCATAGTCAAGCAGTCCGGAGTCTCCATCGACCCGCTGTCATCACAATAGATGACCGGCTGATGGTATGCAAGTCGAACGAGCCGCCTAATGTTTGCCTCGGTGCCGAGGTCGGTGGTCGGATCGGCGCGCACTTCGTTCGCGGCTGAGGCGAGAACGTCGCGGAAGCGCAGATCCTGGGCGATATCAGTGACCTTGGCTGGTGGTCGGTTCATGCCCGCGCTGGAGGCTTTCGTGAGCTGCCACTCCTGTTCTACTACAGCCTGCGGAAGCGCTTCAGTAGCCCATTCGGTGGGACTTCCGATGACCATTGGAGGCCCTGTGTGTTGTGCGCGCTCGCTTCGCGAGGTAACGGAGAGGGAATGGCTGAGATCGCAGGCTGCGATAACTACGGACCGCGACGGGGTTGTTCGATCCGTCAGCGCTGGCGCTGCTGGAGCAGCGCTTATTTCGCTCGCGTTTCCGAGGGAAAGGCCGGACATCGACTTGTCACGAGCACGTACAGGCTCACGTACCCCTTGGTTCAAAGAGGACTCATGGGAAAGCTGGTCGGGAGCACGCCCATGCGCCCAGGCAATGGCGCTCTGCGGCACGTCGAAACCATGGTTATCCAAGGATCTCCCAGCAGATACCTGTGTAGGATCATCTGTGCTGGATACATCAATACAATACTAGAGACATGTGGTGATTCATACCAGTATCGTGCTCCGCACGACTGACGACCGCAGGATGGTCTTGCTCATTCCATTCGACAGAGATCGGGCCTGCGCCATTCCTGTTGATCCCGTTCGCCGATTGGGGCCCCACTCGCGATTGGACGGGCACGAGGCCTGCGCCGCCGAAAGGCGTGTCGGATTCATTGAGGCCGCGACCTTCGAAGTAAGCACCACGTCTGCGACGGTAATGGCGTATAATGAAAAACAAGGCTGTGAATACGAGATTGTATCAGTGACGAAAATTTTGAGTGTCGGAATTCAGGGTGCCTTCGTTCAGTAATGAGTGTGGGAACACATACCAAGAAGAACCAAAATCAGCCCGACGAGTCCGCCAATAACAGCGCCTACGATGGTCCCGGCTGCAGCGTGGTGATGGTGGTGCCCCGCGGCTCCAGCGATGGGTACGACGCTAATCGTGAGCGACGAGCTGCTCCATGTCATACTGCTATACGTCGTTGAAGTCGCAGTGGGAGTGTTTAGTGCGAACGGAGTCAATGTTGACATCCCTGTACGTGTCTCCGTCGCGATAGGGACAACAACCGAGGAGCTACGGGACGTGCTCATGTCCAAGGAGGTGGTCGTGACGCAAAAGACCGGACTACCCATTGACAGCGATGGGGATCTGATGACTACAAGTACGTGTTAGTATCGCCAGTGTGAATTGTTTTGTAATCGTACAGTTGGGCACCAACGAAGTGGGAGTTGGGGTAACGGAGTTATCATCGAGTATAGAGGGCATGTCCGTCGTACAGCAGTGTCGCAGGATCCGTATAATATATCCAAATCGAAACGCCGTATTCATGAGTTGTGGTATGCAGCGAGGTTTAAAAGACAGCTGATACTCCCCAAAGAATGAAAGAGGTCCAGGATTGGGATAACTTATTACCATCGTGCAACTTCGCCATCGTTCTTCAGGCGCACGTTTCCCCACGAGCGTGCGTGCAGGCGTGTTCGGGCCAAAGCAAGCAGGGACCTAGTTCTCGGGAGACAGTCATTCTACCCATCGTGGCGTAACCCGGCCAGCACAGCAAGATCCATTCCCAGGTATGAGCGTTGGGTATACCTCCATACGCCACTTTGCGACAATGAGGCCCAAGAAGCAGGCACGAGGAGAATACGCGGAAGTCAAACGAGGCGAGAATGGAGCTACAAGTGCCAAGCAACCGGCAAGTCATGCATTGGATCCACAACACCTCGAGGGTTTAGATTAACGTGTGAGGGTCATGGCCTTTGTCCCCCACACGGTCACTCGTAGGTACTATGGGCTACTCGCAGATTACTTATATACTATGGACTATTAGTTACTACGGCCATTCTATGAGTATTACTATGTACATGTTGTGTTGTATCTGGATTCCTCGCGCCCGCATAGCTTAGTCAGCGCATTAGTCCTGTTGCTCGCGACTTTGTACTTATCTCTTCGTCTCAGCAACGCCAGTACTCGCAGGCCCTTGGCCTTTCTCGTTCTTCACTCAGCTCTCAGTCTTCGAGGTTTCGGGCCCTGCCCGTTACATAACGAACATGGCAGTGGCAAACGATCTCTAACAATAGCCCAGCATAGCCACACCACGTGAGGGACCGCGTTCAGCAAGCTTTGATCCTGCCTTGATCCTCTTCGAGCTCCTTGAGCCGCTTTGGTGCCGCTGGCGGTTCGCGCACCCACGGGGATCCTGCATGCGTTGAACATGCTGCCTCTCCCTGCTACATATCCCTCTCAGTGGGAATGACCAGGGGAAGGAGAAACGGCCCCCGAGGGCCTCCTACTCGTCGAGAAATATACGACGTTGCTCAAGTTGCCGCGAACATCTTCGAGGACCATGGACTCCCTGTCTGCCTATTTGGGAGTACCGCTTGCGCACTCTGGGGTATAGATCGGCGACCCAACGTGCGTTACCTCATATATATCTCGAGTTCTAGTGTTGAGGGGTTGCCTTCCAGGATGTCGATATGGTTGTGATGACCGATCAGTACGATTCAGAAGAGCTCAAGTACATGCTCGTCAACGAAGACGGCAGCTTCTACCTCGTACCATCAGCCAACCCTCGTAACAACTACGAGGTGCTTTGGTACACCCTTCGTTCGGCGCGCAATGCCGAACGGCGTGCCTGTAAAGTGGACATCCTCCTTCCCGGCACCATGGACATACCGTGGATCCCGACGCCGCGGGTCGTCTACCGGCATCCATTTGGGGTCGAGGATATCCGATCGTTGCCAGTTATGCCGCTCGAGCCGCTGCTTCTGCTCAAGCTGCAGGGCTGGTCGGACCACCTCGCTTCACCCAGGATGGACTTCCAGGAGAAGGTCCATACCGATGCGGACGACATCGCGCAGCTGGTGGAAATCTGCGTTGATGCCGGCGTCAAGCCCCATAAAGCGAAGTGGCTTGACTTCGACTTCAGGAAGAAGGGGCTCGAACGCGTGCACGATTTCGCGGACGCGTATCCAGAAGTATGGGGATGGGCTGAGCTTGGGTACAGGGTTTATGGGTGATTGGACCATCGCTGGCAGCTTTCCTTTTGTTGGACTCTTTCGTTTGCTCGTCCACAAGAGCCTGATTGATTTCCTGGAAACCTCTCCCGGCACAATTGATTTCCTGCCGGACCCTTGTTTCTTGACGATGTTGACATGGACGGACGCTCAGGATACCTCCTATTTCCATAAACCATACTTGACCTAAGGAATGTATCGCATCGCCTCTGGCAGGCCTTGGTGACCAGCTGGACGTGTCGTGCGATGTTCATCACGAATCGCGAGTCCTTCACTGTCCACCGGCCAGTACTCAGCACGTTACTTACGTCCGGGCAAATCAGGGGTATTCGAATGGCACAACCGCCCGCGGCAACGGGTGCCGGATCTTCACTCCGGAGCTTCTGCCCGCTTTGTAGAGTGGGCGATGCTCAACCTGCCTTTTTGGGATTCTTTACGTGCACATCCGTTGCTCACTCACACGACCTTGTCAAATCAACATTAATGCTCTCTCAGATCGCGGCTTGGTCTCGGGTGGCTTGTAGGTGGTAGGCCCAGAAATTGAGACTCTTGCGTAACATGCAGAGCCAAAGCGGATGGTGTTAAAGTCCGATTTCCTAGTGCATCGCCAAACAGTTGCTTGGGCGTGTAAGACCTCTTCGCGGCGACTTGTCGAAGTCGCATCGGCCACGGAGTATGATGGCCGCTTGGAACCCGACCTAGGCGCAACCTGTGATGCGGATCAAATACCCCGCCGTCGTGACGGAGGTCCTTGAAGTCGCCACAGGCGTATAAAAGGTGTCCTGCATCTGCAGAAATGAGCAAGTCACTTCCGACTCAAACAGCCTCTCAACAAGCCTACCTTCACCTTTTACGACCACCATGCAGTTCAAGACCGTGTTCGCTGCGACCCTCGCTGCCATCGCGCCCCTCATGGCAGCGGCTCAGGCAGGGTTCTGCCCCGAGGCAGCGCGTTTCGGCAACGCCATAGCCACTCCTTCGACTGCTGCTCCCGGTGATGTTCGTTCAAACTACCCTCATCTGCTTCTCGACGAGCTCTAACGCTTAGGCTAACGCAGGAGGTCTCCATTGTCGCCAACTTTAGCTGCTCGTTCAGCCGCGGCATCATCCCGGAGTGGGTTGACTACAGGCTCGAGGTTGTGAACAACAACAACGGCTTTGAGGCCCCGATTCTGCTTGCCCGCCACCAGTTCACCGGCACCGCCGATTCCCCTATCGATGTTGCCAACGTGACGGTACGTCCTTTCGTTGGTCGCTCTTGCAAGGAAATTGTGATGAGCTCACCGGTGTGCTCTACAGATCCCTCACGCGTTCTACGTCGAGGGCGCGGTGTACACCCCAATCATGTACATCATCTACCCCATCAACGGTACCGACGGCAGCCCAGTGTACGTCCAGGGCGGCGTCGGTTTCGACCTCCAGATCGAGACATCGTCTTAAGTGGGGCTTGGAGCACGGATTACGGACTCTCTAAGAACATTCAGCCACGTTTGATTGTCTATAATTCGCATACGGCACTCATGAATCTTTGATTGGTCCCAAACCTTGACACTTCGCGATGGCACACAACCCGTTCCTGACAAGGATCGTCAACTCAAGTCACTTTGGACATGGTTAGCATGGCTGGCTATTGGCTGCTACTCGTTCGTGGTAGAACCTTAATATATGCGGGACAATAAATATGGTGCTAAGTAGATCTTGCTAACATCCTTGATGAGTCCATACGCAGAGATGCGGTACATACTATGTTTATGAAAGCAGCTCCAGTCCGTTCAAGATTTCGTAACAGCACGAGGCATAAGAGACCCGTAGCCGTCGGGACGCTCCAACAATCATCACGCTGCTAGTGTGCAGGCCTGAATTCCGGTCCCGGAGCATGTAAGGTAACCATCCTCGCTCAAGTGATGACAGTGATTAATCAAGAGGGTGTAAGGTGATGTTGCCGCACGCGAGGCGGATGTCAGTGGGTGCATCGTGTACAACCACTGAGCGGCCAACGACGGAAAAGTTTCCCGTCAAACGGACTGCGTAGCGGTTACAATTAGGTTGGGTCAAATCCCGCCGAGGGGAGGTGGGAAGGACTTACGGTAGTGGTCGTAGATCGTGCGCGGCGGAACAGTGCCGTCCACGGTGGTTAAGACACCGTATTTTCCCGCAAGGTCTCCAAGCTGGAAGGTGGAGAGGTTACCTTGTGAGGGGTGGTACAGGCCCGGCGATAGCGTCGAGTTGACTAGGCCCTCAGTGCCATTTGCCTGTGGTTGGGAGAATCAGGTCTACTTATAGAACCACCGTTGGTGTTTGAATGACTGACCAGGAAAGGATCGAAGTGTCCTCCAGCGCTCAGACAAGTATCGTCACCGGCAGAGATCGGGAACTCGTGAACATGATACGCAAAGATGTTGTTTGTTGAGGTTAGATTGATCTGCCAAGCAGTGAGATGACGGATAACACGGAATCGTGAATCGAGTGCTCACGGGAAACTCGAAGTCGATCTTGAGTACTGTCAAGTTCCCCGTGGTCGTGCCTACTAGCTCTGTAAAGTTGAACACGGCACCGGGGAGCGTGCGAATGCCGTTGGTGAAGCTCGCCGAGGCGATCGACACACTCGTAGGAGGATCGGCGGCTACGGATTGAAGAACGGGGTCGATGTAGCTGGGGATGGACGCGTTGACGGAGTCGGGGTCATACGAGTTGCTGCACGACGTGTTGTATGGCGGACTGTACGATGGACTGTACGACGGGTTGTACGTCGCAGACGAGGATACGGCAACGCCAGCCAGGGTCAGATGCGAGGACCAGATCTTCATGCTCCTGTGCGGTACCGGTGAGATGCGTCAAACTGTAAGTTGAGGTAGACACAATGGGGTTTGCAATCGCCCTCTCTTCGAGGGTTTTATGTAGCGAACGAAAGCACATCAGTGGTTCAGCGCCCATTAATCGGGCGAAGACCTGCATTCAGAACGGACCTCGTTTGAGGAGAGAATTGCAGTGTACAGCAGTCCACGGCTCTACAGCTCAGTCGAGCAGCGGTAGAGAATGAACCTAACAGTAACGCAGATCCCTGTCTGTCTTCACCCGACCGCAGTCTCGTGAACTATGGTAGCCAGGGTTTATGACATGGTCGTGTATCGTCGGTGAGTGGCCTGATAGACGATCCGGAAGAGAAGCCTTGATACATGTTTCGATATCAATTACTACGCGGCCTTCTGCGGCGGAGCTGTGAAACTGCTGGCAAGGACTCGTTGCCTTCCCGGGCGCCTCGGATACAGCGGGTCAGGTTCATGGTTGTCCTCAGAGAGAATCAGAGCGGTCCACATCCACGAATCAGGTCTATCTGGGATTGAACAATTCAAGCAAGTGATAGCACAGAGCGACGATGTGTCGCCCATGGCCAAGATCACTGTTTGCACGACATTGGCACCGCCACCCCGCCCCTGGGATGTCTATTTTGGGACGTTGGCAGGGACCACCGGTCGTCATGCAAGACCGATAGCCAAAGCTTGGACGACCTCTCCTCAGAATTGTTGCCCACATTTCACTACAATATTCAGTACTGCGTGCGTGTTCTTGAAAGCCGATGCACGCCTGCGCGGAAGGTCGTGGCGCGTCACACCTTCTGCATGACGTCGATTGCACGGTGCAAAAGTAACGGAAATATATACACGATGGGGTAACGACACCTCCTCCTCACACCGTATCATCACCCCCGCCACACGGCACAGCGCTTAGCGCCGAACGATGGCAGACAATAAAGACACGCCCGACAACCACCGCCTTGGCGAGCCCTACTCCGCGGCCAACCCGATCCCGAAGGTCGTCACGAGCGTCAAGGGCCTCATTGACCCGCAGCGCGCGACAGAAGCGAAAGCGCAGCAAGTTCAGGCGTCTCAACAACAGAGCGAACAGAAGGACACTGCGAAACGCGCGGGCAAGATGGCCAAGGGCAAGGCCATGCGCGTCACGGACCCGACCACGGGCGAGGAGGTGGATCTCAGGAATTCGCAGGACGAAGAGCCCGACACGAGAAACAAGGGCGAAAACGTGTTGAAGACAGATTACCCACCACCTGGTGAGCCTCATAACACATATCCGTCCGCTTTTCCGTGTTGTTCATCAACAATGCCGTGTAGATTGGAAGCAGTACGGACAGCACGCATACAACACCACCGCAAATACTGCCGTGGCAATAGGCCTTTCATACATAACCTCCGCCCTCCTCTTCCAAGCATTGCCCCTTCCGGTCGTCTCCCAACATCGTTTCCTCAACACGCTCCTTTCGCTCATCCCGCCTTCCATAGTTGCATATACCCTCCTATTTCGCCTGCAAAAGAGCGTTCGGTTCGATTTCGATGCCCGTGTATGGCACGCGGAGCGTATGCGTGGCTTGAAAGCCGGGTCCGACGTAGATGGCGACGGCAATGTCTCTGACGAGGAACGCACGAAGGAGAGTGCAGAATGGCTGAACGCACTTCTCCGGGGCGTATGGCCAATAATGAATACGGATATGTAAGTACCCCTCGGATATACATCGTTCATAACTGACGATATCGTTAGCTTCGCCGGTGCCGTGGACATGCTTGAGGACATCATGCAAGCTTCCGTGCCGTCCTTCATAGTAGGTGCACCTGTCTTCCTTGCATTCTCCACGTGCTGACTATTCCGACAATGTAGGACATGGTCCGCATACGCGATATCGGCCTGGGCTCCAATGCGCTTCGTGTTACTTCTATCAGGTCCCTTCCTGATGCTAAGCACGACGTGGCGACGATGGATTCCCTCGGCGACGAGGAGCGGGAGCAGCTCGATGGCGACCACATCAACATCGAAATCGGCTTTGCGTACAAGGCGCTCCCTAGCGGCACCACTGCAAGCAGTAAAGCGCATAACGCTCAGTGAGTAACGTTGTCCATGCTGGAGGTGGGTACTAACTTGAAGGCTCTGCATAGCTTGCTTATCGAGTTCTTCATGGGCGTGAAGGGTCTATGGGCCGTTCCAGTTCGTGAGTGATGACTTTGTCTGTGGTCTGTCGCACAAGGCTCACACAATTAAGCCATATGGGTCGAGCTCACCGGCGCTGTCGGCACTGTGCGCGCTCGCATCCAACTGATTCCCGATCCGCCTTTGTGCGTGCCTTTGTGCTCATCGTTGCCCTTCTGAGCTCAAGACTTTTGCAGCATCAAGACGACGATGGTCACGCTCATGGGACTGCCGAAGATTGATATTGCCGTCGTTGCTTTGAGCAAAGCACTCCCCAACGTCATGAACCTGCCGTTTGTCTCGGGCTTCATATCCAGCGCCATGAACACCGCTGCCGCAGAATACGTGGCTCCGAAGAGTTTGACGCTCGACCTCCAGCAATTGCTGAGCGGTGACGACATCAAGAAGGGTATGTTGCGTGTTCTCATTGCGCTGGGCAGTTGAATGATGTCGCGGGCCCATTGATTTCAGATACCGAGACCATTGGTGTTTTGGTGGTGCATATACACCGAGCTATGAACATCAAGAAGACGGATGCTATCAGCTCTGCGGGCAAGTGTCAACCTTTTTATTTGACCCTGAACCTTCGCTCACTTACCTGTCCAGCAGACCCCTACGTCACTCTGACATACTCTCGGCTTGGCAAGCCATTGTACTCGACTCGAATAATCAAGAAGGACAGAAACCCTGTTTACGAAGAAACGGCGGTGCTGCTGGTCGACGCCAACATGATCAAGTTGAGGGAGCAGCTAAGCATCCAGCTGTGGGACTCTGATCGGATGAGTGTGGATGATATGATGGGCATAGTCAACGTCGACATTCTCGGTAAGGTGTCACTCTCCTTGCACATGTAGCTTCTTTGACTGAAAAATGGATTGTTCACAGAGCTCATGCGCGAGAAAGGCAAGCCCTTCCGCCGCATCTCGCATTTGGACAGCCCAGATTCGGAGCACCGCCGCGGTTCCATCGAGTACACCGTCGGATATTACGGCAAGACCTGGCCAAACGCCACGCTCAAGACCGATGGGTCTGATCCGGCCATCCCGCTCGAATTCAAGCAGTCCAACGACTTCAAGGAGGCACGCGCCACGGCATTGAACGACCTGGAAGCGGCAGTGCTGGTGACGCCACCTGACCCGGCGTGGCCGAGCGGGATCCTTAGCGTCCAAGTGCACGAGATCCGCGATCTGGCGATCAAGACCAGTGGGCGGGAGAAGAAGGCTAAGCAAGAGGGTGAGAAAGGGCAGGATGAGCAGAACGAGACGAACGAGGAGGGCGAGGGATTGCCGTCGTCGTATTGCACAATGTGGGCAACAGGAAAATTCATGCTCACCGGAATGCATGAACTAACGCCGGTTTCCACAGATCTTTGAACGATGAGATAGTCTACGAGACTCGGGTCAAGCCTATCACCAGTACGCCGACATTCAATGCCGGTACAGAACGCTTTGTGCGCGATTGGAGGCAAGCGCATGTCACGGTTGCTGTCAAAGACGCGCGCAGGCGGGAGAACGACACCATCCTTGGAGTCGTATTCCTGAAGGCAAGACAGACATTTCCCATACATTTACACCAGACTGACAACAAGTTTCTTTGATAGCTTTCTGATCTCCTTATTAACGCCTCCGAACTCACACGCGCATACTCCATCGAGCGCGGCTTGGGGACGGGTCGCATTCGGATCAGCTTGCTATTCAGGCCCGTCGCAGCAAAGCTTCCTCCCAACCTCCTCGGCTTCGACTCCGGCTTGCTCGAAGTGCGAGATATTAGTCTTCACTCGGACGATGAACATCTGCGCAAATGCGAACTTCAGCTACGAAGTACCAAATCGAGCGAGACAGAGAAGATATCACGAAAGAAGGCGGAAACTACCCAGGACGGCCGCACAGTGTGGCACATTGAAGAGGAGGCGTCTCTACCCATCAAGGAGCGGTACGGCGCCGTGCTAGCGGTTCACTTCAAGCACGTCAATCCTTTGCACAAGAGCTTGCAGGGCTTGGCTGTACTTTGGCTCCGCGACCTCGTGGATAACACAGAGACCAAGATAGACTTGCCCGTCTGGCGGACAAACGACGACGATGATTACGATCTGCTCATGGGTAATTATTCTCCTCCTGACGGCGATCTGAGCATGTGGGACGATGACAAGTCCAAGCTTCAACGCGTGGGGACACTCACCTTTGATTGCACCTTCGTTCCCGGCATGTCGAGCAGCACGCACAAGAAAATGCTGCTGCAGAGCGGCGTCGCGAAGAAGAAGGGCATGTTCGATCAGCTGGAGAGGGAAGAAACCGCTGGCTTGCGCGGTCATGTTGGCGATACACGTTACACGCAGTCGAAGGAGGGAGGGACTCCCGGGGAGCACAAGCACACGGAATTCCTACCACCCGCAAAGCCTGAGCAAGAAGGGACCGCTGCCGAGCGTCCGCTGGGCGACGCCGAGGAAGTCTCATACCGTCTAGGGGAGGGAAACGTTCACACCAACGGCCAATCTAACACCGAAGTCGGCCCTGACGCTGTTGATAACGAGGTCACACCCGAACAGGAGGCGGAAGATGGCGGTGGTGACGAGACAGGTGGCCGCGAGAGCGCAAATGAAGATGAAGATCATAAGAAGCACAAGGGACTGATAGGCAAGTTCAAAGAGTGGAAAGAACACGAAAAGGAACTGCACAGAGACCATCGCGGCGTAATGCAGGCAAAGCCAGCGAGAACGATGGAGTGGCTTAAGGTATGCCTCCATTGATTCCTTGTGCACCAAAGCTTACATCTGCATAGGATAATATGGAAGAAGGTGCCCATAGTTTGAAGGGTCGTTTCACGATGAAGGAGCGCAAGCCGAACATCGATACTGAGGCTTGAAACCCGAGCGTGAGGACATCGTCCGTCGTACATTCGCATTGCTTTGCATCCCGTCGCTGTAATATACTTAAGCTCTTGACTGCATACAGATCCCGGACAATCGTACCATTACATTTGTATCATAGGCATCGAATCAGATTCCTCAATCATCGACCTGTGGGGGCTTGACGTCGATGTCTTTGATGGACCAAGCCTTGGTTGTCCCTTCCCGGTTGATGACAAGTCGTTTCGCGAGCTCTGGATAGTAGGTGATGTCCACCTTTTCACGACTTCCCCCGCACAGGTACACAAGGTCCGCATCTCCGGCGTGAAACCGGTGTGCGTTCTGCGGGCCAGCAGGGAAACCAAGGAAATCCCCCCTCTGGATTGAGTGACGGACTAATTCACTTTCAGGTAGGCCGTCACCGCCAACGTCTTCCATGATGTCCACGATAGCGTCCTGCCCAGCTTCCAAGATGAAGAACCATTCGTCATCCGTGCTATGCCAGTGCAACGTCGTGCTCTTGTTTCCAGCAGGAAGGCGGCAGAAATGAATGCCCGTCTTGTTTATACCCGCCTTGTCACCGAGTGGGATTTGCCATCGCTGCGCGGAGGGAGTAAAGGGGTGTTTGCGCAGCTCCATCTGCTCAGGATTCAATCCATTCGTGCGCAGCAGATATGCTGGAGCGGATAGGCGCCGTTCCTCAAATGAGGAAGGGGACTCGCTAAGCAAGCGTCTTTGAAGGACTGTCCTGTCATTGGTTCGATGTTCATAAGCTCTTCAGTCCAGTGAACCTGAGTACAGGTACGCACACTGAAGGGAGTCCAGAGCGTCCATGATACGCTAGGGCTGTTGGTTTGAGACGAGCGGCGAGCGACGACATGGTAGAGTAGCAACAGACTCGATGTCCATCAACAGCCGGGCGTGGTCATCCCCGGCTTCTTAGCCGATCTGTGGGAGGTCGTCTGCACATCGCACAATAAGACTACTTGTTTCTGGACTCCATCAAACCTATGTGAAAATGTCCACCTGGGTGGTCTCACGGGACATCATTCTGAAAGCGATGGAGATCCTTGTATTGACGTTGCAGACACCAAACATAGATAGGTTATACGGGCTCATAATTACTGGTTGAATTTTGGGCCGCTCATTCGTGACGGTATCCGAGTCCATTAGAGGCACTGGGAGTAGTCTGAACAGCAAAGACATCAATGTCAGCGTACCGGTCGAACACTCGAACTTGATCAATTCTTACAATCGTTGAGCACAGTGCATGTCGATCCCGAAGCGCAGGTGGTCGGACCAGTGTAGCCTGTGAGCACAATTTAATAATGAAAGACGATTCTGGAACGTTGTCCTACTCACCAATGCCGCCACATTGGCCATACTTAGCTACTGTTCCGGTGCTGGTGCCACTGGAACCTGTGGAGCCAGTCGCAGACGAAGTGGTAGTCGGCGAGGAGGAGCCAGAGGCTAAGAGAGATAATCAGTATTCTATGGCGAGCATCACTTTGTGTCCCCCTTACAGCCCGATGAACCTGATGAACCGGCTATTGAACAATCAATAGTCAGTTACGGTGCACTATACTGGGAGGAAGGAAACGTACTGCTAGAGCCCGTGCTGCCGTAGGTAGAGTTGAGTTCGCCAATGCGGATGTTGGAGTAGGTGACGTAGGCGCTGGCCGCGGAGGACTCGACGTCTGCGGGCTTTCCGGACGAGGTGGAGCATGTACCACGGGCCACACCAGGCGAAGAGGGGTCCTTGGTGAGGGGATAGTCGGAGTCGAGCCAGAGCATGTTCACGGCGTAGTCGTCCCAGATGGAGAGCACGAGGACCATGCCCGCCTTGAAGGCATTGCCAAGCTGCTCCAGGCCGCCGAGCTGAGCGAAGCTGTTCGTATCGCCGAACGCGGTCTTCTGCGCGGCGCACCAGGAGTCGGTGATGGAGTTTCCGGTGACGTCGGGGATGGTGGACTGCGAATTTTGGATCACCACGCCGTTCTGCACGTAGATGCGGCGAATCTCGGTGAGCGTGCCAGAATCGGTGCCGTCGTCAGTGATAAACTGGGTGACGGTCGTGATCGGCTTGGTGGTGTCGATGGTCATGCCAGGGCCATAGAAGGTCAGGTTGCCCACATACGGTACGAATTGAAGTCGCAGCCGGCCTGGTCACAGGTAGTCGTGCATTCAGTTCCCGTGCAAGCGGTGAGGCCAGTGCCAGTGCAAGGGTGAGGAGTGACGGCCTCGGAAATGGAGTTGGCCTCCCAGATGTCCATCTCAGAGCAGCAGGCGCCGATGGATCCAGTGCCCGAGTTGGCCGAGGTGGCGTTCCAGTCGACGATGTTGGCCTGAAGAGGTACTAATCAGCATGCTATCAGCAAGCAGAAAAACTAGAAAGCTTACGGTTCCATCGATGAACTTCAAGTCGTGAGGGCACTGCGAATCGCAGTAGCCGGTTCCGTACTTGGCGCCGGCCGTGTTGGTGGAGGACGAGTCACCATCAGCAGCCATGGCGGAGAAGTAAACAGCGCCATTGAGACCGCAAGGGAGCTGAGAGACGTCAACGTCCATGGTGAACTCCTTGTTAAGTAGGTTGAACGTCTCGTAGGTGGAATCATCCTTCAGCAGGTAAACACGGGATCCGACGTTGCTACCAGTCTTGAACGCTAGCTTGAGCTCATCGCCACTCGTGGTGATACCATAGGTTCCTGTAGTCGTATTCATCAAACACCATAATCGATAGCACGAGCAATCGACACATACCACTGTAATCCGCTCCGTCGAGCGCACAGTTCTTGGTGCAGGTGGCCGGGTCTGGGCAGAGGGCGGCGTCCCACTGGTTTCCACTGCGAAGACAGGTCAGCGAAATGGTCATCTGAAGATATCGGTGCGAACGTGTAGCAGTTGGTGGCCGAGTTGACATCGTGGAGCCAGCGCCAATTCGAGTCGAGAACGATGCTACCAGCAACGGATGTACAGCCGCCTGCAGTCGTGCAGGTATAGTATGTGAGAGCAGGATGGTTCTCCGCGGTGAGAGTGCCAGCCTGCTGAGCAGCAGCGGTCGCGATGAGCACGAAGGTGACGAGAGCAGCCGAGCGGAACATCTTGTGATGCGTTGAGCTTTACCTGAGGGGATGTCGACCATGTCGACCTGAGGGACCTTATATACCTCGCCCAAGTGCGCCCGAACAGTATCCATGGCCAGGCGGACAGGACAAGATGATACGGCGGACACCAATCGGAAAAATGAAGACGTGAGGATGGAACTTAGGAGGTGTGCAGGTGATTCGGCTTTCCGTAGGGGACTACCTGACGAGAAGGTAATGAGCCCGCGCCGGTCGGCATGCCGAACAACACGAACCAAACGAAACCGGTCGCGACTTGAGTGGTGAGAATGGGACAGCCGTCACACAACGTTTTCGGGCCCGGGAACTCGACCGAAGCCATCAAGCCGTGACGAGGATCTGACGTCCCGCTCGTTCCTGGCGTTCTCAATTTTCCGTGCCTATTCGTTGATCCGTTCGAGCAAATCCCACAGAGACCAACCATGTGCGGAAGGTCCAAGTTGCATAAGGAGGGTGTCGCGTCGGTGAGATAATGAGTAGGATTGGGATCGTGGCGCTTGTTTGTTTGTTATTTGCGATTAGGCATTCCTGGTTGTTCCACAGAGTGGACCTGTCGACTTAGCCAACTAGCTACCGCCTTGGACGGCGGCCGAGGATTCCATTTGCGCCGGACACCCAGGACAGATTGCAGCGATGGTCAGTCCAACGGCTTAAGATTGTCCGACGTGTCTCCTTGGCATTGACAGCTGCAGCGGAAGCTATCGAGTCGTTGCGTAAGGCATCGTCTAAGCGCACGGTGGGAGTCAAGCTGGAAACTGTTGTTTCCCGAGCAATACCCGCGCAGGCCGGCTGCTAGAGCGGAACAAGATGGAGCAGTCAGATGGGCACAAGGATCAGTTGGAACCCAGAGGAATCTTCGAGAGCTGCGTGGACGACCTGGTGACCAACGTCGTCCAGTCCAAGTGCTTTCCGATTCGCGGCGGTAGTAAGTTAGTAATAAGTAACGAAGACGGATGTCACGTGCACGCGATGTATTGATAGCGCATCGACCAAGATTAGACATGTCCATCCGTTCTTAGATACGCAGGATTTCCGTCGGTTGTCGAACGGAACACGAGGAAAACACTCGGGATAACGTAGCTAAACTGTCAAACTATCAGACCTCCACTTGGGCCTTTGACGTCCGGATATCCCGACAACACGTGTCCGTTACAGGTGTGAATTTGAGGCTGGAGCAACTCTTCCTGCGTGCATCTTCGCTGTACGCATCTTCGCTGGTAACACGCACTTCCATAGGATATCTGTTTTGCAAGGCAGAGCTTCCTAGACCTAATCTTTGAGGGCGCGGCGCAAAAACGGCTGATTTAACCGAGCCCGATGTCACTCGGATGGTAATCAACGAAAATGAGATGGCCTACGACAAGGATATCAGAATAAGTATCAAGTATTATGCCTTGCCCAGATGTATCAAGCTCACAATGATAGGACTGGTCTGATATTGCCGTCAATGAGCTAAGTTTCTGTCAGAAAGGAAGATATGGCCGTTACCAAATTGACCGAAATTGACTGGACATTGGATTTCAGCTCGTAGGTTATGATCGTCGTCATATTGCAGATACTAACGTTCCATCGGATCAAGTTAAGACAAAAACGGGAATGGCACGGCGTACCTGAAAAGTGCCGCTCCTTCGAGGAGTACTTGAAAAATCGGCTATCTTCGCTCTAAGTACGTTGTATGGGAATGGCAAACTCAGTAACTAACCCTTAGCGTGACGGCCCCGATGACCCATTTCATCTTCCGTTCTCTTGCAAGAATCCGGTAGGCGACGAGCGCTGAGAATATCCAGGTTCGTCAGTAAAGGGTCCATGTTTCGGGATATATATATGGTCAACGTACCTAACGCAATAACATTCGTGCTAGACAATCAGGATAATGAGTTCGAGTTGTACATGATCTACGGACCACTCACCAGAGGGTCAACGAGAATGACGCAGCTATCCATCTGCGAATGATCAGATTACCGATTAGTCGAGCATCAAGCCAGGCCATCACTTACACGCCTGTAGAATCCAGAAAGATGTCTTCCCCGGGGCGAATTGTAGTCAGCTTCTGCACCGTCCCCATGCCAGCCGCTGGAAGACGTTACGTGAATGCTACATATTGTGGAAGAAAGTAGTACATACCGAATGTTCCAAGGGTCGATAGCAAAGGAGCACAGACGGCGGATATGTTTTTGTTCCATATTAAGTACACTCGGTACACCTGTCTAGATCAATGAATTGCAGTGTGCGGAACATACATCGACGACTCACGAGAAGGCTATCCAAGACGATGGCTTCCAGGATGAACAAAATACTGCGAGCTACATATTTTGCATCAGAAAGGCGACCTAGGGAGGCTATGGCGCCGCCTGGTTTGTCAATGTCCAGCAAGAAAGCGGTGTAAATCCGATCAACGTCGATGATCCAATGCTACCGAATAGACCATCTCAGAGGGAAGCATTGGAGATAGCGGTCAGCACATACGGCAGTGGTTAGTAAGGTAAGCACCACGGCGGCCCATACAAGGATATACCGGGACCGAGAATGCTTGTCCGTGTCAACGGCTTGCCGCCCTGATCTTCGGAGAAGGAGAACGATGCTGGCAACTGATAATGGGAGCGATATACCTAGAGGCGCCAGACGTTGAATTAGTGCGATGAAACATCGCCGCCGTCACAAGCATACCATAAGCTACGGTTTGTAGCACAAAGCCGATTAACTCTCCGTCAGCTACGGTGAGGGGCGACATGTCTCAGTAAGTCGACACTCTGGCAAGCCTCGGTTCATTTATAGTTGCAAGGCAAGAACGAGCGCTCAGCAGTTCGAGCAGGACCGCCCAATCAATTGATCTCATCAGTGGCGGTAAGTAGCGTGAACCCATGCACCGAGCTATGCCAAAGCTGACCTTATGGATTGCATCAGTTTGCGGAGCGCTGTCCCCGCTCGTGGAGGGTGGCAATGGGCTCAAGGGAAACTCGTGGGTTGTTTGCCATGGGCATCACCTCCTCGATGGGCCATGACCCGCATGCCTAACTTTCAGACGGAGGATGAAGGCGGAGATCTCGCCACAAGTCATGCCGATGCTCGGAACCAGCCACAAGTAGCCTCGTGATTGCAGTAGTATGCACCTCAGCATGATCCGAGGGAGAGTGCATCCACGAATGACGTTAACGGTGATCTTGCGCGGCCACGCATTTTGGGTGTAGAGTGCAGTTCCACAGCGTGAGACACTGGCATAGTTCAATGTACAACCAGTCCATCCTCATACATCGCACATGCGGACGCTCACTTATAAAACCCTCGAATCTGTGCTTCAACCCCGTCCGCCGTCATTTTAAGGTCTATGAAAGCTTATCAGCGACTATGCACAGTTGAATAGCAGTTCCCTCACATTTCTGTGGATCTTTCAAAGCAACGTTGATAAGCCGAGTAGCACGTATTGTCAGAGGAGATTACGTACTCTTGCTGAACGTATCCCGATTCTTCTGCGTGAATCTGTTCAAGCTTGGGACAACAAGCTTGGCCACTTCCTCTGCCAGCGTTTCCCTCTCATCCGCCTGATCATCCCCGTCCAGAACTTTGGCGACTCTGTGGCGTTCGCTGACTTCTTCCAATAAATCAAAGAAGCGAGTCGCCTTTTCCTTTGCTGCGCTCCGACCCTTATCCTTCGGGTCGTCCGCGAGAGCTTGCATGAGTGGAGAGAAATTGGAATCGAAGTATGCCGCTTTAGCAGTGCGCGCAGCTGAGTTCAGAGCATCACGGGCAGGTTTGGATAATAACGACGAAATATCCGTGCGCGGATTGTCCAGGAGACGGGTACGGAGGTAAGTCACGTTGTTCAGCAGGAACATAGTGCCGAAAGCTGGGCGGCGCTGGCTGCGCGATATGGTCGTCAAGCTTGTGATCGTGGTGTTGACTACATCATCTAAACGGACGTCAGTTCATGTGGCCAGCACGGGTTCAGCGACTTGAGTGTGCTCACAGATGTAATGCTCGATGATAGTACGCTGATCGACGTCACCGGGTCCGGTAGCATTCTTGCCGACCTGAACACCCTCCCCCATCTTCCACTTTCCGTCTCCGAGCGCGGCGAGTACAGCTCCAGCAGCCCCTTCCACTTCCGGGAACCTTTCCAGAAAAGCTACCGTCTAGTGGCGATGGGATAAGTCCGAAGCTTCATCTGGCGGACAAGATTACGAACCGTGATACAGAAGTCTGCAAGACCCGTGCTCATATCGTTACCCATGCCCGCCCGCGATGCACCCGGCCCGATTGCGGAGCCCAGCCCCGCCATCTTCACATCCGCCAAAAATTCGGGAAAACTCCGAAGACAGACGTTCTTAAGAGCCTGCACGGCATCTCTGAGGTCGTCCTTACTCCTCCCAGCACGCTCAACAAGAAGCTCACGAGATCGTTGGAGCTGAGTCTGCGTGGATTCGAAGGCGGAGAGGGCAAGGAATGTGTGCCGAGATAAGGAGCGCTTGATAAGGGCCTGAAGAGAGGATACTGTGGAATTGAACAGGTTGAGAAGAGGCGCGAGAAGGGTGCTGTATGCCGAGGAGATGAGCTGCGGTGAGGGGAGCGGCGCTAGGTCTGACAGAAGTTTGCATTCCGCCTACCATTTAGCACCATCAGAACGGATCGTACTAGGATGCGCAAGGACGCACTTACTTCCGCCACTGTGAGCATGTTATCCACCCATGCTCCGAATTCGCGGCCAGACGCAACGCCGTCGATGGTGTCGGCGCGATCTACCACCCGCTTGGCCTGCACTTCCAAGCAGCGTTTGGCGTAGTTGCCCCGCATATCGGCATAGCCCCGCTGCGCATCCTTCAGCGCCGATTGGATAGCCTGCGCCGCGGGATGAGATGGATGTGTTGCTGGGACGGGAAGCGCTCGTAAGAATGCAGTGAGCGGATCAAGCGTTAAGAGCAACTGTTGCGGGAACGGTGTGAGATTGAATGTGGGCCCTGCTGGCGGTGTGATTGCAGAGGCTTCGGCGACAAGCTTGGTGTACAGTTGTGTGAGCTTCTTCGCGCCGGACTCTACGAGTCGAGCCTAGAAGCAATGCTTTAGCGCTGCAGCAATTTGAGAGCCAGGAAACGGAGACTGTACTGTATCCCGAGAGTCGCGGTCAGACGACTTGAAAGCGATACTAGCATTGAGACGTTCAAGAGCCTCCTTGTAGACGTTAAGCTGTCCCGGTTGCGGGCTAACAGGGTTATTCGCATTGAACCCCACCTACTGTGTCCAACGACATACCCTCGGAGGATCAACGCTTCCTCAGCGGCAATACCTTCTTGATTACTTGCGACGTCATCGATCTTCTGTAGTGCACTTTCGATGTCTGCACGGAGACCGGCCGATCAATCGAGGTCCGGCCAAGCACAGTAACTCCGGCGTACTATTGGCTCTTCGCGTGAGGATTTGAGTAGTGTTATAGAGCGGAAGGACGGATTTCTCGAGTTTGTTCAGTCTTGTGTCAAAGCTAGATAGTATAGCTGAAGTGGTCGTTAGATGAACCTTCGTTGCCAGGTAAGCTGGACTCACACACCATCCGCTGAGAGATTTGGTGAGTCTTGTTCAGATTCTGTTCAAGCTGAAAGCGAATCAACTACAGTAGGCCAGCCAAACGTTCATTGATCGTACCAGTTCGATTTCGGCGGCTTCGTCGTCCATGGTCGATTCTGATTCAGATCCTGGAAGACGACCGAGGGGGCACTAATTCTGAATGCCCCATCACGTGATCCGCCAGCCATGGGGCCATCGGGCCGTCATTGCGCCCTCTTGAAAGTGACCATAGATCCGTTTCCCACGCATTTAAACCGTCTGCTCCCCGGAGCTCCGGTCATCTATCGAGTTCCACGATTGCGGCAAAATGACTCTGCCCAAAAAGTTTGCTCCCCCGCCCCGTCTCTCCCTGCCAGGACGACCGGCGCTCGTGCAATCTCCGAGTCATGGCGGACTCGACCGGGATAGACATAGAGAAACGGCCTCATGACGCGGCCTACGGAGGGCCAGAATCTGTTACGAACTCGACGTTTTCAAATCGGTGGACGAGGAAGTTGCTAAGTTGGGGAGTGGAAGCTAGAGGTGACTGTCTATACATTATCCACTGAGATATCGATCTTCAACTCGTCCTGCAGGTATACTACCGGTCCCCGTGGAACAGAGAACGGACAGACGATACAGCAAGGTTTTCTATTTATGGCTGTCATGGAACTTCAATATACTATCGTACGCCCATTAGCATCTCATCGAGCACACTGAGACCGACTCCGGGCTCAGGTTCTCTGCAGGAACACTCGGGCCGGTTGTCTTCGGTCTCGGCCTGCGTGATTCTTGCCTGGTTATCCTTTTCTTCAACTTGCTTTGTGCCGCCCCTCCAGCGTACTTGTCAGTGCCCTGCCATGCTCCCCATCTTTCATGTATTCACGATCATGCCAGTACTACATGGGGCCCGAAGACGGGGCTAAGACAGATGACCCAAGCGCGGTACTCGTTCGGGTACGTCCAGCTTTGCGTGTGGACTTTGCCGCATGCTCGCGAGCTGACATCTTTCGCTAGGTATTTTGGTGTGATTATACCAAGCATACTCAACATGGTCAACATGTGCGGGTTCTGCATCCTCAATTGCATTCTGGGAGGTCAGACTCTATCAGTTATCTCGGGAGGGAGTTTGAGCTGGACGTGAGTAATAATTTCGGCCAAATCTTTGGAAACACTTCTCATCTTCACGTCTGCGCAGGGTCGGAATCGTCATCATCGCGATTGTCTCGCTCTTTGTACGTGATCACCCTGCGTGACCTCTGCACTCGCTGACATTCACTGCCGTATAGATTTCATTTTGCGGTATCCAATTCCTTATCTGGTATGAACGGCTCTCGTGGCCCCCTATCCTCCTGGTGTACCTGGTCGCTCTTGGCGTGTCCGGGAAGCACCTCGCCAATCCTCCGCAAGCCGCGCCGGCGACCGCTGCCTCCATCTTATCCTTTGCTTCGACCATCGCAGGCTTCGTTATCACGTATTCTTCTCTTAGCTCCGACTATACCACGTACCTGCATCATGACGGACCCAGGTGCGAATTCCAGTATATTTTGTTGAGTGCTACTCGCTCATGTGGCAGTCTATGGAAGCTGGATCATCTTCTGGTATGCGTACCTTGGCTTCCTCGTTCCCATCGTCACTCTCCAGTGCTTGGGAGCAGCGGTGGCCAACAGTGTTTCCCTCGTTCCTTCCTGGGAAGCGGGATACACAGATGGTAATGTGGGCGGATTAATCGGTGCTATGCTGGAACCGGTTGGAGGGTTCGGCAAATTCCTCCTCGGTGCGTCAACTAGCCACTCTAGTATCCTGGATCTCACGTTCGGTTTCGTGAATAGTCCTGATGGCACTCAGCACCGTCGCGAACGTCGCGCCTACGTTCTACAGTTTCTGCTTGAGCTTTCAAGTTGCAGCCGCGTTTACAGCTCGCGTTCCCCGCTATGTTTTCTCTATCGTCGCAACCGCAATGTGCGTTTACATTGCTGCTTGCGTTGCGATGACCGCTTAATAGTCTTTCAGTGTGTTACCGATCTCCATAGTCGGCCAACACCGATTCTATGGTGAGTCCGATTCTCGGCATGTCAGCTGGAACTCAAACTTACTATGACATAGATACTCTCACCAACTTCCTTTCCGTGATCGGTACGTTTGCTCCACATTAACATTGCAACCGAATTTCGAGCCATCCACAGGGTACTGGTCCTCATGTTTCGCTGCCGTAGTCCTCGTCGAGCACCTCGTCTTCCGTAAAAACGACTTTGCGAACTACGACCTTACAGCCTGGAACGCGCCTCGTCGGCTACCCCTGGGCATCGCAGCATTAGGCGCAAGCGTTCTCAGCTTTGCTCTCGTGGTCCCCTGCATGAACCAGGTTTGGTTTGTGGGACCTTTGGGAAAAACTGCTGGCGACGTCGGTTTTGAGGTCGCCTTTGGCGCTACCGCCGTGCTGTACCCCCTTTTACGATGGATAGAGCGACGATTCACAGGACGATAACGGGCGGGACCTCTAGGACTACATACGCATGGATGTGGAGGGATGTTAATAGATTGCTTGGATTGCCTCGTCTACTCGTTGTAACCCTAGGTATAATGGCGCTATTATCGCGGGTACTGATGCCGTCATGAGTTTGTTTCGTGGTCATCTAAATCAGAACTCACTCTCTGATAACGATTCGGGGTTCGAAGGTGCGCAAACCTCGAGCCATGATCGCAAAGGGTTTAGCAAGGAGGTTTGAATACTGGATATGCATGGTTTGTCTCGGACTCCTGTCTTCGCGAGTATCAACTATGGGCGGAAGTTGCCTGTACGACTCCTTACCAGATTCTCGTCGTCGCGTTTTAGCAGGACGTAATACAAGCTTAGGCACTCCACCAGCCGAGCAGGTTCCGGTGATTCGACGATGTCCTCGAGGGCCCGCATGGATGTGAAAACGTCAGGAGGATCAGGGCGGAATAGTATAGGTCCGAATGCATGAAAGAACAACGGCGACGCAAAGACGTCACGCTTCGCAGCGAGAGATTCGAGTAAGGCTTCCTTGACAAGTCCAACTGCTGCAACGCGCATCTGCGGGTACGAAGCGTCCTCCGCAGTTCCTCCGAGCATCTCGAGCAGGGTATGGAACCGCAAACCGACGGGACAAAGAGACAGAACAAGCGCCAGTGTACGGAAGACGATGTGCCGTGTGATTGGATCCGGGTGGACGGACGCCAGAGCCGGCAGAATAAGAGTCAAAGGCGTGGCCATATCTGCAGGGAGTTTTCCAAAGGGATCGGTGGTTTCCTTGACTCTTTGCAAGGTCATGAGCAGAGTAGTGAGCGTCGAATCGAGGCCATGATTCGTCTGCAGCGACGTTAGACAAACGGGAAAATAGCGCGTGAGGACCTCCAAGGGGGCACGATCAGCCGGAGATGGTGAATGTGCAAGCAGCATCATATGACCCAGAGTTCGTTTCTCAGTCTTCCACGGATCTCGCCCTATGCTAGTCAGAAGCAACTCCATGAGCATCAGCATAGAGACTTGTATTTATTGTTGCCAAGTGCTTACTGAAGCAGATTCTACGACCTCCTCACCGTCTGCCCGGTCATCGCCATTGTCTGGTGGCATGGCTAGCTTTGGGAAGCATATCGCAAACGCGCGCTGCGCGTACATCGTGTGCAATGTCTCGGATAAGGACTCCAGGATATGCGTCAAGAAGTCTTCTATCAGAGACTGACAGCCGATGTGAGCACAATTCGTTCCGGATTGAACGTTGTTACTGACCCTGCACTCTTCTAGATCATTGTCTCCGACCGCGGTGTGCTTGGCCCATACAGAAACGCCCTCCGCAAGGCGCATCGATGCTGTTGCAAGCTCGCAGCCGCCGCTATCTGGTACTTCTATCCCATACTGTGAAATAGCCACTCGCAAGTCATCCAAGAGTGGGCGGATGGTTGCAAATGCTGATTTCTTCCCAAGCCGAATCCGAGGGATCGCTGTAGAATAATCAGTGAAACGCTAGGTATCATGCAACAATCGTCGCAAACCTCGCTGGTAGATGATGGCGATCCTAGTCAGCTGTGCGCCCAGATGCAGGTGTTGGTCGTCATCCTGCCGGTCGGCCATAGACAGTCGCTCCAGAACCTCCTGCGCAGCAAGTACAAGTTCTTTGGCGTTACCGACTTCTGCTATTAGAGTCAGAATATCCGAAGCCGCAGGATGTGTGCAAGGTATGAGCCGAGGAAGCAAGTATAAACAGTCCTGGCTATAATTTAGTCGGGAGAATTCAATGTGGAACAGGGAAGGGCTTATACCAGGTCGGAAGCCACATCATGATGCTGCAGGACGTCGTGAACTTCATTCAAACCACCGCAGCTACTTGAGTCATCCAGAATACTCGTTATTTGAACCGAAATGTCCTCCGCAGTCGGCTAACAGATATGCAGTTGAGCGCCGGAGCTTAGCGTTGTGGGAAGAGGTACTTGCTCGTTTATCCATTACGTCTGGTTCATCGCCGAGGGAGAATAGCGCGTATAACGAGATAAGTACATAGTTCCAATTTTGACTCTGTAGTAGCGTGACGATGTGCATTTGCGTGGCTATCCGCTGTTATCTCTTGTGACGTGACGCGACGGGTCTGCCCTACCGTTTGTTAACACTCCGAGGACGCCAGAGCTAGTGGATTGCCCCCACCCTCTCTTGACGTCTCGCTTGCAATGCGAATGCTTGGTGAGGTGTAGACTAATGCTTGACCCTCACTGACAAGTCCTGGCTCTAGGGGGAAGGTATACAGAGTACAGTGCCGTGTTTCACGCTTCCCCCTAGCCCAAACGAACGAAGCATTCAGGAGTATGGCCAACGAAACCATCAGATTCCGGGCTATGGTCCTTCCTTGAGTTCCCTACCCAAGAATGGTTTCATGATACAGAAGACGAGCGTTTGGCTTCGCTGAGCATTGCTTGGAAGGAAGCTATCGCACCGTAGCACTTAAATGGAATGTGTGAATACGCCTATCATACAGTCGACAACCGCTCATACAACCAACCACAGCAGAGAGTAATGAACGACGCCGAGGATGGCCGATACCCCGAGACCATCGAACCATGTGTCCACTAGCGCGAGCGCAAGCAAAGAGAGTAACGTAATTTTCGTCGTAAGAGTATAGTAAACCGGGGAGTATTGCAGAACGGTTAGTGTGTGGATCTATATTCACGAAGGTCAGATGTGCGGACAACGGCTGAGGGGTAAGCTAACCTTGTATGCGAGAATGGCGCCTTTCAGAGTCCGTATAGTGAGCATTCGAGTTAAATGTTCTCGGGGCTGCACGCGACGGAGCATCGTGTCCGCAATCGCGAGAGCAGAAGCGGCCTGAAGTACCGGAGGGGTTTCGTGATCGTTGGTTTCATCGTTATGTGTCGTGGGCATGTTCGCCTTCTCCGTCTCGCGTTCGCCACGCGAAACAGAACCATTTCCTTCGCGCGGGTTTGGTGTATCCTGAAGAAGATGACGGGTCCTTTCTGGCGTGTGAGACCTTGATCTGGCGATCTGGGACGGAAATTCCGGACTTGCTTGCCGAACGACGGGCACCAATACGCCAGGCGAGGTGTTATGGCTCCGACTGGGTGGCGTAGTCACTGGATCCAACTAGTCAAGATCATTAGGAAAAACTAATGTTAAGCATCGAGGCGTAACGGAGTACCTGGCCGGATCTCAGGGCGGTCAGGATCCGCTCGCACGAAGGTCGGTATTGCGGTAATGGCTTCAACAGATTCTCGAGCAGGAAAAGATAGGTAAATGGCAGCCGCCTAGAGGCGAACGTTTCCCGTAGGTTGTGCGAAGTTTGGAACCTAGGCAACGAGAAACTTCAACAAGGAACACCGGAGGGGGATGCGGTACCAACCCTGGATACGATGCAACCTCCTGCTCCAACCTAGCCAATCTGCCTTCTGTCTCGGCAGCCTCTGTAGCGTTCAGGTAGGGTAGCCGGAAGAAGAGCATCTTGTGGAGGACCATCCCAAGCGACCACATATCGGCTTTCGAATCAACCTGTCGAAGAAAACCTGTACTTGGCGAGCGAAGTGATTCCGGCGCGGTATATTCGAGCCTGTGATGGATGAGTGACGATTCCAGAGACGTTTACAAATGACACGTACGTTCCAGTATTTCCAGAGCGCAAAGAAGACGTTACCATATCCCGTGAGGTGCCAAAATCAGATAACATCGCTCTCGGGCTACATCCTCGTGTATGAATGACGGCGAATTTTGAGAACAGGCTAATGGCACGTACATGAGTTTGCCATCGTCCCACGTCAGGAGGACGTTCCCCGGCTTGAGATCCAGGTGTAGAATGGATTTGTCATGCTGCCAAGTGCGTTAATCCAAATGCACGATGACACGACCACGGAAAGTATACCAGAAATGACAAGCCTTCGACCATATCACCAAACAGGCTTCTCGTTTCTTCTGCACTCAGGAGATGTACGGCCCTCCACGTCCTTGTACTGCCAACTCTCGAACCGGTCCTCAACTCCGCTCGCAGGCGCTCTCGCTCTTCAGGAGGCGCGTGTTTCAGAGCGCGGAATTTCCTAATGCGATCCGTGCGGGAGTCTTCAGGGGTAGACGAGTTGGACGATGGCTGTTGATGGGAGGAGCGACCTTGGCGGGCTTCGATGAAATCATCTAGGCTGAATAAACCAAGGTTGGCAAACATGGATGCAATCGGCGAGTGAAAAACTTGCCTCCCCCCCTCGGCGAATTGCATCAGGATGCTACGGCACCCGGTGAATATGAAAGACGGCAGACACGATAACGGATGACACGCACTGCAAAGTGGGCACCTTGGGACCGAAAGACGAAAACTGACACGCCTCCAGCCAAGAGTGATGATAGGAAATAATGTTGGGGTGATGCAACTTCTCCAACAGCCGAACCTGGGACAAACGCGAGATGAGGTGGAGTCGACGACAAGGATTCCACAATACGTACCTCCTTGAGGATATCTAGTAGGTATGCATGGCTCTGTCCCACCGCTATCTTTTTGACGGCAAAATGGCCTACGCATTAGCTCATATGAGCGGTTGCGAGACAAACGGGTGCAGCTTCCGGCTAACCGAGCGGATTGCCGTCCAACACATGCTATTTGAGGAGAGACCATGTCAAGGCCATGTGCCTGGAGCGTTTACAACAACACTCACTTGACAAAGGAACACGCTGCCGCTAGCACCCATGCCCAGTTTGCACTCCTCCTTGAAGAACGCCCTGAAATACCCGTCCGCCATGTTCTCCCCTGTGAAAGCGTTCCCGTCCTCTCCCGAGGTTTGTGCTTCGCCTTCCTCCGTCTCATACGTGAGCGGAGGAGTTGAGGGCCTTGATAACGTTTCGTTAGCTACTTCCAGGAGCTGAAAGTAATCAGGCGCCCTCGAGCTCGAGTTCGCCGCACGGGCCAGGTCTTCGAGCTTAACGTCGTCCAGATCATCCACGGCTGTGTGTCCAGTGTCCTCAGAGAGAACTCTATGACAATAAGGGCATAACGCTGGTAACGCAGCCCGCGAGAGTGCGCCAGGCGAACGGCGAATTGAGATCGCGTGGCTCGTCGGGTTATAGAGCACGACCTGGTTTGATGCCTGAAGTATAGTGTGCCATTCCGATGGAACCAATGCGCTGTTGGGGGAAGGCGAACGGGACTCCTCGAACATAGAAAGTGCGTGTATGAAGGTAACGAACAAGCAGCGAGCGCCTGGTGCGCGCGTGGCGTATACATGGCACAGATATTATTACATATTTACCCTGCCTCCAAAGTCTATTGTTCTTGGCTATGGCAGGATTCAGTCCTACGCTAACATCAGACCGAACCTCTGGCGAGGGCCAAACGAGAACCGACAGATATAGCTATGAAAGCTCCACTCAAATTACGCAAAGAGAAAACACGGTCCAACGGTACGGTAATCTGAAGAACATGCGAATGAAATGCGGTCGATGTGCGAGATGTGTATGTCAAGTGGTCCGTTCCATGCGAGGATAGCGGTCATAAGGAGTGTGAAGAGGCGTAAGGCGTAGTAGTAGGGTCCCTGTGCTGCAGCCCGAACATAATTTACGATCTCCGCCAACGGAACCGTGCCCTCATACTCCGGAGCACTATGCAAAACGTGTGAGGTAGCGCTCTCGGAAGCGATTTGTTTCAACGAACCTCAAACCGAGTCAGTTCACCGCCAGAGGTGACGCATGAGGGCGCCGCCCGAGAGGATCATCACCACTAGCGTGGCAATGAATCCAGCAAAAGCTGGGTGGGAGGTGTATGTGGAGACAGAGCCAGAGCACCCAGTACATTGCCACCCTGCAGACGGATCAACGATCTGCCTTCAGTCATGACGACCTGACGACCTGACTTACCGCTCGCTAATGGTGTATAGCTCTGGGGCTTATACAGCGCAAACGTCAGAGCGTCGTTGGGCTGGAACAACCCCGGCGCTCTCGAGGGGTTCCTACCTCGATCGTCCCAGATGCTAAGCGTGTAGGTGGCCTGGGCCAGAGGCGTGTTCGGGTTTGCTTGGTTGTAGCTGTACGGGTCCCAGACCACGCTAGTAGCCGTTCCCGGTAGAACTCCATCAGTTGGCCCAACAGGGTAGGTGTTCCCGTTTTCGCAAATGGCGCTGACGGTGAGGTGGGAAGGGGTAGAGTAGAGCGACGTGAAGTTCCATGCGATGGTAACTTCTTGCGAAGGGGCTATCTTAAAGAAAGAGACGGTCGTTTGCGGAGGTTGGGTGATGGTCAGGCCACCGGCGGCTGCAGTCTGAGGGATGGAGAGGACAGTGGTCGAGCCGCCAGTGTTGGTCGACGCAGAGCCGGAGGCGGCTGATGTCGCCGAACCGCTGTTGCTGCCTGAGGCCGCACCCGAGGACGTCTGCGGGGCGGGCGAGGACATTGTCGCGAGGGATGTGCTGGGTCTCGGTGGTTGTCGTCGCGGTGAGAGGCAGGGACGAGGTTCACAGGGAATGAGCGACGCGGGACATCACAGCCTTTTGCGGCTAGCACAAGCCGTCTGCTCAACCTGGCGATGTTTTCAGTGTTCACGTTCAATACCCTTCGCTCTTTCCAACATAACACGCAGGGTGGTCTGTCAGCGGACGACTGGAGGTCGCGTAGATCGAATGGGCGATCCGAATGATTGAATTGCGAAAACGCGATTGCATTACATACGACGTGTAGTAGAGTACTATAATTAGAAACTCCTTGTATATGACGTTCCGGTGTCAAACTAATGCCCCCTCAAACCCGCTCGTAGACCACGAAGAACAGGAATCGTACTAGGGCTCACAACTCCCTCACAGGGTTCGGAGACCTGATCATCGTCGGTTTCGGCACGGAGGTCACCGGCGGCACACGTTTCTTCTCCATCCTGTCGCGCTTCGACGGCGACACGCTGATGCTCGGGAAGGGCGTGCACATTGACGAAGAAGCGGGAGGGTGGGCTGCCGGAGTCGGAGATTGGCCCTGGTACCAGGTCGACGTCCCATATACGCCCATCGGCAGGTCGTCGTCTGCTTGGCAGGACTCGAAGACGCCGGAGTCGTAGTTGGCGGGCATGTTCCAGTAGCAACCCATCGCTACGGGGGAGAACGCATACGTGAACGAGAGCTAGCGCGATGAGCTTTTCCTATACTAACTGTCGTATATGTGCTGGCAGTTTTCTCGTGCATTCGGACCCGTACACTGCAGGCGTCATCGATCAGTGCAACATTCCTAGGACGAGGAGATGGAATCACATACAGCACGGAAGCAGAATTCTTTCTCGGAGATGAAGCTCGTCCACTCGTGATACTGCAGGTTGGAACCAAACGTATTCCCGTAGACAAGACCTCCAACCGGGTTTCCGCGAGAATCAGCGCCATGAGGATCAAGTTCTGCGTACAAAGTTTAGATGGAGTCTTGTACACGTGAAGGTCGACTATCAACGAATACGCACCTCCACCGGAGTCACCCGCGGGGACGTTGATCTTCGTGAAATCGCCGACACCTGTCACTTGAACGTAGTCTGGAGTGCGGACGAAATGTACGCCCTGAAGAGTGCCATCCGGAATGATACGTGTGCCGCGACCCGACTTCGTGCACCACGCGACTTCCTCCCGCTCGGTATCGCCTGGAGCGGATGAGAAATCCATCACGGAAGTAGTCTCGGGAGCATACCGATGTTTCCGACGTTGGGAGGAGCCCACAGGCAGAAGTCGTCGGCGTCGTTGATCCAAGCAGTTTGACACATGCTAGACTGCGAAGATGCGCCACCGCATGCATTGGTACCGCTTTGTCCGGATTCGGTCTGGGAGGGCACTGAAGAGACGAAAACTCAGCGATGAATGGGTCTGCAATCGCCTTCCACTCACGTTTGTCGGACATGTAGCCAACGTTCCAAACCTGGTTGGGGTTCCCGCCATCACACGTCCAGAGCTGGACTTGAGTACCATCATTGAGGCTGCCGCTGGGCAAATCGAGACATTTTCCGTGGCTAGAAACGGTTATTTAGTTGGCCAAGTCGCACTCGGCATGCGACTCACTCGGTCCACGCCAGACTGGGTAAGCGATAGTTAGTAGCCTTAATTTCGAGATACATGTTCGAAACGCACTGATTGTCGCCGTATGCCGTGTAGTAAAATTTCTGGTTGGCATCGCTGCCGCTGCAGTCCCAAACTTGTAGCTTGACGCCATCGACATCCTGACCACCCGTCACATCTAGACACTTGTTGGACGAGGTCTTGACTTGGCCATTGTCGAAAGTCCAGAGTTGGTCGGAGGCGCCCGTGCACGACGTAAGAGTCACGGGTGCCCCGTTTCGATCATCCGCTCGCAAGCACTTCGCGGCCGAGTTACCAGCTGCGATCTCATATCAACATGGCCCGCCGTTGAAACAGAATGCGATGGACGTACGTTCCAGGAGCAACTGGCCAGTGTAAGCCGGTGTTTGAGCGACGACGAAGACCGCTGAGAGAACATATGCAACGAGCGTAGATTTCGAGAACATGCTGATGATTCCCGGCTAGAACAACGCGAAGACTCGAGTTGCAAACGATGGTAGGGGGACGTCGAGGGGAAGTCGACAGCACGACTGAACGGCGAACAGCCTTTTTATGTGTTGGTCGACCGAATCTTCCATTCTCGGCAAGCAAGTTGATTGACTGGTGAAACAGCAAGCGACAACCGACAGCGGCCAAAGACGAAGCGACTGAGAAGCATCCAACGTTCGGGCGGCAGAGGCGATGGCTCTTCACTCGACATTCCCACGCTTATTCTGCCTTCGCCCAACTACGCCGACCGTCTTGCCCAATGGTCTCTCACTCACGCTTTCCGTATCCTAAGTCTGCGTCTGATCTAGGATCAGTGACCTGGGGTCAACACATGTATCGACGACGGGTCGCATTTTCTCTTCGACGCCGACCTTGATGGTGTGACTGGCTATGGGCTATTCCCTTCAAGTTCGTGACGCTTCCTTGCTCGTTGTAACGTCGCGCACTTCATGGCTGCCCGCCTGTTATGGATACGCCCGCCTACGATGCAGAGTTCGCGGCTTTGAGGCGAGTTACGCGTTGCCTAGGACGCGTCGGGACATACGCGTGACGTCAGAGGCCGCACATCCAGCTCCAACCTCTTGCCTTCGCCGCTCACAGATGCTGGTGCTTGGAGATGACGCAGAATATGACGTCCGGTGCGCCACGGCAGTGCTCGACAACGTATATAAGCTGGTCAGCCCGTCCCCTTTCTGCATATCGTCCGTAACTCACACATCAAAACATTAATACATTCGCAAGACCTTACCCAACTTCGTCATGTCCAATTACACCGACAGCACCTCCACCCACAACGACTACGTCGGAGGCCCGGGCAGCGTAGGCCGCATTCCCGGCGCTGACCAAGCAACCTCGGGGAGTCAATTCGAGGCCGTCTTCGCGAAAGGTAAACCTACGAGAGCTCACAATGTGTACGACGTTGCTCATGCACACACAACAGACCAATCAGGCCGCACCATGAAGCCTGGCCAGTTCCACTCTGGTGAGACACGTCCTGACGAGCACATTCCTGCGCCGACTGGCCGCGATCGACCTCCGAGGCACGACGTTCGAGGCGCAGACTTCACGCGTGGGGTCGATCAGAGCGACAACGCCACTCCCGTCACTAGAGTGGAGACACCCATCTACAGTTCTGCATCTGGGCCAGGTGGATACGATCAACCGCCATCGGATATCAGACAACTTAATGAGCCGCGTGTGAGCGAAGTTGTCGTCGACTCTAACCCATGGGCATCGAGGACCAGGTAGGTTAACGGATCGCTACGTACTCTATGCTCGTGTATATTGAATTTCTGTTGTAGTGCGAGCGATACCCTGAACGGCGCCACTTCACAAGACGTGCACGGCGGCTACGGTCACCCTGGCCAAGGTCAAAGTAGCGCACAATTACATCACGACGGTGCTCACAGTCACCGAAAGCGCGCGGAGGAGGGATTAGGCAGGTACGGCGAAGGCGACGATAGCCTGGTTCACGGCAACGTCGGTGACCAGGCACAATAGATACAACAGTAGCGCCCACATGAAATACATTGTACCATAACCCACTGTAGTCCTTGCATCCCGTTCAAATTGCTATGCTCGCATGAAGTCGGTCAAGCATTGATAACGCGGATGTAACTTTCGGATACACGCATCGCTCACATGTCGTTAATCCTAGATTCTCGCATCTCCAAAATGCTCGATAAATCTACCCCTGTCCCTGTGACGTACTTTGGTAATCAGTAGTCTCGAAACCAGACGCTCTGTCGGTACGACCACCTAAACGCAAACGAGCATCGAGTACCGTAGGTCGTATCCGAGAGTTATTCTTAGTAGACTTTGACAGAATATGTCGAATGTCACTCACAGTCAAGTCTTGTCACGTCAATGCCAGCTCGTTTGGTTCAGGTGGTCTACCGCGAGAGCATCTGGTGATAGTCTCGAATCCAGCCGCCCTATCTCAAGCGCACCAAACTCAAAGCAAAGATAAAGGTTTGGAGTCGGTGCTGGATCCGAGCTAAGGGTAAGGTAGACAGAGTATGTCGAAAGTCGCGCAATGTCAAGTCTTGTTATGTCAACGTCGGATTTTGAGTTCTGGTGCGCTTGCGCTAGAGCGTCTGGTGAGTCTTGCTCGAGCGGGGGTGGGTCCTACGTGACCGTAACGGCGGCTGCCACGAACTGTCAACGCGCATCGTCCGGATATGGTATCTTCGGATTTCTGCTACATACTTTCATCACGCTGCCATCTAACTGACAGCGTATTCGACATGTCCGCGCTTGATAACGACTACGAGCCACCTTTCGACGGCGACGAACTGGATAACGAGTGGTTCTTGAACTCGTTCGGCCTGATCGATGACCCGGACTCAGACACGGACGCGGACACAGGCGATGTAGACCCGGATCTGGATCCGGAGCTAGACGACGACGAGGATAATATGGGAGATGACACGGATGATGGAGGGGAGGATGAGATGATGGATGTTGAGTGGAGGGCTGGATCCGAGTGCAAGTGGAGAGCAGAGAGCTCGAGAGAATAGTGCGATGTCGCGCGTAAGAAGTGCAAGTCACTTTATAAGTGAAGAGACTTCCTCCTGGGTTCCCGAGCCTTATCAGAAAGCTATCCTTGTGTTCGGACGGAATTGAGGCTCAATTCCGTCGGGTACCTAAATCTGTGCAGAATTATCGTGGGAATCCGAATATCACACTCCCATGACCGTGGGAATGCTCCTTCGGCCGCTACGGCCGATTTACTGAATACATGGAATTGAGGATTGGACAGAGTGGGTCTATTAACTTGGGTCATTATCATCCTCCGAAAATCCCTCCATGCTATAGAATCAATGGACACTAGGCTGCATAGCCACACAGCAAGTTTTGGCTCTCCAGATAATAAAATATCTCTTTCAAAATCAGTGAAGAAAACCAAACTAAATTTGTGCATTCACACACCCGAGTATAAGTGTTAATGTTGTAATATCAAATATTGTGGATAAATGATGCAGTAATATGTGGGAATAATGTGGCATTGTAAAAAGTTGAAATAAACGTGTGATATGATAACTCACTGATCTTACATTCAGAAAACAGCTTTGGTGTGGTGTCATACTGGTCTGGTAAATTGGATAATATTTGGGGATATGGGTGGCACAACTGGCTTACAATGACCTAAGGAGTAGAGGTTCTCAAATTGACTATTCAGGTAGATATCCTTTTCAAAGCCATTTAGGAGCTGAGCACAATATTTTCTGACTGGGTTAGCTTTGTCTCAATCCTTACACATTGACTAAGGTCATGGGTTTGCATGCCATGCAGAAGCATGCTGGAATTTATTCACTATGTTCAGTCCTGTGTAAGGCATTGCATCCCTGGTATACTCATCTTTCTGGGAGGAAAAACCTCGTATGGCGTGGAATAGGGCCCTAAGAAATTGTAACACAACTTTACAACATTCAGCTCGATTTTAGACGTATTATGAGTTGGCTTTCGCAATTTTAGGCGTCCGCGTCGGATGCTCATAAAATCGAGTTCATTATTTGCCACCGTTCGGGCATCTCGGGCGGAGTTCGCCGCCGCGGACACTGCCACAGAAAGCGGAGGCGCGTCGTGACACCGCCACCGAAAGCCGCGGGAAGGCGGGAGGCGCGTCGTGACACCGCCACGCAAAGCGGAGGCGCGTCGTGACACTGCCACCGAAAGCCGCGGGAAGGCGGAGGCGCGTCGTGACACTGCCACAGAGAGCCGCGGGAAGGCGGAGGCGCGTCGTAACACCGCCACCAAAACCTGACGCCGCAAGAGTGTGGCGGGCGGCGGGTCCATCCGCCGCCGCAGAGGCGCGTCGTGACACTGCCACCAAAATCCGCCGCCGCAGAGGCGCGTCGTGACACTGCCACCAAAATCTGCATGCACGGAGGCGCGTCGTGACACTGCCACCAGAATCTGCGGAGGCGCGTCGTGACACTGCCACCAAAACCTGACACCGCAAGGGTGCGGCGGGCGGCGGGTCCATCCGCCGCCGCAGAGGCGCGTCGTGACACTGCCACCAAAATCTGTACGCACGCAAGGACGCGCGTCGCGACACTGCCACAAGGTGGCGCGGAAATGTGCCGCACTGGGCCAGCCGCGTCGTGACACTGCCACGAGGTGGCGTGAAAAAATCACGAGCGACCGCGTGGTGACAAGCCATAAGTAAGTGTTAAGTAAGCGTTAAGTAAGCGTCTGAGTCAGCCATTCACACCCTTACTTGGGCTCAGCGCAGGAGCATTGTTGAAGTTAATAGGGCGTTCTATAGCTCAAAAAATCGCGGTTCAACGTGGCTATAGTACTAGCATGGTATGACACATCCCAGGTCGAGGTGTATAGCCACATGAGCATAGTTTGGGGACATAAATCGAAATAAATCGCCAAAGTAATATCTGATGCTTATCGAAAGGGAAATGGCTGGGAGACATACATTTAGGATCTTTGAACATCACATCGACATCAGAAAGCACCCTCCGACGCATATATGAGGTGGACTATACTTGATCTGATCGACATAGAAAACCAAAACAAGCCGATCACTCTGGATATCAGATGGAACGAAGGGAGAGCATCGTAGGATCAGCGATGGGAA